AGGTATATGAACCCCCTTCTTCCCACCTCTAGATAGTTCTCACTCATGCTTGCAACTCAATTCAATGCTTCAACCTTCATTCCTCAACTCACTCCTTACTGATCCTATGTGGTATCCCCACACTTGATCCCTTCTTTATCACTTATCCTTTTTACCACTTGTGGTATCCCCACACTTGGTCTCTTCTACACCCTTATCTTCAACAAGCCTGAACCTTCCTTCCACCAATCTTTCCATCTCAGAGAGCAGTTGGTATCCCCAGCTGGCCCTCTCTCACACCCAGCTCCAGAGTCTGTCCAAGGGCTGGCCAGTACATGTAAGGGGAGAAATACCAGTGACATCTTTCACCAATCAAGAACTGTGGGCAACCTTCTAAGCAGTTCTTGCAGAAATTCTCTCATTGGGATGAGTTTGAAACAAGAGAATTAGCTATAGAGCGCTGGGGGAATGTCTCACAAAAGTTTATAAATGTCCAGGTTGATAGCAGGCCTCAAAGGCTCTCTGACTGCATGAAAATCGATGGGAGAACGACCGGGCACCAGCTCCAATACCACAGAAAGCTATTGCAATCAAAATTGCTGGCTTCATTTTGATTTGAGCTCAAAATAAGTGCAGAGTGAATAATCTGTATAGGGTATGGGTGGGGGAGTTCTGCCAAGCCCTTTGTGAGTGTGTTTATTTTCCCGGACCGCGTGGCGGGGTAGGCGGTCCCCCCATCTTGACCCGAACAACTTCACGGCCCCATACTCCTCAAACAGTAACGTACCTACGATGACCGTCATATGTCAAGGAAGCCTAGTGCTCGTCACAGGTATCAGCGGCTTGATTGGGTCGCATGTCGCAGACCATCTGCTTCGAGCTGGCTACCGCGTTCGGGGTGCAGTGCGAAGCGAGCAGGAGGCGCAGATGATGCATGACATCTACCAGAAACGTCATCCCAAAGCGCCTGAATCATTCGAAACTATTGTAATTGCAGACATGAAAGTTCCAGGAGCTTTCAAAGGTCATCTGGCTGGCTGCGATGGAATCGCCCATGTTGCGTCCGATCTGAGCTTCAGCCCTGATCCCAATGTAGTCATCACTGGATGTGTCAACGGCATCAAAGCCATCCTGGAGGAAGCCAAGTCGACACCTTCAGTCAAACGTTTCGTATACACTTCAAGCAGCAATGCAGCAACGAGACCCTTGGTCGGCGAGCCGAGGCATGTGGACTCTTCATCATGGAACGACGACATCTTAGAGGAAGCTTGGGCGCCGCCTCCATATGAAATTAACCGCGCATACGCCGTGTACGCTGCTTCCAAGGTCGCTTGCGAGCGTGCAGCATGGGCGTTCATGAAGGACCAGAGACCAGGATTCACGTTCAACACTGTGTTGCCGAATTATACCTCCGGAATCGTCTTGCAACCTCTCAGCATCCCAGGTGCGGGTAGCACGGCACGATGGGTGCGTGATGTATACGATCATCCATTCGAAAAGGTGTTCGTGTCCAAATTGCGGGATGACAGTCCGCAGTGGCAGGTTGACGTGGAGGACATCGCGAAGCTGCATCTTGCGACTCTCACATTCGATGATGTAAGCAACGAACGACTTCTCGGATTTGCGCACAGGTTCAACTACAACAGCTTCCTGCAGACGTTCCGGAAGCTGGCACCGGAGCGCGAGTGGCCCGCTGATCGGAGCGGACTGGAATTACCGAGCACGGTAATCGAGAACAAGAGGTCTATCGAGCTGCTGCGAAGATTTGGAGCAAATGGCTGGGTGCCCTTCCACGAAAGTGTACGACGCTCATGTTTAGATGAGTATGGAGATGGTTTTGCTGTATTTGACGGATCATACCGTAAGCCAGTCTTGTATGAAACATAATGCCAAACCCCATTTTATACCGTCACCTCATCGCATGTAGTTTCGTTTTGTTTGAACGTTTGATTTGAGGGGGGGGGGGGGTGCAGACTACTTCTACCCAGGCTGAGGGACGAGGGGAGAGGCCAACAAGGAGGCAGGTGTCTGTGAAGGGCTGGTTTTAGTATTAAGGGATCGCAATAGCTTGCTGGATCTGATAGTTGGAGGCATGGTGTGCTTGGATTCCAGTGTTGTGATAGGAGAGAGCAGGCAATGTGTAGTGGCGACAGCAAGATGGTAGAGGTGGTAGCAATAGTGCTATGTATGATGACAGGCTTGGCGAGATTAGAGGCTGTGAGTGGTGATGAAGGTATGGACCAGGGTCTAGCACCCACATATATACCCCTCCGGTGCCCCCGGTCATCTCTAATCCCTGAAAGTCCCACCTAGTGTATTCCTAGTGTATGTACTAGTCAGAAAAACAGGGGGGTCAGGATCTTTTGCAAGTTATGATACATGCGCACAGTTTGAGTGGTGTGAAGTCAAAGTACCCCTCATGTTTCTCGGCAGGGTGGGATTTTGGCACATGGTGGGAGACGTTAGGATTGCAAAGCTTGTGAATTAGACACTATCTTCTTCTCTTACTAGGCTATCATTACAATGTCCCAACGTCTGAGAGAATGCCGTTTGTTGGGATGAAGTAGGGTTTTGAAGCGATCGCAGCCGATTGTGCGAGGACTGGAATGATGGACAGCACCATCAACAATGCTATAATTTTCTTCCTGCAGGCACTTGCGTTCAAGAGAAGTGTCTAAAGAACGATGGCATGGTAAGCCTGGATCTCTAAACTGGTGCAGGAAAGCCCTCAGTGCGCAAACGGCAATTCGTCTCTCTGCGGGGGGTTTCTCGATTCGCAGGGTGGAACATTTTAACGTTGTTTTGCAAGTAGGCAAGCACCTTATTTTTCTATTGTGGCGGCGTGGGCCGCTGTGGTATACTGATAACTACGGTAAGCAATAACATAAGACTATCGTGTCGATGGAAGACTGCTCTGAATTGCTACCTAGCTGGGTGATGACGACTATATACCTTACCTCAGGCCAGTGACCTGTCACACACTGGACTAAGATAGTCTGTAAGGTGTATAGTCAGCCCTTGTATGGACCATTCGATACCGCAACATCTATTAATATGCCCGGCAAGGAATTGGGCCAACCCACTCGCCCAGCGTATCACGTGAAATGACCGTGGTTAGCGAGAAACAACGCGCTAGTAAACTGTCAGTGTAATGCCGAGCATATCTGCAAAGAAGTTCAGATGAGGCCCGGCGAACAATAGTATCAGGCTGATCAGCGCATGGCGGCCAGCGCAAAGCGCCGTGTCCTGAACGTCCGCACATGTGAAAACGACGCAGAAGAGATTTGCTGTGAAGAAGGATATATGGAAAAGTGTTTCAGCTGGAGCTAATAAAGGAAGAATTAACTGAGATGAACTAATTCCGAGTACAGTAGGTACTGCATTACGAACGAGCTGGAATGAGGTCGGACGTTCCAGAGAATCAGGGTAACAAAGACGCCCGCTATCATGATTGAATATGCCTGAGTGACACCTATAATAATGGGCTCATGCGTGAGAACGCAAGCTGCCTTTAAAGAACGTTCGCTGATCCATATATAGACAAGTCCAGAATTTGACCCGCTACGCAAATCCGGAAACACGCAGAACGCTATGGCGCAAAGTGGGCATTTCGAGCACTGTCAGTCTTGACTCTTCCTTGTATCTTCCCAGAATTGTGTACACTGATCTCGCCATAGCGGACAACTGATCGCCGTTCGTGCTCCAGCGCAGCCGAAGACGGCTAGTCCAACCAGGTCTTGCGGTTCGTAACGACCCACGAACAGAGAGTGCTTGTGTTCATCAACTCCTTTTCCTAGACAAAACAGGAAGAAGTAACCTAACTGTGAGCCTTGGACCACATCACATGACTGCTTTGCAGGCATGACTAATGTGTCCGACTACTCTCCAGCTCAGATCACGCACTTATACATGCACAGATAAATACACCTATACATGAGATTCAATATTAGTACGCTCCTTTGTTTACACTATCTTACTACTGACAGTTCCCTTGCGGAGGCCGCTAAAGTTGTCTGATAGAGTTAGGTGTCTGTTTATAATCCTAATAAATTTGGGAAGATTTTACGCTAAGGTGGTGAAGTCGGACATCATCCGTCGCCATGCTGTTCATTGACTTCGGCACTATACTTTGCAAATTTGCTTCTTTCCCTCAATATTTTTCCATATTTCAAAAACAAAAACGGTGTCAAGCAGAATATAGTGGCGACTGCGGCCAGAATTGAACCGGCGACATTACCACCCAGCCCAGAAAACATTGGGTAGGCGAAGAGAGGCATGATCCCTGAAACGAGGGCGCGAAGGAATGCAAGTGTAGCAAGACCGGAAGACGCGTATATCGTATATGAGTCGGCCAGATAACCGTTCAAGGTGTAAGCAAATTCGTTGGCCGCAAACCCTATAAATACAAGTCCAACCATGGAAACGGCCCAATGCGTGTGGACACATGGGGGGATTGTCCAACTGAATAGCCACAGGCCTACGGCCAGCATAGGTGCTGCAATAACGAAGCCGTAGATCTTGTCCTCTGGCGCAAGCTTCTGGTTGTGCCGCGTTTTGTGTGAGATCATATGGACTTCCCATATCCTAGGCAAGATGCTGATGGGAATGCCCAGCCCAATAGCGATAAATGCTAGCGAAGTCGTTGTTTCAGTCCAGCCATAAAGTGAATACACCACGGTCAAAGATTCCGTAAAAAGATACACCAGACCCCATGCTGTAGCACTAAGACTAGCAACTATTATCACAATGGGTTCCGTGACGGCAAGACGTGCCGGCCGTAGAAAGACTAATTTCGCTAGGGCGCGACCATTTTGAAGAGCGTCCGGATCACTGCGAGGCTCCAACTTCTCGTGGTATTGTTTTTCTAACTGACCAAGCTTGTCGGATAGCAGTTTTGTTGGTCGGCTTTCACGGATTGTGAGGAGTACTAAAAATGTCATGGCGGTAACCATGGCCGAGGTATAGTGTATCCAGCGCCTGTTATTCTTGCTTAGCAGTTTACAGCACCCTAGAATTTTGATAGTCACATTACTCACCAACCGATTGCGTCCGCCATGTAGGTTCCGTAGATGGGACCAATGATGAGGCCAAGGGTGGTTGAACTGTTCCAAACCAGTATCATCCATACTCTATGTGTGCCCGCATACAAGTCTTCAATACTCCCAGCGATGACGACAGATGGCACAGAAGAGGCAAATCCAGATATAAATCGGCCAATAAATACGCCCGCTACAGAGGGCACGACTCCTGTAATGAGAGCGCCAATGCTGAAAGCCGCGCACGAGTAGAGATAGGGCTTCCTTCGTCCAAATGATTCAGAGAAGGGTGGCGTCAGGAGGCCTCCAATTGCTTGCCCTATTTGATACCTATTCTGAGTCAACTGAAATCGTCTATGCAAAGGTTGTATGAATACACTTGCATGAACGTGAAGGCAACTAAAGCTACCACGCGACTGAGATGGAACTCTTCCATGGCTATGGTCGCAGCGGAGGGCTATCAGAGTTAGCGAAGTCGACTAGAAACCTTTTGTGGCTCCCCGGGACTGTATACTCCAGTGGTACTGATTATGGTTCTATAATCTAATCAGTCTCGTGGCCTCGGGGGTGGACGGCCTAGACTTAACGTGTAGAACTCTAGAAACACAATGATTGCCGTGTCATGGAACTTCCGGTAAGATGGCCAGTTCTGAGGATACTGCTTATGATCTTTCCTCCACTCTACACGATCTGAAGTGGTTCTACGCAATCCCATCCCATCAATGGTGTTGCTCATTTTGTTTCTGTAGTTAGGATCCATGCTAAGCATGATGCTGTATCACAAGTAAATGCATCCTCAATGCTATATTGATATGGCATTCGAGGACCGCGGAGTGGAGTTTTTGGTGTACCGCTGACGTCGAAAACTTGGACCGTGATCTTCATATTATGTGTGCACTAGCAGTTGGTCCACTAGACTAACTTCGGGTAACCCCATTGGGAAGGATCACCACAAGCATTGTCGCACGGTGGTGCACATCGCAGCCCTTTCATCAATAAGCTTCTTAGCTGGGTCGGGCAATCATATAATAATACTCCCCTGAATTTGGGACCATGATACAGACAGTACATTTGCTATGCGGACAAGTTTGTGAGTGGTCATTATCCACGTGCACTACCAGCGTGTCACATCTGTCGAACCAAAGACATACAGCTACTCGGAAGCTCTCGCTTCCGTATGACGTAGGGAACATGGGCTAGTGTACCAGACTTAGGAGGATCCATATATTTCGGCAAGCACCGATAACACAAGAAAACATTGCAATTGTACTAGTCAATTGCGAAGAAGTATGGACACACGAATTAGCTGGAAACGTGGAGAAGCGCGAGCCTAAAGAGAACTAACCCTGATTAAACAAGGCCTCACCAGGTCAGCACCTGTTTCTGAGGTTCTTGTTGAGCAGATCAACACCCCGACTGAAGTGGAATCTACATTTGCCCTAGATATAGACTACCTAATAATCGAAATTTCGTAATTTCGGCAAGACTGGACTGAGAGAGCTTAGGGGCGATCGGCTGCCTGCAGATCACCTACCCTACCGCACAGATCTTCAACCTATCACCATCGAAGGTGCTCTAAGTTTCCTGCTAATGATGTCGCATATTCATGACGAGGTTTCTGTTTCTAGACTCCACAATTCGCTTGAGGAATCATTTAAATATTTGGTTCCTTAATTTGAGTGTAAAAATATCGCCTCCATCGCGCCTAGTCTGTTGTCCCTCCCGGGCTGAAGCAAGACGTTTAATCAACAAGCTCCTGCAAAATACTAACTGCCACTCAAAACACCTCGCAGGAGTCCATATACGTCATGTCGCCTTTATTGAACGAGACAAGCATAATGCAAGATTCTCAAAGTCTCCGGTCTCACACACGGTCGCTTGAAGAAGATGCACTAGAGCAGCTCCTGAAGGAGCACACCAAGTCCATCGCATGGAAATCGGCCGGTCCGGCAGCAAGCGATTTTAGGAGTATGGTTTCCAGCACCATCGTCAGCATGATATGTACATTACTTATTCCCAACTGCAGGCGATGTAATCACGACTCCTTCGCTACGCATGTTGGCAGCCATCGTGAATACCACCCTACGAGACGATGTCTTCCAAGAAGACACCACAACTACGGAATTCGAGTGTGATATTGCTGCGAGGTGTGATCAGTCAGCAGGTCTCTTTACTATTACGGGAACAATGGCCAACCAGTTAGGACTACGTACCCTTTTAACACAGCCACCACACGCAATCCTGGCGGATTCCCGGGCTCATATCCTCACCAACGAAGCTGGAGGCCCCGCTTTTATGAGCGGTGCCATGATACAAGCGGTTGAACCGTCGAATGGAAAATATCTGAGGCTTGAGGACATAGAAGCCAACGCCGTTCTCACTAATAACATTCACAAATGCCCGACGCGGGTTATTGCCCTGGAAAATACAATCAGCGGGGTTATTGTGCCACTCTCAGAAATGGTTAAAATTAGTCGCTGGGCACGTAAAAAAGATATCAAAATCCACCTAGACGGCGCACGACTGTTTGAAGCCGTAGCTGCAGGAGCAGGAAGTTTGCAGGAATATTGTCGGCTTGTCGATACCGTCACTGTGGACTTCAGCAAAGACTTGGGCGCCCCAATGGGAGCCATGCTGCTTGGTGGAAGTGAGCATATTGCACAGGCAAGATGGATAAGAAAGAGCATTGGAGGTGGTATGAGGCAGGCAGGTGTTCTAAGTGCCGCTGCGAGGGTCGCTGTGGAAGAGCAATTTGGTTCTGGTGACTGTGGGCAAGCGGGTAAGCTCAGACGGGTACATGAGAATGCAAAGAAGGTAGGAGAGATGTGGCAGAGCAGAGGGGGCAAGATTACCAAAGAGATTGAGACTAATCAAGTATGGATCGATCTTCAAGCTTTGGGAATTGAGGATGAGGAATGGAATGAGATTGGTAGAAGTCAAGGCGTCTGCTTGGATGGGCCACGGTTAGTTTTTCACCACCAGATTGGAGAGGAAGCTATTCAACAGCTAGGACGGGCATTTGACATTGTCATATCGCGTGTCGCAGAGCGTAAGGAAAATTCATAGGCAAGAGGTTTTCTCATTAGCTGCTTGGAGCTTAGCAACCTAATTTTGCATCAAAACAATTGACTGCGCCTTCAACTTCGCGCCTGTGAATAGCCGATCAAGGGCATCGATTATCGAAGTTGGCAAATTATCGACGTGTCCTAGAAAACTCTCGAGAACCAGCTCCGACTGAGACCCATATTCTAGGGGTTTTGCTTGGTAATCTATCTCCCATGCACTGTCTTCTGTTAAAGGCAGTGGTGTATGACGCATTCGTACTTCACTGGGCCAGAAATAATTCAAGCAAGTGTCGCGGAACCTTTTTAGACCATTGCTGTAGCTGTTTCATGATATTACTTGGCAACATCAAGATTTGGGTAACGTTAAGTGGGGTGATAGCAATATTGAGATGACATACGTTGGTTGTCGTCGGGGCTCTCTGCATACCAGGCTAAGGTCACTAACGGTGATGCGAACATGACGTGACCATGCGAATGGAAAAGTCCCGCGGTGCAACTGACATGACCCTTTACCAAATCATACAAATGCCACGAGTGCACCTCTAGACTTAGCTCTTCTTGGAACTGCACCCAGATCGATCCCGTGTGGAGGTCCGGTGGGGGTGTCTACGGCGACTAGGCCTGATAAGATCAACCGCGGGGCGATCAGAAGATCTACCGAGATCCGCTCGCCGACCACAAGATCTACCGAGATCCGATCGCCGACCAGAATGTCGCTCTCGCTTCCTTTTTCCAGAGTCGCAACACTAGTGAATTGATGTCGTCAATCACGAACCTAACAAACACCATCAGCTTGTTTAGTTGTATAGCAACGCATTTACGAGTCAATGCTGCAAACTAACAAATAGTGGCTTGCAGAGGCCCTACTACAGCAAAATACAAGCGTCCAATCGGAATCGTGAAACGGTGAATTTGAGTGCCCAGTTCATATCACTGGCTAGAAAGTTACTTGTATCGCCGCAGCCTTGTTGTGTGGAGTGAAGCTTTGATTATCTGGAAATGTTGCGATGCGCAGCAAACATAGTATCCAGTTACAGTTAGTAGCATGACAGACGCCGCATAGCAGGTTGAACGTCTTATAACGTGCTCCCCCAATGTGCGGTCCTATCCGAATTGGCATTCGATTTCCATTATGATTTCCCCTTACTGGATGCATTCCAGGGTCATTGTATGCTGCATCACGCTCCTCTTTTCGCTAGGCTGCGCTACACCACTCCAACAATCCAGACGAGAAAACGTTGGCACATATGACTTCATCATTGTCGGCGGTGGAACGGCTGGTTTGACTTTGGCAAATCGTCTTACAGAAAATGGAATACATTCCGTTCTCGTTCTCGAGGCTGGCGCAGCGCCAGATGAGGTCAAATCATATCAGGTGCCTGGTGCAGACCTCCAAGCCCTAGGCTCTCCTATCGACTGGGCATTTGGCACGCTTCCACAGCCTGGCCTGAACGGGCGACAGCTCACCTACAATCAAGGACGGTGCCTCGGCGGTAGTTCCGCTATCAATGGACTCGCATACACGAGAGGCTCGTCAAGCATTTACGATTTTTGGGCTTCACTAGGGAACAAGGGGTGGAGCTGGGAAGAGGTCTTTCCTTACTTTAAGAAGGTACTATGAACCTCCTTGCAGTAAATGCAGTTGCTAATAGTTAACGTACTAGTCTACAACGTTCAATGCACCAACTATCAATAACGTTTCTGCCTTAACCTACGACGTCTCGATATACTCAGACGGCCCGCTACAACTCGCCTACCCCCCCTATGTGTACGCATATCCTGGAAGTGAGGCATTCATCGAGTCGGTCTCTACTTTAGGAGTGCCACAGTACGTACCTGACAAGATTCGGTGAGACGCAGTAACTGATTTTTTGCAACAAGAGTCGAGGAGTTGAACGGCGGCACCAACGTTGGTACAAAGCATGAACCGTATACCCAAGATGCGAAAGCTCGCCGCAGCTCGAGTTACGACAGTTTCTATATGCAAGCCAAGAACCGCTCGAACCTCGAGGTCCTTACGATGTCACCAGTGCAGCAGGTTATCCTTCAGAAAAGTAGTAATGGTGTGATCGCGACCGGAGTTGTGTACACTGACTATGCGACGGGCCAGACGTTGAATGCGACAGCCACTAAGGAAGTTATTGTGAGCGCAGGTGCGATCAAAACTCCTCAGTTACTCATGCTATCGGTATGTCAATTGAGGCCTATAAGTCTTCGTTTACTAACATAGATAGGGTATAGGATCTACTAAGGATCTTGCCAGTGCTGGGATCCAGCAGCAGATTGTCAATGAAAACGTTGGTAAAAAGTGAGTTGCCTTCAGCTCTAGATCAATAAGGGCACAAGCTAATTCGACCCAGCCTGCAAGACCATATTTACTTTAGCATCATCGCAGAAGCTGATGCATCGATATCCTACTCGTCACTCTATCACGACTATTCCAAACTTCAACAAGCATCGAAAGAGTACGAACAAGGTACAGGGCCTCTCACGGCTCCCGTTGGCCTGGCGTTTGGCTTCGAGAAGGTCTCTTCTGAAACTCTCGCCAGCATTGGTGCTTCAGCCATTACGACACAGGGCCGCTCTGACCAAGCCCACATTGAGTATCTCTATGAAACCAACTATTATCCAAACCTTCCAACGCCGCACTACTCGAGCAAAGAGTATAACACCTCTTACGTCAGCTTCACTGCTGCAATCTTAGCACCGACGTCCAGAGGAAAGGTGTCAGTACTAAGCAATAGCCTTTCCGATCCTCCGCAAATCGATCCTCAATACTACACTACGCCCGAAGACGTCGCCCTGGCCCTACACTCTTTCAAGCAGCTCCGCAGCGCCCTTGCAACTTACGCTCAACACAACTTCACCATCGGTCTCAACAATGGCGAAGTGGCTCCTGGCGCGGAAGTCCAGACAGACGAGGAAATTCTTGACTATATCCGGGAGACGGCCGTGCCAGTGTGGCATGCGTCAGGCACGTGTGCAATGCGTCCGAGGGAAGAGGGGGGCGTTGTGGATAATAAACTTAGGGTCTATGGCGTACAGGGATTGAGAGTTGTGGATGCGAGTGTGTTTCCGGTTATTCCAGATGCGCACACGGTTGCGGGCGTGTATATGGTTGCTGAGATGGCGGCGGACATCATTAAGGCTGAATACGCTTGATTGTTGTAAGAAATCATGGAGAGATATGGAACGGTACGAGTAACGCAGGCTTGTAATTCGGCGGTGTCTAAAGATAGCTGGAACGAATGCGCATGCTGTTCTATACAAATGTTCGTTATAGACAGACAAAACTGCAGAGCCAGTCCCCCCAGGTGTATGTGACGCCACGTACAAAGTGCCTGAATGATGGTTGCGTGTTCGCTAAGAAGATTAGGTGTGTGACTCAAAGCCTGTGAACCGTCATTTCCTGAGTAAATGAATAGTGAACGGCGCACTGTGACTACAGAGTGATGCCATCCTTGCCACAATTCAGTACTACCATTGAATCCACCCTGCCGTGTGTTTGGGGCCGTGGCCTGCAGCAAGCCAGATAGAGAGCTAGAAATCTGACCCTTTGGTTCTTGGCTACACTAATCCAAGCTCTGACTTTACAAACAGCCTTGTCGCAGCCAAATGTATAGGCAGATACCTGATTGGACGCAGAGATAAAGCCGGTAGCAATGCTTTCCTGTTACAAACAACTAGTCAAGTGCTCTGCTCAGACAACTAAGAGTTCCTCAGGAGCCGATCACTGCCCTAACGGGGTGAGTGAACTAACGTGATCCTAGAGCAGCCGGGTAGTCATCTAGGATCCCCGGGCCAGCAATGATCATTGCAGGGGGCATACTACGTGGAAACTGCAATAATCATTGCAAGCTAACCCAGCAAGCGCACAGCCAAAGTTTATTTATTACTACCAACCTTCTCCCGTCAACTTCTCTCGCCATGCACCTTTTTGTCTGGGCTCAAGAATACCCCTAAGGCTTCTGACACATCCAGATGAGCCAGATAGGACTGAAATTTGAATGAAGCATCGCAAGCGCATGGCATTATAACTACAACGATTGGCAAAATGTGCGGACCACCTCATACCTGGTACACTAAGCGCCAGAATGCAGAGACGCTCATTGCTGATAGCTGCCAGGTGTCAGTAAAGGGGTTGTCAGGGGGGAAGAAAGGCTTTGTACGCCTAATATGTCTGCAAATTTAGATCTATAGTGATATATGTGACGTTGTCACCTAGCTGTGGCCTCTGTGAGAGGCTATGAATGTCTAGTTTAGGGGCTGAAAAGATATGAGTCAGGCTCTATAGGCATGTATATGTACTACTACTTCCCTCACCACTCTTTATGGGTACTCTGGCCACTTAGAGTCTCCGTAAGCTGTTTCTCCTGGTAGCGGATAACTCCATCGCGCTTGGATATAGAAGTTTGGGCAGTTTGACTTTCAGTTTCGAGTTTGGCACAGAGGGCGCTCAGATTCTCTTCCAAGTGCTGGTGCACTGGGTGCTGTTACGCAGGTAGAGCATCCAGGCGTCCGGGTCTTCAGCAAAGCTAGTAGAGAGATCCTTCACCACGTCCATGGTTAAGGGCGGTTCGGGGCGATTCATAGCGGGCGGGTAGTGATGGGCACCTATGGGTAGGAGCTACGTAATGTCACAGTACGGGCGGGTTCGGGAGATAGGTGCATGTAATCAATATATTCACTACAGACAGCAGCCGGGTACAGGCCTGCTGGTTGACAAGACGTACCTCAAGGAGCTTGGGATGGGAGCAGCCCCTTGAGCAGATATCTTCAGTGGGCGATATGTGCTTCTGCTAGTCAGTCACAAAGCAACAGGTGCTACCTGCCATCCCCTGATTGGCCCTCCGTCTCAGCGCCGTGACACATCTCAGCTTTGCGCTTCTGACGTTTGTGACCCCTGTTGCCACGAAAGTACCCCTGATCAATCTCTATGACAGCTGCAAGGTGGAATAGCACGTTCGAGGGCCAGTACATAACCGTCTTCTCCAAACTAGATAGCAACTCAGCGCAGTATTCCATCGACCCGAAAGCCCTACGTTATCGTTTACCGCAGCTATTAGTGTATTACAGCGGCCCACGCTGCCACAATAATGTAGAACAGCTGCCAAGGTAGCTTGGTGAGCTTGTGCCTCACGTTGAAGGACTTGACAGGTAAGTCGTCAACGGAGAACAGGATATGTGACATGGTGTGTTGATACGAAAAAGGTGGAGGAGTGGGAAATGAACGGAGAGATTGCCCCAAAATATGCTTAAAGACCTAGTGCTAGAGAGTATGGTGAAAGAAGTCAAAGCAAACGGTCTTGACTGAGTGCAAGATCCTGCTTGTCGGATTGATAGGGAATTCATCCCAACTTTCACCGTGAAATAAAGTCTCTAAGTTCAGGCCCACAGTACACACGTGTTGGCCATGTACACTCGTTTCATGATCGCCCTTGCTCTTTGAGAAATTTCAACATTCGTCTTGCAGCTGATGTTGCGTTCAGAAGCCGTTATGCTCACTGCGCCGCATCTCTTCGTCAACGCCGCCATCTTGGCAGCGCCACTCCCACGAGACTTTTTTTCCGTTCAGCCAAGATGGAAGTGTTGCACATAGGAGACCACAGATCTAGCTACTGTGTGCTGAAAATATTTTGAAGTAGTGATACCCGATGCCCATGAGCCTTGATCATGGACGTTTGGGGTCCGTACCACGTACGAGAGGGGCGAGAATGGACTATGTTCGTGAGTGCAAGGCACATACGCACAAACTGGGGGCGAACACTCTCCCTTGTTCACGAGGGATACATCGCCCAGATCGTGCCGCTTTTCAGCTCCAGTTGTATGATTCTAAGTATATAAGAAGACTGACTTGCGAGCAGTCGTCTCCCAACACACACTGCTTTCCTGAGATTTCTGAACCCCATAACACCTTTCATCATGAAGTTGGCTCTTATGGCAACCCTCTTTTCACTTTCTTCGCAATTGTCTCCACTGCTGCAATGAATCCGGTCCGCCGTCGGGCTCTCGAAGCTCGCGACACTAATAACCAGACCTTGGCACTCGAGGATATAGTCCTGTACCAGCTGCCTAACGAGAACCACAAGGTTGAGTTTTGCCTCAACGATGTCCTTGTAGGAAGCGTCATCGAGACCGAAGATGGTGGGATGTCCACCGCATTCTTGATATGCGACTCGCTAATTAGTCGGGAGCCGATTTCTTCGACGGCGCCAGCGAACCAACTGATCTGAATAACACAAGCGAGCTCGCAAAACGCGTTTCGAAGTGGGCCTTGCTAACAAGTTCGCTAGGCTACTTGCGAAGTTCGGAAAGCGAGCCTGGGACTTCTTCTATTGTATTGGACTCTACACGGGCTGGAGGTGCGGCGATGAGGTAAGCTCCTGTCCAGATCAACTCAAAGTACTTGGCTGACATGTACAAAGTTCCTCCAGTGTGCGGCCCAAGGCGGCTTGGCCCCATGGGCATGTCCAGAAGGTTTCGGTTGCGTTGGCGTAGCTGCATATGATTGCAGATAGATCCGCATCGTGGGTCTGCCAGTCTTTCCCATACTCAACACGGACTTTGCAGGCCTACTGATAGAAGGAAGACCACACGTATGGTAACTTGTGAAAATTGTGGACCTAAGAGATGCGGCGTTGTTTGAGGACACTCGTGGGTTCGGCTGGGGATTCGTCGTACCTTTCTTCCTTTCCAGTATCTTATGTGCTGTTTTCCGAGCATGTTTTCCGAATGTAAGACTGCAACAGACTACCAATCATTCTCTGCCTGTTAGAATGGATGTGTTGTCTCATCAATGATGGTGCCAACAAGAAGTGGTGAAACCTCGAGTTGTGTGCAGCTGAAAATGCCCCGCTTCCCAATCCGAATCTAGTCTAGTCAACCACTCACGTCATGTTCTTCCAACTCTGCAACGTGACCACGCGTCAACTTAACACCTACTTTCGTATACAAATTAGCAACCCAAGTTGATAAGCAAAACACAAACGCGTCAAACTGTACGTAGCTACAAAAGACTTCCGTCGTTTCGTCCCGAAGATCAGACCGTCTCAAGCACGGGTGGCTCGAAGCAGAACATCAGCCTTGTTCAGTCTACATCAAACAAAGCACTGTTCCTGACACGGCCAAAGCTCCGGGGGCTTTCTTTGGATACTCAAACATCTTGAGCCGATATCATACCGCAACAGCATCCATAGGAAGGCAGGACCACAACGTTCACAGGACCCTCCAGCAGCAGGACTCCAATCATGACAACAAACCCCTTCCCAGCAATAAACGGCGGCTGCTATTGCACCGCCGTTCGCTACCGACTTCTCACCTCCCCACTCTTCTGCTACGCCTGCCACTGCACCGATTGCCAAAAAGCCACCGGCAGCGCCTTCGCGCTGCACGCTACTATCGAAACCTACAACATCAGCATCATCTCCAAAGCGAAACCCTCGCTGATCACGCTCATAATGGACCCTTCAAAGCCCCAAGACGTATCTAGACGCGCGCTCTGTTCCCAGTGTGGAACGATCTTATGGGGTAACGACAATTCTTGGGGCTATGCTGTGAGCGATGTTCGGATTGGCAGTTTGGATTTTCCCGGCATCATGGAGCCCGACGTGCATTCATTTGTAGGAAGCAAGCTAGGCTGGATCGATTTACCAAAAGATGCGAAGACAACGAAGGGGCACTATGGCTACAAGGAAATGTGGCCAAAGAGCAGTTTGAAGAGGCTGGAGGTCTGTCTGGAGAGATTTGAGGCAGCGAAGAAGGCTGCTGCGTCTCAGGAGAAGAAGCCAGAAGAAGCAGGAAGAGGAAAGGATGCGAGCCCGGTTGACGGAGACGGGGAAAAGACACCGACTGCGACAGGAGATGCGGAAGAGATTGAGGATGACGAGGCTTTCGAGCAGAGGTTCAGGGAAACGGAGAGAGCGCTGCAGGAGAGACTGGCCAAGCTGAGTTTGAAATTGGGGGATGAGGATGAGAAGCCTGCGAGTAAGACTACGACATAAGATCTATTTCAATCTACGCATGCGAGCGTCAGCTTCGCGCCGTCACACCTGCAACTGTCACGCCTCTGTGCGTCGCTCATCGCTACTCAGCCAATATTTTTTGAACAGCAAATCGCGCATGACAATGATGAGCAGTCACAACGATGCGATGATGAAATTAACAGCGCAGGTAGCGAAGATCTTAATCGTCAGCCAAGGATGGCAACAACGATCAGGACATGACAGTCGCCCCTCACGCTTCGCATCTCGCACCTTCCGCCCACGATGCTGCAGGAGCACACAAACAACCAATGGCCCCCCTCGACATTCCCAACACTCCCCCAATCTACCAACCCAACCACTCCCACAGCCGTCACTCAAGTGAAGTACCAATACGAAGTTTCGAATTGACGGCGGCAGACAGAGTGATATCATTGCTAGCATGCTGATGGGTGCGTTTGCAGGCGTGTTTGTTGCGGCGCCTGCGTTTAGTGTCTGGCAAGATACTAGTTTTGCGGAGAAGGTTGCGGATATGATGGGAGAGAGTGCGGCCGGGGGACTGAGTGTTTGGGACATTTTGGCATGCGAGAGCACGAGCGTTTGGGCGAAGTTCGCTGCTATCATGCCGTAGCGCATTCAGCGTAGTAGGCGTGAGTGCGCGAGAACTGTTGAAGCCGAGTATACTGATGAAGGTGATTCCGAAATTGCTTCCGGCAACTCAACTTGGTGAGGAGAAGCCATGCGAAAATCCACTGACAATATGATGCCAAGACGCCAGCACGCCACCCACTGACCAGTCGAAGTAAACATGTACGCCTCTGCCCTGCCCTGCCTTTCGCCCTTGGGGTCCACGATACATGAATGTGGGACAGTACCAGTGTTTTGTGTCGATGTTGCTGCACAACAAGTCATGAAGCACAGAGACCAGTTTGGAATTGCAGCGTCTCGACACCACACAATTGCGAGATGTCAGTGGGTTTTTCGACCACTTATGAGTGTGTGGAGTCTGCACCAGAGTGTGCAGGTGATGTTAGATTCATGATGCCCCTAACTATATCCATATTCCAGTCCATCATTAAGCCATCCCAAGTGCATACGCCAATGCAATCCCATATCCCTACACGAGCCAATCCCAGAAACCCAAAGAAAGTCTATAATGCAAATGCCTTGGTCTAAACAGACGAGTACGAAGTTGTTCGCGGTTCACTGCCGAACGAAGAGAGGAACCAACAGAGAGAGGCACCGAGGTGAAAGAAGAGGAAAGAAGTCGTCGACCGTTTAAACGATGATCAACTTCTCCACCTCATCCCCCTTGCGTCCCTCCATCCTGTTCCACGCCGTGTACGTCAGCGCGCCGCAGACGGCCCACATCACTGGGACGGAGGCTTCGAGGGCACCTAAGCAATGTTGGTATATAATTCCCCACTTCGAAACACACGTCTTCGTACAATGAAAGCATGAGGGGACGTGCGGTGTGGAGGTGTACACGTACTTGGCTTCTCAACCTGCCCAGCCATCTCAACAATACGCGCCGCGCGGCTCGTGGAAGAGGAGGAGTTGTAGCGGACGAAGGCGCGAGGGGCGCGGGTGGCGATGCGGGAGAACATGATGTGTGTGGTGTGGAGGTGAATTGAAGTGCGTGGGAGCGACTCGAAGGTTTTGTGTTGGGTGTTTGTGGTGGCGTGAAGCTGAGTGATGCTGATGCTTTGTAGACGTGTCGGTGTGACAGAGAGGACAATCGGGGCAGGATTTGAGCGAACGGGTGCAGACAACAGTCAATGCGTGAAAAGTACGCGAAGTGAATGTGAAGTATGTAGCATGAAGCGAAGGAATGCGGGGAAGTCCGTGTCTGTTTAAATATGGGGCAGAGACGGAGGCGATGCGAAAAAAGAAGGCGCGAAGAACAAATTTCCTAGCGCAAGGGGCGATGAGCGGTCCGAGATTGGCTGGATGAGGTAAAGTGTGAAGGTACGGAAGACAAGCCGAGATGTACCAAAGTACCCCCGACTCCCATCAATCCGGAGAACTCAACAACATCGAGTTTGTTTACGTCCTTGTACCCGGCGTCATGATGCTGCCCATTTGCGACTCACCCGAGCACGTCGATTACGGGGTTCGAGCCTGCGATAGAGGACCGAAGTGACGTCCACCACCACTGGGTACTTTGGAGGCTCAGCCCAGCGCCGGAGAGCCGCCCTGCGTCTCGCCTCGAGCTGATCAGCACGGAAGGGCCTTCCAGGTCGCACTAGCGGTCCAGCGCCACCTCGCAGGTCTTACAAGTTGCTCAACACCGGGGTACTACTGTTTTTTGTTGAATGTAGATCTGGGGCAGGTGAGCTGTGAACCTTTGCTCAACATTTGTGGAAATGCTACGTGCTCTACAACCCATGTTGATTTTCCTGTGCCACCCACCCGGATCTCATCTTCTCGTTGCTGGAGTGTGCCAGTTATCTACCGTTCACAGCTGTTGCACGCCATCCTGACACTGTGGTCTACCCATAACACTGCAAGTAGGTATGGCTCCTCCAACGTGTTGCATTCTGTCGTCATCAACGAAAAGAGCAGCTTGTGCGAAGCATACATCGTCAACTTCATTTGTTACAGTATGTAGTCCCCTAGTTCGTCGCACCCTACCAAGGAATTGCGGACTCTTCCACACGTCTATGATACAACCATCGCTCAATTACTTTCCAATACAAGCAGATCGTCCACCCGACCCCAATCCAGGCCGTGACTTTGCGATGCATAATCCCTTCTTCCCCGTCTTTCCGTTTTCACCCTTTTCCCTTTTGAGCCTGTGTCCAACCCCAGTCTTTCACAGCTTCTGCTACGCTTATGAGGCACCGACCTTCTTCCTCTGCTTGACCCTGCTCCCGATGGTTTCCGGCTCCTTCGCCTCCATCGTCTGCACAGGCGTACTCGGCGCATCGACGTTCGAAATGGTCCTCTTCACACCGTTCGCAGTCTCAGCCGCAACGCCATTGATGCTCATACTCTTCACATCCTCCAGCCTTTCCTTGGTCTCCTCGTCGCTGGGCTCGTACTCACTACGATCGTCATCCGCATCCTTGTACACAATGAACCGATACGCAATCCTGCAGATGAAGAACCACCAGAACAGATTCACAGCCTGCAAACTCGCCAGCAGCGCGAAGGTGATGTACTGTGAGATCCAGCACTTGTACTGCTGCGTATCCCAGTTGAGCTCGAAGGGCCCCACGCTGCGGAATTCGGTGAGGATCGAGTAGAGGATCTTGAGGTTGATGAAGTGCCGCAGGTAGCCCCAGACGCACATGAAGACGAAGAAGTAGGGGCCGACGATGGCGGAGTCGACGTAGTTGAGGATTTTGCTCGTCTATGTTGTGGATTAGCGTTGGGTTGTGTAAGAGAGTGGGGAGTGGCATACCGCGAGGAAGAAGTCGGACACGTCGTGGGTAATGTATACCGCGATGCCCATGTATGTGAAGTGGAAGCGGTAGCTGAGCCAGATCAAAGCCAGGGTGATGATGTGGTGGGCAACCAGCTCCTTGAAGTCCTTGCGCGGCTTCTCAAGCATCAGGAGCAGCACAATGGCCTGCTGTGCCCAGTAGCTTGCCTGCAGGAGATAGTACGCCTTGAACATGCCCTCGTGCGTCCTGTGCGGGAAACCGTCATACATGCCGGTAGTGTTGAAGTACCAGACCGGGCTGCGGCTCATGACCCACAAGCCGAATGGTCCGTACAGACCGAAGTACAGCGCCGTGTACGCCTGCTCCATGAACCTGCTCTGCTTAGCCCGGCCCTTGATACCGCAGGCAACTGCGATTGGGCGGATGAGGCGCTGCATGCAAAACTCGCGCGTAAAGCTGAGGACGATGATGTAGAAGCCGACAAAAGCAAAGTCGCGCGCACCCTTGCCATAGTGTGTGGGCGCGTTGGGGTCTGCGCGGACTGATGCGGGGACTAGAGGGTCGGAGCGTGGGAGCGGGTAGGAGAGGAACAGGCAGGCGGAGACGGGGTTCGAGGGATGGGGGTAGACGAGATAGAGCGCGACGATGGCGAGGAGGAGGAGGAGCGGGAGGAGCCATGTGTGTCGCACGCAGGCGCGCTTGAATTTGGAGAGGCCGCGGCGAACGGTACGACGTTTTGAGCGTCGAGGCTTGTCTGACTTCTGTGCTGTGTCAGCGAGCTGGGCGTAGTGAGGTGAGCTGTCGAGCGAGCGTAGCAAGCAGGGCAAGCGTAGCAAGCAGAGCGAACAAGCACAGCGAGCAGGCACAGCGAGCGCGCAAGTAGAGCTTCGAGGAAACATACCGCATCCACGGGACTCTTCATGTTATCCGCCATACCATCGAGCCTCCTGCTCGTCGCAAAACTCGGCACATCGACGTCGCCAGGCAGATCAGCGCCCAGTCCACTAGACTTTCTCCTCCTGCGAGCGACGCCTCCACCGATGTTTGTAGGCACTGCGCCGTTCAGAGGTGGGAAGGGTTCCGTCATCGCGTGCGGACCCTGGATACCCTTTAACGTCGCAAGAGAGACTCGAGAGTAGTGCGGCACTGGGCGGGTCGTGGGGAGAGGGAGATTGGTGCTCTGTCAATGCTGAAGCATGTGTTGTAGACAAGTAAATGCCACAAGGAGGAGTCGAGCTTCAAGTGTTCTGCGCGCGGTGGGACGCCGACTGAAAGTTGAAAGTACGACCCCGTACGGTCGGCCAAGATCTGTGTAGATCCCGGGGGTCCGCTGCAATTTGCGACTCGGAACGCCAAGAGGCCCCGACCATCCACCGAGGCGTGCGAAAGGGGGCGTTAGGTCAGCAATCTGACTGTGTCGTGCGGCGGCGCGTGCTGGCTGTAGGTACTGGTCGCTGGTGGGTTGTCGTGTCGGCTTCTCGTTCCGAGACAGTTGGATTGCGTTCTGACACAGTTGGATTGCGTTCTGACACAGTTGGATTGGATGATGGGGGAGGGGGCTGCAATGGGAGGGCACTTGTCACGTCCACATACATGCACATGAGCAGATAAACAGGAATTCTTTTGATAGTGATGAAATCTTGATAGTTTGGAATCATATCAATACTTGTGTTATCCATGGGAAGTGTCCGACTCGTTCACTCTATCGGCCTCAGTCTACTCCCTGGCAAAATGTTAGTTTTCTGCTTCAAAGTGCCCCCCACGCTTGCACCGTTAGCACTCGAGTGATCAACCTTCAGCAGCCCAGCATCTCTTGTACTGCTCTTGCTTTCCGCACCGAAGCTACTCGCGGTTGCCGTGCTGTCGAAGCTTCCTTTCCTGGAGGAGAACCCATCCTGTCTCAGGAGCCCTTTGATTCCACCAGCCTTCCTCGCCGGCAGCTCGCCTTTACCAGCAGTGACGACATACAGCAGATACTTGAGATTCGGCAAAGTCTGTCGGATATCGAGAGGCCGAATGCCGAGGGCGTTGGAAAGGATTTCGATGTTCTTGTTTAGGAGGAAGACACCATACTCGAACCGGTAACGAACTACGCCCTTCATGTAGAGAGGATACGTCCGCGGATTGTTCGCGTTGTTGTGGCCCATGGCCAGTGGATCCTCGATGGTGGACGTTGAGCCGTGAGGTGATATTGGGTACGGCAATATGACAGAAAAGTAGGGAGACAGCAGTGCGACAGCCTGGGCTGCGTGGCCGAGGGCGGCTGATGTGACATCTTGGTTGGCATCGTCGAAGTGCGAGTTGGGCAACAGCAGGCCTCGTATCGTGAAGGCAAGCGATTTGCCTGGCAAAGGGTCGATAGGGTAGATCTTGAGGAGGTCTTCGCATATCCGTCTTCGTTGGCCGGCAATGGCTTCTTCCGTCGTCTCGATGGCTTCTTCCGTCTCTTTGCAAAGCTCTCTCCGCGTAGGCAGCTCAGACGCTATGAGCGAGCCCCTTTCGCGCCCGGTTTGCATCTTCTCCCTTCGCGACTGTATGCTCGCTTTGAGCTCGTCTCGCCGTCTGCGCATCGCCAACACCCGGCGTTGCTCCGCGGTCACCGCGACCTGCACTGTTCTGAGGTTCCCCTCTGCCTCAGGCACCTGCTCGACTGTTGATATTGCCTCTCTGTTCGTCTCCAGAATGCTCTCGATCTCATCCGCAATGCGGTCCCTCGTGACCAAGGCGTCTTGTATGCAGTCGTCCAGTGTCGACAGCCGCATCAAAGCATCGTACGATGACGAAGTGTAAACTCGCCCATCTGGGTTCTCCTTCGGTGGTGCGAGCAGGTCCTGGCCTGCCCTCGCCTGCACTGGCAGGTCGGTGAAGCTGGTGTAGATGCCGTCCGTCATGTGGAGCAGAACGCAGTTCTGGGGCAGCGGATGTCTGCAGCTGCCCAACGTCTTTCCGATGAACTGCAGCGATCCGAGGGAGACGGTGTAGTCGATTAAGAACTGCCAAGCCCGCATGATTTCGCTCTTTGCCCACACCTTGACGGTCAGCTTGTCGAGTCGAGTGACACGAGGCCCACAAGGTGCTAGGTCGAAGAACTTGAAGTTGGGGTTCATGGCCTTCTCGGCGACCTCAGATATGTATACCGGGTCGTCCTGTCCCTCGACATGCAGCGTGAAGAATGTGTCGGCCATCCGGCCTGCTGTGATATCCTCGAGCCGCTTCTGACGAGCCAACGGACTGGCATTGGCCCATTCCAGCGTCGACCGCCGGCGCATACCCTTAGTAGGCCTGACCGGTCTTGTGGGCGTCGTTGGCTTACGCAGACTGCCATCGTCGAACCGGTCTTCGTCTTCGAAGCTGTTCAGGTCGGTCGATGATCGCGAATGAGTCAGGGACCTGCTTCCTCGCAGTGCCAGTGTCTTAGTTGGCGACTTGAGGGTGCTCGGTAATGCCTCGTCGTCGATGGTCTTCCCTCGACATCTCGGAGGCGCAGGTGTCAAGGTGAGGTTGCGGATAGTGATGCCCTGGAGGTGCCTGAGCTTGCGATTCTGCCCAGGGTCAGCTGAGGGATGGTAGAGAGCAGTGCAGCACACACATAGGGCAGCAACCAGGGCCGCTCGCGCGGTGGAGGGGGCAGCTCCGGCTGAGCGCGCTGGGCCATGGCGGTAGCAATAGAGGCGCACGAGTGTTCAGCCGCCCTTGATCGATGCGTATCTCGGGGCAGGTGCTGTCGCAGGCGCAATGCGGGTCGCTCTCTCACACCTCATGGTCGGGTCGCGAGGATGCGTGCACGATGCGCGCGCTCGCGTTCGGGGAAGAGCAGGTCGACCGCCGCGGAAAAAGTGGGTCCGGTTGCAGTTGAACTTTTGAACATGGCGAAAGACAACTACCCCATCGTCACTGCCGCCCATTGGCACCCACGCATCCGCTGCCATGCCCCGCAACCTCGCCCGCCTGCGGTACAGGCTGCCGCCCGCGCCCGTGTCGTTTGAGGGCATCGACCCCGGCCGGGCTCGCGTGCTGGAGAAGAAGGTCGCCCAGTATGTGGTGCGCCAGTCGAACCCGCGCCACGTCAAGCTCCAGACGGTCGTGAACGCCAAAGCGAAGCCCCTCGCGACGGGCAAGACGGCGGTCAGGCCCATCAAGCCGTACACGCTGCGGGACGTTGTCGACCCCGAGGGCTCCGCGCGCCACGGCCAGATCATCTACGTCTTCCGGAGCATCAAGACCAACCAGATCATCTACTCGCTGCAGGAGCTGCTGGACGTATGCGCGACATGCTCCGCCAGACACTCGTCTGCGTGCTAACAGCTCACAGAACCACCACCTCGCCCAGCTGCCCTTCATTGGCAAGCACTCGGTCCCCGCCCAGCTGCGCCCGGACGAATGGACTCCACACTGCGTCATCACCTTCGCGACCCCCGAGCAAGGCCACAACGCCTTCCGCAAACTCCGCGAGTTCCGCAGGCTGCACGAAGTGTCCTGGGAGAAGACGAACCCCGGGTGGAAGCAGCTGAAGATCGAGCAGCGCATCAAGAAGATCATGGACCAGCGCGCAAACATGAGCGCAGACTTGGCCGAGGTTCTGCGGATACAGGACACACACGGCGCAGCCATGGCCACTGCGCTCGAGGAGCAGCAGCAGAAGGCGTCCGAGTTCATGGACAAGAAATGGGCCTCCATCGACTCTGTCGCAAATGCTGCCGTTACCAAGGAGAACAGCGCAAGCAGTGTGAGCTGGCTGGAGCATGAGATCAGGCGCCTCACACAGAAGCTCAAGATGAAGCACATGCAGAAGGACGCTGACCAAAAGGCGCTCGAGGCCGCCCGCTCCAGCCACGAGACCCGCCTCAAGCGCGTGCAATACGCATTGCGAAAGGGCGAGCAGTTCAGGAAGATCCAAGAAGAGCTCGCCGTCAAAGCTGGGCCTGCAAACGAACCCGGAGCCGAGGAGAAACTCGCCGAACTGCACCAAAAAGTCGCCGTGCTCCGCCAAGCACTCGAGAATCCCGACCCTACCCACTCCCAGGAACATCTCCATGTCGACGCGGACCTGCTCGAGCGTCACACCGCCGATATTGCGTCCCTCGAGGAGGCGTTCGAGGCCAAGAAGCAAGTCGATTCCCGCGACCACTACATTGCCCGCTCCGTCCTGCCGCAGCATCTGAAGAAGACCTTGCCCACACCGTACACCCTTGACGGCGTAAATGTCATGTGGGCAGACATGCAAGATGCTTTGTACGCCGCTGGTTCGTGGCCCGAGGCCATTGCACACGAGACTCTCGCCATCAACAGGATACGCGACGCAACCGCGTATCTGTCCGCCGAGGAGTTTGAGATCGAGAAGAGGAACGAGGTTAGCAGTATCTTGAGCGCGCTGAGACCGGAGGCAGAGACCGAGGAGGATAAGGCGCACATGTATACTAGGCTCGAGGAGCCGGTGGAGCAGAAGACGGGTGTGTTGGGCATGCTTGGTAAAGCGAACCCTTTCAAGAAGGCGAGTGCGTAATGCGGGTGTAAGAAACGTGTAGGAGGATTTGCTGTACCATATTGCATAGTATCTACGTGAGCGCACGTGTTGGACGGTAGTGTACAATACCACTTCTGTTCTTCCACACATGCATCATTGGCAATCGCGTTTCCAAGCATGGTAGGCTCCGGTCTTGCCTTTGAGCAGTTGACTGCTTCTGTTGGCAAATCCTGCGTTGACAATAAACAAGGGAATCTTGAGGAAAGCACATTCGGTTGCACGTGTCAGTCTTGGCAGAAATCCCTTGGAAAAGAAGACTGCACATGAGCACAATTGGGGTCCATTGCACTAACTTTTGCGATACCGAGCCTTCGCCATGAACAGATGTAGCTATGTCTTCAGAATACGACCGTTGCAGGAGCGGAAGATGACGATATTGGAAGGTGCTCAAGGGCAAAGTGCACACCTGTCTGGGCGCCATGGATGTTTTTTTAGACGAAAAGTCTGCTCAGTCTGCAGAGGGGCAGGCATTCAGAGCAGCAGCGACCATTTCGAGATAGGTTGAGAGAACCAGGGAGAGGAGAACATAGCGCATCGCGGCGTGACTTTTGGAAGGAGGGGCTTTCCATCGGAGAGTGACGGGGCACACCCAGCGATGGTTTCGAAGTTTTGATACTGACGGAAAGAAAAAAGTGCCAGACATGTTCGTCTCTGGATAGACTTTTGACGAAGAACGTCGAAGATGACGAATTAAAACAACACATAGTTCCATATGGTCGCCAGTTGCGAAGATCGGATCCGTGGAGAGGACGGATAAACAGAAATGATAGTGCAACGACAGGTTTTAGATACTGTCTCAAATGACACTTTTGTCGACGCAAGAAATCTAGCAAGGTTTTCTTGATCTTCGCATCCGTGAGAATGTTCCAAGCACAGGGAAGAGACAGTCATGGCTCATCTGCCCAGACATGCGCTTGACGGGCGGGGCTTCATCGAGAGATGAGAAATATATGCTTACAGAAGAAGGGAGACAGGGAAAGTGTGCACAGCATTCATACTCATTGGAAGACTGCGTGCCTGTAAAATGCACGCCCCAGTCACCAAATCAAAGTAATGTATCCGTTGCTCATATGTTTGAATGCGCAAGCGTAGCTTTATCTGAGATGGAGCCAGCTTGTAGCTTACGCTTTCGTCGTTACTACCTGTGTCGGAGGGCACAAGCAGGAACATCGCTTTGGTGACCTGGATGTCCGACCGTACTAAGAACGTTATAATTTCGAAGCTTTCTAGATAACTAAAAGGACACAGGACAGTTAAAAGTGTACATTCTGTCGCGGTCAGAAAGGACAACCTTCTTAACCCTAGAGTTCAGAAGGCTTTATACAACGTTACTCATTCAATCTTTGAGAAAGTGCGAGGCACATCACCGTGCTTGCGCTTGATTTTGATGATGTAGAGACGACTAGAATGAATAGCTAATGTAATGTTTCTGATGTTAAATTTGCCAGGAGCAGAAGGAAAAGCGACAGACCATGGAGTGCGCAAAGTTTGCTTTCGGTGCTGAGCACAGAGAGAAAAAATATAGCCCGATAGAGCTCATGTTCTCCATATTGAATAAAGTAGTCGTTGCAGAGGAAGCGCTGTTGCAGCAGGGTACAAGGCTTTATACTACGTTGTGGTATTGCTATCGTTATGCTGAAGAAACAGCACAACATACTCTGGTCATCAACAACGTTGGAGTTCACATTAAAGCAGTATTCGCATCTTTAGGACAGATGTCGAACGCAAATCCATATTGTCATCATTCCAATCAGTTCTTGAAGCAGACCATCAAGACTAACTATTCGAAATTCAGAACAATAGTGAAGCCACACGCGTCCAGTCAAACACATACATTTGCCACATCAGTGCTTTGAGCGTAACTTGCGCGTCACGCCAAATTCCGACAATGGTTTTTGAGTCTTCCATAGGGAAAATCATGATGAAGTATTGGAGAGATTTTTACGTGCACCGACAGAGCAAGCAACAAGCATAAGACGGTTTTTCGCCTCTTTAGGAGATGCGGAGGTTTGTGGTATCTGATTGAGGAAAGTACGTCAGGAGATAGGAGTGTTTATTTCTTGTGGTGTCCGATTCCGAGCGTTGCCAGGCATGATGAGAATGAGGGTATGCTTTGGATTTGCAGATACGGACGTGGTGGTCTCAAGTAGGCGAGCAGCGGGCATGGATTCATGCGGATTTGGCTTTGGTCGAGCTGAGAACAGCATAGTGCTGATGACGAGTGGTTTGTGGGTATGAGAGTGGAAAGACATCACCAACCAAACACGTAAACCCGCCTTTCAAGCATTTCAGCAGACTCATCATCTTTGACTAAAGGTACTCCAAGAGTAGCAGAACCTTTGTTAATAACGTCCATTTGGAGATAGCGTCGGTGTTTTGGTTGGAAAGGGGCTCGCGAGGCAGAGAGAGAGAATATGTACTTGTCCAATTCATAGTTTGATGACGTGGTGGGAGAGCGCATGTCCAGACGTTCTGGGCATGAGGAAAGGAGAGTCGCTTTTGGTGTGATGAGATCGGCGTAGGAGGGCGCAAAGAACATGGGAAGAATTCGATGACTTTTTTTTAAAAAAAAAGTAGATGGCGGGAAATGATAAAGACAGGTACGAACTTGGAGCGAGCTTTTATACCTCCTGCCGAGAATTTGGAACTAGTTCATACAACATAACAAGACATAACCAGAAGAAGGCGCAACGTGACCTGACCAACACCTCAAATGCAAGCAGACCACCAGCCTCTAGAACACCCAGTCAGGCCGTTATAGTACTCATACAACACTCTCTGGCTTCCTCATCCAGCAGCTCTCACTCTCGGCCCCGTACTCCTAGGATGCACGTTCCACTGCCCATACAATCCCGGCCCTCTCGCCACATCCGTCTTCTTCTTCCCCTTGCCAGCTTTATCCGCCTTCTTGTACACCTCCCTCCACAAGTCATCAACCGGCAGCAACTGCGCCATCTGTTGGTAGTGCTGCACGCTCTGGCTAATCTCTTCTGCCTCATCAATCTTGCTATCCATGTCCGAGGCCCGAGAGCGAGATTTGCACGTCTTCGGTGCTGTTGATGGTGTGGAGGGCTTGAGCAGCTTCAGCGCCTCCCTCAACTCTTTGTCATCAGACGAGATCTGCGCCTTGAGATACGCAAGCGACTCGGGGCTTGTCAGGTCAGCGCCACCGAGAGTCGCCATCACGGGTATGCGGGGTGTGTAATCGTACAAGTCCGGCCGCGGGGGATCTTTAGGCACAATCTTCGGATCGAGCTTCGCTTCTGCACCTTTGTCCAGCAGAGCCATGATGTCGAGACTCTCGCCGTGGGGGATCGGTGTACTATGCGAGGGCGTGACGCAGTCCATATCCACTTCTTTGCGAAGAACGTGATCGATGTCGACGGCGGAGAAGTACGCGCAGGATTGCGGGAGCTCGTTGATGCCCATCTGTTGCGCGAACATGGCGCGCGTCCAGAGATTGGCTATTTGCATGGCCATGGCTGCGCGGTACTTGTCGGCTTCCTTGACGAGGTACCGGATCTCATCGTGCACGGTGATAGCGAGACGGGCGTCGATGTTGTAACGGCGCGCGAGGTACTCCATGCCGATGATGAGCAAGTGGAGATAATCGACACCCGAAGATTGGATAGCCCAGTTGATGCGAGAAGTCATAAAGCCGCCCTTTGTCAGGTAGCGGCGCTGGAGGGCTTCGGTGATGGCGGCACCGAGGACGGGGGTACGCGGGCGCTCTTGCTCGGCGAAGTCTTCGAGCTTGTTGAAGACGAAGGACTCTGTGCCGCCGCGCCAAAAGGGGCGCTCATGCAGCTGTTTTCTTGTTGTTTTCTTGCCCTTGGTATTCTGGTAAAGGTCATTTGCAGTGTTGCTCGTTTGCGCGTCGGTGAGACCAGGATTGAACTGGCGGAGCAGGGTTGCTGCAAACTTCAGACCAGCGCCGTAGATGCGTCCGTAGTTGAAGACCTTGGCGTCGTTACGCGATATACCCAGAATGCTAGCAGTGCGCGAGTGCAAGTCTGTACCAGCGGCTTTGGTGCCTTCAAGTGTCATGAAACCAATGGCGTTGCCACCGTGGAGTTGGAAGGTAGCATCACCAACCAAACTGGCGATCCAAAGTTCTTCCGAGTCGACATCAGCGCCGACGAAGCAGTAGCCTTGTGGCGCTCTGACCATGGATTTGAGCTCAGAGCCTACGCGGTTCTTTTTAGCATTGCTGGCCGTGAGCCAAGTGTTTTCGACTGCTCGACGTGTGATGGTACCCATTGGTATGAGTTGGGGCAGAATGAAACCGACCTTCTTCCCTCGGCCTTTACCAGATGACGATGTGAGCTTCGGTGTGTTTGGTACTTCGTTGCTGTAGACAGCCATCTGCGACATGATCCTGTCCCTCGCGCTGATCCAGTACGAGCATGAAGCGTTCATCTCCAGGGCTTCTTTAGCGTACGCGTACTCGGAAGTTAGCTTCCCTTTCTCAAAGTACTGAAGATAGCCTTTTGCAAGAGGGTTCGTGCAGCGTGCCTGCGGCCCATCCTTGTGTGGGATCTTGTAGTAGACGTGCTGTCTGTCATCACGCAGCTTCAGGTTCTCTTCTTCCATCATATCGAGCTCTTTGATGCCTTTTTCGTTGTAGGCAAACACCTCGTCCATAGGTACTTGGTACGTCCAACCATATACATCTGACCAGACTAATGGGTTTCCTTCCCATGAAAGCCGCAGTAGGATGGGAGCGACACGCGTACGTATCGTTAGTGTCATAGGTGCATCATTTTTCGCAAACAGGTCCTTGTACCATTGTGGCATACCTGGCTTCTTCTGCCTTGCGGCAGGCCTCGGTGGATCGCCTTTTTTCTTCCCTTTCACCATCTTCACCTCTTGCCCGGACCAGTCCAGCTGGCTCAGCCAAGGATCATTATTGTACACTTCGGGCTGATCCTTCACCTCGAGAGCCTTATCTGCAAGAGTAACGAGGCGTTCTCTTACAGCAGTGCTGAGCTTCTGATATGTTGCTTCGGCGTTGTTGATGTAGGCGTCCCAGGTCTCGTTCACTGGCAAAATCTCGGCCGCCATGAATCGCAGCGCAGCGAAGCTGACTGGATGGGGACATGTTTCGATGAACAGTGGAAAGACCTTCTGGTAGACACGGTGTGTAATCTCCACGTCTGCAGCGCAGTAGTCTAGTAATTCATCCAGCTTCTCACGGATGCCGGCCCTGTCCAGCTCGCCGAAGTACTCTCGCTGAGCTTTGTCGATGGTGATGTTACAATGGAATTTGGCTACATCTCGTAGCGAGTTGACCGCACTCCGCCCGATCCATAGCTCCTCCTCTTCGTCTGGTATGGCACCCGAGTCAAGTAACGTCGACAACTCTGCATTTTCTTCAGACGTAGCAATTTTATCCCTCAGATCTCGACTCTTCTTGTGCTTCATCCATGATGGCCGTTGCCGCGAGCACATACCGTTCGACGCAACGTGCAGTGACATGGTGTCGATGAACGAGTTCTTCGATTGTCGAATGTCATATTCTTCCGCTATCCGGGCACGATCGTAGCCGATATTGTGTCCTATGACAATGCGCGGTACTGCAGGGTCTCCCAGAGGGATCAGGTGGCGGTCTGATTTGGACTCTCCCAGCAGCCAGGGCGATATCCAGCCATACCACGCAGTCGGGCTGACAGCGCAGGCCATGCACGCGAACGAAGTCTCCTTGTACATGACCTCGGTGTCGAAGGTCAGCATAGTCTCATTTGGCGCATCGACTGCTTCGGTGGTCCCGTCGCTGTAGTATTTGGTCCACCCACTCTGCCTCACCCACTTCCGCGGTTTTGGTGGAGGGTTCGCCCAGGCCAGCCTCTTCGCCAAGCTCAAGTATGGCTCGGCAGCGTCCAGGCCCAGCTTGTGGAAGTGCTCGTCCAGCGTTGCGCCCTGCAGTTCTGGCAGGTCGAAGGCAACGGGCGGGGTCGAGTCCTGGTTCTTGCCGAGCAGGCCATGACGGGTGAGGTGATCGCGCGAGAGGGCGACGAGTTCAGGCGGCGGCTGGGTGCCTTTGCCGGGGAAGACTTGGGCGTGGACATGGCTGGAGAGGTGCTGCACCCCTATCTCGCTGAAGCGGGCCTCGGAGGGGACTGCTCGGTGTCAGGGGACGTTGTTGCATAGTCGCAAGAATGCGTACCATTCAGGCTCCGCGCTCTTGTCTTGCTGCCCGCTGCATCCGTGGGCGACTGCTGTGTGGTGGCGCATCGTCGCGATGCACTCTGGTAGGCGGCGTGCGGCGGCAGCGCTCCCTTCTCTCTTCTCACAGCTCGCGCTCGCGGCGCAGCATTCGCAAGGGGTCGGCAGGAGCTGCAGCGCATGGTCGCGTCAGGCAGCGGCACGTTACTGCATCTCGTCTCTCATGCGCAGAGTCGCAGACATTGGTAGCTCCTCGCGCTGTCGTCATCAAGCCGCGTCTAGCTCTCCATCTCTCCTGCGGAAATATTGACGAATCAGCTGCGGGCTGGCGGCATTCGTGTGCTGCAGCCCTACCCGCTGTCCCTGGCGGTCACACACCCACCAAGCTCGGACGCCTTCCTATCTTGACCGCATGTCGGTGGCCGACCGTGATTATACACAGATTTTTTCGTGCCTCCTGTTTACGTGACCCTTCTTTGTAATGTGCACTTGAACACCCCCTCGTCGAGGGCTTGCCTTGCCACCATGTCGGCCTCAGATTCGCCGCACGGCTACGGGTACCCACTCAACGCATATCACCCTGTGCAGGACTGGGACTTTGGCGCTGCTTTCCCTCCTGCTGAACCTTTTGACGCTGTCAACGACTCTCCCCGCTTCTTCGACAGCCTTCTCAACCCCACCATCGCCGACGACCCCGCTTTCGCCTACACCAACGCGGCGCCCTACAATATGTCGTCATCGCGCGCACAACCAGGCCGTCTATCGAACGGCTATGTCGACCTTACCTCACCGCATGTAGACTTGACTGCGCCAGACTCGCCGCCGCGACGAAGGAAGCGCGAGTCACCGACACCAGGACCATCCTCGAAGCGACAGAAGCGCGAAGATGGCGCCGGGGCCGAGGGCTCGAACAGCAAGTCCCCTGCGCAAATCGAAGAGATAGACTTGTCGCAAGACGACCCGGTTCTTGATGTCCTGCAGAAGCAGCGTGAGGATGCAATCAAGTCACAGACAAAGCCAGAAGAGACTGTCACAACTTTTAACACGTTCAATTGTGTCATCTGTATGGACCGTCCGACAGATCTCACGGCTACAGCGTGCGGTATGTTATCAGTGCTCACGCTTGAACGCGTCAAGACTGACTGATGGCAGGCCACTTGTTCTGCCACACATGCCTAATGGAAGCCCTTATCGCCGGCGAGAACCGTACCGGACCCGGCGAACCCAAGCGATCGCAATGTCCTGTCTGTCGAGCTCGCATCAGCCGTTCCAGGGCCAGCGACATCGTTCCTCTCCTGCTGAAGAAGGGCTTAGCCACGCAGCCACGAAGGAAGCCTGATGCTATACCTGCCGCTGCTGCTCCAAAGGCGCAGTGAAAACCAATGGCTTTGCGATGGATTTGCGCTGGATTTTGCTCTAGATTTTGCACTGGAGTATGCACTTGATTTTGGTTGATCGTTCACCCATCCTGGAACCTACTAAAGTTGCATAAGCCACTTCGAGGAAGCCGCAGACTGTACGAAAACGAGGTCGGCCACGCAAGCGCGCTGTCTAATGAGGAGGAACATCTTCGACGGAATGGAAGCTGCATCGAGTAGGATCTGTTGCATTACAGCGAGAGCATACAGCATGGGCGAACACTGGCGTTAGGGACGGTCCACACAGCAACTATACCTTTGTACTTCACTGACGAACGACCACGACGAAGCGCAGCCTTCGAAGGCAGTCTAGACTACTGCATGCAGGGTCCCACTCTACGATAATGACGTATACGACCATGACGTACTTGTGTACGAAATAATGAAAGAGCTCAACACCTTCCTATATGGTGTCCTGAAGCTCTGAAACCACCACCGCCATCACCACCACCACCACCACTATTACTCACCTTCGATAGATTTACCACAGCTACCCATATGTCCGATCCTAAGCTCACCTCTTCAATCGCCATCGTCGGCGCTGGCGACGTCGGCGCTACGATTGCTTACTCGCTCATCATGAACCCTGTCGCCGGCGATATCTTGATGATCGATCCTAAGGAAGAGGTCAGAGATGCACAAGTCCAAGATCTGTCAGACGCTACATTCCACGGCAACACAAGCACGCGCGTGCGAGCAGGAACACACAAGGAAGCCGGTCAATGCGACATCATTGTCTTCACCGCGGGCGCAAAACAGAAGAAAGGTACACCACACCTTTAACACGCTGTGTGCCGATAGCTAATTCCGACAAGGCGAATCCCGCACCGACCTAATCGGCCGCAACAAATCCATCCTCAAATCCGCTGTCTCAGACATGCAGCCCTTCGCAGACCACACCATCCTCCTCCTCGTCGCCAACCCCGTCGACGTAATTACCTACTTTGCGCAAGAATACTCCAACCTCCCCAAATCCCAGGTTATCGGCTCCGGCACCTTCCTCGACAGCGCGCGCCTGCGCGGGGTACTGGCTGCCAAAGCCGAAGTAGCCGCGTCAAGTATTGATGCGTACGTGCTTGGCGAGCACGGCGAAAGCCAGTTTGTCGCGTGGAGTGCGGCGAGTATTGGTGGTGTGCCGCTTGAGCAGGCGCTTCTGCCCGGCACCAAACTCGACAGAGATGGCATTGCGGAAGACACGAAGAACAAAGCGACGAACATCATTGAGAACAAGGGCGCGACGAACTACGGCATCGGTGGTGTGGCGGCGAGTATTTGCAAGAGTATCTTGTTTGATCAGAGGAACATCAGACCGGTCAGTCATTATCAGGAGGATTTGGGCGTGTGTTTGAGTATACCGGCGGTTATTGGTCGGAAGGGACTGGTGAGGACGATTGAGATGGGATTGAATGAGGAGGAGAAGGGGAAGCTAAAGAAGAGCGCAGAGGCGCTGAAGGGGATCATCGATGCATGAGCTGCATCGAACTGACTAAAGTCATGTCCACGAGCTCGTAGAGAAGCAGGCCAGTGAGCGTAATTCAAGACTTACATCTCGTGCTCACATATCACGTGCGATTGCTCATCAACGCATATTAAGACCCCCGATCTGCATTGCACCCTCTATTCTCTACCTCATTATACTTTTATCTTCGACCGAGAGGTTTTGCTGGAAAGCTTACGTCTGCCCTCTTTTCTTCTGTTCCCAAAAGCTCCATATCGAAAGTCAAAGCACGAGCTGCCCGTGGCCTGCCTGTCTTCTCTCCCAAGTCTTGTGGGAGAATGATCATGTTTCCGGAATGTTCTCTGCCAATCAGCTTTCCAACACCGATGACTGGTATGTTGTCTACGATTCTAGATTCACTCTGACACGGCAACTTTCGTGCCAAATGGAGATGTAAGAAGAGCCATGTCCAAACCTAAATGTGGCGGCGTGGGCCGCTGCGATATACTGATAGCTACGGTAAACAATAACGTAGGTCTATCGGGTCGATGGAAGACTGCGCTCAATTGCTATCTAGCTGGGAGATGACGACTATATACCTGGCCTCAGACCAGTGATCTGTTACACACTAGACTAGGGTAGACTGACAGTCAGACCTTGTATGGACCAACCGATACCGCAGCATTTAAGCACAGTTGTCAGAAGCCGGTATACTTGGTTTGATATGCTATTGTAAAGACGCATGACCAGACACATATATCTGCACGATCAGCCGTTCACGCTTGCTCTTGCAAAGCGACTTCGAATTCTCAAAATAGTATCCTCAGCATTGACATGTCTGAAATCCACCTCAGCAAATGTGTATAGAGTCTTCAAGAAGTACGGTACTGCACCACTGATATGTTCTACGACTGAATCCATCGAAGACTCCACGCCTTTCTGACATGTCACTCCCATCAAATCAAAGTTGAAACACTGAACTATCACATATTTGATCGGTCACGCCAGATTTTGCAGAGCTGGTCCATCCAATGGAAGAGGGATCAGTAGCACTGCCCCGAAACGTAGCTTCAAGACCTTGGATCTCGACCAGGTAATTGCGCGCATATATTCTGCAACTTCGGCGTGACTCGGATAGCCAAGGTTCGACTCTGTTGTCTGCACAATGTACGTGCGGTTGTCAATACTCAAAATAGATCTGAGCGAATTCGAAAATGTATAAAAACTCTCCTCCACCCCATGCTGCTCACCCTTATCCGTCTCATCTCCTACCAACTCGAATACACATCCAGCCTTTCACCCATTCCACCACCTTCTTTACCATTTTTCGCCAAAGCCATAACATCTTCATCACAATCACAATGTCTTCTTCAAACACTTATACCGCCATAACTTCTAGCATCTCAAAAGAGATCGCCACTACTCCCGCAACGAGCGTCACTTTCTTCGACAAGCCTACATGGGATAGAAAGCCCGCCTTCGAGCATTCTGAGCACGTCCAGGGGGAGTTCAACAATATTGGTGATAATTGGAGCGATGACGACTGGCCCACCCAGGAGGCCTTCAACGATTCCACGTCCCCTGCCACCCCCTCTTCTCATTCCGACTTCGTCCTTGAAAGTTCATGGGGCACCGGTCCTGCCGTAGAAATCCCCGCGTACCACACCCACTTCACAATCATAGACAGCATGGACCAACGAAGTGGGTACACCCACTATCTACTGGAGAGCAACCGTGGACTCCTCTTCCACGGCCACCATCCCACCGCCGGATTCGAAAAACTGAAAGCGATTGGTGGAGACGGAAGCGAGTTCGCTTCGCTACCAGACATGATTCCCGTTGCAGCTAATTCCTTATTTCCTCCTCGCCGGGGCTCCATGACGGATTTTCAAGGGGATAAAGACAGCAGGGAGGTGTATATGAAGAAACAGGCCCTCCTCATGCGGGATCAGTTTAAGAACGATCACCATGCCAGTTGTACGTGGCAAGAAGTGTCGCGGTGCGAGCGGATAAGCAAGGCCCCACACCCCAACCTCGCGCGCTATCTTGGCGTCGAGACGAGAAGTATCGGGGATGAGGCACGGGTGGTGGGGATTGCGTACCAAAGGTATACCATGGATATGCACAATTTCGTGCTTGTAAAGAGGTACTTGCAGCCCCATCACATTCCCTTCTTGATGCAGGGTATTGAAAAGGGGATGCACCATCTTCATGAACTGGGATTAGTCCACTGCGATCTCAGGCCTATGAATATCTTCGTTACTATTGAAGACCAAAAGGATGGGAATGGGCATGTTGTCTTGAAGGAAGTGGTTATTGGGGATTTTGATGCGAGTGTGGAGATTGGTAAGAAGGTGGCTTTGAAGAGAGCGAGTAAAGAATGGTGGCCGACGGAGACAGAGTGGGGCGTGAAGGCGGAAGAGTGGATTGATGAGTGGTGTCTTGAGAAGATGGGGAAGTGGTTGAAGGAGGATGGATTGGGGGTTTGGGGGTTTGGGGGTTCTTCGTCGCCAGAAGAGACTACTGATAATCTCGCGGACGAGATTCTTGCGGCGCTGCCTAATCACGGATGGTAGTATATACCGACTTCGTGCCTCCAGGGTTCTCAGCAACGTATGAGAAAAGCTTGTGAGGCGGAACGTATGCGGTAAAGAGGTGTAAATGTGTAGCTTTGGGCTCGCGTTGTGTTGCTCAATGGCTGCAAATACCTTCGCCTTGAGTTTCGCAATGCCATACCATTACTAATCTACTTCGCTGCGCCCTTTGTTGCTCGTACGATCCACAAAGGATCGAGGTGACCCATAAGCTGTCCAGCGGGAGATGGGGAGGTAACCGTTCCGTGATCGTCTGTAATCCTCTGCCCCTTCTCGTCTCGGGCGCAGAGATCCACAATCTCAACATTAATCCATCCAGAGAAGTGCAGGTAGTCTATTGACATGGTCAGCGACACTAAAAGTAGTTCACATGATGCTCACCTCCGACAAACTCCAACCTCGACTGCTCATTCAACATCATCCATCTCCTCACAATCTTGGTCGGGAAACATCGATTACTGATCGCCAAATGGATGCTCCCGCCCTCGTTCGTTGCTTCTAGCAAGTTCCTGCAGACTTCCAAAGGGTGGTTTAGATAGTCAATGCTCACCACACACGTGACCGCATCAAACTTCAAATCCTCTCCCGGCCACCCTGCCCTCGGGTCACTTGGTGTTTTGTTCAGATCCATAACCCTCCACATCGTCTCCCTTTGAAACAGCCTATTCATAGCCATCTCTTCCGCATTCAGCCCCACGCCAAAAACTTCCATATCACCCTTCTGCACCGCGCTCTTGATAGAAGACGGGTAGAAACTCTTCCAGCTCGTGCACATATCCAGGATCTTTCCCTTCATTGGCAGCACAGTGTCGTAATACGCAGTCAGTCTCTCGATGGCAGGATCATCGATGTGCGTTACGAGACGTGGCTGCCGGTAGAAGATACCATCGTCGTTCTCGTCTTGGCGCTGGAAGTCGTAGGCGTTATAGGGCCAGTTGTCGTACCGTGGTTTGTATGGTGTTGTTGGGAATGGTATTGAAGATGTGGATGTGGTTGAGCTCATGCTGGCTTCGGCGAAGAAGTTAGGCGGGAAGTTGTTGAAGATTGAGGAACACGTGCGACGCAGGAACGACCGCGTAATGGACGCTGGGCGTACGGAGCGCATAAGTAACATTGACTTGTAAGGACTGAAGGTCTGGGTGTACTTTCCGCAACGTCAAGCTACGCGTCACGGTGAAAGTTCGCCTCCTTTCGCGAGGTGATGATGTCATGACGAAACGCGCTTCCACGTGTGAACATGTGGAAGATGCGACTTCAACGACAACTTGCCTTCCCAGCAGGTTGACTTTGATAAATTTGGGAGAACGGTGTTGTATTGAGGTATTGAGAGAAGCTGCTATATAGAGACCGACGCTAGTGCTAGCACGTGATGGCCATTGGTGGATCCTTCACCTGTCCCTCTGACAGACGTATGGCAACTACATACACGGCAACTATGCTAACGCCTTAGCGAGAGGTGTAAAAGAGTTATCGATAATTTCGATTGCATGTGAACGGTTGTGAACTGTCCGAAAACCTCGTCCCGAAGATCGGAATTATTACCACGCATTTACAGTCAAGAGTGCTTTAAGCCTCATGCCGCATGGCTTTGCTAGGAAAAGCACACATTGACAGCAATATGGAAGACAACAAAGCTATTCTGCACATGCCACAAGGCCAGAGACGAGGTGAGTTGGTGTGATTCCACCAAGTTAGGTTTGACTCTTTCTCTAGGTGCTCGCGGCTCTTCAACATGTGGTGGATCATGTAACAGCCAACGAGCCCGACACTGTACAATACCTAGTCACAGTGCCCGTCGATAACGTCTCGGCAGTTGAGATCCATATCATTGGAGAGTACGTCAGCCTCCCTTGTTCCGGCGACGCGTACTAATCATGGTAGGTTCGCTTTACAAGCTGCATATGATGCACAACAAGCCTTGCAGTCCGTGAGAGACCTCGAAAGTCTACTTCAAGAAAATGGTATCCTTCCACATTGTCCAGAAATCCACACCGGTCCAGTCGCTATCAAGACGACATCTGGGCCTCCGCTGCTCTTGAGCTCAAATCCCGCCATCATACCGTGGGCATAGAGTAAAAAACAGGGACGTCCTCGAACCCGCTAACAGGATGGAAAGGCATGGCAGAAGGCGCAGTACAGAGCGTGCCGGGTGTAAATGTGTTCACAGTGGTAGAGGAGAAAGAGATGTATAGCATTAAGACGGTGGAAGTACTTGATTCATGGAAGAGTCTGAGTGTTTTGGTGAAGACAGATGCCACTGAAAAGGAATATCGAGCACAATAGCAAAGACAGAACGGGTGTGAAGAGTGCTATCAAAGTGCGCGCTGTTGCTTGGTTTTTTGGACGCTAAAGTCGTCCCAGATCAAATGTATGAAACTCAACTGATCATCTCGACAACATGCCGTTCCAGTCACTGTCCATGTTCGTGCTGGGGATCCACATCTCGAGTCGGACAGCGAACCCACCACGACCGTTGCGACACAAGCCAGTAATCGTTCTGTAATGCCCGTTTCGATGTTTCCAAAAGTCGCCGAGGTTCTCGCGTGTTACCCGGTGTACGCCCATCTTTTGCGTATCGTGGCGTGACCAGTAGAACCAACCGATCTGGCGGCGCTCCTGTGTTGTGCGTCAGCCGCAGTCCGATCAACACCATACTCAAGGAAACGCACTATGGGAACTGTTCCACCATATGTATGATAACCATGGAGGAAGACAGAAAACAATATTCAGCGAGAAGTCGGTACGTTCAGCCAAGCCAGCCCTTGCCGTATATCTCTCCCATCACCACTGCAGCAACTCAGCTTTCGCGGGCAGCTTGGTCCAGAGTACATACGTGGTCCCGCCTGCTGCATGACTTGTGTCCAATGGATTTGGTGTGCGACACGATGATGGTGTGTCGGCAAAAGAGAGCCTACTGTGAGCCAACCACGTGTTGTGATGACCTTAAGGAAGTTCAGTATAGGGCCCGCCACAACATCAACCGCCACACTTGCTTGGACATTGCGATCCACACACTGCATGTACCAGTGCCGCCCTGAGCAGCAGAGATGTAAACGGAATCGAATCTTACCTTATTCCAGGGGAGCTCGTTCCTGGTAAGCCCTTCGTTGAACTCATCACCGTATCCTTCCGCTGCTACATCGACGATCCTGCCAAACAAGTCGTCCCTACCCATACTCTTGTCATAGGTACCAAGTTCGGAGTGACTTAAGGTTTGCAGTATGCCTCGCAACCACACTCCCTTTATATCGTTGTCCCATATGCGCTCGTCGCACCACTGGTAGAGCGCAGAATAGTTCCAAGTGTCACTCTGTGAGCTCCATCTGTAGGCACTACGTAAGGTGTCGTACACGATAGATCGATCGCAGCCTGCCTCCGTAACGGCGAAGCGCACAGTTTCTAGTGTTGGCGGTCTGCCGAGTCGACGATTGTGGTTGATGAGCTCTACTGCTCCGAGATTTTTCTCCAGAAAAGCTTGCCGTCTGCCTTCAGTAGCGATCTGACGTGTATCCGGATCTCGCCAATCGACCGTCATACTTGAGGTCCAAAGTAGAAAGCGGAGAAACTGTACCTTGTCCGAAGTCCAGGGTGCAGCGAGAAGCTTCTTAGGGAGTCGACAACGAATGAAGGCGAGTCGCGGCAAATGACTGCGTGAGAAGATCATGGATGTTGCGTCTTCGAAGTTTGGAGGCCATTGAGCGTCAAAACACCCATCATCTGGTGTCAGGCCGCATAAGCACCCGTTGCCTCCATATGTCTTAATGATCCAACTTTTGAAAAAAGACCAAGTCATCCACTTGCTGGCGAAGATGGCTGTCTGTGCGGCAGAGCGAATGACGTGGTCATCACAGCCATCGTTGAAGTAGTAGTCGCACGTGTTATGATAGACGTAGTCGCTCGAAAGACGCGTGCCTAGGATACCGGAGGCTTGAGCCAGAGCGACATTGTAGCCGGAAAACGCAAAGATAGGCTGCAGCAATTCGACTGGTAAGCGTTCAATTGCTGCCATAGTCATTCTGATGGTCTCTGCCCGTAGTGATGTCAGGACTTCCAGGTCGATGCAAGTACTGTGATGGCTGCCTAAGTGCTGTAGAGATGCAGGTGGACCAGCCTGGAGCCGGCCATGTGTTGATCTGGTAGGAGTGAAGTTGAAGGAAAGAGGCAGAATTGAGGCTCTGCCCCTCCCGTGCGAAGGGATGCCACGCCGTGTCGGAATGAACGCCTAACATGCGAACGTGGTGTCAGCGGCAGCGTGACCTCGGTCGAGATTACCCCACTGCGTCTACACACGCTAGTGAGACCCACTTTGGCTAGCGTCAGGAACGAACGGAAAGTTCAACCGGGCCCACCTTCGTTCATGATGGTTTATCCAACGGACCAATCACGATCAACATTGAAATGGTCACAGATCGACTTTACGCGCCTGCTGCGCGATGAGTAGAGTAGACAACACGTATTGCTTCCGTTGAAAGTACGTACAGAGTCATGTACTGGCGACCTCCACACTTGCCGCGGACTGCTGCAGATCGTGCACGATACCGGTCCGAAGTTGGGACAGTGTCGGCGTGTTGCTGCTAGCACGTGCCGCGATCAAGCTCTACGTCTTCACTCTGCTCATCTCAAATTCCATATCTTTGTCACGGCTCGACTAACAAAGCTCGGAAGCTTCAGTAACAGAACGTTGGGCGCGCCGCCGACACCAAAGGACTCCCAACATGCAAATCATCATAGTAGGTGCTGGTCTAGCAGGCCTCTCAACAGCTCTCGCCCTGTCCCATTCCTCAACAACACACCTGATCATCCTTCTCGAATCCGCCTTGGCCCTAGCAGAGATCGGTGCGGGCGTCCAACTCACTCCCATCGCGACCCGGCAATTCAAAGCATGGAATCTTGAACCTCAACTCCTAGCCGCCTCCGCTCTGCCAAAGGCATGGAACCTACGTCGTGGATCGGATGGAAAGGTGCTGAATCGAGTACCGATGGACAAGTTCGAAGAGTGGTACGGCGCACCATATGTGGTCGTGCATCGCGCAGATCTTCATCGGATTCTGCATGAAGCGGTCGTAGCGAGGGGTGTCGAAGTGCGCCTGGACAGCCGCGTAGAACAGTATGGGGTTGAAGAAGGCTGGGTAAGATTATTGAACGGAGAGAAGCTGGAGGGTGATTTGGTGGTGGCCTGCGATGGGATCAATAGCTCAGCTCGAACGCAGTTGCTGAAGAGCTCAGGAAGCCACATGAACCCAGAGAAAGAGCTGGAAGCGACAGGGTGGGCTGCGTACAGACTTATGGCGGACGTGGAGGATGTTAAGAACAACCCATTGACGAAAGAAATTGTGGGTGAGCATGCTGGAAACTGCTGGTAGATTTCCTTTTCCATGGGTTCATTCAGTTGACAAGCTGACAACGTCCAGGGCGGACACAAACAGATCAGTAATGACATACATGATCCGCGACTCTGGCAAACTCAACCTCGTCTTGTCCCATCCTGATGATGTCGATACCAGCACTTGGACACGCGAACAGTATCTCACCGAGATTCAACGCTTCTATGGAGATATGGACCCACATGTACTCTGCCTCATCGGCCTCAGCACTGGACCTATCACCAATTGGCCTGTCCGTCAAATTGCCAAACTTCCCACTTGGATGTCAGGAAAGGGGAAATTTGTGCTTATTGGGGATGCAGCACACGCCATGGCCTTCTATCTTTCTATGGGCGTCTCGCTTGCGATCGAGGATGCTGCGGCGCTTGCTACGGCTTTGGATCTGCATACGTCGAATCCAAAGGGCCTGTCATTAGCAAAAGCGATGAGACTATTCGAGAAAGTGAGAAAACCACGGGCCGAGAGAATACGAGATGCAAGTTTGCATGCGGGGGCAATGCTGCATCTCCCACCAGGGTCAGAGAGGGGTTTGCGGGATGAGTCCGCAAGAAATGACGCCGCAGTGACTAAGGCACAGGTAGGCGATGTGTTACTGAACTGGATCAGTTATGGTATCACGGATGAGAGGATTAGAACGGAGTGTTATGGGTATGATGTTGTTACTGAGATGCGCCGGCAAGCTCAAGAAGATGGGCTATTGCTTACGCAGATCTGATGGGACGTCAATACGCCTCCAACTGTCCCCAGTGCTAGCTCTCCATCTACCATACCACCACCTTCAAGAATCCCTTGAAGCTGATCGGATATCCAGCACTGTCATCTTCACTATCAGGCAGCCCCAAAAGTTTAACCTCATAATAATCCCTTGTACTTGTTCCATCGGCCCCACACACCGCGTCCTGGTACCTAAACCCCCACGTCGTCTGATTTCCCCACCCAAGATACACACCCTCTTGATCCTGTCCATCAATCGCATGCTTGTACAGCTCCGGTACCAGCGTTGTCTTGTTCTCAGACGGATTGATCAAAATATGCCCATTGTTTTTGTCGCGGCAGATGCGCAGGGTATCCTGCGCCTGGACACCCAACCTCGCTATGCCATCTCTGCAGCGAACGGGCGCACGAGCAAAGCTGCGCGATGCGCGCAGATCGACGGCGAGAAGAGGTAGTACCTTGGAAGGGAAGACAATGTCGAACTGTTGAGCGAGAAGGCCGTTGATAGCTTCGTCTTCGGCACTGTCCACGACGAGCATCAGGGTACCGGTGATGTCAGCGGCTGGTGTGTTGATCCATGAAGGCCAGTAGACGCAGTTGTCGGTGCTGCCGAGTTGGCGAGGAACGACGTCAGGAATTGCGGCTGCAATGACGATGAAGCTCGCGGCGGCGAGGCCTGCACACAATTTCATCGTGAGTGGTCTAGCGATCAAATGACAAGACTTTTCAATGCTGGGTGACAGTGTGCAGCATATTACGATAGAATGTGTGTGACTGCACAGGGAAAATGGGGTATCGCAAAGCCTTTTAAAGAAACGAAATCTATAGCCTAAAGTCTTACTGCTTCCTATTTTCTGTAAAGCATCGAGCAACGGAGAAAAAAGAAAAAAAAAGGATGCTAATCCCGGTCACCGGTCCGTTAAAATAATATGTTATGGCTCGGAACAGTATGCACCTTCCCTGTTTGGATCAATATCACCGGGAGTATGTTACCAGTCTGCGGGCCTATGCTTGAGTAGCTGCGAGTTGTGGCACCCTAAGATTACATCCGTTTTGCCAAATACCTTGTCGCATATACAAGCTAGTCTAAGTACACAAGGTTCTGCTCCTATCACCCATCCTTCAAGTTCTAAGCACCAGCCTTCTCCGACTTCTTCGCCAGAACCAAAGTCTCACGAACCCGGTCGAGCCACTTGTTCATGCGCCAACCCATGGCTTGTAACATGACAAGGTCAATAGTAGGATCCGGATGAGGTCGGTGAAAGTTGATGCTTCCTTCACCGTTGCGGTTCTCAAAGCGAGCGATTGTCTCTTCACCGTTCCTAGCTGTGAAGCGCGCCCTATTCATGCTGTTGACGGAGGAGGTCCAATCGACGCTCTTCTGGTGCTCTTCCAAGGTGCTGGGGAACATACAGCGGAGCGCAGCGTAAGGGCTTTTGGACAGTTGGATGGCCGTGACAGTGAGGGATGAAACTTCGGGTGTCTCTGCAATCTGCTTGGGTTCTTCAACTTGCGGGACTCCGCGGGTCTTCGACTTCGTCTTGACTTCCCGTGGGATGTCAGGCTTGCCCAAGGTAGTGCATGCGCTTGGAATGTCTTGAGAGCTTTGACCGTAGTGGCAGTATCTGGAGTATGCCATTTTTTGGCGGTCTTTGACGCTCGCCAGAGGAGACGATCTTCGCTTTCATTGCAGTCTGCTGTGGTGCGGATCGTGTTGCGAGGGCAATGCATGCAAACAGACCAGAGTAACTCTAACAAAGTTGCATAGTCCGGCCGATTCTCGTTAAGATCTCGTCCAGAAGTGCACGCTCTTCGGGAGTGGCATCCGCAAGGTGACGATCAAGCATGTCCAGCAACATTGCATAGCGAAAGCAAGTATGGCTGTCAGGCTCACTTTGCAGCTGCAGTCCGATCCACCAAAGCCTCTGCTCTCGATAGATCATAGCATTGCCCTCATCCTCATCCGCAGCGAACCTCTTGAACTGGTAGGTGCTGTCGTAAATGCCCTTTGCGTTCAATGTGATTCCGTACACATAGTTCTCGCGGAAACCGATAATAGTCTAGAGTTATTGCAATCACTCGTGAATGGCATTGACAGGTACCAACTCGAACGCACCGAGCGCTTGATCGACCTTTTTGGGAAGAGCCTCTCCTGGAGCGATCGAGTCTCGATAACGGTGGTACAGTTCCTGAAAGTGCTTGGACTCTAGCAAAGTGCCGCGCCAGAACCAATGAGTGTTGACGTCCTCCACGATCTCCCAGTTGATAATGGTGATCGCAATATGCTTCTGACGAGCTGATTCCACGGTCTGCATCTGATACAGCTTTCGCATGCAGCGTCGGAAGTAGGGTGCCTCGGTCTGAAGAAGCCCCAGGTGATCGCAAGTGGCGGTAACCCTGGCTCTTAACAGAGCTACCAGAGCGTCGACGTCGAAGTGAGGAGGGCCTGTGAATGGCGTCTGCTACGGCATCGCCGGCTATCTTTAAGCTACTGTCGATATTGCCAGTCCACCGAGCGCAACCCGAAGCTGTCGACCCGTCCAGTTGCACACCTGCAAGTAGCTGCTCAACAACTCGTTGAAGGAAGGTCAAGAGTGTGGCCTGCGCCTCGAGCAATAGTCTATCACGAGGGAACCCGACCAGGTCAAATCGATGGGCAGGTTCTTGTTGCTAATTGGTGTACGTGCCGTAGCGCGGGCCAAACATGATGACAGCACCTTCGTTGAAGACAACGTCTAACACACCTAGGCCCCATGGGCTTCAGAGCTGCTCATGGTCACAAGGTGCCCAATCCACCTGTGCGTCTTTTGCGCGGGTGTGTATTAGGCCCAAAAGAGTTGCAGAGTTCCTGGTTAGAGCGTCCACGTCCAGATATGGCAGGAGAAGGTATTTGCGATAGGCGGAAAAGCTTCGCCCATCCCGCCAAGGTATACCAGCGCACTGTATGTCGGCACCATCTCCTTTCCTTGCCGATAGGTCAGGCCCCGAAAAGTGTAGCAACGCAGCGCGCTTCTTTGAGGTGCGCTTCCTCCAGCGATCAAGGAGTAGATCGTCATGCTGTTGTATAGACCGACGCAGATATGCTCGGGCTGAATCGATATCGTTAGTGTAGTTTGCAATCCTTGTCTACGCTTGTTCGTCCGTAAAGACTTCAGCTTAGTGGAAACGATTAAACTTCTGCTGCTCAAGCGTATAATAGTACGTTTCGCAGTCTGCACATTCACAAGGTGGCGGGCAAAATGGTATCTTCGTCGCAATTGTACCTGTCGCTGAAGCTGCCCAGACAGGTGCAGCCTCGTCGCCTTGAGGTAAGCAAAAGCTTGTGCACGGAAAAGGCAAGAAGACGTCTCCATTCTTCGGTTTCTTCGACTTGCTGATGTCGGAAAGCGCCTGCTCTTGTTTTGCATCCAGCTGTGCAAGATACTCCAGTGCCTTCCAGTATGAAATGAAACGAGCGATGTTGCGGTGTCCTCGGCGGTACATCCCACCTCCACACATGAGTCCTGACAGACGTTTGACTGTGCCTCCCAAAAACAAATTGCAAGGTCTCGTGAAGTCGGTGAGGTTATCCAGCCAGGTCTTGTTGCGTGCGCCGACGGGTACCGTTGATGCGCGGAATGATCTGAGTGCCTTGATCGCGGCGTCGGTCATGTAGCGGAGTGGCTTGGTATCGTCTTTGACAAGTCTTGATCGTGTCGCCTCGGTGCGCTGCTGCTGCATCCCATGGTACGTACTCTGCATAATCAGACCAACACATGGACACGGCACCGAGACTGAACTCCATTTCGAAGAGACCACCCAAAAAGCGTCTGCGAGGTTGCGCATTGTCAAAAGATGCCCGTTCTTGAGGGCTGTCGGAGGACCGAGCGGCGAGCGGCCCAATAAACGCCTCCGGGTTGTTCGCGAGCGTCTCGGCATCTAGGTACGGGAGGAGGAACTTTTTCCTGTTTGCAGGCTTTTGACCGATCTGGCGAGATGTATTCGCGTACTCGAGTTCGGCTTCAAAGCTCCTGTGGGACGGTAGATCAGGCTCTACTGTCTCTAGTATGCTGAGCCGCGTGCGTCAATCGCAATTCTGCCAATAGCTGTTGATGAGATTGCTGTGTGGTTGTACGCCCTCGCGAAGGGATTCTTGGCCAGCGAAGATAATCCACTTGAGACCGTAGAGAATCCGCGCTGCTTCCGCCGTCGTGAGTAGCTTGCTGTATCGCAGACAGTCGTCCAGGCATGGTGGTCTGGGGCTCATTGACAACACATTTGATTGTTTGTCCATCTAATCACTCCCAGCAATGAATATCTGACAATCATCACTCAGCCTTCCGCCACCGTACTCTTCACCTCCCTCTCATCCACCTCGCCCGTCCCCAACGTAATCTCCCCCTTGAACTTCTCTCCCTGCACATGCATAAAATTCGCCCTCAACGGCGTCACACTCGTATACCCCTGTGCCACCGCCCACCCATCGTTCCCCGGCTCACTCTGCTCCACACTCTCGTACACGTCCTTGAACTGCGGCGCCCACTTGAAATGCTTATGCTTATACCTCATATGGCTTTGCCCACTTGGCGTCTGCGTGCCCGACCCCGCTTTGCTTGCCGGTAGCAAGTCGTTGTTGGACCGTAGCTCTTCTTTGCCGAGTTTTTCTTCTTGCTTGCGGATTTGGGATTCGATGTCCGAGGGCGAGTCGTCGGCTTCGGAGGGCACCTCAACGACTTGGAAGCAGCTCCCACTCTTCCAGCTGTTCTGCAGCATATCCGTCCACAGAATCTTGCGGCCCCCAACGCCCTCCACCAGCGGCACATTCACCGTATACAGATGCGTGTTCGCGTCCCAGTTATCGTACAGGTACTGTATGAGCTTGGCGCTGAGATCCGACGCGCCGCTGATGATGGCAGCGTCGTGATTGCGGTCGAAGAAGGCGTAGGACAGGGCGATGGACTTCACGCCGCACACTGCTGCTTCCATGGCGCCGCCAATGGTGCCCGACGACAGCGAGAAGACGGCGGTGCTGTTGCGGCCGTAGTTCGGACCCGAGACGACCAGGTCAATCGGGCCCCGGGACTCAAAGTAGTGGTACAACCCAATCTGTGCGCACGAGGCGGGCGTCGAGTCGACGAGAATCCACTCTTCTTCCGTGGAGTGGGGCGGAAGGGGCGTGTTGTGCGTGGTGCCGTGGTTGGTGAGGCGGCCTTCGCTGGTGGTTTGTAGGGGCGCGGGGCGGTAGTAGCTGGGCTTTATCGCCTTGCCGACGAGGTGTGCTTTGCCGATCCAGGAGCGCTGCGTGTGCGGGAGGACGACGCTGACGCTGTGGCCGTAGCTCTGCAGTGTAGAGACGAGCGAGTGCACGTATGGTGAGGACTGGTCTGATGGTGGGCCATCGTCGTTCGTTACCTGCAATTGTCAGTATTTTATCCTGGTTATGTTACGCCTCCCAAGCTTACGAGGATGTGCATCTTGCGCTTTGCAGGTCTGCTGGTGCAATTGATGCTGTATAGACTCTCGTGGTGGGGGAGAAGAGCTTCTGGGAGCGCGCTGGCGGGGCAGTTGTCGGGCGGTGACGTGCTGCGCAGTTCCGATCGGAATGAATCGCGTCGCCCTAACCAGGCGCGGCCAGCGCTGCGCAGACCACGTCGCCGCCGGCCAGCGTTTGCTGTGCCTCTACATTGTCGACGTGGTTTCTGGCCTCGTAGGGCGATTGCCGTAGTCAGACGGCAGTACCTGCATGTCAGATGCAGTCCCGCGCCATGATTGTGCTGATAGCTTCGAGATCAGCAAGGTCGCCCTGAGATGAGCTTCCTCGCCTGCAGCTAGCTTCAAACGACAGGACAGTCGCACCTCTGATGCAGCAAAATAGACATGAAAGAATAGTGCGCTGCCGGCTTCATCGATTCATTGACCCCCTCAACACTGCATCGCCGCAGCATCTCCGAACCTACAATGGCCCCTCCTCCGTCCGACCTCCGCAGCCGACAGGCGTCCCTCTGTGCACGACATCGTCAAACAAGCGGAAACAGACGGCAGCGGCACGCTTGGCTGCGATCGGCAAGGCGACGCACGCTCCGGCGTTGCAGTCGAAGAGCCGCATGCCTCCCGCAGTCCTGAGGCAGCTATTTCCGGAACTTGGTGTTCGGGTCCCCGCCCGCGCCCGTCATGGTGAGGCAGCGCGACTGAGGAACCGAAACTTGAGCACCGAAACATCATGAACGTGGAGAGTATATTTAAGAAGGGTGTCTGCCGAGATGTAAGATCAGTATATCCAGCTTACCACTCTTATTCAAGCCAACAGTTCCCCACCATCCAGGAACTCATCCAACCAAGTCCCAGCACTTCTACAAACAGCCAATAGGACCATCACAAATCCATCCACGTGACCCTCCCCCTTCTCACACCAAAATGGTCGTCACAGTACCCACTGCCTCCCTCGAAGGGCAGGTCGCCCTCATCACCGGCGCCGGTCGCGGTATCGGCCGTGGCTGCGCCATCGAGCTCGGCAAGCGCGGCGCGTCTGTCATCGTCAACTATGTCTCCTCGGAAGGACCCGCCCAAGAAGTCGTCAAGATTATCGAGGGTTTCGGCAACGGCGCCAAGGCTGTCGCGATCCAGGCCGACGTCAGCAAGGTCTCTGAGATCATCAGACTTTTCGAGGAGGGCAAGAAGGCGTTTGGCAAGATCAACATCGTCATGTCCAACTCCGGCACCGAGTCCTGGGATGTCACAGAGGAGATTACCGAGGAGAAGTACGACCACGTCTTCAACCTGAACACGCGTGCACAGTTCTTCGTCGGTCAGACAGCGTACAAGTACATCGAAGACAACGGCCGCATCATCCTCATGAGCTCCATCGCCGCGGGCCTGCTGGGCGTCAAGGACCACGCGCTCTACAACGCATCGAAGATGGCCGTCATTGGGTTCATCAAGGCGTTCGCGACCGACTTCGGAAAGCGCGGTATCACAGTCAACGGTGTGGCACCTGGAGGCATCAAGTCAGACATGTTCACCCAGAACGCGTGGCACTACATCCCAGGCGGCTCGCCTGACTGGCCGGCGGAGAAGATCGAGGGTTTGATGGCGAGCCACTGCCCGCTCGGCCGTTGCGCGGTACCTGAGGATGTGGCGAGGGTCGTCGCCTTCCTGGCGAGCGAGGACGGTGGTTGGGTCAACGGTCAGGTGTTGACCATCTCGGGTGGATCATCGCAGTAGAGCTGTGAATTTCTTTGTTCTTTGAGCGACTTTGCATAGCCATTAAATAGGCCGGCGTGCGGGAAATGAATAATTAATCCTGTTACAAAATGAGCTGTGCTTCGTGATGAAGTGACGAATGCGAGTTAGAGTGACGGATGAAAGCTCTCGTGGGATGTCAAGTAAACACAGGCTAGTCTCAATTGGGTAATGACCACTCAGCTTCTGTCAACTGCAAGGCCTGTGGCTGGTTTCGGCAGGTGCTAGGGATGGCTGAGCAACGCTTCCAGTCCAGAATATATCAGGCGCTCGACCTAATCCATTGCTCTTACCCGCTCAAGGTGAGGATACCACCACCTCGTCCACTGCACCTCCTCCAAAAGACTCACTGACACGCTTCAGCCACGCCTCGCTTGCTCCAAATACCGGATCCAAGATGAAGTCATGATCTGAGCCCTTCATGACCTGGCTGTTATACTCAAAGACGTCTTGTGAGTTGGAAGTCGCAGCCTCGTCTCTCATCCAACACGCATCAAACCACACCCTACCCTTTTCCCCTACCATGCTATCCGTCTCCGCATGAAACGCATCAACCATCCACACCCTCCACTCTTGACTTTCATCTTCTCCCTCATGGATGGAGTGCTCGAGCTGGCGCACCGCATCATCGATGTCCTCCCAATGTCGAGATGGGGTAGACCACGGTATGGAGCGTGGTTTCCGCAAGCAAAGCTGCGCATCCTGGCCCACGCCGTTCACGGCCTCGGCGAAAAGGAAGGTGGGTATGAGGCTTCGCAGCCCTTCCACTACAGCCGCATCGTTCAGGTCGAGATTACTCTTGTCGCTCTCGTTTGGTCGTTCATCGCCGGGAATTGGTTCGAGCGGTATCGGGACTTCGGGAACAACAAACTGCGGTAGTGAGGATTTGAGGGCGTTGGATACGGTGCTGCTCAGCCCAGTCGACATCCCAGTCAGGGGTGTGATAGTTCCGTTGACAAATTTCGCAAGGGAGGAGAATTTGCCGATCATAGACGCAGGAAGCAGTTCGGCGGCTTGCAGATGCTTGATCCCGCTATGGCTTGGATGCACCCACGGCGCGAAGAAAGCTACATACGGTCGTTCTGGATGCAGGAGATGCGGATACAGTAGCAGCGTGTTGAGGAGGTAGATGGCGCCAAAGGAGTGCGATGCTAGGCTCGCATGCTCGATCTCAAGATGCTCCAATAATTTTGGGATTATGTTGATGTATGTCAGTATCCTATCCTCGATTGCGACCGCATCACTCCCACCGATACCTGGTCTGTCAGGATGGATGATGCGGATGTTGTGAGATTTGGCTAATTGGTCCAGGGGCGAGTAACTGAGGCGGCCGCCCATCAGGCCGCCGAAGAAGAGAACGACTGATTTGCTGGTGATTGAGCCGTAGTCAGAGTAGGATACACGGTAGCGCTTCTTGGACTGGGTGAATGTGAATTGTCTGTGAAAGCGGCGGTCACAGAGGAACTCGAGTACATTGTCGGACTTTTGTGAGGTTGAGTGCGACATTGAAGGAAGTCGATGGCCTGGAGTCACGATACTTTTTATGGATCAGGACGGGTTGAGAACGATGTCAAGTTTCAAGTGAGAGAGTTATAGGTGAGATGTTATGATGCTTTGATGTGGTCTGAGATAGCGCTTACACGTGTTGATGGAGGAAGAGCGCTCTAAGGATGTAAGGCGTCCTGCGTTGCTTCATTGGTCGATAACGCTGAGCTTATAACGGCTGTGGCTGAGGAGCTGTGGAGCCGGACTGGTGGTTGTGCTGGCAGCCGAGTTCCTGTGCAAGGCTGTGTGTATGAGTTCAAGGTACATGAGTTTGCTTTAACGAATTTGAACAATGCGTCAATATACTCCGACAGTTGTTGCCAGAAGTACTCACGCTACCATGGTCGGTCCCGAAAGCTGTGTTTTATCCTTTCAGGACGATGGCTTCTGGCCATTTGCATTTAGCAAAGCAGCTTTCCAGGTGCTTTATTACTTCGACTTTGCAATGGTCGCCAGCGTCATCTCTTATACTTGGCTCGTCCCACCAAGTGTCGTCTTCAGCGTCAATGACTGAGACGATGATTGTCGGCTCTCGAATGGCTGAGTCTCGACTCAGCACGTTGTATATGAGGTCTACGGTCAGGTGTCTCGTCCCACGGATTGTCTGCATTAAGTCCCTCATTTTTTGCTATTGTTCGATATCATCCAGACTTGACGAAGATGTCGAATGATAGGTCTTTCTGCGCTTCACGAGATGTTTGGCAGGTGGAGGGCCTCTTGAAGTAGACTCCAAGAATAATTACTTGCTCCGACGCTGTTGAGCCATAGCTTGGTAGTTTGACATTGGTTCTTGGAGAGATGACACCTGAAGAACTCCGTTATTAATTCGGTCTCGTCCTTCTGACAGTGAGCACAGGAAAGCACGAAAGGCTGCGCGCTGTTGCCAACTTTGAAGATAAAGATAATCAAAATGAATACACAATTCGCACTCGTGGCTCTTAATGCTCGCGATCTGCCGAATGTACATGTTGGTGCTTGCGCGAGTGGGAGCGGTGGTTGTGCCAACGGTGCCGCAACGCGACCCCACGCACGCGCTAATGACTGATGTTACCGTGTCCGTGCGCGTGCCGACCGGATTCAACTAGAGAAAAACAACAAAGTAGCCTATTTGAAAATAGTCTAACCATAGAACTAGTAAAGATATTAAAATACTTGTAATACTAAAGTAGTGGATAATTAAAGGATCTAAGGATCTATAATAAAAAATATCAAAAAATCTCTTATATAAGACTTTTACTCTGATAATGTGAGGCATACAGCTCAGCTCCACTGTACTACACTGATCAAAAAGGTACAGTACTGCTGTAGATAGCAGGTACTGAGAGCTGAACAGTATATACCCGTGACAGTTAAACTTCTTATACTTTGTTGTTTTTCCTAGTAAAACCCGGTCGTCACGCGAATCCGGTCGGCACGCGCACGGACACGGTATGCATGATCAACACGCGGTACGCGTTTGAACTTCTTACATTGTCCACCATAACCTTTACATGTAACCAACTTATGTCGACACGCGTTCAAGATTGGTGCACTATCCACAATTTACATGTACTCGTCTGACATGCGGTAATACGCGCCGCTCTGCCGCTCCAGATGATCAATAAGCGAGTCACCGGAATAAGCGAAGAACTGCGAAGAATTGCTGTTCCTGTGAACTTCTCGTGGTGGCAACTGATGGATATATCTGCTGCTGTTGTCGTTCTCATGACGACTTAATATTCCCACTTTACTTAATCACGGTCATCACAAACCAGCTATGGCTACTACGGCTCGAGTGCTGTTGACGACTGAGCCCACTATAGCCCTGCAGCAGATTGAACTTCAACCAACCGGTAGCAATGCAAACGCAAATCAACGCGAATGGGCATCAGACGGGATCCCGTCGGACAAGACTCAGGAAGCTTTGACAAAGAACAACATCCTCAAAGTCGTCGCAGCCAGCGTATCGTTCTTCTTCGCTGGCAACAACGACGGTAGTCTAGGTGCTTTAACGCCCTACATCCTCCGAACTTACAATGTCAGCACCGAATACATCGCTTTCATCTACGGTGCAACCTTTCTGGGCTGGCTATTCGCAGCAGCCACCAACGGCCATATGGCTCGCTATTTGGGACTCGGAACGATCCTCACACTGGGTGCAGGCATCCAAGTCGCAGCCCATGCGCTCCGTTGCTGGACGCCGCCATTTCCTCTTTTCGTTGTCACTTTTTTCCTCCAAGCAGCAGGCATGGCGTACAACGAGTCACATGCTAACACCTTCGTTGCGTCTTTGAAGAGTGCGCATCGCCCTCTGGGGTTTATTCATGCCATGTACGCTCTAGGGACGCTGGTCTCGCCGTTTGTAGCTACGAGTATCGCATCTGCCGTTCCGTCCCGTTGGGCGCTGTTCTACCTCTACCTTGTCGGCGTTGGGATCGCGAATATGTTGGCTGCGGCTATCACTTTCCGCGGAAGCCTCAAGATGCATGCAAAGCCTGCGCCGTGTGAGGGGCAGGCGGCAGTGGACTCGAGCAGAAGAAAACAGGCAAACAAAGATATCGTGGCTGCTCTGAAATCGCCGCCGGTATACTTGCTCTCAGTATTCTATTTCTTCATGCTGGGCACCGGTGTCACAGCAAGTGGTTGGGTGGTCGAGTACCTTATCGAAGCGCGCAACGGCAGGCTGCCAGAAGTCGGATATATGCCTGCTGCTCTCGCAGGCGGCATTTTCCTTGGGCGACTCATCCTTGCTGAGCCAACCTATCGATTTGGCGAACGACGCATGACACTAGCTTACTGCATCGTTTTACTAGCTCTGCAGCTCGTTTTCTGGCTTGTTACAAACTTCGTCAGCAGTACGGTTTCCCTCTGTTTCTTTGGTTTCTTCTTCGGACCGATGTTTGCGACCGGCATGTCTGTGGGCTCAAAGCTCTTCCCGAAAGAACTGCAACCGACTGCTCTGGGATATGTCTTCGTTTTGGCGCAGGCAGGCGGCTCGTTCTTCCCCGCCATCACTGGAATTATAGCGAGCCGTGTCGGTGTCAAAGTCATGCAGCCGATCTTGGTCGGGTTGATCGTTGCTACCGGGATTTCTTGGGCACTAGTCCCGAAGGTCAAGCACAGAGATGTGTGAGAGCAAAAGCGGGACGTAATAAGGTCGAACTCATTTTCTGACCACGCAAGGGGATATCAGGCACTGAGTTCAGGGCATCAACATTTCAACACGGCTTCTCTCACCCTGGACATTATGTGCAGGCAGACCTACGCGACAACACCCACCCTATCAAAATCCGGCGCATACGCGCTTCCAACACCCTTAATCACGATACTATTCGTTCCCGTCGTGCTGAACCCAGACAGTTCGACAGCATAACTCTTCAAAACATCCTTATCCCAATTATACCCCGTAAGCGGGAAGCTAACCGTCTTCGCCGCACCGCCATTCACGCTAATGGATGCCAAACGCTCATTGTTGCTGCCGCCCAGGTACCCGACCTCGCCGTTGATGTAGTCAAAGCGCACGACCTGGGTCGCCTGGCTTGTGCGGATGTTGCTAAGTGTGAGTGTGCCGTTAGAGGGGCCGCCGAGGTTGCCGACCTTATTGGTAGATGTGCAGCCAGAGCAGGACTGGATGTTTGCGCCCGAGGCGAGGGAGCCGGTAGACGCGGAGATGTAGTTGTAGTTGGTAGTGGTAGAGGTGCGCTTGACGTTAGAGAGGCGGAGAGCGAGGGAGCCGCGGGCGTTGACTTGTTTGGAGAAGGAGACTGCGTTCTGGGTCGTTGTGCCGGACCACAGGTCCTTGATGGTTGCGGACTGGATGCCGAGGGAGGAGAGCTGGACGGAAAGGGTGCGGCGTGCGTTGCTGAGGTCTACGACCAGGACAGCCACATCGCCGTTGGCAAGATCGCCACTCCAGAGATCGCGGTCTGAGGTCCAGCGCTGCTTGAGCGTGATAGGCTTGACAGCTGAGTCCTGATTGATGGCAAGCAGGTCTTTGTTCTGCAGAACCTTGACAGTGTCGTCCGAAAGAGCTGCTACATCGGTGGAGATCATGAGAGCAGACTTCAGCATAGCCCACGCCGCAAAGTGCGTAGCCTGCTCATCGAAGGTCATTCCCTGGTTTCCGACCTCGAGCAAGTCGGCATCGGCAATGTGACCAGGTCCAACAACACCGGACGCAGCGATGTGGACAGCTTGGTTGTAGATGCGGTACACATTACCCCAGCCCTGAGCAATGTCGTCAGACAGACGGAACGATGTCGAAATACCCTTAGTCCAGTCCTTGGGACCTTGCAGGCCTTCTGAAGTGGAGAATGGAGTACCCCACTGGCAAATCAACATGCCCGGAATGCCAACTCGTTGCAGCTCCTTCCACATCACACCGAAGCGCGAAGCAAAGTCAGTCCTTGGGTCTTTGGGTGCGTTCTGGTTCGCGTTGGGCCCATCGACATAGCAGTTGTCGTCTGCGATTCGGTCAGTAAGGCAACTTCAGTCATAAAATCAGGCAAGCTTACACTTGACATATTCGGTGTTGAGACTCTTGAAAAACTCAGCATCGACAGATTCATGACCCAACGACCCTAACACAGGACTGGGCACTTGCGGATCACACATCCTAACGCCCGCATCCGAATACATAGTCCACTTCATGCCCTTGCTCCTCGCCAGATCACTTAAGGGCTTGAGTCCATTGGGGAATGCATTCGTATCAATGTTGAGCGCGCCAGTGGAAGTATTGCGCTGGCCGTCACGGGAGGCCCAGCCGCAGTCGATCTGGAAGTAATTGTAGCCTGCGGCAACGAAACCGCGGTCTGCGAGCGCATTGATGGTTTTAGTGATGCCATCTTGTGTGGGACTGCAGGACACTTGGTTGTAAGAGTTCCAGCCGAGGACGGGCGTGGATTGGAAGGATTGCGCTGCGGTAAGGGCAGCTCCGGTGAGGGAGAGGAGGGCGAGGTTGGGGCCGACCATGGTGGATGCGATGAGAGTGAAGGGGTGAGAGATGCTCTGTTCTGGTTGCCTGAAGAGGATGATCACTTGTCTTTATACTGTTCCTTGCCGACCCATGTCCATGATTGCTGTCGTTAGGACCGTCCGGATCAGTCGAGCGCCATACTTGCGAGTACCACGAGGTGAATGCAATGCGGATCTTGTTCTGCATTTGGAGGTACAAATGCAGTAGATCTGCACCCCGGACAATACACTATGTCACTATACGAGGACGTTAATGAAATGTTTGTAGCGCATTCGTGTTTGTGCTCCGACAAGGCAAGTCACTTCGGGATCGGACCAAGGGCACTGTACAGTTCAGACAGCATAACACTAAACACTCACAATCCGTACAAGATCGACCAAATCATTAAAGGAAAATGAGAGCAAAGACGAAAGCGTCGGGAGAAGATGATGCGAAGAAATGGAAGGATCAGCAGGCACCTGCTCAAAGCAGTTAGCGTGCATATTCATAGACCAGGGCACAACTCCGGGGCCCCGCAAACATCGGAGCTTCACCGAACCCAAAGGAATGTGGAGACCACTGCACGGCATCTACACAACATCTTTCGCCTCGTACTTGCGGAAACACTGCCATTTTGATGCTCATGTGGGCAAAAACGCTCAAGGTGCGGGTGGCTGCCACAGTTCGACTTCGTGTACCTTCGCTCAGGAACTCTATTCTGTCCACACGCTGTAGTTGTACTCTCAATTGCTACTGGTTCTTCTTTCTTGTCGGCTATCAAACCTTTGGCATTCATGTACATTCCCGTCTGCCGAACAATTCTTACTTTGCAGCCTGCTGAATCTTCTCATACGCCTTCTTAACCTCATGTAATCCCTTCGTCTTCTCCAACCACTTCTTCAAATTCGGATACCCATCAATTGGCACCTGCGCAAACGCATGCTGCCTAACCCATGGCTCATAGTGCGCATCAACAGCCGTTACACCGCCAGGCAAGATGCTCTCACCGCCGGTCTTCTTCAGCTGGCCTTCGAGAATCGAGTAACACCGGTCTGTCTGCTCGACGTAGCGGTTCAGTGCGTCCTCGTTCTTGGTGGGGTTGTAGTGACTGTACACTAGTCAGCCCGTTTTCCTATAATGAAAAATTGAGAGGATTGGAGACATACCGGTACCAATTCGTCTGCCCCGTCATCGGCCCCAGCGTCGTAAGCAAAAAGTACTCCCACTTCTCATAATCCACTACATCCTGCAGATCCGGCGCTCCTCCATCCTTCGCATGAGGTCCTAGTTTCTTGCCATTCCCGTCATACTGCCTCCTCAAATAATTAACACAAGCGCCACTCTCCCAGCTGACAACGCCCGTGTTGGGGTCCTCGAGCGCGGGAACACGGCCGTTTTCATTGATCTTGAGGAAGGCAGCGCCTTTGACGCCCTTGTTGGGATCGTCGCCGAAGTCCCACATTTTGACTTCATAGAGCAGGGACAGGAGTTCGAGGACAATGGCAACTTTGATGGGGTTAGGGCCTGTTGCGTGGGCGTGGAGGATAAGGGGCTTGAGGCTGGACATTTTGATTTGGGTGAATGCGAGCTCGTTGGTGATTGAATTGAAGTTTGAAACTGTAGTTGAACTTTGTAAATGCTCCCTGTATTAATGAGGTGTTCATTTGTCATCGGGTGTCATTAGTAAGTAGGGGACCGATGACGTTTTGGGGGCTCTTTCCCCATCGACGATCGATCAACATCAACATATTCTCTGTACAACAGTGGACGATTATGCATGCTACAAAGCTTATTTGGTCGACCTGCTGTGAAGATACCTTTGTCAGATCCTCAACTCCTTGAACGCCTGTCAGATCCACGCATTACATCAAGACCTCGATCTGGCCTCGCCAAAGCAGTTCGTGTGAGGATCGAAGATCAGACCAAGACCATTTGTAATAACAGCCTGATCTTACGAGTACTTAATTCTGCGGGCGTTCGCGCGATGAGAGCCTGATTCGCTAGGTTTGCATCATTGACAAAGTTCTCCGCGGGATTGAACACTGCACTGTAAGTGTTCCGGCTGTTATTCAGAGCTTCTGAAGACTCCTGACGCTTCTCCATTTCGATATAGCGCACATGAAGTGCACCTACTCCTGGATCTGGAGCGGTGGATTGAAGAGCTGAGGCGACGACTGAGGCGATGGCTGTAGCTTGGTTCTAGGTAACAGTTTGTGCCCGTTAGTCAGGAACAATGGGGTAAGTCGGGTCGGGAAGGGCGTTAACATAGTCAAGGTCGATCAACTGCGAAGATACAAGGCTGCTGAGCCCAGTAAGGGCAGCAATAGTAAGACCGTGTATGTTGAGGTGAAGTGCTGCGACACTGGTCAAGGTGAGAGCTTGTTGTCTTGATCTTCGAGCAACACGGCATAAGACTGCTTCTTATGTGTATTGGATCGGCTGCTATAAGCATACCCACTGGAGAGTTTTGAGGTAAGATTCAGTCCAACGCTGAACTCCAGCGAAATACTCATCGCTGCAAGATCACTTAGCCGCATGTTCAGCTCCCCCAGAAAACAATCGATCAACCCTATTTCAGTTTAGTTAGCTGTTCATGGCGAAGCTACCAGCTTAGTGCAACTTCCGAGTTCGGTAGTATGTACTTGCGCCCACATGCAACTTCGCTTGTTGTGCGTGGTATGTTGCAGAAGGCCGCCAAAATGAGAGCTTTGAGGAGAAGAATGACTGAACGTGGATCGGAGGCCATAGACTGTGTATCAAGGAGGATGGGCTTAGTGAATGACCGGTGATGCTAGCTGGCGAGTCTTTCTTTGTTTGTGCGTAATGAGGGCACTTCCGAGTCTTCTCTCACCCGGCGTAGAGTTGAAGTTCCGGAGCTGAGCTGATGCTTTGTTGATGATAAGCAGTAGCAAGCTTCGAGACTGCTGTTGAAAGATTGGATATGCTTGGCAATTTACCCCGAACCGAATTACCCCTACGTTGGTGGCTGTCGTGTTTTCCCATGTGTAAACGGCCCTTCCCACTCAGCCAATAACGCGACTGGAATGTGACAAGTGTGCCTGAATTGAGGAAGGATGTTGGCGCTGTTTTCGGAGATCGTCCGAAGGCTGCAACAGCCTTAAGGCCACAGAACCTAACTTTCAAGCCGCATACTTTGGTACAAAGGACATGTATGATAGTTGTACGGCTGGTTGAGCGGTATTGAATGCATTTGAATGTGTACGCTAGTGATATCGGAGCTCTTGAATTTCGGTAAAGAAAGCGCCTGATGTGACCTCAAAGTGGTAGCTGGGCGCCAGAGAGGCCTTCATGGGGGTTTTTCGGGGGCAGTGAAGAAGAAAGGAAACATTGTAGAAGATCAGAGCGAGAAAGGTGTTTTCCGGTCACTCTTGAGATTCTCTTGATGGAGGCGCATTCCGTTGTTGTTCGAGTTGTGGTCCAGTGTTATGAGTCCAAGCTTATCTTGCGTAGTTTCCTCCAACGCTGCCGTAGGAGGTAAGCGATATAGTGTAACGGCTCCGGTGTGTAATTGTTGGTGGCTAGCGCTGATCAGAAGCGTGACTGCAATGTCGTGCATGAGGCGTTGCAGTCCAGCTTACCGTCTTAGGATTTGATTGAGATTGTTGTGCTGTGGGCTGTCGCTCTAGCAAGTCGGAAATACGAAAACCCTACTAGTGTGTGTAGAGGACTTCAAGTAAACGTACCTTGTGTTTTGATCCCGCCGCGCCACCGAAGAAGGGGAAGGAGCGGTCGAGTACAGACGAACCTCCATGCCACATAGCAACTGCCATAAGCTGATCTTGGAAAGTGATTTGGTCTCGTCATAGTCCGTATCGGCCCCAGGTGAAAAGGCCCAACGCTTTGCACGCAGCATACTCGTGTATTAATGAGGTCCTAAGTCCTCTGGAGGAGGACGTAGAGTGGGATTCATTCCTCGCTGGTTCCCGATGATATGAGTCTCGACGATTCTGAGTCTTGGCCCAGAACTCAAGATAGGCCACCCACGGAGGATCATCCATATCCTCCATCTCACCCAGGTTACGGTGCACGCCAACTACAAAGAAACCCTGGCCATGCTGGAAGATCGTGCCGCCAAAGAATATGGGCCCTCAAACGCGACACGTCAGGGCCAGGTATGCCGTTTCGCGTGGACAGGCAAACCAGCTGTTGACGGGTAGTCATCCACAAATAGGCCGGTGCATAGTTGGGTGGAGCAGTCAGCATCGTGCGAATGCCGTGATACATGGATGCGCTGGAGTCCACTGTGAAGGTCACGATGTCGCGCACCAAGGCCCGGTCAGCTGCATCTCTTGGAGTCTATCAATCTTATGGGCATATGGGCCACGCAATATGGCGAACAGCAGAAGATGATCTGACATATCGAGTTGTGGTGTTGTCGACATGGAGTTGCATCACCGCGGCGGTGCAACATGGCACGTGCGCTCGTCCGAGCTTCAAGAAATCTGAAAGCTCATCATCGCACCTCACACGCGCATCGCATCAACATCACACCGCGCATCACACACCTCTCCATCCACCCCTCTTAACGACACCTTCACGCAATCTTTAATCTCCACATAACACCGCCGCAATGGTCAAGCTCGAAGAAGTCATGGATGAGGAGTTCGTCCGCGAACAGGAGGGCCCCCATGACGATGACGAATGGGACACAGACTCCGGTACCTACTCTCTCCTCCCCTTAACCTCTTGGCACGCAACAAACTCGTGTATAGATGGACTCAGGGCCAGCATGCTAACAACAACACAGAGTCCGACCTCGACTCCGAATCCTCCTTTGGCCCCCCCTCCGAAACACTCTACGAGCGCATCGTCGCCTTGAAGGACATAGTCCCTGCCTCCACACGTCGCTCTCTATCGAGCAAGTACGAAACAGTGAGCAGCTGGACAAAGAGCGGGCTGTTGTTCGGCGGCAAGACGCTGTGGGTGGTCTCGACGAGCGCACTGCTGTTGGGTGTGCCGTGGGCGCTGGCGTACAGCGAGGAGCAGATGATTGTCGAGCAGGAGAGGGCGGAGCTGATGAATCAGCGGGCGCAGAATGAGGTACGTCAACAGCCATGACAGAGGAGACAACCATGGCTTGGCTGGGGGGAGATGGCCATGGCTATGAGCATAATAAGGGCGGAAGCTAACGTGTAGTAGTTTATGGCTCCTGGTGCCAACGACGCGAAGCCTGCTTTGTAAGAAGCGACTCGATGACTGCATTGGTTGATGGTTTGCGATGAGCATACACTCTCGCAAATACGCGCTCGTTGATCAGAGGACCATCGGCGCAAGATTCTTCACACCTGTTGATTGATTGGTTTAACGTCCTATCATTCACACCTGTTTTAGTATGGATGGAGATGGAGGTAGAAGGAGGCGGATACGATATGCTGTGCACATAAGATGAGCGCACTGGGATGGAAGGCGCACCTTTGCATTGTCACGATCTGTACAATATTTCTCGACTCATAATGTATTGCGTCATAGGACACAGACATGCTGCGGTTCCATCCTGCATGTCAAACTGCGTGCGCGTACAAATGCGACGGTTCACGTGAAGAGGACTTTGCGTTGCGTTGGATTTCAGTACATGCGTTATACAGGTCCTTTATGCCACATGCTCTACATATACAGCGCGCAGACAACACTCGCGTTCTGCGCTCAACTACCATGACATGTCACTTCCACCTCGGTCTAGCTGCTCTCCGTCACCAGTCCACATTACATGCCATAAATGCGCCTTTTAGAAACGTCCAAACGTGCTGATGAAGTCCTAGATCCAACCCCACCGACCACCGGATATCGTGGGACAGGAGAAAACGTGCGTCGCTTGCTCGCTCCAAGAAAGGTGGTAATACAGCCAAGTGAAGATTTATGGGATTATAGTCGGTACAATGCGATCGTGTTTGTGTGGGGAGAGTCGTTTAGAAGGGGATGGCGCCAGCTTGAGCGGCGGCGCCCGGGATTTCTTGCTGCTCCATGACAGCCTCGTCGGCGGCTTCTATCGCGACAGCAAGACCAAGCTTGGCGGCGCTCTGCGTTGTGTTAGCTATGCATTGAGTTTGTGGGTATGATTGAACGGACTGTCTTGTGGTCGATCTCACCAGAGAAGGTGATGCGGATGGGAGGTGCGATCATCTTCTCCAACAAGCAGCCAACTGTGCCCTTGTTGTCGATTTGCGCCCTGAACGAAGTCGTGCGGAAGTCGTACTTGGCACCAATCGTGACCTGGCCCTCCTTCTGAGGACCAGCCATGGGGCCACCAGGACCAATTCCAGCGAAGGCGAGGTTGCAGTTGATACCGGTCTCAACCTTCTCGGTCAGCCTGCGCCAGTAGGAAGCCTCCAGCACGCCGCGGTCGGGGATGATCTGTCCGCAGGCCATCCAGTCGGCGGCCCTGTAGCGTGCAGCGTACGAGACGTTGAGCTCAGGAGGGTAGGCAGAAGCAGGACGGCTCCAGAAGGCATCGATACCGAGCGACAGCTTTGGTGTGACAGCCTGCAGGTAGCTGGCCATGATCATGCCGGTGATGCCGCCGTCGAGAACCGAGGGGTTGACGGCCTTGAGCGAGGCCGAGAAGTCGGAGCCGGTGTAGTCGTTCTCGAGCGAGACCATGTTGCCCTGCGATGTGAGCTGGACGGCGGTCTTGGAGACGAATGCCGAGGTCCATCGCCAGTTGAAGCGGCCGGAGAACTGCATCTCGTTGTCGAGGTTGCCCTGCATGAACGTCTACACCATGTCAGCCTAGCCTATATGTAGCTCGAGCGCTGCGACGCACCCTCGGCGATCCGTAGAGGACCATGTACGAGTAGGGCGGCTGGACCTGCGAGCCCATGGACAGCGAGTGCGCGACCTGGAAGAGCGGCGCGGCGCTGAAGGCCTTGGTGAGCTCGGCGCGCAGACCCGAGAAGCTGGCGTTGTTCAGGAAGACGTCGCGCTGCACCTCGCGCGCAATGCCCTCGACGGTGCCCGGGTTGGACAGCCCGAGTGCCTCTCTCCGCTCCTGGAAGGCATTGTACAGCTCGCCTAACCGGCCGGGCAGGATGCCGTTGTGAGAGATGACGCCCGAGATAGCTTCCTCCTTGGTCGGGCTGGCGACGACGAGCTGCGGCGGTGCGGCCATGGCGGCGGGTTCTCGCTAAGTTTTAGATGGTGGTGGTGAAGGAGTGCGGCGCGGCTGCACGTGATGAGATGGCAAGATGGGCGCGGGAGGGGAGATGCGCGATGGCTTGTCTACGACGATACGTGATGCTGCGAACACAACTTTTCTCAAGAAGGAGCTGTGATGACATAACAGACGCTAGCTGCTAGCGGCGGACTGCTATCAGATATGACATCTCTGGGGGCTTGCTTTTTGGCCTGCTTTCGCTGCGCTGGAACACCAAAACAACCAACCCTTCTTCCTCCCGCCCTCATACCCTCCTGCGACGCTGTTTGCCGCGCCGCGGGTGCCTCGCCGTTGTCTGTCGCTTGTTCTCGCACGTCGTCACTGTCACTGCTCGGCGAACGACCGCATATCAGCTCCGGCACCCTGGTCCGGAACAGCTGCACACCTTGAACACCTCAACCGGCCCATTTCAACTTATTCTTGCCTGGCCTTGAGCTACTTCTACTCTTTCCTGTTCTTTTCTTCTTTCAGCTTCAACTTGAGCTTCACACATAATTAGCCACTATGGATACCTTACTGTAAGTGACTCGGCCTCTCATTGACCGTGCTGCGGCACGCCTCGGCTTTGGTACCTGGATGCATCACTGACAATGTGCAGCACAGCAGAAATCTACGCCAACTCACCCCGCTTCAGGCGGCGGTCGAGTACGTTCGTAGATGCCATCCATGACCTGCCTGCAAAGGAAGAGATGGCGCCAGCTCAATTGTACAGCACAGAATCTGGTCGTCTTTTCCACTCTGGACGTATTGTGATCGCTACTGTCGGACTACCGGCTCGGGGAAAGACACACACCTCGGTTGCTGTAGCCCGCTACCTGCGCTGGTTGGGTGTCAAGACGCACGTGTTTCACTTGGGCGACTACCGTCGCGCTACTCTTGGCCCTGATCAAGACGTGCCTGAGGATTACTTCTTCCTCAACGCAACACCGCAATCCGTACTGCTGCGAAACAAGATCCTGAAGAAGTGCCGTGACGACATCTACCACTTCCTCGAGAACGAGAAAGGCCAGGTTGCCATCTATGATGCAGTAAATGCTATCAGTCAAGGTCGAAGATCACTGGCCAAGGAATTCGCAAAAAAAGGAATCCAGACAGTCTTCATCGAGTCGCAATGCACAGACGAGCGTATCATTCAGGAGAATGTTCGCCGAGTCAAAATTTCATCCCCAGACTACAAGGGGTGGAACGACGAGGATGCCGTTCGAGACTACCTGGCGAGGATCAATTCGAGGATACCGCATTTTGAAACCATGGAAGAGCAGGATCTTCACTGGATCAAGATGATCAACGCGGGCGAGAGAGTCCATGTGAACAACTGCGCCTTCGGCTACCTGTCCCAACGAATCGTCTTCTACCTACTCAACCTGCATATTAAGTCTCGGCAGACGTATTTTGCGCGCGCCGGTACCACACGAGAGGAGGATTCCTACAAGGCCGACGCAGAACTATCGCCCGCAGGACACGAGTACTCCAAGAAGATGAGCGATGTACTGTTGAGATATCGTGAGGGGGAGAGGCAGAGGTTGATAGACCAGGGGGCGCCGGACGCCTCCTTGAAGCCGTTGACGATATGGACGTCTACCCGCCGACGTACTGTGCAAACTTCAGAGTACCTAGCATCGATGGGCTACCGTGTCAGGCAGCGATCACAGATGAGCCAAATGAACCCTGGAGTTTGCGAGAAGATGTCAGAGCGCAGGATCAGGGAAGAGTTACCTGACGAAGTTACCAAGCACGAGGCAGACCCCTATCACCACAGGTACCCACGGGCGGAGGTGAGTGGCATCGACCGCTCTAGCAATGACCTGCTGATGACATGTAGTCCTACCACGATCTTGCCGTGCGCATGGAGCCCATCATCCTTGAGCTCGAGCGCGAAGAGAACGATTTGCTTATCATTGCGCACGAGTCGGTCCTACGCGTGCTGTATGGGTATCTCATGGCATGCAATGCAGCCGACATTCCGAAGCTCGAGTTCCCGCGTGATGAGATTATTGAGGTGAGTACTGCTGCTATCCTGTTTCGAATTTGCTTACTGACATCGCCGAAGATCATTCCCTCGAGCTACAACAATGTCGCAAAACGCATAAAGATTCCCAACCTCCCAGAAAGCATGGTTCCTGGTAGCCCGGAGGACATCAAGATTCCTGTGCCTCCTAGCGGAGCGGTAAGCCCCTTCTCTGGGATAGGCACACCCAATGTCAAGTCTGGAACAGCGACACCTCAGCACTCGTCTGCTCAGCCACTCAATCTGAAATCATCCCACGTTAACCCACTAGAATAAGCAGGTCCGCTACCGCTACCGATACAACTCCACGTTCGACAATGAGAGAGCAAGTCAACAGACCGATTTCGAGTCGAGCCTCGACGGGTGATGTTGCTTGTGCATGGTGATTATGCTCTACAATGCTGGTATCTGGCTTTTGTGTACATGACTGGAACGTATAGACTGTACATACGGTCGTGGTCTGTCGATATTCTTACGAATGCACGGTCTTATTCAAGAACATTGAGTTTTCGACATGACTCGTGGTTTCAATCGGTTCGCAGAGATTCTCCGTACCAAGGAATGTCCGGGAGATCTGTGTGCGAGTTAGATACCGAATACCGCAGGTCTGACATCATTTACACAGGCGCTAGACAATTACGATCAGGTTCCACCTACCCCATGCCCGTTCCTGCGACCCCGCATTAGCCTACATACGCTTGGGTAAACAGTAGGTGGGGACCCCAGCCTCAATGTCAGGATATGAATTGACTCAAGGCACACTATCAAAAATTCTCACATGTTTGAACTGCATCCACTATGGCACGCAATATTGTGTTTTCTGTTATTTCTGCTCTTTACATCTTTTCTTCGCTTTCATTCTTGGCTTCTGCTGCAACGAAGAGGCCATGGGATGCTTACAACTACAGTCCAGCATCACGGACTGTCAAACCCGTCGCTGTACACTCTCAGTCTGGGAACGTAACGACCTCAGTTGGTACCGATGGAACCTATCACCTCACTTCTGGCAGCCGAATCAGCCTTGACTTTGGTGTTGAGGTTGGAGGATGGATTAATCTCAATGCCATTGTCGCCAACTATACAAACACCTCCACACCGCAGCTATCCCTAGCATTCGCAGAGTCTCCAGCATTCGTCCGCGCCATCTCCGACGATACCGGCGCAACACCCACCCAAGACTGGGACCAAGCTCTGAACGTCACTCTGACCGGCGGCTCAACATTCTACACCATCCCTACTGAAAAGTTCCGTGGAGGTTTCCGCTTCCTAACCATCAACGCTCTTGCGCGCATCGAAGTTTCTAACATAACATGCACAATCGGCTTCGCACCACACACGCCAGACCTACGCAACTACGGCGGCCATTTCTACACGCCCGACGATGATCTTTTAATGAGGACCTGGTACGCCGGCGCCTACACCGTTCAAACCAACATCGCACCGAAGGACACTGGACGCTGGCTGCCCCAAGTCCGGCCTGGATGGGCCTACAACAACAGCATCGGTGTCACAGGTCCTATCCTCGTTGACGGCGCGAAGAGAGACCGAGCAATCTGGCCCGGCGATCTGGGGATTCAAGGTGCGACGGCTTTTCTTGCGCTTGGTGGTGATGGCCTGGAGTCAGTTCACAATGCGTTGGACACTCTCTTCTTCTACCAGAATGCTACGACGGGACGCTTCCCTTTCGCTGGTCCTGCGACAGGGAGTTTCAGAAACGGGGCCGAGAGCGATACGTATCACGCGTGGAGTCTGATTGCGATGCACAACTACGCTATCTGGACGTCCGACTTCTCGTGGTTGGAGACACACTGGTCGAATGTCACGCGAGGCCTAGAGTTCATCCTGCGCGGGCTGGATAACGAAGTTGGTCTGCACATCCAAACGCGTCCGAATGACTGGGCGCGCCAGGGCGGAGGCGGGTACAACAGCGCCCTGAACGCACTGGACTATGCCGCGCTATCCTCGTTCTCCTCGCTCGCAGCCTCGCTATCCTCCTACAACCGTGACCGCAGCGAGCTTGCATCAAACGTGTCATTGCTGGAGCAGAGCCAGATATGGAGCACCGCCGCTGCACGACTCAAGGCAGCATACAACACCCTCCTCTGGGACCCATCCTCCCACCTATACCGCGACAACACCACCACCTCCCTTTTCCCCCAAGACGGAAACGCCCTCGCCCTGCTGTACAATCTCACTTCCTCCCCGTCCCGCGCCACCGCGCTTTCCACCGCGTTAACGACTTTCCATGGTCCCATCGGTCCCCTCACGCCCGAGTTACCAGACACGATCAGCCCGTTTGTTTCCAGCATCGAAGTCCTATCCCACTTCGCCGCCTGTCGACCCGCGCGTGCTCTAAACCTAACACGCACACTGTGGGGGTATTTATTGGATAGTCCGCTGATGACGGGGAGTACGTTAGCAGAGGGGTTGAGTGCGAATGGGTCGTTGTACTATAGGGGCAATGCAGGATACAAATCCGACGCGAGCTACACGAGTCTGAGCCACGGCTGGTCGAGCGGACCTACCGTCGCTTTGACGTCTTACGTCGCCGGCTTGGAGATTGTGGGCTGGAAGACGTGGACGTTCGCGCCACAAAGCGATGGCCTCATACGCAATGTCGACGCTGCGTTTTGGGGTCCGATGGGTACGTTTGCCGTGCGCTGGACGATCAGCAATGCTGGGTCGGGCGGGAGATTTGATTTCAGCGGTGATATCACGACGCCGGTGGGGATGAGGGGGACGGTCGAGTTGGTCTGGAAGTGTGAGGCGGTTGAGGTGGATGGGGAGGTATATAGGGGTGAGGTTCTGGATGGGGGTGGGGAGAGGAGGGTTAGAGCGAGGGGGTGTGTGGGGGATGAGGAAGACTGAGCGCCTTCGGGTATCGAACACGAACGTAGAGACGGTTAGCGGTATATGTAGAGAGCAATGGGGAGTCCATGTGACGGTGTCGTCTCATTACAATTGTCGAATCCTGATCAGAAACAACGCCACGTACTTCGGGCTATCGGCCTCGAGTCCATCTACCAACACCCTAGCGCCACAAATGCTCCCTCATCTATACAGCCCAGACACCATCATCTCAGTCTTCATCATCAGGGCCCCTCTTCTTCCTCTGCTTCTCATTCGCCGCCTGCATCTTGCCCAGCACCGTCTTACTCTTCTCCTTAGCCTCAACCTGTTCTGCACGACTCAAACTCGAGTAAAAACTCCTGACCTTCTCATGCGCCATGATCTTCCTAGGATCGAACCTCAGAATCTGCAGACCCGCCATGCTCGTTGCTCTTGAGAGCGCAACATACGCCTGTCCCTTCTCGAAGACGCGGCCGAGATCGACGCGCACGCGTTCCAGTGTTTGGCCTTGTGCTTTGTGGATTGAGAGCGCCCAGGCGAGGATCAGTGGGATCTGGGAGCGGCTGGCTTGCACTTCGCCGCTAGGGAGCTCGACTTTCCAGTCCTCGCGTTTGCAGAGCAAATCGCGCGTCGTGCCGTCAGCGATGGCGAAGCGGATCAGCGGGAAGAGCTGTGTGGTGTTGAGGCCCAGGACAGTCTTCGCCATCTCAGTCTTCATTTGGGCTTCTGTGATGTTACCCTGGAGCATGTCCTCCTCATTTTCTTTCCAGAAGGTAAATTGCTGTTCGGTCATGAAGCCGATGACTTTGCCGAGGGAGCCGTTTACGAGGGTATCGTCCATGTTTTTGACCAGCATGACCTGGGCGCCTTTCTTCAGATGTACGACTTCTGGAACCATGCAGTTCTGAAGCAGCTTGTCGCGCAGCTCTTTGTTCGTGATCGTGCCACCATCTCGTGCTTCAAAGCTGAATATATCGCCGTGTAGCTGCTGCATACGGAGATTGTTCGCGCGATCCACTTCCATACGGGTAGGAAACAGTTCTGTGGCTTCGATGTTCCCATCCGAGGCAGGTAATTGTCGATCCAGTTTCCTGAAGTTTGCAATGGATTCATTTGACATGCGCCCTTCACGCATTTCGTTCAGCATGCCTGCAAATACAGGATCTTTTTGACGGAAGACGTGGGTGAGACCGATCGTGTGCTCGATGGACGTGTTCCACGTCCCTGCGTCGAAAGCGAATTTCGATGATTTGCCAAACTCTGGCACAGGTGGTAACTGGAAGAAGTCGCCGGTAATGACCAGCTGAATGCCACCGAACGGTCTTCCATTGTTCCGGATGGTACGAGCAATCTGCTCGAGCTTGTCAAAAAGGTCGCCGTCAACCATAGACACTTCGTCCATGATTAGAACCTTGGTGCGCAGCCATCGCTGCTTGGCCTTCGCGTTTCGTCTGATCTTCTTGATGAGATCTTCTGCAGGCTCCTTACCGAGACCAATACCTGCGAAGCTGTGTATTGTGACGCCCCCAACGTTACACGCTGCCAGACCTGTGGAAGCTGTGACGGCGACTCGGTCTGGCTCACGAATGAACTTCTTTCGCAACCCTGAGATGATCTCGCGCAGCAGAACGGATTTACCAGTACCTACAACGGTTAGCTAGAGATTTAAAATATCCTTCTACGATGACGTACCAGCAGAACCAGTAAAGAAGACACTCTTCTTGTGCTGGATGACCAGATCCAAGACGTTCCTCTGCTCATCACTCAAGAACATCTTGGCGATGAGATTATTCTTTTTTCGTTTCACGTTTTCCGTGTCGTCTACGCTTTCAGAGACCTTTGCTTTGTGCTGCTCCTTTAGAGCCTTCTGCTGCAGCTTAATCGCGCTTGCGGTAGTGTTCCACTGGTATTGCGACATTGACGGGTCCTTCGGTAGAGGTGTGAACGTGCTACTGGTTGTAACCGCTGCTGACTTCTGCTTCTTATTCGCTGTGGTATCCTCCTCTGGCTCTGGCGTAAGCTGCTGCTTAGGCTGTGTCTGCTGCTGTGGCCAGGGTAAGGCACGTCGTTTGCTCTTCGGTGGTTGCGGTTTGGGCGGAGTCTTGAAATGATCGGCCGGGGAAGATGGCCACGAGATGGGCTGGCTGCTATCTAGCTCGAGCTTCGGTTGCACCGACTGCGGTCGTGACGAGTATCCAGAGTCTTTTGTAGCTGTTGGCGATACGGGGGGGAGTTTTGGATATGTGACGGTGCATTTTATCGCAGGGTCTTCAACGTCAAGGTCGATGTCGCTGTCGAAATCATCTTCATCGAATAGTGCGGTGGCTAGGCCACTGCTGTTGCTTCGCGACGGCGTTCGGTAAGCAGAAAAATCATTCTCTTCCTCCATCTCAGATATGTTCAGCGTAGGGTATTCGAATACGTCTTCGTGCGGACTCCATGACTTTGCCAATCCACTTGACGTTCGTTTCGTCCCATGCGACACCTGTGTTGGTGATCGCTGTACTCCCACAGCGTTCTTCTTGGCAATGTTGTTCGCACCGAATGCAATTGGACGCGTTCCTGGTCTTTGGGTCGATCCTGTGCGGCTCAAGGTGTTGACGAGCAACGGTTGCTTGTAGGAGGGGTTCGAGGAGGCGGGAACGGCGGCGGCGGCGGCGGCGGCGGCGGCGGCGGCGACAGCATTGTGGTTTTGAACGGCCTGCTTGAACATGTTCTGTGTGTTGTATGGCTGGGCGGCGGGGTAGCTGTAGTAATGGCGCGGAGTAGAAGTAGTCTGCTGTGGCCGCCTGGGTGACGTAGAGAGGCGTGTCCGAGCGAGGTGCGCACGCGGGAGTGAAAGATGCGGCCCCTTCGCAGAGAACAATCGTAGCGGCGCACCCAATCTCGCAAAGGCGTAAAGCATACAGCAAAGAAAAGAGGCGACGAGAAAAAGAAAAGTACCAAAGTGAGTGTGTCGACAATGTCCGTGTTGGTGAGCGTCGGACCCACTCTACGCGTAGACGCGACTTCGCGATTTCTCTGTTTGGTGGCGCTGTGCACGTGATGCAGTCCTGCCTCGGCCGTCGAGGTCTGCTGAGGCAACCGTGAATGAGCACAAATTCGTACATTCAGGGTACGTGAAGTTGATCGTAGAACATGAGACGGAGGGTCTGATGTCTGATCAAGCAAGGTGTGGTGAGCGTTTGCACGAGGCGCGGATGAAGCAGAAGGGGGGGGGGGGGAAGCTTTCGATGCACTGTTATGTGAATTCTAGGTTCCTCCGAGGTAATGTAATCTAACTTCATGGCTTGTTGCTGCTCTCATCCAGAGTCGCAACCAAGTACTCTTCGAGCAAGCACATGCCATTCCCTGGTCTACACGGTCTTCTAAGCTATTCAGGACCGCCTAGCCCATGGAAAAGCTTTTGGGTCATCAATCATAAGAATGCAGGGAAAGTCGTTAGAATCAAGTAAATCATGTCGATAAGGAATTATGGCCGTAACAACTTGCTCAGACAACAGATATGGGTATGCAACGGGGACGCCATGCAAAAACCCCCCACACGCTTTTTCAAGAAGTCAAATGAAATCGAAATTTAGGATCGACATCAACTTAGATGGAGAAGAGAGATCGTGAATGGCAATGCGCCAATCGTAACGAAAGCAATGCAGTGTAAGGAAATCCATTGAGCGACGACAGTACCCCGTTGTGGAACATGTTCAACGAAGCAGCCCGCCGAGTCGAACAGCAGAGAAACGTACAGAGGGTAGTCGCACTAAGAACCAAAACAGAGTCTGCCAGACAAAATAGCGCACCGCTCGCCCCGTCTTGACGAAGTACAGTCTCCTTGTAAGGACATGATAGATAGCAGATAGGAGGGTGCAGAGATCGACGCTAATCAAGAAGTGCCTTGTAAACAACCAGGCATGTCGAAAGTAGAGGCTGAACGATGCGAAACATGACAAAGGCGAGAGACAGGGGCTTTAACCCTGGTAGCCACCAAAGCCGTTTTGGTTGAAGCCGCCCTGGCCAGGCTGACCCCATTGCTGCTGGGGAGCGGGAGCGCCACGACCGTAGCCACCAGCACTACCTGGCTGCATCTGCTGCGGCTGCATCTGCTGGTAGTTCATGCCAGGACCCCCAAAGCCGGCTTGTTGCTGGGCAAAGGGTTGTCCGCCGGGGCTGGGTCCTGCCCGCGCATTAGATTGTGATTTTCGGTACTGTAGCTTCCTCCGGTGCCGCTCACCTGAAGGTGACATGGGACCACCTGGTCCGCCACCATACTGGGGGAAGTACGCGCTGGGCGCCTGAGCGTAAGCTGGGCTGGGTCCTGCAGGCGAGTAGCCTTCGAATTGGCCGGTTGGCGGGCGGTCTTTGCCCCACTAGATCGGAGAGTAAGTACGAGAAAGAGACAAAGGAATCGACTCAACCTACGCTGCACTTCAGAGGCCGGCCATTGACGTTGTACCCATTAAGTTGACAGATGGCCATAGCAGCGTTCTCGTGAGTGTCCATCTTGATGAAAGCAAAACCACGGTCAGACTGGAAACGAGTCTCGGTAACATAGCCAAAGTTCTGGAAAAGGGGAACGAGGTCAGACTGCGAAGTGTACGGCGTGAGGTTGCCGACATAGCAGGTCGTCTGCCACTGGGGAGTCTGCGCGACAACCATATCGTAGCTCTGAACGCCGTGGGTGGGGAAGTGGTGGTGACCGAAAGGAGTAGTTGGGGTCATGCCCATCGAGGCCATGGCCTGCTGCTGGGAGATGGAAGGCTGACCCTTCTGGTTGGCCCAGTTGCAGCGAATGGCACGCGAGCCGAGCCACTCTCCGTCCATGGAGCTGAGCGCACGTTCGGCGTCGGAACGGTCGCGGAACGCAACGAAACCGTAGCCACGAGACCTGCCAGTCTTCATGTCCCACATAACGCGGGCCTCAGACACCGGGCCAAAGGTGGAGAAGGCTTGGAGAAGCACCTCATCGTTGACTTCGTTGGACAGATCACCAACGAAGATGTGGAAATGGTTCGAAGTGTCCTCCTTGGCAGTGTTGTTGGACTGGTAAGCCCAGTTCACGCGAATTTCCTGCGATTAGTCAGAACCCGTTTTCAGACGACCTCTCGGCATCCCGACTCACGTTGTTGTGGATACGGCGGCCGTTGAGCGTCTGCATGCCTCGCTCGGCCGCGCCCGGGTCGTCGTACTCGACAAATCCGTAGTTGAAGCCCTGCAGGTTCACATGTCAGCCCACGATCAAGAGCCTTTCAGACACTGTGCCAGGCAAGGCTGAAGGGGCACAGTGCCAGGTCGAGCGTCAGAGCGCTGGGAGGAGCTTACGGATGGAGCGCTGGCGGTCTTGTCGGGGATGATCTTGACGCTCTGGACGTGACCGGTGGTCTCGAAGATCTGGCGCAGGACGTCCTCGGTGACGCGGGGGTCCAGGCCACCCACGTACAGCGCCCTCTTGTTCGGCTCGGGCGCGGCACGGCGCGAGGTGTAGCCAGAGCCTCCAGCACTAGTGGGGGACATGACACCGCCGGACATGGGCGAGCTGATCGCCGTGGGGATGGGGTTCGTGTTCTGGGGGATGATTACAGGGGCGAGTGCAGGAGGAGGCATGTGCTGCTGAGGGTTGCCCTGCTGGCCGTCGTAGCCAGGAGGGCCAGCGGACGGCGGTGGGGGAGGCAGGCTGCTGCCAGGAGGTGCAGAGTCGGCCATGGCTAGTGCGAATGAATGCGCCGGTGGGATAAGTGGTGAAAAGCTAGGTGCAATATTTTATTTCTACACTGCAAACTCGAAGGCCGTGCGACGGGAAATACGATGCGAGAAGGTCGACGGCGGCGGAAGCAGGACGAGAAGTGGCCGTGATCGAGGTGGGGGGGGGGGGTGTTGACAGCTGCTCGTGGAGGCGGCAAGGAAATCGTTAAGGCAGGCGCGAGTATGCAGGCGACCTACACTCTGACAACACGAAACGGAAGAGGAAAGGAGACAGCAAAAGGAGATGCGGAAAAGACGAGAAACGGACCCTTTGCCAAACAACGACAGGTAGCTGTTTCTGGGCTTGATCCAACTGTGGGGTGGAGGAGTGAGAAAGGTGTCGAGGTGGTTGCGAGATGACTAGACCGACGCCTGATGCAACGGGCCGACGACTAGCTCTACAGCGAGCCGCCTGCCGTAATTTACGAGTGTCGCGGTTCTATTCGCGAGTTGAAAGTCCAGCGGGGGGGGGTCGAGGCGGATTGCGAACTCGTACGCGAGTCGCTTGTGGAGCCTGTTTGGCCACGGCGGGCTGACCAGAGCCCTTGCGATTCCTCGGGGAGCAAGCAAGCAAGCAATGCAAGTGTGCGCTGTGCGCGAGACTGCAGCGAGTCTTGGCTGTGTATTGTCGCGCTGAAGCGTGCTAGCGCATGCCTGATGCGTGCATTTTTACCGGCGCCTTCGCAGCGACCGAAGCCTGGTAGAGGGATGGAGCGAGCCCAAGGCGAAGCTGCTAAGCGGGGACCCTTCTTCTGAGACGTGCAGTGACGCTGCCGCAGCTGTCAACGAGCGCGCACCGCGCAAGCGTCACTTTGCGCGCACACGTCGCGCCTTCCCACCCCGTTTCCTCACACCCGCCCACCACGACAATGGCGTCCGTCAAAGCAGAAGCACCTGCGCCAGAGCAGCCAAAGGCCCCCGCGGCCCTGGGCAGCCCTAATCTTGACGTGTTGCAGGGGATGCTGAACCTGGTCGTACGAGTACCCACCATGGCTCCAGAGGACATCGCGCTCACCACTGTCGCAGTTACTGACGGCTGGCCGCTTCATCAAAGAGCACCAGGCGGGCGGCGGCACTGGTCGCATGAAGCAGAGCTTGCAGCGCGCCGTGCCCGTAGCCAACGAGCGCTTCCACGATGCCCTCGATGAGCTTGAGAACGGGGTGCGCCTGGCGCAAACGGTGCTGCGAAGGGATCTTGCATTGCTGAAGCAGGATCGCAAGCTGCGGGAGGCTGCAGCGAAGCAGCACGAAGCGGAGAGGGCGCGGCTGGCTGCACAGTCGAAGCTCACGGTTGCTGCGAAGAAAGAAGGGGTGGCCGTGAAGGCTGAGAGCACAACGCCTGCTGCGCAGCCTGAAGTACAACCACCAGCCGAACAGCCTGCAAAAATCGACACGCCAGAAGCGGTACCCAAGGTCGAAGACGAGCCAGCGCAGCCACCAGCACAGCCGCCAGCGCAGCCACCAGCGACGCAGACAACCACCGCGCCGCCTGCAGACCCACTCTTCGATGGCACACCCACCGACTCGAACCCGCAAGAGCAAGAATTTGACTTCGACTTCGAGTTCGGCGATGCAATGGACACGTCTGGCAACAACGGCAACACTGGCGACATGATGGACACCTCAGGAGACATGGACTTCACCCTTGACGAAGGTCCTGCGCTCTTGCGTGGGCTCGAAGACTTTGCAAGGAGCAGTGATGACGACAACAACGGGCCAGGCGCAAACATGGACCTCGACTTCCCCATGCCTGACCTCCCGGACATGAGCACTGATGCAAAGCCTCCAGTGGAGCAGCCGAAACCCGCTGAGCCTGTACAACCACGTGCAGCGCAAGCAGATGACGCCAATGACAGCAAGCCTGTTCAGGAAGCAGCAGATGCCAAGGCTACTATCGACGCCAACGACGCCAGCGACACCCACGACACCAACAACAATAATGACGAGCCTATGGAGACCATGACCACCGACAATCTCGAAGATCTTTTCAATCTCGACGACTACGATAACCCCGAAGGAGGAGACTCGGCCTTCAACGACGCTTTCTTCAACTTTGATTAGAGCCTACGGTGGTAGATACCGCAAGGGTCCAACCCGACTATGGCGTTGGCGTCACAGATACTTCCTCGATACCCCAGGCTTTGCACATAAGCAATGCACGACTTGACATGTCGAATCCGTACAAGGTTATGCCTTTCGCCCTAACACATGGCTTTCACACTCTCGAAGAGGCAGTCGGTGTCCATGACCATATTTCTATCGTTGCAGCTACGGCCCAGGTAACCGGACCTCCGAATACATGTTACGGCGTTTGCCCATGTAACCCCAGCCCAACTTACCATTGACTGCGTCCGTCTTCTCAATCAACCTCAGCCTCTCCCTCCGCTCAGCTACCGACTGTTCGGTTTCCTCCAACGTCCTTCTCGCCTGTCGCCGAGTCCACCACTCGTCGACCGCCCACAAAACCGCGTCGCACGCCAGCTACAACTGTCCAGTTGCAGGGTACACCCAAACCCTTAAGCGCACGTGCGAACCACATCGATGCGAAGTCAGCGCGGATATAAGTCTCCGGTTCCACTCGGCGACGCGGCTATTCTGACCAGCCCATATCGAGAAGACCGCCAATATTGAACTGTACGCGAACGCCACCGGCAACCCATACAGCGCCATCCAACCCGGTGGCTGGAACGACACATTTGGTATCCAAGACCCCCAGGCAGTCTTATCGAGCGCCCCGCCTACAGCTCCTGCCTGCCCTTTCCACGACAGCCTGATAACCTCCTGCGCGTACACGCAATACACCCAATCACTGCATAGACCCCCAACACGCATACCCGACCCCAAACTCCTTAGACCTCCTTTTCCACTCCGGTGGCTCCCCAACCAAATTCCCCAGCACCTCCCCCTTCTGCCCCGATTCAATGCCCAATTGCAGAGCTCGAGCGGCTGAAGATAGGCTCACTAATTTGCTGAGCTTTGACTGCTATGCAGCAAGGATGCGAACCGACACAAAGACCTCTTGTATGTTCACCCATCAACACCAGTCTGCTCTCAGGCGTCCCACATAAAGCTGGGGCTTCCTGAGTTCAAATTGTGATGAAACGCCGCTGCCGTGTGGAGCAACAGTGAAGTTGGCGCTACAGCGTCGAATACCCTGGCGATGTACATTGCTCGCACTCGAGGCGCAAATGTGGCAAGTCGAGGTAGACTATACGTCTTTCGTTTTTTAGGTGGTAATAACGACGGTCGTGCAGGTCCAATTTTCGCCGAGCATATCTGCTGTTAGCTTTAGCGTAGATGTCAGTAGACGCGGCTGCATAGATCACGTTGTAATCGTCCGCCCAAATGAGACTCAACCCATCATTACGCATGTTTAAGACCCTCTAGTAGTCTTGTTTTGGATCCGTGGTACAGAACTCTCATACGCAGAAGACGCACACATATCACGCTCGGATTCGCTCTAATGCCGATCCTGCTCCCATAAAGCCTCATGCACAGTCCGTCATTCTTCAAACTCGATACGATCTGCCCGGTAAGGCATTCGCACTTCCCATCCGGTATGTATTGTGTAGGTCTGTATGCACACGCACACATCCCATAGTTCTCTTTGCAAATCGCATTGCATCCGCGCAAAATCATTGCAGTCATAGCCCCAAACTCTCTTCGCCCTGTTACCACAGAATCGGGACTCCAGCGCGGCTTTCCCAAATAGTGCAAGAGCCTCCGCGGAGGATTTTTGGTAGTTGAAAAGTTGATAATGCAGCCTTATTGACGCTAACAAGGCTCGAACTGTGGTCGACGAGAGACATACTGAACTGGGACAAGGTGGACTAAGTCCTAGGACGCGAAACTAGATTCCGGCCTGCCCTGAGGTCTGGCATTGGTGTTCTTCCAAACTTTCAGGGCCTTTATTCGAGTGCGGGTTCTTACATGTTGCAGCAATGGGTGGCGTCTGGTTGGCTGGGAAGACATCGCACAAGCCGGCACCGATGATAGACAACGAATGCGTTGCTGGCCATTCGAAACGAGGGCGGCATCATTCCTTGAGGCTTGTTCACATGAACACGAGAGATGAAGATTTCGCAGAAGTAGATCGTATTCATGTCGGTTTGATGTCGCCGGTCGTTGATTCGATGCGTACGAAGTGTGGTAGAGGTCTTAGCTGTCGAGAAATACTGGCCAGGTTGATCGCAGTCAGTGCTGAGAACCTGAAGCTGGGCCACGAGCTGGAGGTGCCCGCAGCTCTCCCGATCCTGCACTGAGACCCAGATCCGTTTAATGCCGCGCGAATTAGAATTACAGTGTCAGCTTCGCATCAGCAGCCATTCAGCGTTCTTCCGTTGGCTACTACATGGCTCACCACCTTACATCATGCATGTGGCTCCCTCAACACCTGTATATGATCGAGATCTGTCTTAGTAATAGCAAATGCAGACCCGAGCATGCCCTGTCAGCCCAGATCATCTGTTGTCACAAAGGTGACCCAGAATCGCAGTCTATAATCCCATACAGTAGATTGCCATATCGTACCTTCGTAGTCTGGGACAGCCTAGGCACCTGTCTGCCGACTTGTGACCGCGCCCTGGCGGCAGCCCCCAGATCGTTGCGGACTTAAGCCGGATACGGTGAACGCAGCAAATGAGATTTTGAGGAGATGGACTCCGACACGCTTGCTGCGAGGCTGAGTGGCGTGCATGACCGTTCACACTCTCTAGCGCACTGTGGGGAAACGTGGGGTGGCTAGGTCGCCCTAGTGCAGTGTCACTCGCGCGAAACGCGGATGCGACTCGGTTTGGAAAAACCTCGAAGTGAGCGATGTGACGTTGGCCATGATTTTGGGGTGGAACTGTGTGCTGGTGAAGAGACGCGGGTCAGGCAATCAAGAGAATGAGAGATGCGGGGAAGATAGTGATGTTGATAATGATAGATTTTGTGATTGCGGAATCGTAATGAAAGTCAACCTGGATCGACTTTTGTCTCTTTCCCTGACTCCAAAGTTACCCAACCTTATTTTCAGACCATGAGATGTGAGGTCTTTCGTGACATCGTAGCAAGCATAGTGACAGCCGAAGCCATGAGTCAGTATGTTCTCAACAAACTGACTCTCTCGTTGAACATAGGCTCTTGAAGCCTATTTGTAAACAGATCTCATATTTCGCCGGACAGTTGGAACTGTAAGGATAAAGAAACGCCATAAACCAGACATAGGTCGAAGCAGGCGTCTGTAGTGGGAGAGAAAAGCGAAGGCTCGATCGCGGTATTGCGTGATGTGGCCTTGTAAAAGTGTACAAGAAGGTCATTACGAACAACAGGCGGTAATGGCCATTGGTCTTGGTGACCGATTTGCTCGCAGTCAATAGCGGTGTACAAGAGAGCCATTTGTGGCTTCTCTTGGATAGTCCAATAGGTGTTTGCTCCTGAGGGCCGTCAGTGTGATATCGTGCATTTCGTATCGTCGTCGTAGGCAATAGTGTATGTGTGTAAAGCCAAGGTTTTGTACATGATTGTGTCTCGAGAGGAAGGGCCTACGAGGCATGGCCGAGGACCGAATTTTCGGCCCGCTGGTTGATGCAATGAGCGTGTGCCTCTAGTGCTCGTGCTTGCACTTGCGTGACTGCTGTTCAGGTTAGCTATTGTTTCTTTTACTGTAACAAACTCGACTTACCAGGCCAAACAGCAGCCTTTGACAGCATATACGATGTGACCATCAGGAGCTTAGTCCCGAAGCCACAACGACTCATTCCCGAGATGCCAGGGACGGAGTTGATGACATTGTTGCAGGAGATATCATAGGCCATCTTCATGTCAGCATTGTGCAAGATGTCTGAAATCTTCTGTAACAGCTTGATGTCCTCTTCTTCAAGACACATGATGGCAGGAACCGTAGTGTAGTCAATGTCATCTCGTCCAAGCACCCCGAGGTAACGACCGACACGATCCTGAACAGTCGCGACCCACTCAGCGAGTACTTGTGCACAGTCGAAGGTGCACAGTGCAGACGAGTTTGGCAACTCTCTGGCGGTGAACTCGGCGTATGTAGCACCCAATTTGTCCGCCATGGACAGAGAGTCAGCAGCATAGAAAGCTGCCTTTCGGAGGTGCCTCTCGCGTTTCGAAGACGCTTGTATACCTGCGGATCCAGTGAATGCGACGCCGTCCAGCTGTTGGGCGAGCTGATCAGGTGAAGCAGCCTTCCCAGAATCAGAGCGTTCGGGTGTCCCGTCCGCCTGAGCTACAATGTCGACTCCCTTGGCAAGTTCGTTGGCCATGCCCTCAAAGTCACGTTGCCACAGGAGTTCCTTCGCTCGAGAGAGGTTCACAAACAGGCGGACGTATGCCAGATCCAATAGGGGTATGCAATCTGCAGACAATGGACCAAACCGACTAGGTCGCTCGATGCTGTGGTTGGGATTGGTTCTCCAGGCAGCCTGCCAAGCTTTCAGAGCAGGCTCGACTTGGGCGTGCATGGCCTCCGTCTCCTGTGTCTTCCATAGACGTCCGGTGTGTCTTTGCCGAGTCTCCCAAATGTAGACGTGCAACGCGTTGATCAGAATGTAACAACCGAAAGTACTGGGTTGTATGTCGCTCTCGATTTGATCGTTCAGCGAGCTGCCTCCAAACTGCTGACTGTATGGGTTGTGCACACGAGAAGCGCCTTCGCGAGTGCTTGCTTCGAGCAAGTAGGTCATGGCAGCATTGAAGGACAAGGTTCTGGATTGCGCAACCATCGAGCCACCCATTGCCATCCATGCTTGAGCATTCTCAGCAAACCACAGATCCTCTTCACAAGGAAGGTCGAGACGGATCTCAGAGTTCAGTATCCGCGGAGCGTGGGCGTATGCCGAAACAAGCAAGCTGGACATAGAAAACACAGCATAGTATGTTCTCTTCTTTTCTTCCGTCTTCTTCCACTGCATCCACTGGGTGTAGTCGTTACGCATGTCAGCAGGTGGATCTGCATGCCCATTCGCGTCGTCCGTCATCGACGTATCGTCGCCATTGGGATGCGCCGGCGGGCTTTGCGTCATCGTCTCCGGCACTGTAGGCTTATCCAGGCCTGCAGCTTTGGCAAGACTGACCAAGGCTGCACAGTGAGTGCTTGCAACCTCAGCAGCTTGTCGGTCGCCGCAGTTGTGACCGAAAATCAGATTGAGCAACATAGCCTGTACCAGCCATAGCGGCGGTTTGTTGATGGACTCGTTCGCTGCGCTGGGGCCATTGACGGCAGCCGTCAGCCCAGCCCTGCGACGCTCGTCGAGGTAGTACAGTATCAACTTCTTGGCAGCTTCAAACAGGTCTTTCGCTACGACCTGCTCAAACTCATACAAAGCACCTATCGCTGCCATGGCGAGAATTAGACAGCCGCCACCCCCAACCATTCCATCATGGTTATAATTGTTCGTGGTGCGAAGCTGGTAAGTGTAGGCTGGAGTATCGAAGGACAGGGTTGGAATATGCAGGAATGGCATGTGAGGGTGGAAATACAGAATGTAGGCATTCACGTAGCGTTGGATGTCCATGGTGCTCGGTAGCGTTGCACTTTGACCTTGTGCTGATAGGGGAGAGCTGATCTGTGGCTGAGAAAATCGACGCTGCGGGTTCCCTACGGTAAGGGCCTGTTGCAGATTGATGATCAGGGCCTGTCGTGTAGCCTCCGTAATAGTCTCAGTAGAAACCGAGGTTACAGAGCTGTGTCGTGCGCTGCCATTCATTGACGCCGAGGATATGCTGCCGGCATCAGATTGGAAGGTCATGGGCGCCTGGAAATACTGATTTGGCATACCGGGGATACCTGCTGAAGGACTTATCGCTGAAAGTGGGGGTGGTGAGTTGATATAGAAGTCATTCTGCACCGCAGGATCTGCAAGCTCCTGTGTCTGCATGGTGTTGACCATCAACTCAGGAAACACGGGTGCCATAGCGTCTGTGTAGGCCAAGGGATTGATGTGCGAGTGCGTCGGCATCGGTTGGTGCCACATAGCGGCAGAAGTTGCTTGGCCTGACCCATCCAACATGACTTCGTTGAATGCACCCTGACTTGCAGTGCTGATAGCTGACGGAGATGATCCCTCGATGGCGTTCTCGCTCGAGAACATCATCGGGTTGTCCATACCTGCACTCCACGCGAAGTCGTCTTCTTCGATTGGGTTGTTGCCAGCAAAGGGATTGGCAAATTGCCTGAAGGGCGAATGCGGGTGAGCGAGGTTGCCATTGAAGTGATGCAATTGGTTGGGGTTAATGGTCGAGCCAGACGAGGTGCCAAAGAACTTCTCGAGCTCAAGGTCATCAGGCCCAGGCGCTCCTTGAACCGGCGCCGTACGAAGTCCACTTCCACCCATGCTACCGAAACCAATGTGTGTGTCTAGTCGTGCTAATCCGTGGTGTTGCCCGTGGTTGCCCACTGCCGTGGACATGCCTCTGTAGTCAAACTGACTGGAACCACCGAAACCAGACAAGCTAGCATGGCGTGAATGACCTGGATGAACTCCGTTCCCTGTTGACATCGATGCATTGTGGAGCGCAAGGAAGTTTGCATCGATCGCACCAATAGTATTGGCGCGCGGTCGCATGCTACCAGTGCCAGTAATGATGCTGCTAGCATTGCTCGATATCGAGTTTTTACGAACGCGGTTCGCGGAGTTGGTGGGTGGCAGACCGGTTGTGCTTTCTCGTCGTGCATTGCGAGGTCTTGAGGAAGTCGCGCCCTGCTGATGCAGCTTCTGCTGATGGCGTAACAGCAGGTCGCGCCGCGCAAAGCATCTCGTACATTGGGGGCACTCGAAGGGCTTCTCCTTGGTGTGTGATCGCTCGTGGCGCTTGAGGTGCTCTAATCGTGCGAACGAGCGGGTGCAGGTGGTACAGATGTGTGGCCGTGGCTTGTCGGTCTTTGGTGGAGGGAAGGTGGTGGCAGGAGGTTGCGTAGTCTCTGGTTTTGCAGTTTGTACAGAAGCTGCAGTTAAGGGATGTGATTAGCCTTGAGCTGGCGGACTGGGTGGTGATGCCTACTGTTGCTGCTGCCGCCATTGCTGCCCCCTGATTCGTCGCTCGGTAGGTTCGCAGGCCCTGTGGGGCTGTTCGCCGCTGGCTGGTTCGACATGTTCGACAGCTATTGACAAAGTCTCTTGGGCGTGTTTCAATGCTCAGAACTCCCTATCCGGCACGTCGAGGACTGTCTCAGCAACCTCGCAAGATGCAAAGTAGTGGACGGGTAGGGCTGCTGTACAGGGTGGGAGTGGCCGGATTGAGTTGGTGCTACTCGTGGATCCAGCGATCTCGCCGAGTACTGTTAAACAAAGAGTGAGGAGGGTACCAGGTACGCTAATCTAGGAACGTCAGCAGGAGACATACTGGGGGAACAGAGAACTAGGTGGGAGGTTGATACCTTTTACAAGGCTCCAGCGAACAGACCCTAGGCGTTCCACTGACGCTGAGACGTGTTGATTCCGATAACCGGCCCCGTACCAACCGTTCAGTGCAGACCAGAGAATGGCTCTGATGGTGCAGAGTTAACGCAGACCGTCCAGTCCAGCTGCTTCGAGAGCTCCAATTGGTCGCCGAAGGAGGATATTGAATAGAAGATGGCTGGTGCGATGTGGTGATGAAACTGGCGATGGTTGACAGTCGCAGCTCAGAGTGGAAATCGGACGATAATTGATTAATGGAAAGAACCACGGGAACGGTAGATGCCCTTGGGCTAGTCGGGCCGCTCACACGCTGGTGTACGTACGAAGGGCCCGGTAGCTGGAGACTGGTGTTGTCGTGCGCTGTGGATGCACTGAAGACACAGTACAGAATGCAGGCTGCGTGTGTCGACCAGCAAACAGCACACGGTGATGGCGAGACTGCTCACTTGCGCCGTTCGTGGACCGAAGCCCAGAATACAAAGCAGTCACAGCGTCAGAGAGAGCAATTGGCAAGCTCTCCAGCTCGCTGCGCTGCAATTGGCTGGGAACTCCAGGGGATCGAATGGAGGGGCAGCCGAGAAGCTGGGGTATTGACCGGGATGTGTGCGCCTTCCTCGCTCAGATAAACAGAGAAAGAACGACCACCACAAGAAAGGTCAAAGAATAGCAGCGACAACGTTCGCACAAGGTGTGACAATGGAGGCGGAGGCAACGTCCAGAGAGCGGCGCAAGTCTCCAGGTAAGCAGCTCGTCCAGGGCCCAACCAGCGAACCAGAGGCTGCGCGCGCGGTTGCATGACACACCAACGCTCCAAGCTAGACCCCAGAGCTTTTCGGCAGCAGACGCCTCGCTGCAGCACCAGGGCCGTCGAGAACGGTATCGCGTCCTCGCCGACGTTTAGCGTTTCCAGGGTCTGGCTCCGCCGCCGGACATGGCCCCGAAGATGCACACTTCTTCTAGAGGCGGCAACGATGAACAGCACACGCTGATCCTCATGCTCGACGACCCGCTTTAGAGGCCGGAAGCCGGCAGGCATCGCAGCGCGTCAGACAGCGTGGAATCCTCGCACACTCGATGCTTGGCCGCAGCAATTCGACAGGGGTCAGGGGAACTGCAACGCGGCGGCTCAGCGCCAGAAACGGGCAGCGCGAACGCAGCGTTGGCTTGAGGTTGTCGAGCACAACAGCATCGGTCCCTCGTAATTGACCGTCGGAGTTACTTGCCATTGAATTGCCCCTGATTGCTTTGCTGGGCGACTTTGTTTTCAATTTCGCCAGGCTGGGAGATTGGCAGGTGCCAATGTGTAGCGGACCCTAAATTAACTCACAGCGGACATAATGTCACTTGCCCATGGAACTTTATCAAAGCTATGCCCATGCAGGCCCAAGTTTTGTGAAAGGACCCAACGTGGCACGGCTCAAGCCTGACTTTTGTTTTGACAGTGTCGATGGAATTCAGCGCAATGCGAGATCCCATTCAATGGCGGCGCAAAGTACCTCAATGCTCCAACGCAACCAGATGCTGACGGTCGTTGGCAAGCGCTGAACTACAGGAACAGCCACAAAGACCGCACGCTACGGAGTACGCGGCCTGGTGAACTGCACCTGGCAACCTGGCAATCGAACTGGACAAGGACGATGACATGGTACGCAGTACATACCCGTCCTTCTGCAGCGCTGGAGCTCTCTTTACCGATGTCAGCGTCGCGCAGGCGTCCGTGTGCAAAAGTCTGGGGAAGCTGGAGTCGCGGAGATGGAGGCTGCGGGCTTGAATCGAAACACCCAAGTGGTGGAGCCGTTCGGTGGCCCAACCACCAACAGACGCATGATTTCCCCACAGTCTCAGAGCGGCTTAGATCCGGCGCACTCTCGTGCAGGCGGCCAGTGCTTGCATGCATTCCGTTGATTGGGACCGCTTACAGCCCACTTTGACTTGTCCGAAACGGCTTGCCAGTTCCTTCGAAGACCCAGGCCACGACCCTGGCCCGCCGATGCAGCGCTGCCACACCACGGTTCGCCAACGCTGATCAGGGCCGTCTTTGCGACTTATGCTCGGCTGGAAGCATCTAAATGGGCCCTCAATTGAGAGTCCTAAATAGAGCAAAAGCACGCTGTCGAGCACATGGCCGCAAGAGGTCCACAGCTCGCAGCTTGCATCACGCCGCCTAGGTGACCAGAGCGATTTTCGACAAGCCTATAAGACTCGGAAACAAAGGACCCTGTCAGTACACGTCTCGTATCAATGCAGAGACCCGCCAATAATGGATCACTGTGGGTACATATTTCGCTGCACATGACCCTTCAGAGCGGGCCCTGACAACTTTCTGTTCGAGCAGGCTGCGACGGCTAGCCATCCAGCATTCTCCGCCGTTCTCCTAGCTCCAACATTGGAACGTCATCACGTTTGACGGCAACTGTTTGGGTGGATGTCGCAAAGCCGCGAAGTATTTCTCATCTTAACTCAAGCCAAGCTCCTGTTACTCGGGTGGCCCACTACTACAGTACAGGCTTGGCTATCGCTCTGCACCGCCAATTATTGACAAGTTTAGAACTTGGTGTAGACGGTGACGTCTGCCCTTATCTACAAAGAACAATCTGATGCTGTAGTGCATGCACGCTGTCAAGCTGATGGGAGATCAGCGCTGTACATATTTCAATCCACCAGCCAAGCCACCAACTACGTCAACCGAGGGAATCGCAGGCACACATTGAAAACTTTGTCTTTAATCAGCCCTGCAGAGCGATCCCAGCTCGGTGGTCGTTGCTAAACAAGTCAAAAGCCGCCTGAACGTGTTCTGTCACACCACAGAACCTCGCGACTGATGTCTCTGGATCTGCAATCAACTGGTTCAATCAGCTAACGGTCGCCCCACCATGCGCGCATGGAACTTCAAAGATCGCTCGCCAAATTCCTGAAGAATGCTGATCGAAACAATTTTCCGCAGTAGGCGAGCCTCTCAACGCACTTCTCGAGATGCCTCCTTGTACCACCTAGTCTGCATTCGAGTTGGCACAAAGGCTGGAAGCTCCGCAAGGAGTCGAGCTCCTCTTATCTTGCAACTGCAATCAATACAGGTACATAACCACATGGTACATCAACCCGTACTTCTATCTACGATGTACATCCTACAGCTAGCGCGATTGGCCCAGGTACTCACGGCCTACCGATGCCACAGCGCGCATGACGAATCGATACTCGGGACGGAGGTCGACGACACAAACTGTAAACATGTTCCGACCGACACGGAATCTACGTATAGACTCGATGACGAGCGTCTGTCTCTTGCCGTTCGTACCATCGCTTCACAAACACATGCAACTGCGGGGCCAATTGCCTTGTCGGGCGCTAACTGGGATAGGAAGTCCCGGTGCATCTCACCCCACCAGACGACGTTCTTCCCCAGACGCTTGCCGCCCGTATCTCAGTGCCTACGCTGCGCAGGCTGCACTCCAGCCGCCCAGCCTATCAGCTCATCACGCGTAGGAGCTGAGGTATTCCAGTTCGTTCCATGTAGAAGTAACGCGGACTGTGGATAGTAAGAGTTGCGCTGATCGAGTCTAGAAACACGGAGCCTACGAATCCTTCACGACGGTCTGCACGAGCGACGGTTCGCAGCTGTCGCATTACACCAAACATATGGCATGCTGTGATATTGTTACACACTCTATCGATCGCAAATGCTTGTAGCACGAACATCGCGATGTTCAGTAAGCGTAAGCTACAAGGTGCTCCTCGCCAAAAGACTGCACAAGCTTTATGATCAACGAAGTACGGCGCATGTCTTCAAGTACGGACATCAATTGCAGTTTCTCAGACAAGAATCAGCTTGATCTTGCTCAATTAGGTGCCTCGCAATTTCTTGGCTATGTGTACAGCTAGCTCAGCGGCATGCAACCTAGTCAAGGTACATTGTAAGTACCTCGCCACATCCTTCAACAACCTGCTGACTTTTGCTTGGTTGCTTAGCTCTGAAAGTTTTCCTTGTGTGCATTCGACCAACAAGTTCCAGAAACCCATTCCACAGCCTGGCCAGAACCGCTTCGTTACGACTTCGTGCGCTGCAATGTCCTGTGACGAACTTTGCACTTCGCTTTGACCCAGTTCTTTTTAGTCTTCTCCGTCGCTATACTCCGACAATCCATGGACTGTACTCCGCAATCTTTGGACACCGACTGTTTCGCTGGCGGCAACTGCTACTGTAACCGTGACCTTGCAGCTTTCCAAGCCTGCCGGCCGGTCAGTCGCTCGCTTCGGTCTTTCGCTCATCCGGTCCCCGAAACAGCTGCCCGGCAGTTGCATCAAAGTACCTTGGACAAAAGCCTCGCGTCTCGTGCCCGGCCCGACGCTTTTCCTGTCATCTGTGCGAATACGCTACAACGACTGCCAGCAGCCACCTAAACTTACTGAGTTGATACGATAAGTTCTGCACAACTATCTATTATTGTGTCACTCTGTTTGTTGTGAGCATCAGCACCAACCTCGGTAGATCTCCGATGTTGCGGCTTAACAAACTCGTGGTTTTGCCGCTTTAAGATCCTTGAATCATCTCCGGACGCCTGATTCACCAAACTTGACAACCCATTTGGACCCTGCTTTGGTGCCGTCGCCCATGTCACGATAGAACGAACGCCTCATTTGTTGAGGATCACTTTACGGCAAGGATTGTTTCGCCATGTCGAGGCGGATGGAACCCCAGACGCAAGGACTCTCTTCAACTTCCGCGCCCCAGAGTGCCCACAACGGCTCCACTTGGCTCATACCAAACCGGAATAAGGCGAAACTCAACAATGGCAACCAATTTTGCCTTAGCAAGTGGAGCATGTGCCCAACAGAAACTCCCTGATCGTAGTCACCTCGCCAGCAGTATCTCGAGTGGGATTTAGCCTCTTGTTGCTTGAAGGAGTTCGCCTCCAGTTCGTGTGCTGCGGCTTCACTGGAAGGAGCATCCATTGTAACTAAGGCTTATCACACACACAGCTTCACGGACACTCTACGTAGTTGTCCCATATTACCATGATGTGTGCGACTCAAGGAAAAACACACAAAATTGATGTCCTCGATCGTTAGCAAGTGTTGAGACTCAATGCTGAGACCGGCTTACAGATTGTCGGCTATGAAGTGCGGCAAACACGTGTGCTGCATGCTGTGCAACTCGTCATTCGGGGTAACTCTGCAGAATCGTAGCATGGCTTGCTGCATGCAAGACATCAAGTTCCACCTCGGATGTCGACTCATCGGTAGCAGTGGAGAAGTCAGGTAAGCAACACTGCGTCAGCATCGCGACACACGTAGGTCCAGATGTTTCATCTTGGCCACGCGGCCCTTGCCGATAACAACATCAGCAATGGTAAGTCAGTCAAGCTCAGTCCAGGGCAGATGAGGTCTAAGACCACCGAAGCGCAGGAAGCGTGCCTAGAGCCGCTGCTGCACCTCGAAAGAACCGAGGTATGATGCTGTCTTGACAGCGCAACTGAAACTTGAACCTCACAAAAGTTTCAAGTTACCTTTGTCATAATAGACACTACGACCAGTCAGAATAGATAGTGTCTTGCTCACCAAGAATTTTCTTGACCAATGTTACACTATGGCCAGCCAGAGGAAATTGTATAAAACTCCTGTGATTAATTCATGACACTGCTTTAAGTCCGTGGTATATTTCAAGCGTTGTTCGGCAGGTGTTCACAGCATATTCAGTTCTTCGGAAAGCTCAGACACTGTGCATTCTGACAATCCATAATCTCAAAGCGTTCGCTGTCACTGTCGTGTAGGTATTTTACACCAGTACTTGACGTTCACGCGGCTCAGGCGATGCACTACCACTGCCTGAACTCCCAGATCATACCGTCCCTTTCATCGCACAGCTTCTCCTGACCGCTCACTGCGGCTCCCTACACTTCTGACACACCGTCGCATAGTCTCCTGTCTTTGCCCACATCACCTGTCCACCACACTGATCGCACCGCATACCAACCACAATCGAGTCAGCCATCTTTGTCTCCCTATCTACCAGAATGCCGACTACGACCGACTCGGCCATTGCGCCCTCTTCTTGCTCTTCAGCTTCATCGGCTTCTCCGCCTGTCTCCTCCTCTTTCATAACTTCATTCATATACCCAAGTGCAGGTGATGAAGCCTGCCCGGCCTTGACATCCTCTTCGCTCATACACACAACATGCTCCTCGACCCCTTCTCCCTGATCATCTGGCGCTTCCTGGCCATATGTCCCGGTCTCCATCCACTTCTTCATGTCTCCCTTGGAAATTATCGTCGATATCTTATGACCATGTTTCGTGGGCGTGTCAGTCAATGACCCTGCGGACGAAATATGGGCCAGCGGGCGGCGGGGCGAGAGGGAGGCCGTCGGTATTGTGGTGTTGCCATCTGTGAATGAGGCCTGGGTGTTGCGGCGATGACGAGACATGGGTGGTGAGATGTTGTCGGGAGATGAATTAGTGGTGACGATGGGGTCTTCTGTGACTGAGGCGATGGCCTTGGTGACTTCGACTTTCGGGTTTGGTTCATGTGGGTCAAGGGCCACATTGAGAGATGCTCGCCTGAGATGAGGCATGTTGAATGTGAGTTGAGCTTATCACACCAAGCTCGTGGTTGAGACTGGATTGTCGAAGAAATATTTTGAGGGAGAAGGGCCGTGGATAGGATGTTGTACTGGACGGCCTCGGAGCACATACTGACAGTGAATGTCTCGTAGATTCACACTCAGTTTGATAGCTACACCACGTCCATCAGATAGGGTAAAACTTAACCTAGTGACGAGGCAGCCGTCACATCGTCCTTCGTGGGTTTATTTAAGGGCAGAGTCGTTCGGTGCTGCCTCCAAGTCATAGTAAGCATTCATAACAACGTCCAACCCGCGAGTAAACTTCGACCAAAAAGTCGAAGACCTAATTCTCCTCATCAACCTCCAAGGCGAAAGCCCTTCTTTTTGATTGATCAACAACAAATAACCCTCGATTGCGGCCGAGCCTGCACCTTCAACACGCGCAAGCCGCAAACTCAAACGCCCAGGCAGATACAAACAAACCCTCACCTGGCCACGAACACCAGCCATTTAACTCCACCGACCTCCCAGATGTACTTCGCCATCGCCTCCTCCGCAATACCTTCCACTCCCAACAACGAGACCCTACCACCTTCACCAACCCGTCCGCCATCTCTGAGCGCTCACCCTTCCCAGCCTCCGAAGACTTCAACCTTCTACACCAACAAAATGCGCAACACCCTCATCGTCCTCTTAGCCATTGTCTTGGCTGTGGCAACAAGTTTCCAAACTGTCGGCCTTGGGATTAGGGTTTAGCAATGGAGAGGACGATAGATTTGCATGGTCCAATCGGAGATTATAAGAGGCGTATTATTAAAGCTGGAGTGGTGCAAGAGAACTGAAGTCGAAGGGGTCAGACTGTATTGAGACTGTTTCCTAAGGGTGGAGGTGAGTGGTTTGCCAGAAACAGGAGCAAGAAATCGAAAAGAAAATAGAACTTCCCTCTGTGACCCTCTCCCTTCTAATACTGAATGACCCAGTTGTCACTTCCGCTTCCGCATCCCAAGTCACTGCTTGAGCTACCGTAGCTATTTCCTAAGTCTTCGCAGCTGTCTTCTGAGCTTCTGTAGCTGCTCATATGACTGTTTTCGTAGTCATCCTCGCTGCCTCTGAAGCTGTTTCCAGAGATAGTCAATCGTGAACTAATGCTGAACGGTCTTGTCGACAAGTTTGGGGGCCCCGCTGGTTTCCGCACCAAGGGCACTAGTTCATGATGCTGTGCGGCAGTGATAGTGGGGGGCTTGAATTCCTGTATTTCAAGTTGTCTACACGCGATGGACTTGAGTGAAAAGGTCTGTGTGGCGCGTGCGAAGAGGACGGCGTCTTGTCGAAACATGGTGACAATTTGAGTTAGGACTGGACTGCTCGTGTTCGACAACGCTCTGGCGTAGATTCGGAAGTTGACAGACCCGTAGTTGACACCTATCAACCCCCTTTTCAATCCACGATGTTAATGATTGTCAAAATTTACAAAACCCCCTTATATTAGAACAATGACACAACCAGTACATCTGCACCATGGTATAGTCGTGCGGACAAGCTTGTGAGTGGCTATTACTAACGTTGATGCCCTGCATGACGTATACCAAGCTGTCACAACTGCCAATTAGACAATCAAAAGCCACTCGGAAGCCTTCATTTCTGTATGGTGTAGAAAACTTCAGTAGCAAGCCAGATTTAAGGGGGTCCATACATGTTGGCAAGCACCGAGAATTCAAACTCAATTTGAACTTCGCCAATAGCCGAAAACTCGCCAGCACACTCTTGTCCTTCCCAAAATTTAATTGACCAAGCCGCAATTGCAATGTCGCTCAACCTACCAGGAGGCAGTCACAAAGATACCGATACTCGAGGAATAAACTCATGTTTGGAGATCCTGCGATGCCATGAACAGACTGGACGGGATATTTGGTTCTGATATTCAGGAGCCTGCACTGTTGTGGACAACCCTAGAGGTATTCACCTCGTCCCAATCCCCAAAAGTATTTCAATCAGCATGTCAATCATGTCTCGATGCAAGCTGCACTAGAGGCAGTCACATTCATCTGCGCTCCTGCAAAGCGCACCGGCTGCAATCACAATTCTGCAATCGCACAGTCAACCCCGGAGGCACGCACACAACTCTTCTTCAATCAGCTGCCTCTCAGCTCACTAATCAACGAAAAGTGTAGTCGCATCATCTCAGATACTGCAATAGAGACGACACAGCACCAATAGGCATAGGACAAGCCCAGTGACCCATCAGCGCTAGCTCTAGAAAAAAAAAAGTAAGTGTACTTCTCCCTAAGGAGGCTCCCCTTCGAGAGACTTTAAAACAGAAGTAAGTATCTCCCTAAAGAGGCTTCCTTTCGAAAGACTCGAAAGCAAACGCAAACTAAACGCAGCAAAAAAAGATCAAAAAGGGGAGGGGGGGTTAGGGGTTACCTGGATGCACATTCAGAACTTCTTCCACCACACCAACTCCTCTCTCTTCATCTCTTTCTTCTCACTACCACCACTCCAGTACCCACTATCTCCATTACCCATCGCCTCCTCCTTATCCTCTTCCTCATACAACTTCCACCACACCACCTCTTTCTTCACCACAAAAGTTGAAGACATGTTGTCTTCGTGCGCGCGTGTTTCTAGAAGTTGGATCAGCAATACTGAAGTAGTTTGCAGAACAGGGGATAATTAGCTTGCTAGACTTTGTGAGTGAAGAGAGAGGAAGGGGAGGATGGGAATTGGAGGTATATGTGCGGTTTATGATGGGGGTTTGACTCATTGAGTTGAACCACTGTTTGATGGTGATTCTGGCGGCTTCGAAGAAAGATCGGGATGGAGTTTGGGAGTGTGCTCGTAGGGATGTGCAACCGTGGTAGGGGTAAGTTGTCTGGACTGCGTTTGATGGACCCTGGAGGTTTTCATGTTTGGTTGCGAATATCCACGCATCCTGCGGGGTGCGGAAGGAAGTTCCAGTTTTCGATTTTATGATTAGATGGTATGCAATTGCAGGTGCAGGCATAATGTGGGACAGTGCCGCGACTACCTCCAAAGTCCAGCTTCGTGTGTGAAGTCAGGTCGTCCCTTCTCGTAGTTTGGTTCTTTCCATCGCTTCGATGGGTTTCTACAGGTGCTAATTGCGAGCAAGTCTTGCTTTGATGTTCTGGAATCACTTCCTCTTTTTGTGCAATGGTGGGTACAAGCGTAGAGCTGACCGATGTCGTGGATGACGGACAATGCAGTGACTACCTCCATCTCCACGGTCAATCTTCCTCTGCCGGATGCATGAGTGCTACGAAACTTTCCACAAATCTTATCTGGCCATTTCAGATGTTCAAGGCAAATTAAGGTTTCGGAATATCTCAATGGTGTTTCTGGGTGACTATTTCCTTGGTTGCAGCTCGCCGAGAAGACGCGAGATCCCTAGAATGTGGTAAATCTGGATGCGGCATTGGACTGGCATGCAACATGCGGAAAGGCTTGAGGGATTGGAGAATGGTCTGTGATGTGAGGGTGTAAGTTGCTAGGCCAGCGTTGGTGATCGTCGGTCCAAAAATGGTTGGTGGTAGTCGCGCTGCCAAGGTTTCTGATGGTATTGTCTGGTCCTTCAGATGGTATTAGAATACGGTGGCAGATGCTGTTCTTATATACAAGTAGTGCAAGTTAGAATGCGGGGAGATAATGACGCGGAACACAACCATGGTTGAGGTAGTTGCGTGCGACAGCAGTTGATAGACGGAAATCCTGAATCTACGCAAAGGCCACATGCCAAACCAAAGTCAAATTGAGGAAAACATACCCTGGAACAAGATGTCAGAACATTCTAGACGTCGAGCTTTCTAGATATTTTCCTCACACACGCATCTAGACGCTCACTTAGACCAGCACAACCGGAACAACCCCCTTCGTCACTGTTTCCACTCCCTTCTATCGCCCCACAGCATCTAGTCAAAGCCTCGACTCCAAGCCTTCTCCACCTTGCCCCAACCCTTCAACAAACCCCACCACACGTTTGACCAAATCACCCACAACCTCTTCCGGGTCACCATTGAGATTATGGTGGCCGCCCTCAACGACCCCTCCATTACTTTCATCCACCTTTCCACCCCCTTCCTTGACAAAGCCTGCCCATCGACTTAATAGGGCGGGCTTGTCGGTGTTTTTGTGCATGAATGGATCTTCGCTGCCTAGGAGGAACATAATTGGGACGGACGATGGAATGCGACCGAATGAGTTTCTAAGCGTCGAGTCGTCTAGGTCGGTGGAGAAGTAGTCATCGTCTCCGCCCTTTGCCAGCAACGAGTTTGTACGGTACGCTGAGATGGCGGCGCCGAGTTCTTTCTGCACGATGTTGCCTTCTCTGTACACGATCTCTCTTTCTTTCCCCTCTTTGATCAGCCGCTGCGCTTCGACGAGCACAGCAGCACAGGAGTCCTTCTCTTCCTTACTCTCAAGTAGGAAGTCCCAGGCCTCCCTGTCACTCAAGCCACCTTGGAGAATCGCGCCGTTGATCTTCGGTCGCTCCTCATGTCCTTCTTACGTCAGAAGATAATCCAACCAACGATCCCCCTTCCTAAATCTCAGCAAATCAAGGGTGGAAGGGGGCGACGCACCACGCCCAAGAAGATACTCCATGACATCTTGACACCCGGTCGAATGCCCCATGAGCACAATCTTCTTTCCCGGTCTCGCACTCTGGAAATACTCAACGCATTGCGCGAGTTCGCGAGCGTCTTTTTGCAAAGACGAAGTGGCCCAGCCTCGGTAGGAGGAGGAGAGGAGGACTTCCGAGATGGACCAGGAGGGGGGCAAGGAGGTGGCGATGGTGGATGGGTATCTAGGTAGGTTAGTTGGGTGGCATGTTGGAGCTAGAGTACGTGGGCTGGGGGTATGAGGAGAATTGGTGTTTGAAGAGATGAGAGATAATGGGAGGAGTAGGAGACGTGGGAAGCAATGTTACCAAAATGAAGGCACCTAAACGGTGAGGGGGATGGGAGGGTACTTACTGCACAGTCAACAACCCATCGCCCAATCCGCCAATCCACAACAGCGTATTCGCAGCCTGATCTGTATTCTTCGAGTGTGCACCAGCGTGTTCGAAAGCAATGAGCCTCTCAGAGTACTTGTGTGCAGTACCCGCATGCGCCATCCTCATCGTGTTTCTCACCAAGCTAGAAAGTGGAATCGTGAAGTGTCGATAGTACTTGATGCGAGGTGATGTCAGATCGATCAGATAAGATTACAGGCACGAAATCCTGAGGTGAGAGAGATTGACGGGTTACCCCTCAGTAGCTAAGCGTGGAGCGAGTTGAGCTTTATCGATAGGAGCGGGGTGGCCTGACCATAACAGTTGAGTGCCTTCTGGCGAAGACGTCAGGAAAGACGTGAGGAGAAGTGCGGTAGAAGGGCGTGGTCTGATCAGAGAGGCGGTTGCTATCTTCGTCGTTGGCGAGATAGCAGAAATCATAGGTGTCGAGAGTAAGAGGACTCTTCTTCAGTGCGGCACAAGATACAGCTTCGTGATACTTACAACGCAGTGTTGGGTTTGTTAACGTCTTGAGTACTTCAATTGCTAAGTTATGCCTCCTTGGGCTTCTGGTATCTATATTTTCCTTCCTGTGAGCAGCGTATCCAACGCTCCATCAAACGCCCACGCAATGCATGAAACCAAATCACCATACACTCCCACCGTTCTACGCTCTTCCCTCTCCATCCTCCACAAACCTCGCCTGCACAACCCAGTGCTCATCGAACTTAATCCCCTTCCCTCCACTAATCCCCGCATTCCGCCAGGGCTTGTTGACCCCAATGTCAACCAGCCAAACACTCCACGCCGGATCGCGCCCAGCGCCATTTTGCAGCGCCCTCACCAACCCGCTCCTTGGCGCACCAAGACACACAATGTACTTGGCCCGGACCTCCAGGGGCTCGCCTTCAAGGATAGCGACCTCACCCGTCGATCCAGCAACACCAGACGGTGTTTCGACAGCGAGCACAGCAGCGCGGGACTTGTTCGCCCAGCCGACGATGCTGAGAACGGTGGCTCTGTCGGCTTCGCCGAGGGCATCGAATTCTTTATGTCGGCCGAGTAGCGCGTCGATGATGAGTTCGGGAGGTGCGTGGAGGCGTTTCAGCGCGCCCTCTGTGTCGGACCAGGCGCGCACTGAACCGCCGAACTTCTTGAACAGATCGACTTGCCGTCGCACGTCGCGGTCCCAGTCTGCGTTGCGCTCGAAGCCGAGCAAGGCGACCATGACTTTAGGTCCGCGCGCGAGGAGATGCCGCGCTGCTGCGATGGCTCGCGCGCCGCCGCGGTGGTTCCCTGCAAGCACGACGATGACGGGGCGCGCGTTGGGATTTTCGCGAGAGAGGCGCTGGCCGCCAGGGTTGATGGCTTTGAGTGTGACTTCTGCGATACCGCGTCCCGCATTTTCGGCGATGAGTTCCTCAGTGAGACCAAATTCAAATTCAGCCATCTCCTCAACTGCAAGCATACCGCCGGGTGTGACGGTGTGGCATTTGCGGTTGTTGGTGACGAGGCGTAGACATCCCTTCGAGCTTGAATCGAATGGCGAGTCCGGGGGGGTGGCAATCTTCCCTAATTTCGGGCTTCCAGTAGCACCGTGCGAGGATGCGTATTGGGTGCCGATGAGAGAGCGGTTTGTACGTGGTAGTAGCCCAGAGCCTAGCATCTCCAAATGACCAGCTTGGATTCCGCTACCCTGTCTTGTCGGCGCTCTCTTCACAGACACAGAAGCTCGAGACATGGCGCGCCTGGAATTACGGCTTCCAATATCCGAGTCGTCCTCGGAGCTTGTGTTCGAAGTGCTCTTTGCCTTCGCGTTGTCCAATACGTTCTCCGTGGGGTGTAGGTTCTTGCCACCATGTGTCCCTGGTCGTGCGAGTCGGTTGAAGCTGACAAGACGGTCCTCGTCTGCGGTCGTGTCCTCATTCCGAATCTGGTCGAATACAGTGCGCTTGTCGAACTTCGAGAGGTTAGCTTGAAAGTCGAATTCAGGCATGTCCTGAACATCGGTGGCATCTTCTGTGGCCCATCCGTTTGTAGCGTCAAGCGCTTTCTGCCGCCGCGACTTGCGCACAGAAGCATTTGCTGCCTCAAGCCCAACCCTGCCAGCAATTACGCCAGGGGTGCGCGTCTGAGGCTCCTCAACAGCCTGAAGCATCGGGGTGCTCCTCCAGCCGTTGCCCTTGGTTGGGTTGTCGCTACCGTTCCTCCTTTCCTGGGCTGCAAGTTCCTTCTTACGAGATTTGCCGCCTCTCCTTGTCCTCTTGCCTCCATCGTCGTTCTTCTCTGGGCTCACGTCCTCCATCGGCTTGCCGTTCCTAGTCTTATTGATACTTGCTCGTCGCACTGTCGGCATGGCTGTCTTCGTCTCGCTGTCAGCCTCCTCGGCGTCCGCGATATCGAGTGACGAGAACGGGCCTGCCAGCGTCGCTGCACTCTGCTTCGCGACACTGCCTCGCTTCGCCTGCCCAATGAAGGGGGACGTGGTTTTGGCTGGAGGCGCAGCAGTCGTAGCAGCCACAGGCTTGATGGGCGTGGCAGGAGCTTCTTGGGGCAGCGCAGTCACGGGGAGGCTGGAGGCTGGAGCGCGCGGCGCTCGCTTGCCCATGCTGAGGATCGCGGGGTCGACGAAGGGTGCTGGCTGTGCTTGGGCTACAGGCTGGGGCGCAGGCTGGCCGACGCCCTGGGTGGGCTGTTGCGTAGCAGGCTGACTGCCATACTGCTGAGCCAACTGTCGCGGAGGCTGCTGCACATGGTTCGACGGATACTGCGCGTACGGTGTAGGGTTCGAGCGAGGCGGGGCAGCCTGCTGGGCAGCAGGCGCGGGCGCGGGCGCGGGTACGTTGACTTTTATGTCGGCGATCGCGTGCCCTTCGACATTGTACGAGTTGAGGCGGTGGCCGCTTGCAGGAAAGTACACTGGACGTAACAATCAGCACAAAGGCGCGTGTGAGCATGGCGACACGAGAACGCACCATCCTGCAGGGTCAAAGTGGCATTCTGCGGGTTAACGGCCGCGACCACGCCGTGTACGAGCGTGTTTGGCGGGTTCTGCAGAGTGACGATGACCGAGATACCGATGAAGCCCGACGCCATGATTGCTGAAGGGTTCGGACGGGAGCTTTGGAGGTGCTGGCTTTGACGACCTCTCCGGAACTGGCGGCGTAGGAGGTGTAGTCGTGCGTCGAGAGAGACGAGCGCGCAGGGATTGAAAAGGCCAAGCTTTCTCTAGCGTAAAGCCACATCAACGGCTCTGATGTTACACCGCTTGCAGATAACTGCTAGACAATCGAGTGTCGAAGTCTATCAATTTTCGGCCTTGAATTCGAGAACGACCCTCGGCACACGGCTTTGGGCTATCTGGGAAATGAGGATGGGAAGGAATTGTGGTGAGCCATGATCCAAGAAGTCTTCAGGTGCTCTTTCACCGTTGAAGATGAACCTGTAATCGACAGTAAATTCACAACATCCACCCCAGAACATCAATTCACACGAAACGTGTACAGTCCACTACTTGCATCGTGATGTGTCCACTGAACAAATTTCAAGTATTTGTGACCATATCTTCATTACGATTATCTATGCTTGAGGCCCAGGGTATCCATATCATCAAACAGCTTCTCCGGCTCGGAAGCCTTCAGTATCATCCGCATCAAACCAACTGCCACATCGCAATGCCTCCAAACTGGCAACTATAGGCCGTCTTGTTGTTCCACTGCTCGTACGTCAAGCCTCGTGCGTCCTTCTTGCAGAACTCCGTCACTGCATACACGTTGACCTTCTGACCCGCACACCCCAATTCAGCGCGATTGATATCAAGCCACCAAACCTGTCCGTTCGTACTAAAGGGACGGTATTCAGATTTCCGGCCATCAACCCCACCGATGGACAGCAACATGACATATGGCGCGCCCTTCCCGTGTCGTGCATTATCCCAGTGCTCACAGACGGAGGCGAACTGGAAGCGGATGACAGGCGGACCGGCTGGGTCATGGACTTTGATGTTGAGCTGCGCAGGCTGGAAAGTGCGCTCGCCAAGACCCTCATTCTTAACGCCCTCGAAGATCATCAGTCTGCCGCCTGCATCATCTCTCATGAAGTCTTCGTACGAGAGCACACGTCCGTCTTCACGAAACTGTTGTGAGGTATCTCCAGGGAAATGTCTCATGCCGAAGTCGATGTTGGACGACGTGAACTCTTGAGCACTGAAGGATCGCTTGTAGCCTTCGTTCTTAAGTTGACAACCAAGGTGACCGGCACCCCAGCAGGGATCGACGAGCTTCCATACACCGTTGTCAATGCGACAAGCGTTCCAGGCGTGCGTCATCTTGTAGGGTGGTAATGCATCGTTGGGACCCATCGGGGCATGCCCGAAGCCTTTGCTTGCACCCGAGATCACAATGCATTCGAGTCCTGCTTTGAGCGCAAGAGCTGCGAAAAGACCAGCATAGCCTTCACATACAGCCTGGAGGTTGTCAGTAGTCGAACTCGGACTTTTAGATTTTGCTATACATACCATGCCACTCGTGATCGTTTTCTCTGGTGTTGACGGTTGGATGGTGCCAGCGAAGAAGTTCTTGACATCGTAATCGACGTTGTGATGTAGCCACGTGAAAATGGCTCTCGCCTTGTCAGTGGCTGACGAGAACGGGGCACAAAGTTGATCAGCAAGATAGCCGACATCTGACGAGGGTAGCTGTTGCCGAGGAAACCTGGCAGCATGGTTGTCCGGCCCTGAGAAGTCGCGACATATGAGGCATTGGGCGACCGCCCCTGGCTTTGGCTTCGATGCCATAATCGCATCAAAGTTAGGTCTCGACGACGTGGGGATCGGAGGCGGCACACCTGCATTAGGAGCTGGTACTGGTCGACTCAAGGGTACAGGAGGCGGCTCCACTGTAGATTTGTTGTTGAACCCGAACGAGAGGGCGGATCGTTGCGGTGGTGGTACGATGGCTCGCTTGACTTGGGTGGTTGTTGTAGGTCGAGAGGGTAGTGCTGGTACTTGCCTCTCAGGCGAGCATTCTGATGCATTTGTAGACTGTCTAGGTGGTAGCGATGGTCTCGAGGGCAACGCTGGAGGTCGTCAGTAAGCTGTAATAAGACGGCAGACACGCGCATGACATGGTCCTTGCGACCATGGACCGTGCAGTCGCAAGGCATCGAGGAGGTATTCGGGGCACTCACCTGGAGCTGACGTTTTGAGTTGAGGCGGCAACTCCCGACTGACAACAACACTCTTCTTCGAAGTCATAGCCGCCCTCGTAGCACTCTTCTGCTCCTCCTGTTTCTTCGGTGGCAGAGGGGGCAGTTTCGAAGGGTCGTACGCCGGCGCGCGCACCTGGTACAGTACGCTCCCATTGCTGCCGTTTGTCTTGACCGAACCCAGTGACAGTGTCGAGACGCCCGAGGCGATCGTGGATATAGACTCAGAAGACTCGCGCCGAGCCACGCTGCGGTCGGAGGACTTGCGCGGTGGTAAGGCTGGCGACTGCTGGCTGGTGGTTCGGGGCGGTGGACGTGGTGGGAGCGCAGGAGAGACCCGCGGAGCGGGCTTCTCTGTTTGCGGCTGATTGCCTATGCGATGCGTGGAGGCAGTCGCGCTGTCGAGCACTGGAGGGTTGTTCGCGGTCTGGGAGCGCAGCTGAGGAGGCCGTTGCGCCGGGGGAGGTGGGGGCGGTTTCTTCTTCGCGGTGGTGACTGCATCGTAGCTGTATGTCGGTCGCAAGCCAGGAGCAGGTGCGTGGACCTTTTCAAGGTTCAGGGCCGCGATGCGCGACTTGATGCTCTGTGGTTCGACTTCAGCCATTGCGTTGAGGCTGGACAATTGTGGAGCGATGATCTGCGCTAGGAAGGGTGTTGGCAGGTGTGGCTGCTGGGTGACAAGAGAGACAGCGAGCGGTACAAACGAACAGCGAGCGTAGAGGCCTTCAAGCAGACATTCGTACACAGAGGCCGTTCAAGGCTGCGCCATGTATAATTCTGATTGACCTTCACACTCGTTAAGGGATTCAGGCCGTCCGCGCCCCATTGGCCAACACCTAGGCTCCGGCAGTGTGGCTGCGCTTGCCCCACTCTGCCTCAAGCCGTTCCTATCGCAACTCCAAGACCGAGCCGAGACGAAAATAGATTCTGTCTCTCCACGTCGGCAGCTCAGGTACAATGTCAGCCTTGTACAGCTGTGTCTCTGATCATCTCGATGCTTCGCTCCTACACATGGTGATGATCATTTCAAGGCTCACAGTGCACGTAACAGATGAGGTATTTCCCGTGGTAGTACATCACTAAGCCCAATTAGACCCTCGGTTACTGGTCAATACGGCTCACCGGTTGCTCGTGCACCTCACTTCAGACGTCATTCAATGTTAAGGAGTCATTCGATACCGTATCTTAGACTAAATATCGCAACGGTGCCAACTCCGAATCGGTAGGTGAGAGACAAATGAAATGGGCTGCCGAAGCACTTTTGCCAATCCAGACAATCTTCCCAACCTGTTCCTAAACCACCAACCATCTATACCCTACTCAATCTCTCCCTCTCCATAGCGCCAACATAGAGCCAGTCCTGGAAAATACAACTCCAACTTGAGACATATGGAAATCAGCTTGTGTAAGGATGGCTTTTGGCGAAGCTGGAAAACAAAGCATCGCGGCGCTGAACGAGCTATTCAAACAAGCGCAGAACGAGAGTCATCTTAGGCAACGCAGAGATGTGCCATAGAAGTGCTGAAGGACAGGCGGGAGCTGGCAAGCGAAAGAATGATATAGTAGCAATGTGCCAGCGTGTCCAGTTGTTCTGCGAGCAGAAGTTCAGTAACCATGTCACCTCTTGCGCTTCTTGCTCTTGTCGAGAGCGCTGGCAGTGAGCGCAAAGTGTGAAGCGTCGACTGGCATGCTGTGGTGCTCGTGCATGGGCGGCGGGCCCATGGAGGTTGTAGCTGGAGCTGTCTTGACTGACACTCCCATGTGGCGTCCATAACGCCCCTTGCGACCATTGCCCTCGTCCTCACTGACACAGCCCTCGGCACCAATGCCGGCATCCTTGCAACGCTGGCAAGGTCTCTGACGATCGCAACCCTTCTTACTTTTACGGCATCGTTGGCAACGTGGTTTGGACGAAAGGTCCTCGTCATCAGCACCAAATTGATGCTGAAAGTTGAGTGAGGCAGTTGACGCCTTGCGCGACTGCGAAGGCAGTGAGGTCGGAGACATGGGCGGCTTGGTGGTGCCGTTGGTCTTTGCCTTGGACTTGGTTGAGAGCGTGCGTGGCTTCGCAGGCTTGCCAGGCTTAGCCAAGACAGAAGAGCGGACCTTTGGCACGCCGAACTGGACTCGGGCGTCGTTTTGCTGATCAAGCACGACATCGTCGCTCTCTCCCTTAAAGGAGTCATTGTTGTCGTCGTACTCATCGCCACTGCTGAATCCATTATCGTAAGCACGGGCAGGGTTGTTCGCTCGCTCCATTGTGTATGGCAGAGGAGGAAGTTCGCTGCCATTGTGGCTACCGTCGTCGCTCTCATCGCTGGAGGAAGCAGCATCAGCCTTGCCGCTGAAGGTATCGTCGAGAGTTGAGGTGGAGGTGCGACCGTGTGTGGAGAAGTTGGAAGCATCTCCTAGACGCATGAGCTGGCGGGCGACATCTTCGTCAGAGATGACACTCAGAGTGTGCTCAGGCGTTGGCAGGACTCCACCACTGTTGGAGTAGCGGTGCGTGTACTGGCGTGGCTTGTATCCTGCTGTACCACTGGACATTGAGTACGGCGTAACGAGCCCATTCGACATGTATGAGCTGTCACCCTGGCCGTAGCTCTGCGGCGAAGGAAGCGGGTGCGAGTATGAGAATGTCTGCTGGTTGTTCATAGAGTATGGTGAACCGGCCACGTTACCGCTGATTCGGCGCTGAGGAGAGACGGACGAGATGGAGTTGGTCATTGGGACCTGAGGAGGAACGAAAAGAGGTAGCTCCTGAACGAGGAGCTGGTGTCAGAAAGTATGCACAATATAGCCAGTCGAGAAACACTTACGGAGCTGTCAAACTTCGCTCGTTTGCGACGACCACCCTCGACAATGTTATCGACACTGATGTCAGCGCTTGCCAGAGGCTCTTTACGAGAGCGGCGCGAGCTGGTAACAGAGCCGTCGCCATCGCTGTCACTGTACTCGCCGTGCTGTTCAGCGAAGCTACCATGGGAGCTGTTTCCACGACTCTTGACAGTTGGGCGGTTGCGTCGAGAGTGGGTTGCAGCTGAAGCACTCCTCCTACCGCGAGGGTGTGGGGACTGGCTCTGACGTCCAGAGCGCGAGCCTGCCCTTGAGCCAAGCTGCTGGTTGAGGTTTGGTGGGAGCATTTGGAAGCCGTCTTCCAAGAGGTGATGAGGACGACGAGGAGATACTGTCAGCTGGCGAGGGGCAGGCGAGTAGTCATCTGCATCAGGATCTTCTGTTGAGACTCGTACGTAGACGACCATGCCATGGTCGAAGTTCTCATACCTCGCAATCAGGATGTTGCCATGACGGTCCTCAAAGATGACGCCCCTGCGCTCATACAGTCCGTAGAAATTCTTGACCGTTGTAATGATCGAATCAGTCGTATCGTGAGGGAAGATGTTCACCCTCATTGGCAGTCGAGCCCGGTGCTGGGGGGACTGAGGAAGCAGAAGCTCAAAGCTGACCTGCTTGGACGGCACCTGCTTGGAGGGCGATAGAGAATCGTGCGCTGAGGCCGTCTCCGTACTAGGATAGACGCCCATCATGCTGGAGTCACGTTCCTGTGCAAGCATATCGTAGTCTGAGACAGAATGCCTCGAGTTGTGGTGGTGGCCCGCAGCACGGCCTTCGATGCTTTCGGTGGTGGATCTTGCGCTCGACACCCGAGGTTGCGCAAGGAGGTGGGAGACTTGCATACCACGGCTCCTGATACCAGAGTCCGGCTCTATAGCCTTCACAACGAGGCTAAGTGTATATGGGCGCGGATGATTGACCGATCCTGCCGGTGTCGCAAGGGCCTCGGAGCGAATGGCTGTCGGAGGGGAGGGTAATCGAATATCGTGTCTGGGAGATGGCCTGTCAGTAGATGGCCTTTAATGACAGTTTGTATGATACTCGGCGCTCCACATGATGGCCCCGAGAGGCTTTGATGGCTTTGATGGTATGGGACGTCGTCACCACTGCCGGATGGGCCGTCCTGAGGGAAGCCGGTGACAGCAGGGTTGAAGGCCCAAGGGGCCGCCATCAGAGACAACTGCATGTGCTGGAGCGATCGCATGGGCATACTGAGAGACATACATACCGGCTGTAGTGTATGTGAAGCCAAACAGGCTCTACTGGGGGTTTGCGATGTGTACCGCCGCTGGCTGAGGCACCGGGTTAGCGGTCGAGTGCGCCCAGCAAGATTGGGGCCATGAGAGTGCTGAATGGCGGTTCCAAGGGCACTGTATAGCGGACGAGGGCGCTGGAGACTTACGAGAGTGGTTGTGTTGGCTCTGGAAGGTGGTGTGGAGAGGAAGAGGAGTGCGTTGGGGTGGTCATTCGCTAATGACCTTCCGACATGACCACGACGCCAGCGACTTGGGAATGCTTGAGCGGCAACAATGCGCCTTCCTACGACTGTCAACCCTACAGATTGCTGGTCGCCTTTGCAGTGAGAATCAGTTCTAATGGTATATGTACTGCTATGTGAGCGTTCTTCTCCAAGCGCATTCATCCCATCTTCGTACAGCCGCGAGCGCATCACGCCCATGCTGCCCCCACGCCCCGAGGTAGGCTCAGTGGACCTATCATAGTATGCTGAATTAGGAGTTTATAGCATGTACACATTACTAGAACTATCTGTTGCTTCGTTGGCGCATGCTATTCGACGTTATGTAGAGTCTCAGGGCGGCACCTATGCGCCCAGACATTGAACCTCACGGGCATAGAGTAGGGCAAGCAAATGACTAGTTGGACATGATAACAAGCAGTCTGCGCAAAGAACTCCGAGACTCGCTACCACCGTGCTCGACAATACATCGGACTTGGCTGCCCGAGCTGATACGCCGCTTTGTTGGCTCGTTCCCTAGCTCCAGTGTGGACAGAACGAGCACCCTGATGCGCAATATAAACTCCTCCAGGGTACTTCAAGAACTCGATATCAGAGACGCCATATGGTACGGATATAATTAGGCAGACCAGACACCTCCCGTTCCCCAGATCGAGGGAAGCGCTGGGGCTTCGTTGGCAGCTGATTCTTGGCGTCTATTGGAGAAATCTCCGCGCAACGGTCAATGCAAAACACATTCTGTGGGGATCACTCCTTGGATGACAACTGTCGACGTGATCGCCTGAACTTTCCGTACATATTGATTGTGTTTGGAGGCATGCGCCCCACCAGAACGTTCTGAACTTGGTCTGCTGTTGTGGATAATTCTGTGACAGCACGATCGCAAAGTCGCAGTATGCGACCCACTTGTATGAGCAGCATACTCTAGCGCTTTCGGTTTGCGACTTCAGCGACGATTCCCTGAATGATCGTGCTACTGAAATTCTCCACCCTGCATGCAAGTGAACGAGCAGCCAAGCCAGACATGAGTAGCGCCGCAGGTAGACTTGTAGCTTTGTGGCATGGATAGTTGGCCGAGAACGATGAGGGGTCAACCATGAATTGTGGCTCTCCCGCACTTTGCGCAAGCCATCTGAGCGCGGGAAAGCAGTCGCGGACCTTTTGACAGGCCGATCTTTGACATGTGGACACAGCGCCGTCTCGTCAGAGCGACGGATTGTGTCGGTGATGTGTCGGTGAAGCTCTCGGCCCACTCCTCAGTGCCCGCGGGGAGACAAAGCACGCGAACGATTTGCGACAACAACAAACAAGCAAGGGCTTCCAGGCAAATACAAAGCAAACCTCCTTTCACAAGGCGACTTGGAGCGATGGCGCCAGGGCCAGATGACAGCAGGCGGCAGGTTTGAAACTTAGAGGCAGTGCGCTGGATGGTTGGCTGTGCGCTGCACATTGTGGGCCACTTCTGGCCGGCGGGGATGGCGGCGCAGCGATCGCAACAACATCCGAAGTCTTTCGCGAGTGCGACCACACCTTTCTGAAACATATTCGGGCAGTTGCAAGTGTTGTCGAGAAGTCTGAGATCATGAGCTGCATCACGTGCGGTCGTGTGTGAAAGGCGTCAAATTCAGGGTTCTTGGCGCGTCTCCTGACAGCTGGGGTCCCCAACGCCATATCTCTCAGCACAAGTGCCGGAATTCATTCTCAAATTACTGAAAGACTATGGATGTTTTGTGGATATCCAGGATAATTTGTTGAGAATTCATCTGCGGTGTGTGGGGTAGCACATTGAGGAAGGGCTTTTCGTTGTTCTCTCGGTGGACGCGTTTTATGACATCGCCGTTGCTCTGGAAGGCACGCTAGCGCCCGTTCCGGCGAAGCGTCGCATAGCTCGAGCTAGCATGTTGATTCGATGTCCGGGCCTCTGTTTGTTGTTTACAGAGCTCAACCCGTCTCCATATATACTTTGCATCCAGCCCGGCTGCTGTTGTCACCACCACGTCTCGCGTCACCCGACAACAGTTGTCCGAGTATCTCATTGCCGCCAAGTTAAATGGAGAGTTTTGTTATATCGCCCTCTGTTTTGTAGCGCTTCGACACCAGCGCCGCCCCTATCGAGCTCGTCGCCAACACTCATTTCGTTCGCGATCGCTGCCGAGACCAACATCCATCTGAGGGACTATTAACATCAATTGACAGATACACAGCAAAATGGACGCAAAGGTGAGTGCGCTGCCTCCTCTCCGCCTTCACCTTGTGGCGGACCGTGCGACTAGCCTGTTGTTTACCGACGCCCGTTTGAGTTGGATATCAGAAGTTTCCTCAACGTACATCTCGACACTCACTAACTCACTTCTCTTGTAGCCACAACGCCCTTCGCGAGGTCTTCGTGTGCGCGACGAGAACGTGCCGCCTCAGTTACCAGCCGGGAAAGCTCTTAAGCAGGGCAAGTCGGTGTCTGCACTGAACGGACTCTCAATGCCAGCTGGAGCCATTAAGCCGGCCGCTAAGCGGGCCCCTTTTGCAGATGTCAGCAACACTACGAGGCAACCCGTTGCGAAGGACGACATCCACCTTGCTGGCAAGAAGAAGGAGTCTCTAATGCTGAAGGACCCTGCAGTGGTCTTGATTAAGGAGCTGGAGAAACCCGGCGCATTGCTACGACCAGCGCAGCGACCTCTGTCGACTATCACCGCGAGAACGAACACATCGATCAGCACTGAGTCAGTCGAGTCTGCTATCCCAAAGCACGTCACCATTGAGGCCTCTACCAATGCTCGCAAGACCATAACGAAGAAGCCGACCACCGTTTTCCACGAGTCTAAGGCTGAGATCATCCCTGAGACCACCACAACAACTGCCCCAACACGGCAAGCATTGACGTCGCGGGCCACCTCATTTCCGATTGAGGACCGTGCGCCAGTAGCAACAGAGCCAGCAGCTGTTCGCCCAATCGAGACTGAGGTCAATATCCCTGCGCAAGAACAAGAGAAGGCGGTCAAGGTCGACGCGGAAGAGAAGTACGAGTATCTTGATGCTCTCGAGGAGCAAGCACGTGTCATTGAACAGGAACGCAATGAAGAGCTTGCAAAGCTCAATCAAGAGGAGTACTGGGATGAAGATGATGAGGAAGAGTACTATGATGCCGATGGGTATACAACTGCAAGGTCTCTTCGTTCGCGCGGCGACAACACCACTGGTGGGGTTACATTGGTTCTTGCGCCGCGCATCACAGCAAAGACACAGCGTGAGCTTGAGGCCGCAAAGCAGTTCGTCGAGCTGCACAGGTCTCCTGAGGACGTTGAAGACGAGCAGTGGGACACATCGATGGTCGCTGAGTATGGCGACGAAATTTTCGAGTACATGCACTCCCTCGAAGAGAAGATGAAGCCGAACGCCAACTACATGGACCACCAAGCCGAGATCCAATGGTCAATGCGATCGGTGCTTATGGACTGGCTTGTCCAGGTTCACAACCGTTTCACGCTCTTGCCTGAGACACTCTTCCTTGCAGTCAACTACGTCGATCGTTTTCTTTCTGCAAAGGTCGTTTCTTTGGGCAAGCTCCAGCTTGTCGGCGCCACTGCTCTGTTCGTTGCTGCCAAGTACGAGGAGATCAACTGCCCTTCGGTTCAAGAGATTGTGTACATGGTCGACGGTGCCTACACTAGTGACGAAGTTCTCAAGGCTGAGCGCTTCATGCTCAGCATGCTGCAGTTCGAGCTCGGTTGGCCAGGGCCGATGAGCTTCCTGCGCCGCATCAGCAAGGCGGACGATTATGACCTAGAGACACGAACCTTAGCCAAGTACTTCCTTGAGATCACAGTCATGGACGAGCGCTTCGTCAGCTGCGCCCCAAGCTTTCTAGCTGCTGGCGCTCATTGTCTGGCCCGCTTCATGCTGAAGAAGGGCGACTGGGTATGTAATCGTGCCTGCTTCGTTCGAACATAAGCTAACAAACACCAGTCTCAAGCCCACGTCCACTACTCTGGCTACACTCTGAGCCAGCTACGACAGCTTGTCTCTTGTATAATGGAGTGCTGCGACAACCCTCAGAAGCACCACGCCGCCGTTTACGAGAAATACACCGACAAGCGTTACAAGCGCGCGTCCATCTTTGTCGAGACGGAGATCGCAAAGGGCTTCCAGCTCCCCTTCGCCTCGAGGGACAGTCTTGCTGGTCAAACGTGGAGACGAAAGTGAATACTTCCTCGCTTGCCTTCACACTGACCCTTGACTTTGACACCTGTTCTGACGAGCTCGCAGGTGTCGCATGACAGCGCACTTGATCTCCCACCAGAACGTTGCTACCTCCAGCAACCACCAACATGGTCATCATCGGAATCTCCTTCATTCTTGTTTATTGTTTCCCGACAGTAGCACGTGGCGTTTTGGCGGCTTTCTGGACCATAGTCAACACCAGCAACAACCTCAACCTTCAGCAGCTCGACCATCATTTGGCAACTACGGCTTCTTGGTCTGACAGTCTCCAGGCTGCCCCACAAGCGCTCTCGCCACCCAGCATAGCGAGCATAGCGCCATCACAGTACCATTTCCCTTCTGAGTATATTTTCAGCATTGCGAGCGTGGCGGATACATCACGATGACACGAAGTCATGAACATCAGCACAGCACATCAGTTTTTAATCCCCCTTACATCACGGCGTGGAAAGGTTTTCTTAGCAAGCTTTCTGGCTTCTTGTCACTTTGGTTCAGTCTTGGAGGCTTTGGTTTCTCAAGGAGTATAGACAGGCATCGCGCTATGTGCGAGTCGTCCGGGGGTCTTCATCTGCTTTGGCGTCATGCGATCGTCCTCATGGGCGAATAGTCAAGAAAAGCTGATTAATGCTTGTATCCTTCAAAAACTACCCAAATTTGCATTTGGTGCCATTGACTGGTAGTGACTCTCACGGTTGACATGCCAACGGATGCATCATGTTTTGAGACCACCAACGACGCATGGGAGGCATGGAGTATGACAGGAGGCTGTGTACAAGGTTGTCTCGTTTCATCGTTTGGCATTGGTCTTCTGGCTCGCTAGGATTGGGCCGGTCGCATCTGTTGCTGACGATAGGTCTTGCACCAGACGGTCGCCAGGTCAACTGGTCTCCAAACAGGCCGGCAGAGCGGTCTCAGCGAGTCATTGTCTCCAGATGCAGCATTCGCATACCGCGTCGCCGCATCAACCAGTCTTCCTTCCAGCCCTCGTTTCAGACCTCGACCAATCGGTGTCCGCCACTATGTTCTGCCTCGCCGTACGATCGCTCGGGTATCTCAATGCATATGCTCGTATTGCCGGTCCGTGGGCCGTTGTTTTCCTTCCCTGAGTAGAGTAGTCCGCATGCGTAGAGGGCTAAACTGCCGGGCTCACTGCGATGCGCCTTCTGCCGGTGCGATCAAGACAACTGAATCACCTGCCAACAGTAAGTGTGACGTTCCATGGATCCCAAGCACATCAAAGACCTACCTCGTACAAACAGCATCTCGCTCTGCTTCTTTACCGTCCTGACGCGCGGTTCCTGATCATCTTCCTCTTCCTCCGCCACAAATATTGTCTCTTCGACGTCGCCGAGAACGAGATTGCAATGCGAGTCATATGCCTACACCCAACCGTTAGCTGCCATCTTTGCGCTCACTCAAACTGCGCAAACATACATGTAGTCTGCCCTTCAATTCGCGATCGCCACGTAGTTTGACAAGAACAATCTCATCGATGCACAGGCGCACAAGGTCGAGGGGCTCGTTGGTCTCTTCTTTCTCGTCCATGGTGGGCTGTGTGTTGCTGGGTTGAGCTGTGGTGCGGATGATCAACGCGAGGTTCAACTTTGGCAGCTGCGATCATGTCTTGGCGCGGGGACCTTCCTCGCCAGTGCCTAGAGCTAACCGTGTTTAGTCACTAGCGCGCTAGATTGCGTCAGGTCCAGGCTCGTGGTCTCTTGCTTGATGTCTCAACAACCACTACGACAAGAGACAACTAAAAGTGACATTACTTTACCAGGATTCGCTCACATTCATTCAAGGATACCGACATTTGACAGTGCAGGACCACAACGGTCACCAGGCTACAGATACACATCGCCCCACCACGATCACTACCATGGCTGAGCTCCAAGGCCAAACACAGAAGGAGGAGGAGAACCCGCTCTTGGCAGCACGTCCGCCCACTACTGATCCGATCACATACCTCACAATTGTGGAATATAACCTTACAGAGGAGAATCTGCCGGTTTTGCATCAAGTCCTCCAGGATCCTGAGTTGACGGCGAACATCGGCTGGGACCTTATCCACCTGCTGCTCCCACTCCTTCCAGCATCCGAAGAATGTCTGCAAGATATTGCGACCAAGGGCAACCCAAGAGAATGCGTCTTGAAGGTTACAGAAGCGCTGCGGCTACTGGAATTCGAAGATCCGCGTGAAGATACGGATGACGACGAACAAGACGTCGAGGAAGGCGGGGCGAAGCTCAAAGTACCGGAAGTTGGAGTGGGGGAATCGAGCACGAGTCCTGCCTTCCCACGCACGATACTGCCGCCCTTGCCGGTGCTCAAATTCGAGATTCTTCTCAATTTATTGGCTACGCTGCACAGAAGGGTCAAGACCAAGTTCCCCAGCCGCTTCCTCTCAACAAGTTTGCAAGCTGTTCTGGTTGCATTCAACAGAGCAAATACGCATCAGGAAGAGCTTACATTGGCCGCAATCAAGCTTGTGAAGACACTTTCTGGAACCAAGAGGCCACATCTACCGTCGAGACGAAGCAGCGGCAATCTTCTAAGTCGGACAAACACCAACGGAACCCAGGCCGACCCAGAAGCACAAAATGAAGCACCAACTGTCGGTGAGAGGACGCTGGTGAACCGTTTACTTCAATCTTTCATCACGCATGTTCTCGAGGACTACGTGCTCTCGCTGACTTCGGATGACGATGTTCCAGGTCTGTCGTGGGCCAGCAGATTGATGGAGAAATACGAGCCGCAGAGGATACCGAACAAGCCGAACTACCAGAAGTATGCGGACCGATTCGCAGAAGATGAGGATCTGAGATCAAGGACCGCTATCCTTGGGCAAGTGGTCGCATTAGCGCAAGACCTAGGGCTGAAGACAGAGGAACTAATCTCAACTATTCTGGATCCCGAAGTTGAGGAAAGGGGTGTCCCAGGCACTGAAGACGAGCCGCCTGCTACTGCTACCGATATCCCACTGTCGAGAACTGGCGCGCTCATCCTATACACTGCACGAAACGTCAAGCAAGAGCTGTACGCAGCGGCTCAAGGAGACGAGAGGACCTCAATTCCCATCTTCCCTGGTCATGCAGCTATACTCAAGAACTTCGTTGGCACTCTTGGTCCACAAACAGTCGGTCTTGAGCCCGAAGCACTCCTCGACACTATTCTCGCCCTCGGCCTCATCGCCCTAGAGAACAATAACGTCGGCGAACCCCGAGACGACGAGTCCTTTGCGCAATACCTCCAAACTGTCTCACTCATCTCTGCAAACACGCCCTCTCCCAGTCTCCGGGGGCATGCACATTACCTTACAACCACCATCCTGCGCTCCCACCCCCACGATCTCGTCCGCCTGACATTCATCCGCGACACGCTCGAGCACTGTCCGTATGAGAACCTCAAAGCAAGCGCAGTATCCTGGCTCAAAGGCGAGACGCTCGAAGCAAATGGCCCGCACGCCGACACCGACGACGACGCTCAAACATCCATCTTCGCAACCCCCGTGGCGCTGCAGACCGTTGCGCCTTACCTCTGGCCAGACCTCAGCAGTCACTATGCGTCGACGAGCGTCGAGGTGAGCGACTCGTGGATGCAGTTCAGGCAAGAACTCGGTTTCTATGTTGCTGCACTTAACTTTTATTACCTCTTGCTTCAGGCGCAGCATCTGCACGAGCCGCTAGGAGTGAAAGCTCTTGATGTTACGCATTATATTGGGCCGCTGAAGGAAGTTGCTGCGAGGTTTCAGAAGGAGTTGGGAGAAGTTGGTGAGCTGAATGCTGTAGTTGAGGAAGGGAAGGCAAGAGAGCAGGCGTTGGCTGATGTGGGACTGCTGCAGAAGATTATTGAGTGGGTTGAGGCTGGCCAGAAGAAGGTGTAGATGTGTGTGGCAGTTGATTTGTCTAGCTATGGTGTTCAAGATATAGACGTAGCCAAACCTATATAAATATAGCGTTAAAGGTCTAAGGACAATGATCTTTACTTTGGTAATATTGATGTTATACAAAAGCACTAACTGTCACGTGTTTATCCGCTGCCATCACCAGCACCACCTGTTCATCTTGCATCACATCAACATGCAAAAACGATAACAAATCGTCGCAGTGCCAAAAAGAATCGCTCATGCGACCGATATGGGACTCGAACCCACAACCTTGGCCTTAGGAGGGCCACGCGCTACCATTGCGCCAACCGGCCAGCTTGAAAAGATTTTTGTTGCTGTGATGAAAATTGATATTATTTGTTGTATTATATCCCATTCTAAAATGGTCCTAACTCAATCTTGTAACATCATGAAATCTGGTACTGTCTTTGCGATTACATACAGATGAATATCGGCGTGTAGCATGTTTGTGAGGTTCTTTGGTTGTCAATGTGCGGATTTGTTCGGTTCGTGAGGTCTGGATGAGTCAGGGTGCGAACACCATGCATGACCACGTAGAAATCCCGATGTCATCTCAGAAAGCTAAATTACAGGGATTCAGAAAGGCTTCGCAATTGCAATGGCAGGGGTATCAGGTTTCGCTCTTTGAAAAGATGCCTCGATCGTTGTAGAGGACAAGGATCAAGCACGCAATAGAGACCTCGATTACAAATGTGGAAGGACGTAGACAGAAGCTATGGGCCTCATCTCGTTTAGCAATCTATTTTCACACATTGATCTTCACTCTCTTGCACATTGTCGTCGCAACATTCGATTTACAAGTCCCATACCGTGAAGTTTGCTGCCAATCAGCTTGCAGACCCTCATCTCGGACGCTCGCGGCAAGACTCTGTATCTTTTACGTTTCGCGTTCCACTTTCTCAACCTCACCCAAACTCGCGTAAGAAATTGCGCTCAGGAACCGCGAAAAATGGTATGCGCACCGTAAAGCTGCGAGTCCTGGAGGCCAGGATACTGAATACCACGTCAAGGTTCATGCAGACGCGTCTGCCTTTGCTGATGGCTTGACCAAGCAGGAGGTGTATGCGCAAGTCCTGGAGCAGGCTAGGGCGCTGTTTGATGGACAGCGGAATTGGGTAAGAAAGAACATGCAACGTGCTGAACGAAGAAGGGATCGAAGAGGAGATGTGCTAACGGATTGATAGGTCTGGTACGTATATTGGACTCAGCAACCACCTTGTCCATGATATACGAACATTTTGAGGACATCAGTCTGGACGCACAAACAAATAACTAACACCTTCCTAGCAACTTCGCAAACACAGCATCCCTCCTTTGGCACGCCTACCACTCTCTGCCAGCCCCTTCCTCTAGCGTCAACTGGAGCGGGTTCTACTTCCTCGACCCTTCTAACCCGCAGCAACTTCTCCTCGGCCCGTTCCACGGGCAAGTAGCATGCCAAACTATCGCATTCGGGCGCGGCGTATGCGGCGCCGCTGCGCAAACTAAGCAGACCCAGCTCGTGCCAGACGTGGAGAAGTTCCCCGGACACATTGCGTGTGACGGCGCGAGCAAGAGCGAGATCGTTGTGCCGATCATCAAAGATGGGAAGGTGAGTCATCAATCCTCGTAGCATTGCAAGAGCAGTGCTATTCTGCGCCATGGGGTCTGAGCTGACCCGTACCAGGTCGTCGCTATCATCGACATTGATTGTGCTGAGGAGAAAGGCTTCAGCGAGGAGGATCAGAGTGCTCTTGAGGAGCTAGCTGCCCTGCTCGCTGAATCCTGCGACTTCTGAGTGCGCATGGAGCATGCGAGGGGCGTTCGAGTGCGTCTCAGCCGGCTGCGTTGATAATAACTGTCGCTGATGTGTAGGAGGGGAGCAGGATGGCCTAACATGATCATCAAGACATCATGGTCACCCTTAGGGGAGGAAGTAAAGTAGCCTAACATGATCAATAAAGACATCATGGCATCAATTCTAGCTTTCAATGTTCCATGAGGGTGATTCAACTCAACAAGCTGTGCGTTGTCTAGTGTCTTGTGACGCCTGCGATTTATTCATTCTTACCTAGGTGTTCCATACGTACTACACCCGAAAGAGCACCAGTACAATCAACAACTAGCTAGGAATGAAAGAGAATTGATCTAGCGTAATCACATTCAAGGCCCCTGTTCCAATCAACTTCCTAACGTAGTAACACCTTGACTCCACCACTCACACCAGTCCCTAACTTGAGCGAATGATCCATGCCACTAATCTGTGCGCCAGCAACTTCCGAAACGGACAGAATCGCTTGCAAAACGACCAAAAAGCAAGTTCTGGGTGACCTTAGACCTCATGTTGATCGATGTGTAGTGGTGATCTCACGCACAAACCGTCACTGCTCGAAAGCACACCTTGATTCTGGCCTTCTCCGACCCCCATAAGAAAACCTGAAATCGCCGTATGCGTCCCTATACCTGCGGCGAGGTCGATCAGGGTGTCTCCTTATGATGGGACCTGTGATAGACCGGCCAAAGGCAGTCCAGGAGTCTCTAGCGGCTCGGGAAGTACTAGCTTGAGCAACTGTGGGTCCTGCCGTGTTGGTAGTCGATGGGTGCTCGTGGAAATCTTCAAGTTGTTCTTCAGTTGGAGGCTCGCTAGGTGGGTGAGGCTGCTGCTGGGGCGACTGCTGGTTGAAGTCTCGGCCCGACAATGCTTGTAGTTGAGGTCCTAGGAACATTCGTGGTTCTTTCTAGGCTAGGAGCTAATACCGTCCCAGTGTTCCCAGCTTTCTTTAATTAACAAGACATCAATCTGAGGATGAGAGTGGATGTTCTCTGATTACCGCCAGTTGCTTTGCCAGTTGCGTCGTCGGAGGTGTCAGTTGGGCCAGTGGCTGTGTTTGTGGTTTCAATGATAGGGGAGAGTGCAAAGTGCGAGGGAGGGTAAATGTATGCGGCAGAGGTGCCTACGATAGAATTTGGTATGAGTGCCATGGTAGGGATTGAGTTGTGGAGTAGTATTCGGGCTCTCGAAGTCGAAAGGTTGGTGTCTTTGTAGAGCTCTAGGTGTGTGAAAAGGACAGGAAACATACCGCAAGGACACAATGGCTCGAATAACGCAGGCATACGCCCAGGGTACTTTTACGCACGCACAATTTTGGATTTGGATTTGGATTTGGATTGCCTCGAAAAATATGTTGACTTTCTCCAGGCTAAAGTATCAGGAACTTGTGGTTGGTGGTGAACTTATGGTTCATCGTAACAGAACTCTGGTTCAGCACCCTCTCAACCAAGTCTCGAAACTTGCAGATTCTACAACCTCATATAAGTCGACTGTCTCGACTTCCTCCACGCTCCTCACAAATTCCCAGACACTCTCCAGAATCCAACTTCAACTCCACCGCAGACGTAACCTTTACCCTCAACCCCAAAACACACCGAACACCTCCACACCAACACACATCCAGAATGGACATCGCATAATTCGACGGAACTATCTTCGAGTACCGGGCCTCAGCACAAGCTCGCAAATGTGCCGAGTACCTCCAGACCCGGCCATCTAACTCAAGAGCCGCCTACAATCACAACCCGAAATCCCAAAGCGGTACCTCTGGACACCAAAAGGTGCATATCGTCACTGGAGCGCATAAAAACCGCAGCACGCTTGCTTGAAGCCAAAGCGCAAAGATGAGGGGGCCGAAGACCTCCAGGCTACACATTGCTTCCAGCCTGTCGCTGAACAGCTTCCTGTTCGCAAGGACAAAGTCAAAGAGCGAGCGGTGATATCGGAGGATGAAGAAACAAGACAGGACGAAGAAGAGTGGAAGTTGGAGAGCGAGGATGGTCGGCGCCGGACTTGGATGAACAGGGAGGGTGTCAGGGTCATTGAGAAGAATGTGTGGTGGAAGTCGATTGCCAATTTCTAAGTGGGTGTGCCGATGGCGACAGCATCGGTGGAATTTTCCTTCAGTGAAGGCCTCCGTGGTGGCTTCCGGCTCCTTGAGTTGCCCCCAAGATTGTCTCCAGAGTGATGTTGCAAAAGCACGGAAGTGCACGATACCTGGGTACGGCATCGGCGAAATTGCAGACAGAAGAAAGATAGATCCAAATCGCTTGATTCGCTATGTGATGCACATGTATGCACTGTTTCGTCTAAAGATACCGGCCTAAGGACACTGGCTTGCATTGTCGATGCATATGTCGATGAACAAAAGAAACACCCGGGTGCATGCCAGCACCGTTAAACGCCTGGCTAAGAGATACATGATATTGAGTGGTATGGTATGTCGTCTTATGCGACTCCTTCAATAGAGGTGGAAAGTATGTACAATTGAAGTGAAGTCATGATGCCCCACCAAATCCTTGGCCGGGCTGAAGGTTGGGTTGAAAATAGGTCGAGAAGTCTAGGCAATGCAGAGGAGCCCAAATGCGACTTCCAACTTCCGGAATTTCCGGTCATGGCGGGGTCGGATGAGACTCTCGTGATGTCGAAAGATCGAGGAATGGACCCACTCGATTGTTTGAGTGAGAAAATAGTGCGACCTCGGCCGACATTTGCCGCGACACTGTGAAATTGGATGTTGTTGTTGTGGTTGTTGTCCATCGACGATGTTTGGAAGAGGATAGAAGTGTTGAGACAGATCGTTCCCATTGTGCAGTTAGAGTTCCATCTCTTCGATGTCCCTCATAACGACTTGTATCGAGGCACGTTTCGCCGCCTCTGCCAGCAAAGCTGCTGAGTTCAGGTATGCTGCGGTCTCGTTCTGAGTTGCACCAGCTCCTTGTCTGTTGGGATGGTACTCGTAGCTGGGATGTCTCTGGAGCTGCATTGGGTGTTGTTGCTGCTGCTGCTGCTGCTGGGACTGTTGTTGCTGAGGCTGGTTCAGAGAGCCAAAGAATTGCTGCTGCTGGGAATTTGGCATGGTTGGCGAGGAGAGAGGCGCTGCGGACTGGGGAGAGGGCGAGGCGAGGCTTGAGCTGCTGCTGTAGCTGGAGATCTGGGCACTGGAGGACTGTAGAGGAGCGACAACTGGGCGAGCAGGAAATTGCTGAGACATGGTCTTGGTGGTGGACATGAGTCGCGTTCGGAGGCTTTCGAAGATTCTTCTAGTTCTGGGGAAAAGAAGAAGTTTCGAAAGAGTGGAGAGAGACTACTGTATACGTCGTCGCACCGGCGTGCTAGGGGCGGCTGCGGGTGGTTTTAAAGTACCCGTGGTATCGCCGAGATGTGCGGTGTTCGGTAGCGAGACAATGTATCTAACGGTCGTCGTACACGTTTGGAGCACTTATATGTATTGGCCAATATATCCAAAGAAAAAAGGCTGAATAGTGGATAGAGCGCAGGTTAAAGGCAACAGGCGGCAGAGGAGAGATAGGAAGGCACTATCGGCGGCGTTTAAGCCGAGGCTGGCATGCCTCTATGGGCGGATCTCACTTGTGAAAGATAATTTCGTCACCGCCCGGAAAATCTACCGAAACAGCCTCCCTGTAGCCTCGTACTAATGGTGGCTTCGCATCGAGCACCACAGATCGTCGCGTAATTCGATCGCACATCAACTATCAGCGGGGTCGCGATTCACAGCAGAGATACAAAAGTTCTGAAACATGCCTGTGAGCGTCCGATGAACCTTCCCTCTGCGGTCCCGTGACTAATGTGCGCTGCAGCTCGTCCTTATCTCAGGTGAGCTTTACTTGCGTCTTTGTGGCAGAAAAAACAATTACCTGACCCGACGCTAGGATATCCGTCCGCGGGGAAGACTACACGAGCCCTCCAGCTCAAGGAATACTGCGAGTCCAAGATCGCCAGTACCGGTGCCGATGCCCGCGCCAGCCGACTGAAGGTGCACCTCATCAACGATCAGACGCTGGGTGTCTCGCGTGCTGTCTATCACACTGCCAGAGCCGAGAAGGATGCGCGTGCGGAGGAATATTCTGCCGTAAAGCGAGTGCTCTCGCGCGATGACATTGTCATCGCCGATGGTCTGAACTACATCAAGGGCTTCCGCTACCAGCTGTACTGCGAAGCAAAGGCTGTATCGACGCCCAGCTGTGTGGTCAGTAGTACCACTTTGTCTATATTCCGGAGCAGCACCGCTGACAATCCTAGAGGTGCACATAGGAACACCCGCCGACAAATGTCGTGAGATCAACACAGCGCTCCTGGCGGACAAGGACAAAGATGGAGGGTACGAAGAGGAAGACTTCGAGAACCTGATCTTCAGGTACGAGGAGCCGAACGGCATGACACGGTGGGACAGCCCTCTGTTCATCGTGGTGCAAGAAGATGAAACTGCCTGGTGCGACCAGGTCTGGGACGCCCTCGTAGGCAGTGACGGGAAGGCTAAGGTTGTCAGACCTCACCAGGCGACAGTGCTGGCACGTACCTCGACATGTTGAGTGACACAGCCACAGCTGACCATCTCTAGAAACCTGCGACTGAGCAGAATTACCTTTACGAGCTCGACAAGACCACGTCTGACATCGTCACCCAGATAACGACATATCAAAAGGACCATGCAGGGGAGGGAGGGGGACAGATAACGGTCCAAGACGTTGAGAGGCCTCTGGAGCTACCGGCGACGCCCATGACCCTACCACAGCTGCAGCGCATACGCCGCCAGTTCATCACCATGAATCGATCACACAGCTTCTCGAAAGCGCGAATAAGGGAAGTCTTTGTCGACTTCCTCAACAGCGAGTTCCTGCGCTAGAGCAGCGGCGACTCTCACGAGATTATGCTCAAACCGGCCCTTCTCACTGCACACGTCCGCTCAGATGCATGGAGCTGTGGATCCCGGACAGATTCTTCCACTCCACCGAGACACAGCCTTACCACCGTTCGTGGATATGGACAGCGTGAGCCTCTGCTTGCGTTGCATCCCTGCCGCCGAAGTAGGAAACTTGCGACCGTTTTGTGGTTTTGAACATGATCCGACTTCCTCCGGTGTTCTGGTACGATTCAGCCGCGAAGCACATCACGTTGATAGTTTCGACGCGGCAGTATCAGCTTCAGACGACATGGCGTGATATCATCGGCAGTCTGGTGGCCTTGCACGTCAAGGGTCCAAGCTCGCCGCCACGTACAGCAGCCCGACATCAGCAACGACGCGGATCCGCAAACTCAGGATGTGGCTGCTGGGAAGGTGGCATACACAGTCTTCTGATTGGAGACTTCTGACAAGCAATGAGTGTTACAAGGATTAAACACCAATCGAAACTAACACCTAACGAACACTATTCTGCGTTGTCATTGTGACATTTGACACCGTGAACCTGCATGCTCCAACTTTTTACGTGGGGAAAGCTTGCATTCCTCGCCTGTTTCTACTGCTACCAAACTTCAAAACAACACCTACAGTAACTAAAGACTCCCACAACCACGTACGATTCCCACATTCAATTCAATCCGTAGGGCCGGACTTCCTTTTCGTACGCGCTCGCTTTTCCTTTCCACCACATCGCGACACCCCCAGTCGGCAAACCTTGCGTCAGCCCACCTCGCAGATCGGCCCACGTGCGCCACCACTCCACATTTGGGGTACGTTAGCCTCAGACTAGATTGTAGTGGGGCATAGAGGTGTGGGACGCTGTGGACGCGGGCAGACTTCCGCTGCTCCGAGGGGTGCCATGAGGTAGGTGTCACGGTTTAGTGAGTACACTGGTTATGGTCATGGTGTTGTGGCTGGGAAACCTGCGGAGTGGGAACTAGATTGGGGAAGAAGGTAGAGGATGCGCAGTGCGAGGTTTGGCGCTTGGGGAGAGTTGTGCGTGGAACCGTTCGTGCTTCTGGTTTCATAGAACACGATACGGAGCACTCACAGATACGCAACCCTCACGACATTTGTGGTTCCTGGGTACGTTATTCTGCAGTGCACCTTCAAGCTTATTCGCTCCTCTTCCATACGCGGATTCACCTCGACGATTACTATTCCCGCACCGATCGCAGACTTGCGGCTGTGACGTGAAAGAACCTGGGGTGCGTCACTGCGGGGATAGTGCGGGCTTAGGGCTTGAGCCTTCTTGGTGGTGGTGATGGTTGGCGTCATAGACTGCCAAGCGGGTACGCGCCAGATCCACGTGGACCTGGTTTCTGGGAGAGCTGAAGAGGGCAGTCATAATGATCTGGATGTATCGTTTGAGGATGTGGATGCGGATGCGAGATGTGTTATGATCAAGTGTAAGGACAATATAGATCATGTGGAATAATTGAGTATTGCGTATCTACTTTTGCAAAGAAAGATTGAACAGCTAGATCAAACTCATTTTCTTTGTTGCTGGGTATGTGCAGAAACAACGGATAGATCAAAACACTCAACCCCTGTACAACATCGCGTAACATCTCGCTCTTGCGAGGAAGGTGGTATCTCAAGTCAAAGCAAGCGAAAAGGAACCCCCAGGTGCAGCCCAGCGCATCAGTGTCAACAACTCCTCAGCCCCTGAACTCCAGTATTCCAAATCCAAACCAAAGTCGTCAAGTGATATCATTGCTTTCATAGGCCAAAGTTGCCGTCGAGCCCTGCCAGTCCAGTTGGTGTGCTCATATCGGGGATCATGATGCCGGCATACATCCTGTCGCTGCCAGGAGTGCCAAATTCGCAAGAGTTGCTGCTGAACTCCTCGCCACTGGTCAGGCTCTCGTCGCTGAAGCTGAGCACGCTCCGTGGGGGTGCTGCGGTCCCGTAGCTGTTCCAGTCCCAGGTATCAGGCGACCAGTTGGCGCTGCTGTCCGTAGCATTAGAAGTAGAAAGAGGAACATCGAGAAGAGCCTCCGCCGCTGGGCCACCATAAATGTTGTCGTATATGTTGGTCTGTCCACCATCTAGTGAGCCGAGCAGACGCTCCCAATCGGAGGTAGAAACTTCCGTCTTGACAGTAGTGGGAACGAGAGAATGGTTCCTCAAAGCGTCACTGTTGAACGACAGGAAGTCGATATTTCGGTGTGCAGCGGGCTGTGATGTCAGATTCGGACGGCGGTTGTTTGGCATGGAGCAAAAGGCGCGGTTTTGGGTTGGCGGGCTCATGGTGGGTTCCGATCGCGCTATGTGTGGTTCAGAGCGAATAGACGAGAGGCTTGTCGAGGAGGGGTTGCCATGTACACCGTCGTTGGGCGAGATAGTTGGTAGAGTGGCACGTCGAGCCTCGAAATCGTTGCGGCTAGCCTTCATAGCACCTGGGGAGAAGCGAGCAGCAATGGCCTTGAGTGTCTTCTGTGTCGCGCGCAAGGTGTCCATTGGGGCGCCCATGCTTCGTTCCGAGTTATGGCGGGAAAGTGCAGGAGCGGCCACTCGAGGGACCGTGATCATCGAACATCCAGTACGACTAATGAGAGTTAGTATATGCGATGAGTCGAGTGGGTCCGAACAAACGTACCGGAACTCCATAGAGCCAGCTGCAGAGCTGCGCTCAAGCATGTCCATGACCGAACAGACAAGGCGGTTGCAATCCTTGACCAGCTTGCCGTCACGAGCAAGATTGAGGGTCTGGAAGAGCAGACCGAATCCAGCCTGGACGAGGACCTCATTGCGGTTGAGGCAGAAGGAGAAGCTAAGCTTGCGCTCGTCAAGCAATTGCACGATCTGCACGATGTGCTTGCAAGCATCCCCAACTGCAACCAGAGCGGACGAGCCCTTGTCACCAAGATCGGCGACGACAACGGGGCGGTATATGAGAGATTGGATGTGGTAATATGCCAGAGACTTTACCGAGTTAGTGACAATAAACTGAGAGACATTTAAGAGTGTGGCTTACTAAGATGGGTGCTCTGCTACTTGTCACGTTTGTGCTGGGCTTGTCTTGTGCGAAGGTCAGCTTGAGGTGTGGAGCCAGGTTATTCTGCCATTCCTCAAGATCATCGGCCAGGGATGCCACAGTACGGAAAGAGATGTCGTGTGTTAAGGAGGTTGGGTATAACTCGGCCAAAGCTCTGGAGAGGATGCGAGAAAGGCGGAAGAGGGCCAGTGCACTCGAAAGTTTGGTCGACTCGCCGGGCAGGGTCGGCAGGAACCCTTTCTCGGTGACGTACTCATCGTCAGCGTCAACTGGATATTCGCAGTGAACGTCTTCTTCTCTGATCAGCTTGGGGAGACCAAGGTGTGCGGCAGACAAGCTAGTTGCGTTAGCGATGGGTAGACCGACACTCAGTGCAACAGTCCTTACCAATCGACAGTGTACAATGACCAGAACACTTTCTTCCTGGTTTCGCTAGTGAGTGCACCAAGTGCGAAGCGCTTCTGCAGTTGATGCAAGCCAAGGCGTTGCGACAGACCGATAGCTAGGCCCTTGTACTTGAGCACGCGGGAGTAATCACCCTTAAGGAGACAGTATATCTGAGCAAGAACCAGACACTGTAATGTCGCAAGGTCGTTGTCCATCAAGAAGGTGTCGACAGCACTTTGCCATTGAGCCTCGAATGATGCAACGTCTTTATCGTCACGTGACTGCTTCAAAGTTAGTAAAAGGAATCGCTGCAAAGTAAGCAAGAGGTACATACGTCACTGGACAGTGCAGCAATACCGAAACACAAGTTGAGCATCGCGATGGACTTCTTGTCGTGAAGATCCTCAAGGCTGGAGACATACTGCTCGTACAAGCCAAGGAAGGTTGGCCGATGAAGGACAGGGAACAAGGGCGCCCACTCCTGGAAGAAGATGTTGATCATCTGGTCAGACACCAGACGAGGCGGAGCCTTGAAAGAGACATTGCACTTCGTGGGAGAAGCAGACGCTTTGGCTCCTGCTCCAAAGAAGGCATTTGAGCTGATGTCTGTGCTGAGTCGTCCAGTCCCTTGCGCCTTTTGCTTGAATGCCTCTACGATGTGTTAGATAGGTCACTGGGCAATGACAAGGGCACGGTCATACCAACGAAGGTTCGTCCACTTGAACTACCAACGAAGTACGAGTCGCTATTCTCATCGTCTACGAGCAGTGGAGGCTGTTGCACCTTGAAGGTGTCGTCTTTCTCTTGCAATTCTTCCCTGATTTCTAATGCGGCTGGTGACTGAACGGAGGGTCGTTGTCCGTTTGAGAATCCTTGGGGCGAATGTGAGTGGATTCGTGAGAGCATGTCGATCTTCTCGTCTTTCTCGTCGAGCAGCTCCTTCAGCTCACGAACCTCTCCTTCCAACAGTCGTACTCGCTCCTCAAGCGACTCTGTGTAACCTCTGGGAAATGCTCGACGACTGAGCTTGTCGCTGGTCTTGCACTCGAAGCCAACGTTGGTGCATTGTGTGCAACTTGGGCGAATGCCGTCGCACCGTATCTTCTTGGAACGGCATCGATCGCAGGCTTGTGCAATGCGGGACTGACAGCTCGACCCAACTTTGATAACTTTCATGGGTAATATGCCGGGCATGTTGGCGGTGAATTTGTTTTGCGACGTTATCGATTGGTCGTGTTGTTTCGCTGGGTATAGCGGGGGCCCACGAGGGGATCACTGACAGAACGTGTCACAAGCCGTTAGCATCCGGATCCTCGGGTATGGCGCAACAGGGGCGTTCGAGTGCGTTGTAGTCGCGGTCGTAGTGAAAGCGCTGCGATGTCGAAGTAGTAAAACGGGTGCGAGAAGGGTGACTGTACGGAGGGCGCGGGAGAGTTTAGAAGGCGTGCGGAGGAAGGGACGGCTGGTCAGTGTCTGCCCTATATTAGTGGGCCCCGGGGTTGGTGCTGGGGGCAACTCAATTTGTGGAGACCCCGGCGAACTGGAGCAGCAGGTCCCATCCATGCACGGAAGGAACGAGCGGCGCATCACTGGTCCGTTGCTTTTTCGTCTGCTGCGTGCGCTATCCCTCAAACACACAGTTGATCAATATGCGGGGAACAGCTGCGTGGCCTCAGCCTTCGTCAAACGCTTCCAGCGAAGGGTGCTTGCCAACCAGACTATCTGTAGTCACTTGCGGGGTGGTCTTCACCATGCGAAAGGCCTGCTATGGACGCCGGCCCGATTGCTGTGAAAGCCCATGCTGAGTTGCCATAGCCTGCGTCGAGTCGTCTTCAAATCTTGACCTGGAGACCAGCTCAGCGATCGATTGCTGGCCCTTCATCTTCGCCCACATGTGTGACAGGTAGATTATGCCCTGAGATACAATCGCAACTGTGGCAGCAGGAGCGAGATCGTCTTCTGCTGCTTGACACCTCTGGGTCTCTTCCAAGCCGCAGGCCCTCGAGATCTCCAGTCTTTGACCATGGGGTCGGTGCATCATCGCTGTGCTCTGGTCGAGCCTGGCGCACCAGCCACCAATTTTCCAGAAGCTGAACTTGGCAAGGCGAACATCGCGAGTTTGGCAGACCTGACATAAGCCTACAATCTGTCATTTGCGTCAAATCGCTCAGGGTCTGCATCCGCCAATCAATCCGCTGGTTGGACAAGGCTCTCTCATGCGACGGTAAGGCCAAGCCTTTAAACCTGGGTTCGAACGTCCTGGAGGATCCGGCATCCATCATGAACGCTCGGCGAATGAATGTGGATGTTAGTATGCACACGTCGCAATCGCTGAACTGATTTGGGGTGAAGCTGTCCGGTCGTGTGACTTTTGTTCCTGCCTCCAGCATGCAAGTTACGGCTCTCCAAGCATCGTCAAATCGAAGATCGGTGCCTTTTGGGGTAGGTATCAAGTACATCGCTAGACTAGCATACATCCAACCAAAGACTAAGGGAAGACCCGGTGTGAAGTTGGAACCAAGTTTCGATACATTGTTGATGTTGCAGTTGCCGCTTTGGCAAGGCTGCGAGAGTCCATGCATGAGGTATATCAAAATCTTGCAGCCAATAGCTCGAACCTTATACAGCCCTCTAATAGCGACTGCCCATGGTGTACAGAGCCTGATATGTCGTGTGTAACTCTGTGACCTTAAGTGAAGTCGACCTCCTCTTCTCCTTCGCCGTCACCACCGATGCCCAGGTACTGCTGAACAACTGCTGACTCAAGGAGTCTCGATTTCTATGACAGACGTTAGTGGGAATGCGTGAAGGTTTCGCGGAGTGCCTGCGGATCAAGGCTGCACCCGGATCTAGTTCGCTAACGCATAATTGTAGTGATGGCTTAGCCGTCTAGCCTAATGTGTGTTGTGCTAAGTTACCAAGTATTGAGGTGCATCAAGAGCCACCCCCCTTCGCGACGAACGTAGCCTCCACGCTGTTGTTTGACAGCGCAGCATAACTGGATCAGGAGGAATACCTCGTGACTGCCTGCAACCTACGATTTGCATAGCGCAGCAGTAGAGGAAGACCACTGGACTCAAAGCCATACAGATGCATGTACTAGGCAACAGCACCTTTAGTGCATGGTACATGCAGTAGTCCAAAGCAAAAACGCGGAGTAAAGGAGAATATTTCCTTACCTGATTTTCAAAGGCGTCCATGGCTCTTTCGAGCAGCTCCAGTTCCAGGGTACGGAGCCTCTCCGCAAGGATCCATGGGACTTCTCGTACCGATGCCTCTTTCTGAGGGTTTCCTACTTCCTTCAGGGTTTCGATCTGCGTCTCCACACGGCCCTGCAGCAGTACCGTCGCTCGAAGTTGGTAGATGTCCCACAACGGGTCCCCATGTAGGTATTCCCGGAGCTTGCTGGTGTCGTCTAGCTCATCATCTTTCCAAAGGGCTTGGATCTTTCGCTTGCCGTCGACAGTCTGTCTGACCTTGAAATCCAGTCCATCCTCCTCGTTGACAACCACGAGCCAGATGAAGTCGCTTTCCCAGTCGACGTCTCCTGTCTTTTCAAATACGCGGAAGCCTGGGGCAGCTGTTGAAACAAATATCTTTGCAGGCCGCAAAGGGTCGTCGTCTGGTATGTCTAAATTCAGGAACATGACTCTTGCCGAGGTTATGGAGTCTTCAAGAAACCCGTAAGAGAAGATTTTCTCACATGCTCCTTTGTCGTCACCGTATCTAGACGAGTGTCAGTGCTGGAAAGTGGGCATAGTGATGGACTGACGTGATTGTAATCTCTCCTTCTTTGCCTATCTTCTTATCTTCCCGCAGCAAGAGTAGACCGTCTCCATCTTGATCCGTTTCGTAGAGAGCAGCAGTAGCGTCGCCAGAAGCATGATTCGCCATGTCTACACATGGACACATGCAGTCACCAACGCCTGGGAACTCCAGAGCTCTTGAGCGGTACATTGCGTCGACGCACATCCAGTCGTCGAAGGTGACAAGGCCATTGTCTTCATCCCACCAGTACTTTGCGCACCAGTCGATGTTCTCAGTGGCTGTCCGTACGGTTTCAAACTCACGCAGCAAGCTGTTCAATTTTGCACGAACTGCTGGCTGCAGAGTGGTTCCCGTCAGTAGTTCATGCTCTTCCTCTGACCAGAAGGTTGGTAGAAGCTCATCAGGAAGATACTTGATGTATTCGGTAAGCGGGTTCAGGACGCCAACGTCTTTGATGTCTGGACAGCAGATAGTCGCTTGCATGAGAAGGAAAATCAATACCGCACCTCTGGTCGTCTGCGACTCAAGTCAGTGGCTGAAAAGTCATTACAAGGATTGTCGCACCCTTCCAAAATCTCCTGTAGCTTCGAGAACTTCGCGTAGGTGACGATCCGACTTAGCAAAAAGCTCAACATTCTGCCGCGAAATGATGAGCTCTTTGGGCACAACGAGAAGAGGCTCCACTTTGCCTCCCTCAAGCTCACGGTCTGCTATGACAGTCGATCCTCTGTCTTCAAAGCCCGGCAATGGTCCGACTTTGATGCCATTGAAGGTTACACCATGAAAGGTTGCCCATGTTGGGAGGGTGTCAATCGGCTGCTTGAGCCACCCTTGGGTCCTGCCGGTATGGATCATGCTGGTGTGACGACAGCCCTCGTGACAAGCAACGCAGTGTCTGCAATGACGCCCGCAAGGGCATAAAGTGGTAAGGCTGGGTTGGTACTACTGCTTGTAGCGGGCTGCCACTGTAGACCGATGCGCTTTCAAAAATTGATGGACCCTGTGATGTCATGTGCTCAGCAAGCCTCCGCAGTGATGTTGCTATGGTTCCCCAAGTGATGGCAATCTCCTACAACGCTGGAGCTTGAGTAGAGACCCACTGAACGAGCGCGTGGATGCAGCAGCAAAATAAACAGAAAACAGGTCTTGGGGACAGGGGCTGGCCTCACCGCAAACCGTGCGTACAACGAGCTCTGGCCAAGCACTGTTGTCGACGTTGTTTTGATGTGTGGTTGTCAAGGCGAGCCGAAATCCCCGGTCTAGACTAAGGATCCACCACCCGCAATAGGTTAGAACGCAGTTTTGTTATGGGAGCTGCTGCCAAGACATCTGAATGTAAACACCGCGGCTCGTACATTATCTCTCCCACCACCACCGCTGGACTTCAGACATCATTACTGTTATTCATTTCCCGGACCATTGCAGGACAAGACGCACTCGGCGACTGTGTTCGCAGCTTCACAACGATTCCACCTCCCGCAATTACTCTGCGCTGGTCAATCTCGCCCTTTCGTCTCAAGTCGCCGTCCCCCGTATATTGCTCGGCGCTTGCAGCCGCAAGTAGTCTTCGGTCTTTCTTCGCGCCAGTTTAAGCATCAGTGTTGCATTCTTCACCATGTCTTCGCATTCACGAGTAGCAAAGACGCCTCGCGCCAGCGCGACCAGCTATGGTCAGGTCATCGAGGTTAGCACCATAACAAAGCTCAAAACAACGCGCATCAGGCCGGACGCTAAGGCGATACTCTTCTAGTACATCCAAGACAGACTCTACCTCGCCTCGTATACCCATACACCAGATGCGAACACACCATTCCCTTATCCCAAGCAGCACGCGTCGCCATCGAAGCGCTCATCGCGGGCGCAAGCAGGTCCCACTGCCGCTGGCGCTAAGGCGCTCCCACCTGTGTACTTCAGCATTGACAAGACTCTGCTGTACAACGCCTTCCACGGCGACTTCGGCCCGCTCCACATTGGTCACTTGTACCGCTTTGCTGTACAGCTGCATGAAGTACTTGGCGACCCAGCGAACGAGGAGCGAGCAGTAGTCTTCTGGAGTAGCGCAGACTCAAGGAGTATGTCAATGTGGATGAACGACCTCCAACATAGTGCTAACGTGCTTAGGCCGTGCCAATGCCGCTTGCATCCTTGCTTGCTACATGGTCCTCATTCAGTCGTGGCCGCCTCACCTGGCTCTCGCGCCCATTGCCCAAATGGACCCGCCTTGCATGCCATTCCGCGATGCCGGATACAGCCAGGCTGACTACGTTCTCAACATTCAGGATGTCATCTACGGTGTCTGGAAAGCGAAGGAGGAAGGTCTCTGCGGGCTCAAGGATTTCAGCCTCGAGGAGTACGAGAAATACGAGCGCGTCGATATGGGTGACTTCAACTGGGTCACCCCTCAATTCCTGGCATTCGCCTCCCCTCAGCAACAGCCAACTCATGAGATCTCCAAGTCGTCGCCGGTGTACGCCACAATCCCCTCCAACATCGCCGAGGTTCAGAAGTCGAGCCTGCCCGGACCTTTCAAGAACGTCCTGTCGCACTTCTGCGCGCGCAACATCGGTCTCGTCGTTCGCTTGAACTCTGAACTCTACTCCTCGACCTACTTCGAGAAGCTGGGAATCAAGCATCTCAACATGATCTTCGACGATGGTACTTGCCCACCTTTGTCTCTTGTCCGTCAATTTATCAACCTTGCGCACGAGATGATCACTGTTCGCAAGAAGGGTATCGCTGTTCACTGCAAGGCTGGTCTTGGACGAACTGGTTGCCTCATTGGTGCCTACCTCATCTACAAGCATGGTTTCACTGCCAACGAGATTATCGCCTACATGCGATTCATGCGTCCCGGTATGGTCGTTGGTCCTCAGCAGCACTGGCTCCACCTCAACCAGATGACCTTCCGCGAATGGTGGCACGAGGACACCATGAAGGCTAAGTACGCCGAGATGATGCCCTCCACACCTACAGTATCGCCACGCAAGCAGCGTCTGGCAAGCAACGGGCAGACCTTCACACCACCAAATGGATCCCAGAGGCGCGCCGCACTTGGAGAGATTGAGTCAAATGAACAGCGTAATGCCGCGCCCTCGAACATTGGCGTCCAAGAAGACAACCTCCCAGCGCCGACACCAGGTCAGCCCCGAAAGACTAGCAAGCTTTACGGCACTGGCAGCGCAAGACAGTCCCCATCGCGCATCGATGAGAACGAGCCATTCACCAGATCCACGACTGAAGTAAGGGCGGACCTCACTCGTTATGACGGTGAGTCTGACGAGGAGTACCACCTACGCCAAATTGCGCGGAGAACATCGTCTCGTTCGCCAGCTCGCACACCTGCTTCGATCAAGGAGAAGACACGTCGTGCCTTCAGCACAACATCTGTTGTTCACACGTCGGTAACTCACACATCGTTCGGCTACGGTGACGGCAGCGATGCTGAGAATACCGCACCGGCTACAATTAGCGGTCGTCCGAAGACACCAAAAGATAAGAGCGGCAGCGGCAACGGCAACGGCAGCATCTGCGTCGGAAAAGTTCGTTCAAGCCCACACCGGAGGAGCACTGAGGGCAAGACTAGTGTTCGCAAGACCAGTGGGAGAGTCGGCAGTGTCGGCAGCTCCATGGTCCGCCCCAAGTCATGAGCGACGTTCTCCACATCTGAGTTTCTGCATCATCGGTGTTTAGGCACCAAAGGCGTATTGGCATCATCACTTCCATCATCATCATCATCGGCATCTCCTCCATCTGAGCGATACCAGCGGCATGAACAGGTGTTCAGCATTGTCGATTCGATGTTCTACAACATATGGCGTCTGACGAAAGGGCGTTTTGGGTCTCATAGGCGTGTGCGAGGGTCAGCACCTTGCGGGTTAGGTTCCGTAGTCTGGCGTACGGTGTGCTGTTTTCACTCTCCCGAGTCTCTTCTCAGTCACAGCATTGGTCATCATTTCAGTATTGTCTTGTTGTACTTCTGTCTTGTTTCTCTTTGCGGCGTCTGACTGCGGATGTTCATGACATTATGAAGATAATGAGTACTTAGTCTTAACTATTTCAAACTTCGAAAACTTTCCGTCATTGCTGTGATACGACCGCCATTCCTGGAAACTCTTTGCACTTCCCTTCGAAATCTTCGCTGGCCTTTAAAGTATCTACACGGCACCGAAAAAAAACCGACGAGCCTGTCGAGGAAGCAAAAACATACAACAGCAGGTATTCGCTAGTGGTCACCCACCTAACTACTAATCCGCCGGTACGTTGCTTAAATAGGGCTGAGCGAACGGGAAGCCTTGTTTTCAACGTCCTATGGTCGTATGTGAAAGACATTGCTAGAGAAATTGTATATGTAGTGGCCATGGATAGACTGAGAGACAACAACCAATCATGAAATTGTACTAGGATACTACCAGAGTTACTCCACAACGAGCTCAACCTCGTTCGTAATGAAGATCCTCCCTGCCAGCGGACTTTCCGTGTACTCATTCGTATCGTCATCCGTCACCTCGCTCTTAGGTCGATCCCAAATGCCCTTCAACAACCCCTCTGCCTTGACCTTGTACTTTGCCGGCTTCGTCTCAGGCATCCACGGCCTGTCAAAAACAACCTCAATACTCCCTTCCTCTCCAGGGTTCACACCCGCAAGCTGGTCCTGCCCAGGTGGCATCTTCCTCCTGATCTGCAAAGTCACCTGCTCGACCTCAGCGCCCGAATCTGCGTCGGTGATCTTGAAGACACCAGTGTTCAGCGCTGCATCATCAAGCGGTGTACCCCATTTGAGGAGCGTGTAGGGGGTGTCTGGGCTATCGTTTTTCAGCGTGACGCGCAGTGTTGGCGGGCTCTTTGAGATTTGCGATAGCGATAGTGACAGTCCTGGGACTTCGCTAGATGTCTGCGACATAGTGAAAGAGCTGGGACTGGGTGATTGAGAGATGTAGTAGCCTCCGAAAAGCGTGATGACGACAGCGGCGATAAGCGTGTTGCGGGCGTTGAAGTATCTTTGGAAACCGGCCATCGGTTGGCGTGGTAAGAACGTTCAGTTTTAGTGTGCAAGTGCTTCGAGGTTGCTGCCTTGATAAGTCTAACGGGAGGTTGTGGTGGGATGTTCCTGGGCAGCGGGGAAAGCCAACCCGATATTGGAAGGAGTCAAGTAATGTTTCAATATTCGAGCACCTGATCGCAAAGGGAGCAAGTGTGTCTGTAGGCCAGATAGACACACTCTTCTGCTCGCACAGTGTCTCAAGTCTCACCTGAGCCTGAACATTGATATCCTCAAGTTGAAAGCAATGACGTCGTGGTATTCTCCCAACAACAGCCAGGACAATGGTGATGCATGTCATAGCATTGTACACAAAGCTCTACCGTAGCTCTTGGCACAATTATATTGATACGTAGTGTATATGACCGGGCGAATGAGGCTACGCTATGCGATATGCTTTGTTGCGACCTGCCTTAGTTGGTAAGAGTAACATTCGAGGCTTGCTAGCGTTGACAAGATGCAGATTGCAGGATGATGATTCGTCTGTTTGACGATCAGCTGCCGAGTAGTGGCGTCGGCAGTGGATTTTTTGTTGTTGGCCATGTTATTGTTTCAAGAAAGAAGTCTGGAGCCCCGGAGCGATGGGTCTTTCCCGCTGCCACATCCGCCGACCTTTCCTGATTCGGCGACAGTAGGAGGTTAGCCGTGGGCATCTTTTCGATGTTCCCGAGGCATCTCTGCATACCTCCGACATCGACTTCAGCCCTTTTACCTCCTTCCTAATTTTACGATGCCGACTGGCCAATTGTTCCCCTAGCTCGAGCAATTCGCCCCAAACAGTCGTGCAGGAGGTATACATGGCGTCGTTTTCCATCCGCTCCACAGCGCCTACGGCTGCCGGCAACTGAAACTGCCAGCCTCAATCGCAACCGTGCTGTTTGACACCTTTATAACGAAGATTCCTCTGAGAGTGGGAGCTCTCGTTAACAAAGAAGACGGGAGTACGTGCGCTCATGAAATTGACTGGATGGAAGTCAATCTGTTGAGCTGGTGTAAACTTTGGCAGTGTCGCTAGTTGTCGTTGCCTCTACCGCTGTACCCATTCCCGGGAGGTCATCTCCAGTCCGTCGATACCCCATCCGAGACGCTTCTTTGAAGGCCAAGACATTCGTTAATTTAAACAAGAGTGATCGACACGACCAAGATACGATAGAGATTGAGGTGACATTGCTTTTGCATGAATGCCACACATCTGGAGCTCCTTATTATTTGGTACGCATGAGCAAACACCACTACCTTCCGCATATACGTGCGGTCCGGCAGTCAGTCACTTGCATCGTTCCGTTTCCACTGCTTGCCACGTTCGAGCTGCCGGCTTGGTTTCCTCCTCCCGCATCTGGAGAAGTTTCCGAGCAGTATCGACCCAATGTCCTCGGCGTAGAAGACTTGGCAAATATAAGCTTCACGCCCAGGTGCAGCTGCAGCTGCCTAGACCAGTCAAGCTCCCACCAAGGCTTGTGCGGGATGAATTGTACCCTAGTCGATAATGAAGGTCAATGTAGACATTCAGCAGAAACAAAGGGCTGCCAGCAGGTATATATATGAGCATGAGGAGTACCCAAATGCCCTCATCAGCTTCAGTTCAACAGCTCTTCCCTGTCTCTTCGGTCTTCAGCCTATCGCTTACGTCGAGCCTCTCTGGTCATTCTTCATATACTCAGTCATCATGAAGTTCCAGCTTTCTGTCGCCGCTCTGGCCGCCGTTGCCTCTGCCGTCTCTGTCGATGTCAACAAGCGTGACACTCCTCTGAGCATCAAGCTTGAGAGTGTTGGTAACTCTGAAGTCAAGATCGCAGTGACCAACAACGGAGAGAAAACCTTGAACCTCCTGAGCAAGGGCACTTTCCTCGATGAGGTCGCTCCTGTTGAGAAGGTCCAGGTCTACTCTGCTGCTGGTTGTATGTTCTACCAATATCTCCAGAGGACTTGACCACTGACTATCGTGTAGCTACTAAGGTTCCTTTCGAAGGCATCAAGCTTCGTCTCTTGACCACTGGCTTGGCTACTGAGGACTTCGTTGCCCTCAAGGCCGGAGAGACTAAGGAGGTTACTGTCGAAGCTGCCGCTCTTCACTCGCTCAATGATGGTGGTGACTTCGAAGTCTTCGCCAGCGGTTTGATCCCCTACGCGGAGGAGAACTCCACTGAGCTGTCTGGAACTCTCCCTTACGACTCGGAGAAGCTCACCATCACCATTGACGGTGCTCAGGCTGCCCAGGTCACCAAGGCTATTGATCTGCAGAAGCGTACCTCTGTTCGCTCAAGCTGTACTGGCAGCAAGCTCACCGCCATTCGCACGGCGCTGTCCAACTGCAACAGGCTTGCTACTTCTGCTGCCTCCGCCGCTACCGCTGGTACCAAGCTCAGTACCTACTTCAAGTCCACCGCCGCCTCCACAAAGAACACTGTTTCTGCTCGCTTGACAGCAGTTGCCCGTGACTGCGGCAGCACCACTGCTACTACCACAACCAACTGCGACGATCAGTACAGCGGCTGCTCGTCCAACGTCCTGGCTTACACCGTCCCCTCGACTAGCTACATCACCTACTGCCCTATCTTCTTCTCTGAGCTTCCAGCTCTCAGCTCTACTTGCCACGCACAGGACCAGGCCACGACTGTTCTTCACGAAGAGACTCACGCCAACAGTGTCTACAGCCCCGGTACTGACGACCTTGGCTACGGCTATGCCGCTGCCTCTCGTCTGACTACTACTCAGGCTCTCAACAACGCTGATTCTTACGCCCTGTACGCCAACGCTGTCTACGTCAACTGCTAGACGTATGCGGTGTGGGAACTTTGCTTCAGTTGAACTTATATAGATATTTGAATTTATGCGTGTGGAACGATGGTTTACGTACATACCTTTTTAGCGATGAACATATGTTGAATGATTCACGAAGTCCAACCCCCATGCACTGTACGATTGACCTTTGCGTTCTTCACCATACCTGCCACCCACTCCAGCATCTGGGTTAATTGGTTGTTTTGAAAGTTTGAGAAACTCAATATTATTCGAGTTTCAAGATGCACCCAAAGCCCGAGATATGCTGCTGTGCCTCGGTTGGCTTCATCAACGTGTGAACTCTCTCACAAAAACATTTGCGCGATGTATCGCTCACTATTGCGACTCAGCAGTGCCAATTTACAAGCACGAAGCAACGTCCGGGATCAGGTTACTCGATCGCGACCCTCAGGTCGCCAGTCGCAACTCCTCGTCCACCAGCAATCCCAAAATCTACCATGAGGCCACACTTCACTCCGAACTCCAAGGCTTCATATGGCGCATCCTCCTCATCACCCCCGTCTTGCCCCCCCCCCCCTGCCTAGCCTCCATAATAATTATCTCCGCTATCGCCGAAATGGCTAGCCAGAACTACATCCGCGAGCGCTCGTGCTACCCCAACAGGCTCTGTAAAGAAGCTGCGGGCGCAACGTTGCGCATTATGGACAGCACATACTTCTTCACACCCAATCCGAGCTTCGAGAACACGACGTTCACGCAAGTCAAGGTCATCGATATTGCGTGGTATTTGATTGTGGGGGGAGGACAGATGGGGCTGGCGTGGGTGAATTGGATAGTGTTTAATGAATGGCTAGTGTATCATTTGAAGAGGTACAGGACGATTTATAAGATGTACATTCATGTGGAACGGCAGACGACGAGTTGACGATGTTGAATGTGACGGCGACAAAGTTTCTTTGCTTTGGGGGAGAAGAACTGGGGACGCTTTTTTCGGTGGCTTGCAATGTTCAGCATGTTCATCTCGACATTGTACGTGCTGGCTTTCCCGACGCTCACGGCGGCGATGACGGAGTATATCACGACTTACGAGCCATATGTGGAGAACTATAATCGCAGCCTGATTGAATGGGCAAACGTGGACGGGATTGTGAGGTCGATTGATGGCGGAGAACAAATCGGTTTTGATGAGCAGTATGTTTGGGTAACTGCTAAAGATGTGGAATTGATCCAAGCGATAGACTATCGTAATTTGTTCACTACACTTGAAGACTGTAGCTGACCTCTCCTGTAGTCGTCGGCGACCACTCCAATGCCAACAATACCTACACCCAGAGCTCCCGCATGGCTGATGACACCCAGCTGGGCCACCTGTATGGCCGAAATGGCCCTGACTTTCAGGTTCATCATATCGATTGGAACACCGACTGTGAGTTCGAGGGAATCACTTATACACTAAGATCTGGCGTAAAGCTTTCCACGCACTTGTCAACCGGTAAATTCCTTCGCGACCCCACTGCACAAGACCAGCAGTACTACAACATGTCCGGTTGATATGGAAATCAGTACAACTCTACATGGATCAAAGCTCACGGCCCCTGCAAGCCCAGCAAGACCTACCATTGGGGCTTCTCCTACATCTTCCTCTTCATGGTCTCCATTTTTAACTTCCTCTGGTCCGCCATCATGGTATGCATGTGGCTAGACACACGGCGCGCGTCACAAATGCACAAAAACGGAGGGAGACCTGGGTTGCTGAGGAGTGTGTTGGATCTGCCTGCTGTTGTGAGAGAAGAGCTGGGTGCTGAAGCGGAACATCTGGAGGAAGAGGAGCTTAGGAAGAGGCTGACGAGTGGGGTGCGTTGTGTGTACCCAAGCATGAGTTGAGGGTGACGAGGATAGGGACGGAGGATTTGGGGGTAAGGAAGAGGACGTGGACGGGGAAGTTGACTAAGGTCTACGCAAGTTGCTCTCAGCACAAGGTCCTACACTCAAAGCCCGAAGATGCCAGCCCCAAGCGCACCGGCGGCACCAAACAACACCTCCCGACCAACGGCAGCGGCCGCTCTAGGAGCAGCATTCGTAGGTGTTGTCAAAATAGGGGCAGTGACATCTGTCGTCCTCGAAGCACTCGCCGTTCCACTCGATGCTGCACTGCGCGCTGTCGCAGTAGCTTCAGCTCCGGAGCCAAAGCTACTTGGGTTGCCCGTTTGTATAGTGACAAGCCCTGTCGCATCATCCTCGAGGCTTGCAAGAACTACTCATATCAGCTGTGCGTCCCCTTCGGGAGCTCGGATCAACTCACCAGTCGCAGGCACATTCTCGAACCCCGCCGTCAAATTCACAGCAACCGGCGTCATAGTAGTAAAGTATTCCAAAAACCCCGCCAGAAAATCGCCTCCATCCTGCGTGCCAGGTGCAATATTGCTCCCATAATTATTGCTGACACTCGTACAAGTCTTCGTCTTCTCTCTCAGATTCGTGCACTCCAGACTCTTGCCCTGCGCGCTCCAGTGCCACTCATCCGGGCTCTCGGTCACAGTGATGACATTGGGAACGTAGGACGTGCCGCAGACGTCGTTGAAACGCGTCATCGTGGTCCATGGTGAGCATGATATAGCGTAGACTAGGGTCGTGGAGGAGATGGCGGTGATTAGCGAGACGTCGTAGGCGCGTTGGGTGTGTTGCATGTTTGTGCCATTGCGGATGGGGAAGGGTGGGTAGACTGCAATTTGGGTCACTGAGGCTGTTGTGCTGTCCTGTGCTTGTGCAGCAGCGATTAGGAGTGACAATATAGTGAGAAGCATGTTGGTTGTATAAAAGGTCCCCGTTAACTTAACGATATTTGATCCGTGCAGACGTTGAAAGATAACAGGGTGATGTCCAGATGTAAAGATTCGAGGTCGTGACCACAATCGTCTTTGAGGTGTCTTGGGATCTCGGTAAATGGTACTGCGCCTGGCTTGGCAGCTCCCAGCCACCTACATTGCATGCCGCTCTACCCTTTTTGTGACACAACTAGAGTACACCGGTGGAATACGAGGAGCTGGACACATACGGTCCAGATGAAGTTATGCTGTCGTAGTGTGAATAGGCTCTGTGATAAAGGTGTATGAATTTGATCATGAAGAACGGTGTTTCCGGCTTCTTCAGGCCTCCCATAATCAACAGGAGATGAGAAAGGAAGGTGTGATCGTGTAAAAGCGATTTCAATGCAGTACTCACAGCCTCGCCTTCTCGTTCAATAATCTCAACCCCGTAGCCTCCTCCAATTCTTTAACCGCATCTCTCGTTTGCCCTAGATTAACCTTGATAGTCCTCAACCCAGTCTTCTTCGCAAACTTCAAGTTGATCCCAATGTCATCCAAGAACAACACGTCTCCCTCTGCCACCTTGCCTGTTCCCTTGGCCTCACTGATCTTGCTCATTTCCCTCGTCGCCAGCTTATACGCCTCCGGATCCGGCTTCCTCACGCCCACCGCCGCACTTCCCAGGCAGATATCGAAATTCGTAGTGATATCTGTTGAATCGTTGGCGTGCGGATTTGGATGTGAGCGGTGCTGTAACTCTTTCGTGAAGAGCACGCCTTCATCGTCGAGTATGTCGGGAGGGAACGTGATATTGTTGCTGAAAGCGCCGAGGATAAACTTCCCACTTTCCTTCAGCTTGCGCAGCGCGGGATACATGTATGGGTCTGGTTCGCGGGAGATCTTCATCATGCGCCAGAAGAGTTTCTTCACATCTATTTCTGGGACGTTTGGTGGTTTGCCGCCCTCGAGTGCTGAGCCACCAGCGCCACCCAGGGATTGTTGTTGCGTGAGCTTGGCGAGGTATTCGCGCCATATCTCATGTCGCGATAGTTGCGCTTTGAAGGATGCAAACCAGTCGTCGTTTAGTTCAACTTCACCGCGTTCAATGAGTTGCCATGCACCGGTGTCGTGCGGGCCTTTCTGGATCGCGTAGTTGATGTAGCCGATTGGGATCTTGTTCTCCGTCTCGTAGTCTAGGATGGCCTGGAAAGGACTTACCACCTGATGTATATTGTCAGCTATGCGTGAGACGATTGTGGTGGGGCGCGCTCTGAGAGGGGAAGAGGGGAAACATACAACAACCCCACCGATGTCGAAGAGAATGGCTTTGGGTGGTTGGACCGATAACGACATGTTTGCCACAGGCTTTGAGATAGCTGTAGCTGCTACGAGCGTATCATGGCGGTCTGAAGTAGGCCATGGTGTTGAGTGTCAGTTCACTAAATGAACCTCGGCAATGAGGAGAAGCTTTATCGATAAGACTAGTGTTCACTGGGAGCCGAAGCCTCCTCGACTGGAGACATGCAATCATCGTTCGAGTTGCAAACACATGGTTTGAGCGATACGATCAGAAGCTGCTGGAAGTAAGGAGAGACAGAGTTGTGAGCGTGGGGACCAGTCTCGTCAAGCGAGAAAGAGTTCTTAGGCCGACCTCTGCGCATCCGCAGTCCAAGCTCGTGCTCATACTTTAACAAAAGCGAAGCTCTGAAGCGCGGTGTCGGATGTCGATTGTAGCGAACTTTTAGAGACGGAAGCTCTGAGGCGGAGGTCACATTTCGGTTCGACAAAACTTCACTTCGGGCCAAGAAGACAGATTCGCTGCCAGGCTCCAAGATCGTCAAGGGCATGCAGTTGTATAGGCAGGCACACCAGAGTTCAGACGACTTGACATACAGTTCAGTACTATATCAAGTGTATGTATTTTTTTTTTTTGAATTTTGCCAGTTGGCTCGTCTCCTCGGCTCAATCCTACCTTCTGTGATGGCAGTCCTTGCAGGAGATTCATCGATGCCTTAGTCGCTTGTGGTGAGGCAGTTGGAGAAGACGAGAGAGTTCAGATCGCTTAAGAGTAGGCGAGATTGTAAGCTCTTATCGCAGGTCGAACGTGGAACTCCTCGCGCGTGATGGTAGCAGTGAGGTTCAAGCCAGACCCATCAAATACACTTATCGCACCCCATCCAATCTCGCTATCACGTCTGCCTTTCCAGACATGTCCTCAAATTCAGCCAGTTCGAAAGAGAGCCGCGAAATCTGGTTAGCAATCTGCCTCGACATACGACTCTTGATGCGGATGGTGTTGCAGTAAATGCTTGCGAACGGCCTCGTTGATCGGTTTCGCACCCCAAGCTGGCTCCGACTCCAGTTCATAGGCTTGACTGTGATGGAAGTAAGCTTTTCGTTGAGCTTGTGCTGTTGGAACGAGCGGATAGTCGTTGGGAGGTGAATTGACTTCCAATGGGAACCTTCCATAACGTCAGAATCTTCGATTGTCTCTTGTGGGTCCGGTCGGCCTCCCCAATAGACTTTCCCAGTGATGATGTGGCCCTCCAAGCCAACGAAGCAGCCGACGAGAGATGGAGTGAAAGCGTCTCGCTAGTACAAGGGAAAGTTGTGGGATTCGGCATCAGTCGGGTGAACCAGAAGTCTGCCAATGCGAGAGACGACGATCTTTCTCGAGCGCGCAAGTGCCTCAAAAGAGAGGGGATTGTCGACTCTGAAGTTGCATGACGAGAAAAACACTTCCGAGGTTTCGGCCCAGAACTGTCGACAAACAGGTTGTGGTATAATCTGGGACCTAACCTCCAGGTACCTTCTCGTGCGGTCTATTTCCTGGTAGTGGACAGCACCGAGGGTACGGAAGTAAAGCTTGTCACGCAACGCGAGAACGTCTATCATCTTGTCGCCGAAGGCAAATTCCCAGATGGTGTTCCGAATCTCTGCAGGCAAGCGGAGAAGAGGCGAGCGTACGGCGTTGCGCGCCGTCCTGGAGAAGTTAGTCTCATCCATGATGTATTAGACAAGTACGCTCAACCTACAAATCAAGAACTGCAGTCACGGCATTTTTGTGGCTCTGTGGGTCTGGCCTTTCTGGAGCTTCACCATGCCGGTGGTGGACGAGCCCAACGCAGCGTGCTTCTTCGGTGGCATCTTGTCACAGGTAACAACTACAAAGGTCGCAGGAGTGGTCGCCGGCGAGACAAGATAAGTTGGCGGCAATTTCGGTTTATGGTTAGCGTATGTCAAGCGTTGTGACTACTTGAAACGGATGTGAACAAACGATAGGCAACGCGGCGGGGCGCTGAAGTGAGGTGAAATAGCTTGACAAGCGGGACGGCAGCACATTACTCAGCGGCTACCTGGATCCTAACATGCATCGTCTTTGTCACTAAGGTGTAAATACACTTAATGCCGTCACTCTTCTCTTAGACCCACGTGCCTGATATACCACGCAATCTTCGCAATACTAATCCTCAACATCCCTTCATCAACACCATTATCTTCGATATATGCTTTTTTCTCCGTCAAAATATCACTCTGTACCTGTCACAGTTCAGGGTGCTCCTGCCTGTTGTACCTCACCTGCCATGAGAGTGACTGCCACGTCACACTAGCGTTGTTTACAGCTACTCACCTATATATACTGTTCGTAGCTTCACTCAACACAACCTCAGTACAATCTTCAAATTCTTCCCTTTGCGTACAGTTCTTCACTGAACTCTGACAGTACCCACTTCAGATACTTCCCCAGCGTCCTCATATCCCTTCCTACGCCAACATCCCTATAAAATCCCATCCCTGCTGCAGCCTCTCCTCCGTGCACCAGATCGCCGCCACTGCATCTGCATTATCGCGCTTCTCTTTCTGGTCGATGGGCAGGGACTTAGGCGCGGCTGCAAATGTGGGTTTGAAGCGACCGCCTTTCGTTTTGAACCATAGCGTAGGATTGAAGGACGGGCATGGCGGTGCGGGCTTCCATACTATGTTTTCGCCTTCGCCGTGGACACCGAAGGAGGTGGCGAAGGGGCAGTATGACGCTACTGCGTCTGCGAGGGTCTCAATTTCGGAGAGGGTACGTGCGGTGTTGTCGGGGTAGAGGGTAGCGGTGAATGTGCCGCCGCGGGCGATGTCGTAGATGCAAGACGAAGGGGCCTCGATACTCGGGTAGAGTGTGTCTTGAACCCAGGAGTTGTTGATGCTAACGGAGATGATGACGAAGCGAGGGGGCAGCTAGGAGATGGCGACGTCTCTCTGGATGTTGGTGCCTATTCATTCACCAGCGATGAGGGCTGGGCGTGTTTGGATTGGAAAATTTCCAGCGTGCAAGGTATTGATCGCGTATGTCGAGGATGGTGTTGGCATTATCAGCCATTGCAGCAGCGAAGCCCTGATTGTCATTGGCTATTGTGATATTGAACACATCCTTTGATTGCAGTACGATCTTATCGCCGTTGTAGACCAGCATATCTGCGCGAGTACCGTGTAATTTGACTGAACCTACAAGAAGAATAGACTCTAGTGTCTTATCCTTGTCCGGTCGATCAGAATTGTGTTGCAGCTTCTTTAAGACTTTGACTGCTTCTGAAACGTGCTGAGTGATCTTAGGATAGAGCGTCGAAGCAACTGATATCGACATTGCTGCTTTGGAGTAGGCCTCAAGCAGCCAGAGTGCCGAGATTTCTATCAAACAATAGCGCTCTTGGGATGCGAAAGCACTTAGTCGACCTCGGGTATTGCGTTCATCTTGCCCACTGTTGAATAGGCATCATCTATGAATCAGTGGGATAGGTCCACTCTTATACCTCACGAGAACAACTGTATAAAGGCTGTGCCGATAGAGATGAATATCGGAGCAATGCGAAATAAATAGCAAGTTCAACGTTACCACTGTTGTTGATTCACGAACAGTGGTGCTGTGGCGTTCATTGTGAATTTTAGTGGATCCCTTATTTGTCAGCGTCGACGCGATTTCCGTGGCGGTAAGCAAACACCGTCTTGGCTTCTTTGTCCATGTAGGATGCCTGAAAACTGCTGATAAATCGCAACTTGGCAAGCAGCGGAGGTTGGAAGACCATCGTCAGATCGGCTGAGAAGTGATCGTCGAGTCGATAGGAAGCTGCGATGGGTAAAAGTATATAAGCTCAGGACGATTTGTATCGATTCAAGCACTATTGCATTTCAATCTTACAAACATGTCTCATTTGCAGTACTTCGACTACCAAGGCTTTGGCGAACGCTCCAAGAGGGAGCTCAACTACAGTCAGGCCGTTCGCATCGACAATCGCATCGAAATCTCTGGTCAAGGTATCGTCAGACGCAACGTAATCAAAGCATCGTTCTGATAGTTTCCAGGTGGCTGGGATCGCCTCACTGAGGATTACCCAGAGTCAATCTCCGACGAGGTCGACCATGCTTTCGACAACGTGGAGCACGCTCTCCAACAGGCTGGCGGTAAGGGTTTGGAACAGGTCTACAAGCTACGCATCTACATTACGGTGCCACTTGATGAGATTGTGGAACCCATCGTTCGGAATTTAAAAGAGCGATTCAAGGCTCATGGCCCGCTTCTGACGGTTGTACAAGTGGCTGCGTTGTACAAGATCATGAGGATTGAAATCGAGGCTGAGGCACACTTGGGCTAGAACATTGCGAATTTACAATTACTTTGGTTTAAAGTGGCTTGAATGACATCCTGCATTGCGTTTCTGACCTGGTTCTGCTCGAGATTGTGGATCACCATTTGAGGGGTAGAGTTGGTTCCTGATTGGATGGGTTGACTGTTGTCAGGCTGTAGCTTCCGCCACAACTCCTCACCTCCTCGATCTAACAACAACAACACATACTCGGGAATGACAAGACCTCCTCTCTACAAAAGAGCTGGGAAGCGTGCAGGCAAGTCATTTGGGAAGGTGGCTTCAATTGCCTGCAAAGGTCTCTTCTGGTTGTGTTGCGGACCTTGCGTATTGTGCGCGATCTGCTTCATCAAACCTAGAAGAGGAGGCTGTGTAGTCAGAACTCAGCCATACGAACCTCCAAGACCTACAACACCACCACCTCGATTACGACCACTTACACTACCATTTATCGAGAAGGATGGCGACCAGAAGACCTTCGATCAGTCACAGTCCATATTCATAACCAAGCTACCTCTGGAGATACGGCGAATGATATACACTGAGATGCTGGGAGGTGTCACTATCAAACTCAGAACGTCAGATGGGAAACCTGTAGCTCAACGCTACCGCTGCTCCAGTTGTTCATGCAGTGACAGTGCACGCCCAAATCGATCAGAGCTGGACTTTGGACTTGCCATGTTGAGAACCTGTCGCCAGATGTAAGTTACAAGCCCATGATTTAGACGTCATCTTCGCGGTGGCTGACCTTATTGCAGATACTCAGAAGCAATTGAATACCTGTATACCGCCAACACCTTCTCACTTTCAACGTGGGACGACGACCATCCGACCTTGGACTACATGTCTTACTACTTTCTACCTCATCGACTAACCCAGATTCGTGCCCTTCGTATCGACTGGGAAGTGGACAGCTTCTACCATGATCGCCATAGAACGACGTCAGGCCTCCTCCATTTGGAAGCATGGAAGCAATCCTGGGGCGCCTTGCGTGCCATGACCGGCCTTCGACAGCTTCGTGTCGTGCTCTACTTCAGATGGCGCGATGTGCTTGACTGTTATGAGGACTACTGGAAGAAACATGAATTGGAGCTTTTGGACCCCGTCAAGACTATCACAGCACCAGCCAACTTCGTTCTCGTATTGCCAGATCGCAGATGCTCGACCAACATCGACATGGGGAGTTCGAAATGTATCCTCCAGCATGCTGAAGAAACGGTCCTATCTTTAGCTTCATAAAGCATGAAGCGTGTCCCCAGCACAAAAATCAGTGCAAGCACACGAGCAACAATGGCACGTTATGCGGCCAAAATTTCTATCGTCTGCTGGAGGAAGAGATCTCGGCTGAGAAACTCAATATGGTGACGTACAGAAGGATCCGCCGAGAGAACCTCAAGCTCAGCTCGGCAGGTACACCATCGGTTCGTCGCCAGCCATCCCCAACCTCCAAATCTCGTTCCGCCATTACGCAACGTGCGCTGCAACGTGCAACTTGGCATATGGTTGGCACTTGGCGCTTTAGCCGTCTTCGCATAGCTCCCCACATTGTCACTCGACTCCTCCAGTTTTCCGTCAGCCTCTTTCCAACACCAAGATATTCCACCAGGGTAGCTTCCCCACGTGCAGAAGATATAGTGATAAACTGGATGGAGCTGCTAGAAGACGTTCCGTGTGGCTACGCTATGCCACGGAGCACCGGACTAAACTTGGAAGCTGAGATGTGGACATGGTACAGATAAGAAGGGCCGGTCGCCAGGTGAATGACCTGCAGGGACGATCTTTCGCTCAAGCGCCAAGCTTTCAGACTTCAAGGCCTTCACAATGCGCTCTTTTGTAGCTTCTTCGCTCGTCCTGGGCCTGGCTTCTGCCGCCGTCTTGCCTCGCTCCAGCCACCACTACCCTGAGAAGCATGGCAGCAAGCACAACCACACAAAGCTCAATGTCCAAGTTGGCGACCGACCATACTTCTTGGTCGACGACATGGATGAGGGTTCGCTGAAGAAGAAGCTCGAGAGCTGTTCAGAAGGACCCTTCAAGTCCTCCGACTTCGTCTTCGCGCACCGCGGCGCCTCCCTCCAATACCCCGAGCACACCTACGCCGCATATAGCGCCGCCCGTCGTCAAGGTGCCGGCGTCATCGAATGCGATGTCGCCTTCACAGAAGACAAGCAGCTCGTGTGCCGCCACGCCCAATGCGACCTGCACACTACCACCAACATCCTCAACACCACGCTCGCATCCAAATGCACCACTCCATTCACGCCAGCCAACGGCACCACCCCCGCGTCAGCCAAATGCTGCACCTCCGACCTCACGCTCGCTGAGTTCCAGACGCTTTGTGGTAAGCAAGACGGCTTCAATCCCAACGGCACGACAGTCAAGCAGTACATGGACGGAACGCCATACTTCCGTACCGACCTGTACTCCTCGGGTTGCCCTAAACTCATGACGCTGGACGAGTACATTGACACCGTGGATTCCTGGGACTTGAAATTTACCGCCGAGCTGAAGACGCCCGAGGTCGCCATGCCGTTTAACGGATACACACAAGAACAGTACGCGCAGGACATGGTCGATACGTTCAGGAACAAGGGTATCGCGCCTGAGCGCGTCTGGCTGCAGTCTTTCCTCCCGGATGACATCTTCTACTGGATCGACAACGAGCCCGAGTTCGGCGTGCAGGCTGTCTATCTTGACGAGCGCGTCGACACACCCGCTGGTTACTTGAACGCAACCGCCAGTCTCCCTGCGCTGGCGGAGCGTGGAGTCAAGATCATGGCGCCGGCGATGTTTGCGCTGACGAAAGTTGATAATGCGACAGGTCAGATTGTGCCTTCTGAGTACGCTATCGCTGCTAAGGAAAACAACCTGGAGATCGTGGCGTGGAGTTTCGAGCGCTCGGGGTGGCTGCAGATTGGTGGTGGGGGGTATTACTATGATTATGTGAAGAGCGTGATGAATAATGATGGGGATATGTATACGGTCTTGGATGTGCTGGCGAGGCAGGTTGGGATCAAGGCGATGTTTAGCGATTGGCCTGCTACTGTTACGTACTACGCCAATTGTTTTGGCTTGTAGACAGGGCAATGGCAAGCTAGTATAGAGACAGGTAGCACGTAACGAGCAACCATCACGACATCAGACTTCGACAGCCCTCTGCATTCCTCGCCGAACGCTCTTATTCTTACCAAGGACCTAGGGTTGTTCCTCCCCCTCATCCGGCCTCCTCAACCTAACCCCACAGCTTCCCATATCCCTCTCCGTATCACAACTTGCATACGGCAACACGACCTCGAACTCGGCCACCCTGGCCTTCTTAACCGGCTCCAGAATAACCCCCTCCAACTCCAACCAATTATTCTCCCAAATCCCGTGCTGACTCGGATCCACCAGCATGACACTCAATGTCTTCAGCCCCTTCATGCTGGCCAGGATTTCCCAGCCCCTTTCCCAGTTCTCTGTGTCCTCGCGGTATGCGTACTTGGAGGAATTTCCGCGGCGGAGATAGGGAAGGGCTCGGATCTGCCACCGCAGGCGCAGGTGCTGGATGGTGTTGAGGCGCTGTTCGGGGATGTGTTTTGGGAGGGCGAGGAGATGGGTTGCGTGGAGGAGGGAGAAGGTGTGGTGCGCATACAAATAATAGATGCACTCTGAGTACCTAACGACGCGTGTTAGCAGTGATCCGGGGCATCCTCACGACGCGGATTGGGTGGGGCTGGGTACGTACATCCTCCTACAGCTCCTTACCAGACTCAAATGCCCGATTTCCAACTGCGGCAAACTCGTCTCCAGCGGACTCCTCGCAACGACAACACGACACGTGCACTGCCCGATATGCTCTTGCGTGCATATGAAGTTCCCAAACTTCGTTTCCTTTCGGCCCAGCTTATCCTTCTTGTCACCAACCATCAGATGGATCGTCTCGCCCTCAAACAAGTACCCGTACACCATGCGCCTAATCTCCAGTGGTAACTGCGCGAAGAAAGTTGACTGCCATTGGAAGTTTGTGCGCGCGTCGAGCTCCGAGTCCGGGATGGACGTCAAGCTTATTGCTGACTTGCGGGGCTTGAGCAATTGAGTGTTTTGATTTGGGGTTGCAAATGTAGTCGAAGATAAGGACTTGATGTGGAAGGTTATGCGTTTGTTGGGTTTGTCTTTGGTATTCGTGGGTGTGTGGCGTGCGTCTGAGTTCGATCTTTGCCCCGGGTCTTCTGAGCGGATGTCTGATGGCTCCCAGCGGGGCGCGGAGTGCGAGAATACATTCCTCAATCTTGCTTTCATCTTGCTTCTATCCTTCCCTCAACTCTTACGAAAGAGAAACGACGCACGCGCAAAACGCTACGAGGAACCAAACGAGTGTAAATGCAGCTTGCGGCGTCAGAGTCTAGGCATGCGGGCTTTATCAAGCCGCAGGTTTTGGGCGTTTGGGCTGACGAGATAGATGCGGGTTGGATGGCGCACGGCGGGTGATACAGCGATCGGCGTCGCTACCGATAGCCTGTTTGGCTCTGAACTCGGTCCGGGGTTCCTGGGGTGCGACCGTGGAGGAAGATGGTGGGGTCGGACGGGATAAATAAGGCCGGTGTACCTGCACTGGCATGTGAATTTAGCCAACGACAAGAGCCTCAACTTACTTTTTATACATCTTTTGGATTTCTTGTGAAGGCCCAAAGTCTGCAATGGTGATTACAGAGCATGCTGAACTCCTCGCATTCTGCCGCCTCGATGGGAATAGTGAACAGATCCCTGAAATTCGTCTTTGGCCCAGTATTGTCAAGTGGGACCACCGGGTACACTTCGCAATAAATCGCTCAAATGAGAAGAGAAGATGGACGAAGTCGAGTTTCGGAATTTTGATTGTTATCAGTGAACTACACGTGTGTCATGTCATGATACATCAGTCTTCTTCTCGCCTGACTCTTTCGCCTGCTGCTCTTTCTGAAGTTCTGGGTTCAAAGGCTTCTTCGGATCGTATCCCACCTGCTTCACGATGCCGAGCCCTTTCGTTCTGCCCTCACGGAACAGGATACGATCGCCGACGGTCAGATACTCGGGTCGCTGCACGAACCTGAACGCGACTTGCGCTCTGTCACCAGTGCGAATGTACTGGCGATCGATGTCGATGATGGCGCATGTTTGAGAAACGGGTCCCACATGCAGCATTGCCTGGTACTTGGTCTTGATGGTGGTTGCGTGCGACAAGATCAAGACTTCAGCGACGAAGTCGCGGTAGACCTTGGGTTGCGGTATGATGCCAGTCTTCTCATCAGGCTTGTCTGACTTATGAAGAACGACCATGCCTTTCCTTACGTCCTTCCGCCGTACATTTCGCAGCGCGAGACTGGCAGACTGGCCCGCAGAGCAACCAGGTACTTGTATTCGCTTCCGCTCGATGGATCGTACTTTTGTTGTAGTGAACTGGCCAAGGCCGTCAGGGCCCACAAGGATCGTGTCGCCAGTATGGATCTCGCCAGATTTGACGACTCCTGACACAACGGTGCCAACGAACGGCACCGAGAAAGTGTCGTTGACGTGGAACTCGAGCGGCAGCGAACTGTCGTAGTTGCCGTGGTGGGGCAGCACGTTCAAGAAGGTGCGCACAAGATCAAGATTGAACCCTGTGACGTTGGACACCTGGAAGATGGGGCAGATGCGCCGAGAAACGAACTGGGTAGCAGTGTTGATGCACTCTTCCCTGTTCTTGATGAAGACTGGAATTTTGCGAGCACCAGGCGACTTCAGGATTTTAGTCAACTGAGTGATGGTCTGCTCGAGGATCTGAGGCGGGCAGATGTCGACTTTGGTAATGACAACCATGACGGGCACATTCAGTGCGAGGGCAATTCCCAAGTGCTCCTTGCTCATGCCGACCAAACCGTTGTTTGCGGCCACCATCAGCAGGCAGTAGTTGGGCTCGCTGGAGAGTAGACCGAAAACGGTAGTTCGTAGGTAGCGTTCGTGACCGGCCAAATCCGTGAAGCTGATAACTTTCGCCTATAATTGTCAGCAGAGACTCCCGTGTAGCAATATCGAGCACCTACAGATCGGCGACCAATCTCCTCCCAGGTCAGCTTGCGGCCGGCAGTGTTCGAGACAACAACCTCGCTCTTGCTGTCGAAGCCCATGATCTCCATGCCGACAGAGCTAGTACGTCCACTCTCGATCTCGTGCTTGTGGCGGAAGAGGTTGACACGTGCTTTACCACGTCCATCATCGAGCCCTCCCTTGACGAGCACTCCCAGCATGGTACTCTTACCAGCGTCGACATTGCCCACGACCGCAATTCGTGTCTCAATGACGTCGTCCACGTCCTGAGGGCGCAGTCTTATGATCATCTTGCCACTGACCCCTGTGTCCTTTGCGTCTCGCGGTCCAACTTCAACGTCGCCGCCCACGTTCCTAGTCATTAGGATCTTGTAGTCGGCCTTGATGAGCTCGCCAACAGCCCCTATCCTCTCGAGGGCAAAATCCCAGTTCTCCTTGGTGAAGCCCATGCCCTCGCCATTGTCCTCGAGTCCAACATCGAACAGGACCTCGCCGTGACCCTCGGCCAGGCGCTCCTTGATGTGCTCTCCGAGCGCAGCCGCATTCTCCTCGGCGGGGTCGATGAGCAGCGTCTTCAAGCGAATGTGCGGTTTCGCGTCGTCGGTAAGGCCGAGCTCGTCGAGGATGCTCAGCTCGTCGTGGTCTTCGAGGGTGGCGACAGCTTGGCCGGGGCGTCGCAATGCCTGTTGCTTCTGAACGTAGTCGGCGAATTCACTGAGCGCCTGGCGGATGAGTCAGCATTGTCCTTTGCATGCAGGCCTCTAAACATACAGACTCGCCCTTGCGTCGCTCAACAGGGTTCTGTTTAGGCGCGTATCGTGAGCTCATAGTGGTATGGTGATGTGGGGCGGCTGTTGCTATGTCAAGAGGTGGTCCGTAGGTTTCGCCGTAATAATAAGCGATGCGTATGGCGGGCGTTGTGGTGTGAATGTTCCATGAGATGTCGTGGGCCGATCATTGAGAGGCGCAGAGGAAACTACTGCAGAGGTGGTGATTGAATTGCCCCAGATAGAGCAATGGCGACGGCGGCGAGCTGCCTTTTAGCGTGAAGCTGCGGTACGGAACAGCGCGAGTCATAGCGAGGTACGGTATGATACCGATGACGATTCGACATCACCACCCCTCAGAACCACGGCGGCGACTTGACTCACAACACACGATTGGTCGCAACACGCAACTGGCGACTGGAGGCCTCGAACAAGGCGGTGTAATGGTGAAGGGTTCGTATTGAAGCTATGTTGTGCTGTCCAATTGCGCCCTTGCACCGCGACTGCCTCCACCACCGCGTACTACATCTCCGCATTGGCCCAGTCACGTCGACACGAAGGGCGCAAAACTCGAGAGAAAGCCCATGATGTGGGTCAGCTCTAGATCTGCTACAGTGGCACGGCTCAAAATTCTGTCCGTGTCGATGTTTTGTATGATTCACAAACAGGCCTGCTGCCTCAGGCTCAGGAGGCAGCTACAACGCCGCGCTCACCGCAGTACTTCGCCACTTCCTTCTGGAGTGTTTCACGCTGCAGATTGGCAGTCTCCATGATGTCGCTTACTCCGTTCACTGACTTGCAGAATTCGGACGTCTCGGACATCTGTGCAAGCACAGCGCCCAGCTGGTTTGGCAGCCACTGCACGCCATCAGTACATGCTTGTTCGAAGAGGGAGGCTTACTTACTGTCACAATTGGGCTGCCTCCTGTGGCTGTAGGATGCGAAGTGTGCTTGAGAATGTACTCGCGGGTGAAGCACCAGTGGCGCCAGCGGAAGTCACGCACCTGGTCAAGAGCCTGGAGATAGAGCGCAGCAGAGACCGAGTCCTCTTTAGCGAACTCTCGCACACCCGATTCCTGAGCGCAGTCGCGTACGGCTTCCAGGAACTGGCGGTGGTTACCAGGCCTGTATTGGCGGAAGTCTTTCAGGATGTCTGTGAGGGGAGTCTCTGGCATCGAAATCTGCAGCAGGTTGTCGCACATGGGTATCTGCTTGGTGTTAGACTTTGCAAATCATCAAGTTGAATGGGAACATGCCATGCTGTCGTTGGCTCCAGATTCACCACGGAAAGACAGAGGCTCCTCGCTGACGCCCTCATAAATGACGCCGTTGGGGAACATGGACTGTGAGGTGATGCCGAATATGAAGGTGCGGAAGCTTGTGTAGCCGTTGGGCTTGCTCCTCTTCCACATTGCTAAATCACTGGTCAGCCTGGCAACTACCATCACTCGTAGAAATCACTTACTGTTCATGACAGCATTGACCTTGCGCAGGCCAGCGACCAGCGTCCGGAGACCGCCATCGAACTGCTCGCGATCGTTTGCTGTACAGCCATTGAGCATCTCAGATGCGCCTTCGATTAGTGCGCCAGACTCCTTGACCATGGCGATGTGAACCAGGACGAAGCCTGCCTCAGACGACTCAGGGTCAAGTCCAGCCTCAAAGGCACGGATCAGGCGAAGGTTGTCGTACTCGAGACCCTTTGATTCATCTACCAGACGGTAGTTGAACAGTGCGTAAGAGCCGGCATACTCCATGAAGGGCTTGAAGCCGGCACTGCAGTGTGTGTCAGCAAATGCTCTTCAACATGTAGTACGACCAAGACATGAAGGAAGGGGAAGGTAGATGTAAGAACACTTACAGCTCAGCAACCTTAACAATCGGCAGACTAATACACTTCGGCAAGCTCTGCCTTCCCAGCCCATACTCTTCACCTTTCATGTGTCTCTCATGGCACGGCTCAAACAGATAGGCGCTCGCCAAGAACGAGTAGTCGCGATACAGCGCATTCATGACAACAAGGTCGTCACGGTACTTCTCGACCTCATCAGACAGATCAGGAAGCTCTTTCAGAACCGCGTCACCGAACTCGAACGTTGCAAGCAGACCCGGTAACCCGTCGAGTTTCTTGATGGGCATCCGCTGCAGCAATGACTCCAGCACGGCGAACTCTTGGGGCAGCTCGACGATGGGGTTACCTCGTGGCAGGAAGCCGCGCGTTGTGGACACCATGAAGGCTGGGAGGGAGTGGTCATCGGGCTTGGTGTCGTCCATGATAGGGAAGGAGAAGGTAGTCGGCGCCATGACAATGTATCGGACCTTCCAAAGGTCTCTCAGACGAACAAAGATTGGGTGAGATAGACGTTGGAGCCAATAGGTAGCTTGTTTTCAAATTGGGAAGAAGGGTTGATGGTTTGAACAACCTCAGAGTGCGACTCCAGCGCGTTTATATCTCGAGGCCGGTTTGATTCCGGCCACGGTTTGCTTCCGGCCTTATGAAGATAAGGATACGTAATGGCTGGATCACTTACCCATAAAGTGTTATGTTGCATCCGCATAATTCCTGCAATGTCCGCCCTCGTTTACCACACGATTCCAGGATGTCCGATGGTGTTTTGGCAGAGCACCTCGTTGGCGCCAAGACTCACGATGTGGTGGCAGCAGAGTTCTGGGGGCAGAAAAAGCATATACACGTGGCACCCAACAAAGATATGCAGTGATACTGATCAAAGACTCCACCCCAATATGTAGTAATATCTGCTCGTTGTGGTGATGTGCATCACTGAAGTAGCATAGTTCATCGATCCCAAAATATGTCACCTTTCACAAGACTTGCGCTCTGGCATCAGTAATACGATTATACGCTATGCGAATATCATGATTCCACAGTACATGTTATATGGCCGCATTCAACCCTATCGCATCTTCACAAAGAACGTGGTCGTGTGATGAAGCAAGGCGTTGAGAAAGGGAATTCGCTTGCGACCCAATCAGCAATGAGCCGAATGAAAGGCCCGTGAGAAACCGAACACAATGCGCCGCAATACCACCATTCACGCATCGACAGCGAGGATCACGCTTGACTTGTCACTTACTGCACACTGTCCTGAAAGTTGATAACTAGGTATCGAACACGGCCTGCGTGGAGTTCTTTTTGGGAACATAATGCCTTTCGAGCTGAATCATCCTAAACGCCTGCTCAGCGGTCACAGCTCCCCATCAGCATCTTACTTGCACCGTTACAAACAATCGCAATCTTTGCATATAGCCACATGCAGTGCTCAGAATGGCTGCCATGTTCGCTGAGCATATGCAGCATCATCATTGGCTGATAGGGACCTGCAGCCTGTGATACGCGCAAGGCTGAGGCTGACTCCCTCTACGACGCGGTGATGCACACAAGATACTGTGCTGCTATGTCTACATCATCACTTACGATCATACTGGTCTGTTCAAAATTTCCGCATTGTATGCTGAACGTGCCGCTGCGGAAATTGTACCCATAGCTTGTAGACAGCTCTTGTGAAGCAGTCTCCTGCTTTAAGTGCCAGTCTCCTGGTCTACCACTGACTCACTATGAACTTCGAAACACCATGTAATATACGCTCATTCACACGGCCTATCTCGCCTCCAGCAAAACGAAGGAGGAAAAACTTGCAAGATGACCCCAGAGTGGACATTGTCAAGGGAGGCGACGGCCCCGAAAATACGCCTGAAACGAAAGAGCAGATACCGTGGGCACGTACTTCTTTGGATCCTGCATTTTCCAAAATCCGGATCTTGAAGCTGTGCCAAGGCGCAGACAGCTCTCCCATTAGGTGCGAGCTGCAAGTCGTCTCCTTGGACGACAACCCATACTACGGAGCGCTCTCCTACGTCTGGGGTGATTGCAACATCACAAAATCTATCCACGTCAATGAGGTTCGATTCGAAGCCACAGCAAACCTGTTCGACTTTCTGCATAGCCTGCGGCTCGCCACAACAGATAGATACCTATGGGCGGACGCGATTTGCATCGATCAGAGTAACGAGGAAGAGAAGAGTCATCAGATTGGACTCATGACGCGAATCTATCGCCAGGCGAACGAAGCACATGTGTGGTTTGGTCCCTTCAATACGAAAACATGGTGTCAGGAATTTGAAACAGATGGCAAATACACATCATTGTCAAAGATGACGCCGAAGCAATGGGAGACATACCAACGCGAAGGCTCGACTACCCTGACATATCTGCTTAAGCAGGAAGGGTTCAGATGTCTGAGTCAGCGCGAACTCCAAGACTTCACAGACCGCTGTGAGGAAGACATCTTCCTGCAAACCCTGGCGGTGCTAGATGAGATGGGCAAGGGCGACCACTTGTACACCTACCCAGTAGTTGCGCTCAGCCCCCACAGCAGACCGGGTCGTCAATACACACTCAACGCATCCTGGCTCTTAGTCCTCGACTGCATCCGCTGGCTCATCACCCGACCGTGGTGGTCCCGCGTATGGACACTCCAAGAAGCCTCACTTCCCAGTGTCGACCCAATCGTACACGCCCCTCCATACTCATTCAAGCTCTCGCGATTGCTAGATGGTGTCGAGTCGATGTGGCACCACAACAACTCTATATGCTGCAAATGGTTCGGACAACCAATCACAACTTCGAATCGGGACAATCACGAGTATGGGGCGTCTTACACCCAATGCCGTGCTGTGCATGGACAGCGGGAAGTCCTCGCAGAAGCGGATGAAGAGGGACTTGGTGTGCCGTTGGAGATGGTGGTTAGTGCTACTCAGGGACGTAGAGCGACTGAGATCCGCGATCACTGGTATGGCATATTCGGCTTCCTGCCTGAGAGGTGGCAGGAGCAGTCGAAGCTGTTCCCGAAACCCTCGACTGTGGCGGAGCTCTTCTCCCAGTGCTCGAATCTGCTCTATCTCGAGAGCGCAGACTTGACACATCTTGATAAGGCTCGACGTTGCAAACAAAGTCTCGTCGACAACCTTCCGTCCTGGGCAATTGATCTGTCGAATCCTCGGACGAGCCAAGAGGAAGACGGTCATCGATGGAGGCTCTTCAATGCTTGCGGAAAGGCTACGTACGATCGCACTGCCGAGTGGCTCGAGTTGAGAAGTTTTGAGCTCAGCGTCAAAACGATCCATGTAAGCAGTGTGCAGGTGTGCGCTGACCGCATACTGCCGCTATTCCATACGCCCGAAGACGTGCGAAAGCTCGCCAATGACTGGCTTTCCTTGTATCGAAACACCGCGGATCCTTTTGACAGCAGCGCATTCTGGAGGGCCGCCTTTATGGACAGGAATGTGCAGACACACTGGTTAGCGAAGAAAAGAGGTCCTCTTCGCTCTGTCAGAGTCAAGGAGATCAAGGAGTGGTGGACCGCGTGGAACCGAACGGGTGATCACCGTGACGTTACTGTTGACCGGAAAGCAGGTGGAACGATGCGAGGCAGATACCACTACAAGGAACTTCAGATGAACGTCGAGAAGACGAAGTTCTTTGTCACGTCGCAGGGACTGCCAGGAATGGGTCCGCACGGTGTGCAGCCTGGTGACGAGGTTTATGCTATTGCTGGGTGCAAAGCGCTTGTAGTGTTGCGCCCGTCGGAAGGGGAAGAATCAGAAAGACCAAAAGTGGTGGGATTATGCTTTGTAGATCGTTGGATGTATGGCAGGGCTCTTCAAGGTGGAGCTGTGTGGAAGACAGTGGCGCTGTACTAAATGGTTTCATTATGGCCATATCTGGTTGCCCGCGCCCTGGGCAGTGTCGTGATTGCGTTCCTAGCGAGTATAAAGATTTTTGAGGATTGCAACGTCGGCTGATATTCTCTACACAACGCTCACTTTCGGCAGCAGCCCACGGCGTGAACCAATCAAGCCCGGCTACCACCTGCTAGCCTAAACTCCCTTTCCTTGTCTCGAAATTTGTCCAGGGTGATGATTGAGTAGGCACGCTCGAATCCTGCCGCAAACGGCTAATCCTTCTGCCAGTTCTTCAGGGGACAAGCGGCTGTAAGTGTGGATGACTTTGGTGAGTGTTTCTTTCAGATGGTGCTGAAACGCGTGTAACACAACTGGTAGCCGGAGTCTATTCCAAGAGGCAACATTCATGATGTTTGCACTTTGCATTACTCTAATTGAGCAATGACCGTTGCTAACTACTAGACTTACGAGTGAGTGATCTTTGCCGTCCCGTAGCATCCTCCGCAGATCGTGTGTTATCATCAGTGCACCGTGCCCATGCTTTAGCTGTCTGGTTCCTTCACCGTGTTTTTCCTACACGTCCTCCTCACCCTCGGCCTTGCCCCTCCTGAACACGCGTCATGGGTGGTGCTTGAGCAACTCCTTGGTCATAGCCTTATTGAACGCAGTCGTACCAGGAGAATCAGGAGCTACTACTGCTCTGTGAGGCTTCCAAGTGACAGAAGTGTATTCTGGTCTCAACTTGTGCTGCTGAAATGAGCGTATAATATTTGGGAATTTGATCTTCTTCAACCAGCTGTCGCTCATGATATCAGTCCCTTCAAACATACCATCGCCATACCAAGACGAAGGCTTGAGTTGAATGTCTTCAAGGCTGTCGAAGCGCCCGACCAGCGACGATCTAAGAATGTGGGCCTAGTTCTTGGAAAAGTACATCGCATGGGTCTGGTACGTAGCAATCATAATCCTTCGGATATTTCGTACAGATGGCTGTGATGCTAGAGCAAGAGCACGGAAAGCGTCGCTGTACTCCATCATGCACATGCAGGCGACGAGAAAGCCTCGGATGATCTCAGCCCAGAATTGCTTGCAAATGAGTTTGGGCGCGCTTCCGCGGTTGGCGTACGACATGTCCTTATGGGTAGGAACCTTCTCGAAGTCATGAGTGTTGTTGAGGTGGTATCTCGGGCTTTGGCGCTCGTTGAACTGCACTACCTTCAATCATCATATTGTCGTAAATAAGTTCCCAGATGGCATGGCGAAGTTCGGCTGGGAGGCGCAGGAGTGGGTCCTGCCTGATGCGCAAGTGAAGGAAAGGCCGCAACCTAAACGCCACCCGAGCACTGAGATTGTCCACTTCTCTGGCATTTGAGATGTCTATCTTAGCAATGCTCCACAATATGGGCGGCTGGGCCAAAGTTAAAGATTGAGGATAAGACAGTCGCTGTCGACATCCATGTCTTCACAGTGTGACTCAAATGAGGACCCTCAGATATCCCTTCCCATCGGGTCCAGCGTCCCTCAGCACCACCGTCCCCTTACCGACAACCCTCTCCATCGTCTTACCAGGCCCACCAAATCTCTCAAGCCACAGCTCCTTCTCCACCGGCTCCCACGCACGGGCAATCTTACCCTGCTGCTCACTGAAGACAAATGCCTTGCACAGCTTGTCGAGCTTCCTATCCTCCTTGAATGCCTTCGCGGAGACATCAACGGGCCACGGCAGACTGGAAGACGGCGGCGTGGACAATTTGATCTAATGACTAAGTGATTTGGCAAGGGTTATGGTTGGCGAAGACAGTACCTTTGCCGGTGATTTCATCATAGTATCGTCTAGGGCTGTGAAGATGGTGGTGTTGCGGTTGACGTGCTCGACTCTTGGGGTTTTCGAGCAGCGTGTTGCAGCGATAGCTGCGGTGCGCGTAATCATGCGTATGGGTAACGCAGCGGAGACCAGTCGAGAAGACATTGTGTTCGAGGTATGAAGTATTTCGTGGTTGCAGAGTGCTTTTGTTTGTATAGCTGGTGGCAGTGGTAACGATGTTCTGCGGCCTTGTGAGTGTAACGTTGGGGAGCCGAGCGGACACAGAATAAGCTTTGTATGTGAGTTCACCTCCAAAGCCACAATAAATAATATGTTGACTACCGTTCCATGGTTACGTGTGTAATTCATCGCCCACTGAGACGCGTCGCAATATTATTGCACAGCCTCGTGTGTCTGCATTGGTCAGGTATTCTGGTAACGAGAGTCAGCACAATCACAACCCACACCTCGGGTAGAAGAGCCAACACCAGACGAGGGGGAGCCCGAAACCATTGGTGAGATGCTGCTGGGATTGCGAGAAAGAAATGGTATCTTTAAAGCATCGCTCTGCGATACAAGTGGTCGTCTTTGCCTGCCCGAACGCCATTTTGGGCCAACAAGGAGCATATCCAGAGAACTCCAGTAAACTCATTATGTGAACGCCATCCATGCTATTCTTGAAGATTCAGCCGACTCTCTTGTCGCCGTCCTCGTCGGTTGGCGGTGTCTCCTTGCTCAGGTAGTCTGCGTTCTCCGCATCCTCGTACTCCTCGATCAAGCCTTGGACGACTTCCTTAGCTTCGTCGAACTCGCCGAGGCCATCCTTGAAGGGTGCTTCGCGCTTGTAGCTTTCGAGGAAGGCATTGCGTTTCCTCAGCGTGGAGTACTGCGCTACGATGCGCTTGAAGAGCGTTGCAATACCGGTGTGATTTGCCAGCATGAGACCGGACACTCGGTGTGACGATTGTACGTAGGGCGACTTCTTAGTGAGGGCGACCTGAATCGAGGCAGGGCCCCAAGGAATAAAGGTAGCGAGTCGTCGTTCGCGGATACGCATGAGCGATTTGTGTACCTGGCGATGTCAGCAGATGGTTCTGCTACCACATATGATCAGCTTACGTCCGACGGGTCTGCCTCTCCCTGAATGATGTTCAAAATGGACATGTAGCAGCTCTTCTTGGTGGGGTTGGTCGAGACCATGCGGTTCTTGGGCTGGAGCAATCGCCGCATAACATCCAGCACGGTGGTCTTGCGGACTGTCTTCGCCTGTTCTACGTTCTCGCCAGAGAAAGGTGTGTACGCAGTCATGAGGAAGTGACAGCGTGGTGTGGGAATGAGGGAGGCAACGATGCCAACCAAATCGTTGTGCATGTAGCCGGGGTAGCGCAAGGTGGTTGTGCTAGCGGACATGACGGTCGACACAAGCTGGTTGGTCTGCTCAAAGGAGGGATTCAGTACATGCAATCGGTCCGCAGCAATCTTGGACAGAGCGCCGTTGTCCAGGACCACGACTGAGTCTGCGTTCTGCGTCAATCGACGCATGCTGAGCAGACTATTATATGGCTGAACGACGATGTCGCCGTCCTGAGTGTTTGGGAAGACACTGTATGTCTGGATGAGCTTCTTGGGGAAGCGATCATTCAACCGTTCCAACATGTATGATCCTAGACCAGAGCCAGTGCCTCCAGCAATGGAGTGCAGCATCATGAAGCCTTCTAGCGAATCTGAGCCGTCGGCCTCGCGGTCGATCATATCGAGGATCTCTTCATGAACTGTCTCACCCATACTGTATCCCATACCCCAGTTGTTACCAGCACCAGTGCCCGACTTGTGTATGTAGAAGTTCTCTGGGTTGTAGATGTTCTTATAGGCGCTCGATTGAATGGAGTTGAGCACCCTAGGCTCGAGGTCGAGGAGAATGGCGCGTGGAATGTAGCGAGTGTCGTCAGACTGGTAGAAGAAGACATCCTTGCGATCGCCACCTTCCGTCGCGAAGTCTTCGAGGTTGCCGTCCTGGTTGATGCCATGCTCTTGACACAGCTGCTGCCAGAATTGTTGACCGACGCTGTTGCCGCATTGGCCAGCCTGCAGCGTTATTATTTCTCTGAAGCATGTTAGGAAGCTTGAAGACGCGTTATGCTTGTATACATGTCGTCATACCTAGGCATGGTGGTGTGTTGTGAAGGAGCGTGGGGTTTGGGTGTTGACGCGTGCGGGGATCTTTGGACGCGCCTAAATTTCAGGGCAGGAGCTGCCTATCCAAGAATGCAACTGCCTTGTCACTCCAAAATCAACGTCACTGCCACGAGACGTATAAACAGACACACGAACAATCAACCTCTTGCATCATGATATTCTATTCGTCTACAGCTGCAGCACTTGCGTTGCTGGTCGACTCTAATATGCAGCCTGCTTCACCTTCACCAACCGCTTGTCCTGCCCAAAGCCAAACATGAGCTGGAACAATATCGAGTATATGAGAGCAAAGAAGTTCACTCTCATGACGTCCAGCCAGTCCCGTGTACGAAGTCCATGCTTCGTCCCCTCATGCCAGCCTCGGCGCACTTCCAAGAAAAGCTCCGGGTCGTCTGTAATGACGCCGTCCAGGCCTTGCTGGATATCCCACCGCATACGCCGAGCGTCGTTCACCGTCCACGCATATACAGGCCGGCCATCACGCTGCGCCTTTCGAATGAACGCCTTGCCCCATGGCGGCATCAGCACTGCCTGGTTCATGTTGAACGACACGTTCGGTACTGTAAAAAAGTACGAGGCAACGATGACCGAGAAGCCAATGTGTGACACTGGGAAACCGGGCAAATATTGGGAGCACAGCGGCAGGTACTTTGCTGCCCAGCAGCCCAGCACAATGCGACTCTCCCACGGTTTTGATGGCGAAGGAGGGACACTTCGAATCGTCTCACTGATCAGGCGCATTACATCGTCGGCGTTGTTGTCGAGCTACACAACGTCAGCGCAGTTACACGTACAATATCGTCAAAGCTTACCTTGATGTCCAGCAGCAGCCAGATTTCCTCTAGTCCAGGTTGCGCAAGGTATTCAAGCAGATCAGCCAACCTCGGCATCGACTCGTGTGGCTCTTTCAGTGTCTTCAGCTTGCTCACAAACTCGTAGTCGCAGTCGATGAGCTTCTCTTTTCGCCCAAAGCAACGCTTCAAATCTTTGTCGTGCGACAACACAACAACACCGTCTCTTGTTAAGTGTATGTCCGTCTCAACAGCATCAGCGCCAATTTCTACGGCTCCTCTGAATGCGCCCATTGTGTTCTCCGGGAACTTCGCCTTGAACCCTCGATGCGCGATCGCCTGCGGTAATCGCCTTCCAGACTCATTCTTCCGCGCAGATGCAAAACTCGCTGTCCTTTGTCAGTCCCCATCTCTCTGTCTATCTCAAATACGAGTTGTAGTTGCAAGTACCTGCGGGGAACTCTGCTCTCGGACCCAACAGCGGCTGCTCGACGATCTTGTCAAGCTGCTTCGTCAACCCTTCAAACACAGGCGGTACTCCAATAACCATGTTTTCGAGTATCGGTGTTTGCGCCTCGAGCACCTCGTGCGTGTCTTCAATTTGTCTATCGACCATGGTTATGACGACAGCATGCGAATCGTATCGATATGGTATGGTGCGCCGGAGATAGCGGAGGGCGGATGTACTTCCAGCTCGAACGGACAGAGAGCGACGGTCGTGTATTTGGCAAGGCGACAACGGGAGATACGAAAGTATCTGAAAGGTACACGGGCAGAGTGTTCCTTCACGGCGTACGGAAATTACTCAAGTCACAATGCCATACCAAAGTGAAATAAAGCGGGCTCAGCAGATCAATCATCTTCCCAGCGGGCACACCAAACCGCCAACCGCTCGGCCTGAAATCTCTACACACGCGCACCGTGCTTTTGCGCCGCGAGAACGCTGCATCCCGCGCAGCGGAGCGCAACGAGGCCCTCGTGCTGCGTTCTTTCTTTGGAAGCAGGTGCGAGTAGTCTGCGACTCTGGTGACCGAGCCCCCGCTCATTGGGTGCAGGGCTAGGGCTAAGCTTGTTCCAGGAGTGCTTCGGATGTGTCAGGTCCCGGGAAGCCACTACACATGCTGTCGCATCTCGCTGCGGGCTTGTTCTCCACGTGCCGACATGCTACGTGTCAGCTGCGAATCTATGTGGTTTTTTGCATGGTAGTGTGTAGAGTTATCGGTGAGCGACGCGCAATAAAGCGCGAACGATGCAAATGAGTATTGACACATGAGAGGGTGAAGGATGAGGCCAGGGCTGGGGGATCCGACAGCCTGGATTGATCGACAACGTTAATTGCGCCCGCGTATTGCGGCACGCTTGCACGCCCAGGTCCGAGCGCGGGCCGGGCTGCATGCATGCGCGAAGCAACAAGTCAAGTCGTTGACAGCCACACACCGCACACTGCAACAGTCCGTATCTTTGGTGTGCCGCGCCGCCAGATGCACACTTACTGCCAGGTGCTGCAGAAGGATGAGTTGATGCTGCGAGGCGGCGGCAGGGAGGTCTCGCGTGCATGCTTAGGGACTGTATGCTGCAGCTGGGCGTCATTCGGGAGATGCCACTTCCGTGGGCTATACGGTGTGAAATCAAAGACTGCGCATGCGGTGAGCATGTGGGGTGCTGCAGCACTTTCATCTGGGACTTCTTGGATGCCTCATTGCCATGCCTCCAAGGAGAACCCTTCCTACAGGTGTGCCGATATAGTACACGGCAAGTACTTGGTCAAGGCCCTGCGTAGTCTGTCCAATCCTTAGAGTTTCGCAACAAGGAAACCACTGTCGATACGGTAGGGCCATGTATACTGTGACTTAACGCACGTTGTTTCTTCGGGAAGCCCGATCCTCAGATCTTGGGACCGAAATAGGCGAGCTGTCACGACAGGAGCTGAACACGTTTGAAACTTCTCATGGCATTAGCTGGCTGCTGAGATTAGCCGCGAGCTGTGGATGGATCTGGGAAGGCGGCACATCCTGATGATGTTTTCACTGGTCCATTCGTCGTAATGCTAACTCGTTCCTCCCTCTAGCCTGGCTTCTCATGCTGATCAAGGCCAGAAACTCCTGCGCTCTCAAGTCTACCGTTGACGTTTTTGAGTGCTCTTTGCCTCCTGCTATCCTTTTTCTATGCAGCAATCTCGAATTTCGGTGTGTACTTCGCCGCCGCCTTCTGGAAATCACTTTTCTTCTCCGACCAGTCCTTGACCGCTCTGTGCTCGGCGTTCGTGCTCTGCAGCTGCTGTTTGAGCTGCGCTGTCTCCTCCTTCTTTCCAAGCAATGTGTTCAGGACAATCAAGTTCGCGATGGTGTCTGCTGACTTGGGGTCAATCTCGATTGCCTGCTGAAGAGCGGCTTCAGCTTCAGGTAGGCGGCCGAGGTGGAGTTCTGAGACGGCTTGTGCGACGAGCGAGTGTGGGGATTGTGATTGCGAGGTTTGGGCAAGCTCTTCGAAGACATAGAATGCGGATTGGTACTTCTCGCCGCCCTGTATTGTGTTAAGATGGGAGACACCTAAATTCGTAGTACGGAAAGTATACCTCGCGCATGCCGACCCACGACTCGGCGATGTTGACGAGCAGGCTGTCCTGTGCCCATTTCCGTGCGCGCTGAGCCTCCTTTGCCGCGAGGTCTGCGCGGTTCTGTTGGAGGTGAATCTGTACAATGAGGGCGACACTATAACTCATTAGCCGTCTGAACTTTCTTCCCCAATATATAGCTACATACGCATCAAGACTGCCCTGGTGCTTGCTCAACAGCGCAAGAGCCTCTTCTGTCTCGCCTGCCCGCTCCAAAATGATGCCTCCAATGATCTGCACTGTCAGGTTCTCTTGGCCATGTTGCTCTGCCAGCTTCTTCGCCGCATTCGTGACATCCTTGCCCTGCTCGAGATCTGCCAGCAGCTTTACAGCAACAAGGTCTGGTGTCTTTTCGCTGGCGAGTTCGGAGGAGACGGCTTGTGCTTGCCCAAGAGCGATTTGTGAGCGTGCCTTCAGAACACGGACAGGCAGCTCATTGCTGGATGAGAAGGAGGAGGTGTCGAAGTCGAGGATCTGTTGGTATGCGCCGGCGTGGAACGCTGTGTGGATGTTGATGAGCTCTAGATTGTAGTTAGTGGGATGCCAAAGGTGCATTTTAGAGCATGGACATGCCTCCTTCTGGCGAATAGGGATCCATGATGAATATTTTCGAAAAGCAGCAAAGCAGAAAAGGCTACAACGGGTATACAGGTGCTGCTTGTGGGGTTGGTGTCGTGGTGATGTTGAAGCCACGAATATGTTTGGCTTGTTTGCTTTGGACCCCGGCTGCAATTGATTGGCTGGCCCCTGCCTGTTCAAGGCTTCCGGCTTCACAGCTGTCAACGCATTATACACCTAACAATTGACACACATCAATCTGGTAGTTCAAGCAAGTTCATTAAGGATCTATTGTAACGTCGCACATCGCCCCTCGAAGTCGTCTGCAATTGGAAAGCATGTCACCACGCCTTCACGCCTTCCTAATAATGAACCTCATAAACTTAGTGTCCTGAGGGATGAAGTCTGCCATACCACACTTGTTACGGAATAAGTCCACTCTCTCATCGAAGTCAGCCTCGACTTTCCACTTCGTTCCAGTCTCGTCGCCGACTTGCTTCCACAGCTTCGCCCATGATTCTGGGTTGTGCCAGTACCTACTCTTCGTCTGTTCAACCTGAGCAGTGAATTCACCAGCTTCTGCACGTCCAGCTTGACGACCGAGAATCAAGCTGTTGGACGCAGGGTTCAACAACCCTACGACCTTCTTGGCTGCAGCAACTTGGCCGTCCCAATCGAAGAGATGGAAGAAGGAAGCTGCGTGCACAATATCAAGCTTGCCGGCGAGTTGCTGTAGCCCAGAATTATCGTCGAAGACGTCGGCCTCGATGAAGGTGGTCTTCAGGGATGACTTGTCCAGGAACAAGTCGTAGCCGATGTCCCAGAATTGACCCTTCAAGTCCGAGGCGTAGGTGTTCTCGGAGGGCGCTCCATCGTACACGAGCTTGCGTATGTCCTGACCCACACAGCAGCCAATGTCCAGGTACTGCTCGCCACCCTTGATGCGCTGAAGTACTTCGTCGTAGGCTGCCGACTTCTGGATACTCAGGTTGAGGAAACCCCAATGGCCAAGACATGGATAGGGAAACTGAATTGTCCATCAGCTTTGTTATGGTTTCTTCCGTAGTCGCAGACTTACAATCTTGAAGGCATGGTTTCTGATCTGTGTAATGTGGGAGACAACTTCATCTGAACGGACTTTGCTGTAGGTCTCGAACAGCTGCTTCGTCTTTGGTTCGAGGTCCACCAGGTCCTTGACATACCACGGCAAGACTTCAGGCTGATCAACCCACGTCTTGTCTTTCAGGTATTGTTCAACAATATTAGCCTTTGAGGCTTCTGCCATGGTGCTTGATGCGGTAAATAGTGGACAAGGCTGGGTTGTTGCTAGAAACACAGCTTCAAAGAATACGTATGTTAAATCCTTATATGCCCTCAAGAGGTGTTTGCCGCACTCGTATCATGTCAGCCCCCTCGCAGCAACAGGCTGATAACAAGGCTCCAACCCGCACTCCTGGGAATAAAGGTATGCCTAACCCCGCTTCGGTCTACGCGTTGACGGATTGTCCGAACGCACCAATCGCTCCGCAGTTACTCTGTGCTGTCAACATGAAGCCGTGAGTATCTCCTGTAGCCTGTACCTTTACCATCACCATGATCGAGAAACAAGCCAAGATATCTGAGAGCATGTCCAAGAACGGCAGCTATTGGGAGTCGGCAGCACCTTCCCACTCTCACTGTGAGCCCCGCACTAGGCTCAGAAAAGGAAGGCGTCCCCAGCATGAATGGAGCGCGGGGCATGACGCGCCTGGATAGCTTGAAAATTGTTGCCGTGGTGAAAGTTTTCGAAGAGCCCAATTAACACCGCAATCCTGAAGGTCCCCATATATATCCGCTGCCGGCCTATCTCAATATCTGTCAACAGTCGCAGAGCATTTCCTCTACACAAATCTACCACCCGTTTCTTCACAAACAAACCCTACAAAATGCCTGCTATCGAGCACCCCACTATCAAGGGTACGTCAATCATACACAGCTCGATTGCTGTCTGACTTGTCAGCCAAGTGAAAGCTTCTATACTGATTCTTTCGCAGATGGCTGGTTCCGTGAGATCTCCGGCATGTGGCCTGGTCAGGCTATGACCCTCAAGGTCGAGGAGGTCATCCACCACGAGAAGAGCAAGTACCAGGATGTCCTCATCTTCAAGTCCACCGACTACGGTATGGTCCTCGTCCTCGACAACGTCATCCAGTGCACCGAGCGCGACGAGTTCTCGTACGTCTACATCCAGCAGTGGCACGGTGGATAGGGTAACTAACGTGGTCACAGCTACCAGGAGATGATCACCCACCTTGCCATGAACTCCCACCCCAACCCCAAGAACGTTCTCGTCATCGGTGGTGGTGATGGTGGTGTCCTCCGTGAGATCGTCAAGCACGACTGCGTTGAGAAGGCCGTTCTCTGCGACATTGATGAGGCCGTCATCCGTCTGTCCAAGCAGTACCTCCCCGGCATGTCTGTTGGCTTCGACCACCCCAAGACCGAGACCATCGTCGGTGATGGCTTCAAGTTCCTTGAGGACAAGAAGAACCAGTTCGACGTTATCATCACCGACTCCAGCGACCCAGAGGGCCCCGCCGAGGCTCTCTTCCAGAAGCCATACTTTGAGTTGTTGAGCGGTGCTCTCCGCGAGGGTGGTGTTATTACGACCCAAGGTTGTAAGCCCCCTTCTTACCCCCCCCCCCCAAACGCGTTCGACTTGCAGAGACTATCCATGCGCTCGTTGAGCGCTTCTTCGAAAATTTGCTAACTATATCCTAGCCGAGAACCAGTGGCTGCACCTCCACATCATCACCGACCTCAAGAAGTCTTGCAAGGCTGTCTTCCCCACCGTCGAGTACGCCTACACCACCATCCCCACCTACCCCTCCGGTCAGATCGGCTTCATGGTCTGCTCCAAGGACGGCGAGCGCAACCTCAAGAAGCCTCTTCGCAGCTGGTCATCCGAGGAGGAGGACAAGCTTTGCAAGTACTACAGTAAGGAGATCCATGAGGCTGCTTTCGTTCTGCCCACCTTCGCTCGCAAGGCTCTTGCCTCAGTCTAAATCTACTGAGCTCGATTTTTTTTTTGCATACTACGATATACTAGATACCACGACATGTCAACGACCATCAAAAGTACGATTTGCTATCAATATACCACCGTTGATGCACAATATCACAATACACACCACCTTGAAGCGCTTCGCTATAATACGCTGAGCCAGCTTATGATGCCAACGATTCGGTTTGCTGCTCATGACTTCCATGAGCGCCATCAGCATGAGTCGCGATCGGTGTGAAGCCCCCGATGCAGAGTCGCAAACGGTCACTGAGACGTGAATGTGGAGAAGGCGAATGCGACCTGAGAGCGCGCATTACGCCTACTTTTCCACGCGCCAATGTAGTGTTCCAGGCTGTCAGCGCAGGTTGATCTCTCGACACTTCAATGTGGAAGATCAAGGCAGCGCCACAAGATACCAGGTTGTGTCTCGAGATTGGTCGCTGACCTCTCACATCTGCAGGTCTGCAATCTGCCTGAGGCAAACATGGGGCTTCGCCTAGCTTGCGGACGAATACCATATGAAAGCAGACACGGCTCCATCAGCTCCAAGACGTGCCGCGCCGTACCTCCCGCTTCCCCGACCCCATTTAGTGATACATGTTTCTGAGGTGTATGATTCACGCATACATCGGTCTAAACGGCAGCGAATTCATGCACTATCAAACTGGTTGATGGGTCTACTGTTAGCGAGGCTCAATCTGTCTCGTCTCCGATTAACATGTGTCAACTCAAAGGTTGTAGCCATCTGCTACAAGCTCCACAAGCTAGTCCACTCTCGGCTCGTTTCGTGCTCGTGTCTTTGAAAAGCTCTCATTCGTCCTCACCAGGTGCGGGCAAAGCGGCTTTACTGCCCTGGTATCTGGCACAGAGCGAGGTTTGATCTCGATACGTCATGTAGCTAATAATCCGCTCAGTGTCAAATTAACGGAGTTCTTTATGATAGCTCTTTCGAACGTTAGGAGTGTGAGGTTGCGGTCGAAGGCGGGCAGTGTGAACCACAAGCGCCCAGAAGAATTCCAATCGAACAGCGCAATGACCTCGAAGGGGACGATGCCTCAGAAGACAGGTTGACAAGTACGTGCAATCGCATGCTCTCTGACAGTCCCTTTTGTGTCGGCATGGCGGTTTGAGCAACGCTTCATTCTAACTTTGGACCGAAAGCCGAAGGTGACTTGTGCCTCGAACGCTGCAGGTGTCAACCCCCCTCCGGCGGGCTAGCCGCCACGGACTTGCGGTACCTGCGTTTGGGGCTGGCGTATAGAACCGTGCTGCATGTGGCTCGTGAGTTTATCGAAGAGCGACTGGGTAATAGCGATGTTGTGCAGATGTCAAAGTGAATATAGATCAGATGCAGCAGGTGCGTTTAGTGCCTGCCGCGAGATTCACGTCCTCCCACCTTCCCCCATTTGCGCCTTGTATTTGGATGCAACTTCAAACAACCGCTTCTTTTGTCGTTTTCTTTGGTTTTGTCAATAATCGAGCCGGTCTCTTCAATTACAGTTCTCAATTAACTCCACCGGCGGTTACGCAGTTTCGCTAGCCATCACATCGCCGGCACTCAGCCCTACCATCACCGCTTGCAGCCATCACATCTCCGAGCCCCGAGACCCCACGAGTCGCTCCCATGCAGTAGCCACAGGCCCCCTTCTCGTATCACTTCTCATCGCCAGCCTGGAGCTCGTTATAATAATTATAACCGATTGAACGTCTGGTTACGTTGTTGAATCGCCGTATCACTCAACATCCAACAGCAACCTGAGCATCGGCGCTTTTCGCGGTACTACCAACTTCCCAAAGACAGTATCCAGCGGATATTGTCGTCATTTGCACGATCGCATCCCGCGGTGTTCAGTAATTTAATAAGCAACGATGATGCCGATTGCGACCAAGAATGGGGAGCCGTTCTCACCAACCAAAATTCACCCGCTCCTGTCTCCACAAAGGCCGCGGGATAACTTCTCCGCCGTTAACGCCGCCGATGTATCATCAATAAATCTCACTCAATCTGCTTCATCTCCGCAGCCTCCGCAGACGAGTGTCTACTTGCCTCAAGGCCCCAAAGATAATGCCTCTTCGGTAGCAACGACAGAACTAGTCGGTGCGCCCGCTGCCTCCGACTCGATAGCATCCTTTGCGACACCGGACGAGTCACTTCGGAACGAACATTCGGCTGTTGTCAGCAACTCGTCGTCAATCGAAAACCTCACAGTCCTGCCACAGTTGCCATCTTTTGGTGAGCACCGCATCCGGAAGCATCGCAAGAACGCAGCTTCGTTCGATTCGGCCGTACCCCGCCAGACGATCCTCAAGGCCCTACAATCACGACCACCAACGTCACAGTCGATCGATTCCGTGGTCATGGAGGACAAGAAAAGCGCTACAGAGGGCAAGACCCAGCGATCAAAGAGCATCACCCACAAAGCGCTCGCCGATGCGCTTTCTGAGCTCAACTTGTCTTCAGGAGACCTCACCGTCAGCAAGATGGCTGCACTCGCATCGCCATGCTTCTTCCACAAGAAATTCGACAAGGCCGTGAACCTTGAGAAAGTATTGGAGGAAATCGCAGATGACGATTCGATATCACATTCGAGGCTCATGCAGACGGCCTTCAGTGTGCGCGAAGTTTCCAAACAGCTTCAGCGTCGGCCGATTAAGATGACAGTGCGCAATGTCATGATTGTCACAAAAGCGCGCGACAACGCCTTAGTATATCTCACTCGGGAGTTGGCAGAGTGGTTGCTCACAACTCCGCGATATGGGTCAGATGTGGGAGTGAACGTCTACGTGGACTACAAGCTGCAAAGATCGAAACGGTTCGATGCGGCTTCGCTTGTAGCCAAAGATAAGCGTTTCGAGCAATCTCTCCGCTACTGGACTCCAGATCTCTGCTGGGAGACACCAGAGAAATTCGACCTCGTCCTCACACTTGGTGGTGACGGTACAGTCCTCTTCACATCGTGGCTGTTTCAGCGCATTGTCCCGCCAATCCTCTCCTTCTCGCTCGGTAGTCTTGGATTCTTGACAAATTTCCAATTTGAGCAGTACAAGGAAGCGCTCAGCAAGATTATGGGCGATGCCGGCATGCGCGTAAATCTGCGCATGCGTTTCACCTGCACAGTCTACAGGTACCAGAAGAACGCAGCCCCTGGTTCACCCCAGCACATCGAGGCTGAGCAATTCGAAGTCCTCAACGAGCTTGTCATTGACCGCGGCCCATCGCCCTACGTCTCCAACCTCGAACTGTACGGTGACAACAACCTACTCACCGTCGTACAAGCAGATGGCTGCATCTTCTCCACCCCCACCGGCTCAACGGCATACTCGCTCTCTGCCGGTGGCTCGCTCGTACACCCCGACATCCCCGCAATCCTCCTCACACCAATCTGCCCGCACACCCTCTCCTTCCGCCCCATGCTCCTCAACGACAGCATGCTCCTCCGCATCGCTGTGCCCCTCAAGTCGCGCGCAACTGCCTACTGCGCTTTCGACGGCAAGGGCCGCGTCGAGCTCCGCCAGGGCGACCACGTCACCATCGCTGCCTCGCAGTATCCCTTCCCCACCGTCCTGTCGCAACCCACCGAGTGGTTCGACAGCATCAGCCGCACACTCCGCTGGAATAACCGCGGCGCTACACAGAAGGCGTGGGACGGCGACGAGGAAGAGGAACATGGCGATGAAGCCGAAGCCGCGTTCGATATCGATATCGACAATGATGATATTGATCGCGATTCGGGGTATAGCGCCGAGGGCTCGACGGCGGACGGCCGTGGGAGTCCAATGAGGAAGGGTGTCGTGCTGCCTTTCTTGTAAGCGCGCAGGATATGTTTACACCTTGTGAGTCGTTCAGTTTTGGCGCTGACAGGCGTTTTGGCATCTTGGAGCGAGCTTTTCGCCTTTCTACTTCTATCACCAACCACGTTTTGGGTATCGGCGAGTGCTTCGCTGCTTGGGCAGGTCCCAGTGGTTTTGAGCCCTTGTTGAGGGCTGAGGAGTTGTTTGTGCGTCGTGTCCGTTGAGTTGGACGTTCTTATCTCGTTGGGGATGGTGTATAGCTGCTATGTTGTGCTAAGTTGAGGGCAGCTGTTGGTTAACGGCCGTGGAGCGTCATCTACGATATCCTATACCGTCATGTAGATACTTGACCTAGAAATTTATTTGGGGCCTTTGGCTTCTACCATTGTATGAGCATATTTCTTCTCACTTATGAGATCATGCTTGTTGTTGTGTTCTGCTTCGATAATTAAGGCGGTGAGTGTACGCGTTCCTAATGCACGACACCTTGCATTGACGTGTTGCCAACATCCGAATCGGGCCGTTATGTCAAGGTCCATGCGATGCTGGGACGATGGAGCTGTGCTGCGGTGAGGAACACGCGTGCTGATCGTCAATGGTGTATGTTGCTAAGTAAATGGTTGTTTGTGTACGCTAGCTATACATGCTGGATACTTGTTCGATGAGGTGTTCGATGCGGTGTTGGATACAAGGCCCGATGTTTCTCCTAGACATCTCCAGACCGATAACGGAGGTGCTTTTGGGGGATCTATTTTGCATTGAAAGTTGCTGTAAAGGACGGAGATATTCCGTCCATACGAGAGACCAACGTTAGCAAGAACTCTGATGAGTGGTACTGTACCCTTAGATGAAATACTAGCTTTCTGATCAGCAGCTGAAGAGGTCGACCATTCCAAGGTTTGACCTGGCCAAGCGGCTTTTGTATCGCAATGATTAGCCCTGCGAGCGATGTACCTACAGTGCTCGCCTCTAGGTCTCCACTAACGAGTGGAGTGATTTTAACACCCCTAGCAGTAGAAAATTGCTCAAGCCCAGAAGGCTGTAATTTTTGGCTCTGATATGAGCAGATGAACTGGTTTGAGGTAGAGAGGGTGAATAGCTAGACCTTTAGACGACCAACGTGGCGTTAGCCTCGAACGTGCTTTTTCAACTCCCGTGTTTCTCAAGATAAATGTGCTCTCTGAGTGCTGCTTTCCTATTCGGATGAGGCTTGCATGTCGATCATCCAGGGTTTTGTGTTCCTTTCGCCCTCGGGAAATTTGCTGTTCGTTGCAAGAGGAAGGTCAGGGGTCGATCTTCCAACCTCCACACTATGCTTCGTGTAGCTCAAAACCCACAACAGATACCGATTGGTGTCAATATAGGCGCTCTAGTTAAAATACGGGGAGTACGAAAGCCGCTTCTATGCTCTGCTGCATCCGTCTATCCGCGGAGACTGCAAAAACCCGGAGGAATGGAAGATGCGACGGTTTACCTGCCTTCCGCAATGGGGCTGTGGAGAAATCCCTGAGCTAGTGGATGAGGGTGAAGATTGAGGGTGAAAGTCGCGACTCGAGCGGCGGTCATGCGATAGCGTGCCTAGAGAGGGGAAGTCATGTGCTGGAGCTTTGGTCAAACGATAGTCCAGCTTCATACAATTGCTTTTTGCAACAGATGCTTCTGCGAACAGTTGCGCGTGTGAAATGAGGTTTGGAATGCTTTCAGATCTCTCGCCCAAGCGTTTCCGCGGAAGTCTAGATCCGGCTGGGTTGCCTTTGCCTCTATGCAAGACAACGGCGACCAGAGCAGCTCTGTTCTCAGCGACAACGGATACACTACTGTCCGCGGAGCTCGTGATGAGGCTCAACTCTAAGTCCACGTCTGGCCACGCCAAGTGCAAGCTCAATGTCACTCCACCTTGCCCAGCTGCCATCGAGAGAGAAAACTTCCGTGTGCACGCGGTGCCTAGAGGCTCCGCGCTGTCAGTCATTCACCACGTGGATGATTTGCATCTGGCGTGTGCAGGGATTTGTACAAATTCCATGAACAGGGGCTTCTTATGCCTGTAGCAGGTGTGGCGCCCGGATGAGCTGCCGTTCTAACGCATGTGTCTCGATCACCGGTTGGTGGCTGAGTGGGTTCGTACGAGATTAATGGCTTGAACCGAGCGTTACTAATCTATAGCCCTGTGTAACCCGCGCATAGTGCCCGTTCATGGGTGGCAGCAAAGTGAAGCTACAGTGGTACCGGCTAATTGCTACGCTGCAAGAGGTCAAGTTGTGTGGACAACGAGGAAGATCAGGCACGCTTGCATTTCAGATCTCCACCGAACACGTTTGGCGTTTGCTGGGAGCATGGCGGTAAGAGCAGTCGAGGGTCACCGGAAGGTGAGGTGCCAGGTTGAGGCTGGAACTGCAACCGCATTTTTGTATATCTTCATCACGCTTCGATTACACAAGGAACCTCAATACGAAGGCTTGGTTACTCAACAACTCCTCGGCAATTGGATGCATATTGTAAGAACGCGCTCATCTAATTCCCATGGCTCAAGCGGACGTGCACAGCAAGAAGCGCGCTAGAACAACTAAAGTTTGGCACTTCTGGGCATGGGGATTTTCACGCTGTGATCCACTGCTGATGCAAGCATCAACCACACACAATCAAAAGCCTCATTAGCTTCACGCGCAGCACTAAAATGCAGATTTATAAGAGAAACTTCTGGTGCTCAGGGCGAGAACAGAGAAAATTCGAAACCAAAGACACAACAAAGATCTCCCTAGCGGTCCTTCTTCGGTAGTTCCCCGCCTTCCGATTCGCACCGGTTGCAGCAGGTCCTATGACGACTTAGAAAGCTAATTTCTTTGCTGCGGTTCCTCTCCGCTTCATGGCAAGCTTCCTCTCTACACACATATGCCTTGTTTCGCCGGTTGAGCGCGAACTGTTGCTGTTGTAGGGTTATTTCAGTGCAGCTCACCGATTGTGGATACCCTAGGTGAAGGATTTCCGATATGACAACCCCCCGGCGGAAAGCATGCGTCGAATGTCGCCAACAAAAGGTACAGCCCCTCCTCGCCTCGTGCAATTCATCGTAACAACGGACGCGATGACTGACTCTTCAGATTCGATGTGATGTTGAACAACACAAAGTACCACACGACCCATGTGGTCGCTGCAAGAAGATGGGCCTTGAGTGCAGAATTTTGCCCACATCAACCAGGAATCTCCGACAAACCAAGGCTGAAATGCGGAGAGAGCTGGAAGAGCTGCGATGGAACATGAGACATAACCAAGCACCAGGCTCTGTGACAGATTCTAACTACCCTCATTCGACTGCGTCGCCAAACGTTGACATGGGCAACATGAGCCCGCGCGATCACTCAGGAACGTATTCAGATCCCTCTGGCCGGACCGATGGATCGCATTCAGTGTCTCCAGGCTTCGAATCGAGGCCACCGACAAGAAATGGCTCCGGATCCAATGGGACGATTCCACGTATGCTGGAGGGTTACATTCTTGATCCCAAACGGATCGACGACTGCTTCATGCTGTATTGCATCCCATCATTCCTGATCCCTCTCTGTCTAACTTCTTTCTAGATTCTTTACGCAGTATCACCCTCTCTTTCCCATTCTTGATGCGTCGTTAGGACCAAACGACTACTACGACTTATCACCATTCCTGTTCTGGACCATTATCGTAATAGGATCGAGAAGATATGCCGATGACCTAAACGTTCTCGACAAGTCGAGTCAACTCATCACGCCTCTGGCTTTCTCGTCAATGGCACTGCGATCATCCCAAATGCCGGTGATCCAAGGCCTTCTTCTTCTTTGCACATGGCGATTACCAACAAACTCCATGTACAAGGACATGACTCACCTGATGTGTGGATCCGCAGTCCATCTGGCTACCCAGATTGGTCTCCACATCTCGGGTGTAGGACAAGACTTTGCCAGAATGCCGGTGAAGAAAGACCAGGAGCAGAAGGTGTTACGGGCAAGGTTGTGGCTGTGCTGCGTCATTGTGTCCATCAGGTATGATGAAGTTGGAGACAATGAAATGCATACGACTAACTTCTCCTAGGACGAGTTGCGCTGAAGGTATCCCGCCCCTCGCAGAGTCATTTTTCGACTGTGACGAACGAGACCGAGAGGATATGATTCCTTATCTGCCAGCCGATCTTCAGTTCCTCCACAAGGTCTACATCATCCTGTTGCGCGCAATCGTCGCAATGGGGAAGACTAATCTGCAATCGATCAAATGCGACGTTCGCGTGCTACGATCGCTCATCAGCATCTTCGACTCTCAGCTTCTGAGCCTGGCACCGTCCGCTCCCAGTGACCTAGGTGAGTTCGACCTTCGATATCAACAGACTCAACTGATCAACTTAGATACCCTTCAACTCAACTGTGCTCGTATTCACGTGATGGCTTTCCATTTCTTCGCTCATCCCATGAACCCCGATGCGGATGGCTTGTCTCGATTTTACTCGCTCTGCGTCTCCACAATCAACACCGCAACCACGATGGCTCAGACAGTCCACTTTGCATCTGTTTCACAATCGTTTGTTGATAGGACGATCTGTCTCGCTGGTTTCTCGATTCTCAGGCTTGTCCGAAGCCCCCTCGCTCAGCACCTGGACCTTGCATCCGGAGAGCAAGCGTTCTTCCAGGCAGTACAATTCCTCAAGAACGTTTCTTTGCAGCCAGGAGATATCGGAATGCGCACAGCTCTGATCATGCACGATCTCTGGAACAGCAGCAAAGTCTTCCGCAGAAAGGATGGACGCATCGAGTCGCTTGGTTTGAGGTTACGAACCAGGCTAAGCATGAGTGTCAGCTACGACATGTTCTGGTATTGGAGGGAAGAGTTTGGTAACATGCAGAACCCATACAACGGAGATGAGGCTATCAATGCGTCGAATGAAGCGACGCAGCCTAGCACACCTCGTAAGCAAGCTTCCTCAAAGCCTTCTCGTCCTCAATTATTGACACGACATCAAGCATACATCCGGAGCCAGGACCAGAAAATCCCGGTATCGAACACAACAGCGACAATACCTACAACGCAACAACCTCTGACAAAATTTGATCCAAGCTTGATCAATCCTCAACTGCAGGTCGATCCTTCGGCAGGAATGAGCTTCGATACCTGGGATGGATCCGACTACAATGTACCACCAATGTTGGATCAGTTTCCGGATTACGACTGGGCTGCTGGATTCGAGTTCTCAAACAGCGATGTCCTAAATGCTCCTCTAGGCCCAACAGGTGGACCAATGATGCCACAAAATGTTGGCAACATTGGGTATACATTTGGCTGAGCGTCAAAATGGTGCTTTGAGTCAATATCAACAACTCTCCCGTCTGCCCATCATGGAACTGTATTGTCGACCAGATCCAAAGGATTCGAATAACGAAAACGATGTCCGGACCTGCACACCTCGTCGCCCCGCGAAAATATTAGCGAGAAAATCGACCCTTGTCGTTGCGTACCACTTTCCGAGCAAAGGTGTTTTGCAAGCGAACAGACGATCTGCAAAGTACCACTGTCGAAAGTGCTTCGACAGTGTGTAGAAGGTGTGCAACGAAGATGCGGCCTGCCCTTGACCCGGAGGAATCATGGAAGTGTGGATCGAAAGCTGAACAACACTGTTGTTACCGAAACCGAGCCTAGGGTTGTCTCGAGGTATGAAGATTCTTGACGCAAGATTCACAGGGTGAAAAGGTGAGCGGCTAACGAGGTCTTGCGCCCAATTGTCCTCCGCGGTTTGGGATCCGACCAGTATTCGATAGTAAGCTAGGTCATAAGTCGCAATGGAAGAATTCTCCACTAGCTGGCGCTACCCGAAAGGTTTCCGAAAACCAGAGGCTGAACACAGCTGTAAGACTACTCTTCGGGGTTTGAAAAGGAAGACGTGATGCGAACCGACCAAGGCCAAGGGGTTACCACGTTTATAGACATCGGGTGACTGAAAAGTGAGGCCGAGTCCGCCGAAGTCAGGAGATTAAGCGTAAGATACCGCTGATCCAGGTTCAGGTACGAGCTTCTCGGTCAACTGAATGCTCAATGGATCACACAACGATGAGTACTGCAAATTTCATCCATGCACTTACTAACATCGTGTCAGCAGTCGCAATCGCTACCGGAACCACGGGATCTGACTGTGCTGGTACGTGGTAACGATATCCTTCCACGCGACACAGCACCACAAGAGTGGCCAACATTGCTCTTCGAAAGCACTCAAGGCCGATCTAGCCTGCGTTTGCTTGGGCCGTACTCGACTCATCAAACTCGTATCAACAAAACAACCTCGCAACATCGGAGCGTGTCATTACTTTGGCATGATTTGACATTTTCCAAGTATGCTCTCTTATCAGACTTTGCGAACCTTTCACTCACTGTGCCGTGAGCTAGACTCCATCCCACAAAAATATGCTGACACCCCACACACGGCTGGCCCCTCGCATGCATCACTCCGGACATCCCCGCTAACCAACCGGCGAACGATCGCGTGTCAGTCTTTTCTGCACTCGTGTTGTTCGAATTCGAACCACTGACAGCTCATGGCGGCGCGTCCATCGGTGAAAGACCCGGCGAACTTCGGCGTCGTGCATTACGTCACAGGCGTTGCGGGGTGCACTTCATGGCAACTACGCACCAAAATTCGTTCTAGATGGGAACTGACGACCCATTTTCGCAAGCAAATCGTTCCACTGGCTCGCAAATGGCTACCATTACCGCTTAGAGTCGAGCAATCGGTGACGATCTCTATCATTAGCGACTCGGCACCGACCGATATCCTTATCCGGGTGAACATCAACAGTGACATACTTTATAAGCTTAAGAACAGAGTTCGGCTCAATAGTTCCTAGCTTCGGGTTACATCGATCCTAGGTCTCGTTTCACTTGGCTTGGTTTTCTTTGGTCTAAAGTCATTGCCTCTTTGTTGTGTTGAATCAACGACACCCCCAACACATCAGGAAGCGAAAATATCCAAGTATTTGACGGCACATATCCCATAATGGGTTCGATTTCCGACAGCACAAGCACAATGACCGCGGTCCAGAAGTTGAGGGCAATGTTGGCGGATCCGGAAAAGTTCATTGCGTGCCCTGGAGTGTATGATGGCTTCACAGCGCGGATAGCGCTGCAGGAAGGCGTCGACTGTCTGTATATGGTACGTCGTCATTGTTACTCGAGGGCTACGTATTGTGGAATGAAGATGCAGGACTAACGACTGCATGCAGACCGGTGCAGGTACTACGATGGGCAGATTGGGTGTGGCAGACATGGGTATCGCGACGATGAACGACATGCGCGCCAACGCCGAGATGATTGCCAACCTCGACCCCAGCGTACCCCTGATCGCAGATGCAGACACGGGTTACGGAGGCCCCATCATGGTTGGCCGAACAGTGGCGCAGTACATCCGTTCTGGCGTCGCTGGACTGCATCTTGAAGACCAAGTCACCCACAAGCGCTGCGGCCACCTGAAGGGCAAGCAGCTGGTCGACATCTCCGAGTATGCCTCAAAAATCAAGGCCGCAGCCATGGCCCGCGAGAAGCACGGCGACATCGTCATCATCGCACGAACCGATGCTCTCCAAGGGTATGGCTACGACGAAGCTATCAAGCGCCTGCGAGCCGCAATTGCAGAGGGCGCTGATGCGTGTTTCCTGGAAGGTGTCACAACCCGTGAAGACGCTGAGCGAGCATGCAAAGAACTTGCGCCGACACCGTGTCTGTTCAACAACGTTCCCGGCGGCGTCTCGCCAGACTTCGGCGTCAAAGAGTGCAAAGAGATAGGATACAAGCTCGCCATCTTCCCGTGCCTGGCATTTGAGATGGTGTACCCTGCCGTAAGGAGGGCTGTCCAGCAGCTGAAGACTCTGGGCAACGTAAAGCCTGCAGAGGAGGGCGGAAGGAGATACGGACCTAAGGAGCTGTTCCAGGTCTGCGGTCTGGATGACTTGGTAGAGTTTGACCAAGCAGCTGGTGGTACTTCGTACACTAAAGGAGCATGAACAGTCTGTGAAAGGGATCGCGTTACCTTGAGCTCTAGCGGGCGTTGATTGTGTTTAGGATACCATAGCGCTTGCATGATAATTCTACCCTGGCATTCCATGTTTACTTGAAGATGTCGAGTTCGTAATCAGCTGTGACGAAAGTGAAAGCAGTTCGCTAAGCTGACCTGCCGTTTGCACACATTTGTATCAGGACATGTTGTCATCGCTCTTGGCACTGGGATGAAGGGCTGCATTCACCTCGCACACATTCGACCAAGAACTATAACACTTTGATCCCCCCTCCCTCCCCCGCTGAAAAGCTTTCTCTTCGCTCGATCATCCACGACAGCCTCACAGCTAATCAGTTCGCATTACTTCGCCGTTGTCGGTGCGTCCGAGGAGCCCCAGAGCTCAGAATCCACGTCCGGCTTCTTGGTCGCTCTTTCTTGAGCACAAGAGGAAGGGGACACGGATGAGTACGGGCAGATTACGAAAGGGATCCTGATTTTTGCCCGAGAGTGTAAGGCGAGGCCTTTTCCATAGATCTCAGACAGACAGTATATCAAAAGAACGTTCGAAGAGAAAGCGACTGAGCTACGACATTGAGGTGAGAGGTGAAGCGAGGTTCAGCCCTACGCCGGCCAAGGCGCTACTACAAGCAACCGCGGCAGCGCGCGCGCGCCCCCATGGTCAACTTTTTGGAGCTTCCGCATGCGCATCGCAACTTGACAGCTTTACAATCCCCGTCCGCCACTATGCCGCCGCCCACATCCAAGAAGCTTACCGCGCAACCGGTGCGCACGCGACAGTTCGCCGGCAAACCAGGCGCCGCGCCGGCAGAAGAGCCGTCGAGCTCAGAAGAGTCCGAATCCGAAGAAGAGCAGCAATCGAAGCCGAAGCCCTTCGCAAAGTCGAAACCGGCACCAATCGCCTCTTCGTTCCCCAAACCGGCCCTCCAATCGAAACTCGCAGCGCGGCAAAGGTCAGAGTCAGAGCGCAAAGCAATCAACGAAGACGAGTTCGAGACCGAAAGCGAGGCCGATGACGACAGGGACCATGACGACGAGGAAGGCAGCGAGGAAGAGAGCTCAAGCGAGGAGGAAGGCAGCGAGGAGGAAGAATCCAGCGAAGACGAAGCCCCCCGCAAACTCCTCCGCCCCGTCTTCATCAAAAAGAACGCGCGCACGGCAATCACCGCGCCGGCAGAGACGGCCGAGCAGGTAGCAGCAGAAGAGGAACGGCGGCGGCAGGAGCAAACGCGACAACTCGTGCAAGAACAAGTCGAGGCGCGCGCCGCCGAGCGCCTCGCCGCGAAAAAAGACTGGGATGACGACATCGAAGACGCGGACATCAACGCCATCGACGACACCGACGCACTCGACCCGGACGCCGAGCTCCTCGCCTGGAAGCTGCGCGAGCTGCGGCGCATCAAGCGCGAGCGCCTCGCCATCGAGCAGGCCGAGGCGGAACGCGCGGAGATCGAGCGCCGCCGCAACCTATCCGCTGCGGAGCGCGACGCCGAAGACCGGGCGCACATGGAGAAACAAGCTGAGGAGAGGGAGGGCAGGGGCCAGGCGCAGTTCATGCAGAAGTACTTCCACAAAGGCGCTTTCTTCACCGACGAACTCAAAGAACTCGGCCTCGACAAGCGGAATCTGATGAATGCGCGGTTCGAAGACCAGACGAACCGCGAGGTGCTGCCCGAGTACATGCAGATCAGGGACATGACCAAGTTGGGCAAGAAGGGCGGGACGCGGTACAAGGATATGCGGTCTGAAGACACGGGGCGATGGGGTGACTATGGGCCCGACAGGCCGAGGAGGAATAGGGAGGAGTACGGGCTGGACGAGAGGTTCAGGAGTGATGGGTACAGAGGGAGAGACGGCGACCAAGAGGGTCCGTCGGGTGCAAACGCAAAGCCACTAGGCGAGAGGAAGAGATTCGGCGACGACGGTGGGCGGGATAGCAAGAGGCCAAGGATCGATGGGCGGGCGTAAGCAAACAAACACATTTGCCAGCACTGGCCGGCGCACACGGCATATTGCCGCATTCCCTGCGTTTTTCTCGCACTCACGATATCACAACAGTCACGTTTCTCATCTCGATAACCTAAACGACCCCATCTGTCACCTGCCCTGCGCCGCTTCCCTCCTACACCTCGGACACAAACACGGCTGCTCGAACCACGGCCACATTCTTTCAACCCTCTCTTCTCGGCGCAGGTCTTCCACGTCCTGATAACTGTCGAAGATCTCCTCGCCCTCCTCAATATTCCTCAAAGCGAAGAAGCGTATCGTGTTCGTCCCGTCTTCCTTCTTATACTCGACGTTCGGCTCACAACTATGGTTGAACAACGGCAGGAAGGGCGTAATCTCATCCACAAACCCGAGTTTGGGGTCGAAAGAGCCGGCTTTATTGTTCGCCAGCCGGCACCAAATCGTGTGTAGGACCATGGTGGAGAAGGCGGGGGTGGTGAATATGTTGATGCCCAGCTGTTGCAGGATTTTGAGAGGTGTAACAACGCTCTCGCCCAGCGTGAACACATCCAGATGTCCGCAATTGGCGAGTGGTTGCAACCGCGCAATCAGCGGGTGGTCCAGCGGATGTTTCTGCACCCCGGCTTGCACGCAGAGCGCCAGGAACCTCAGTAATAAGAGCGGGCGCATCGGGCTTGCGTTTTCCCGCAAAGACGACGCGGGCGCGGAGAGCCAAGAGAAGTTTTGTCCGCAGAGCGCGCGGTGGTATGTGTTCATCGCGAGGGAATGACAGGTGGGCGAGCAGAAGAGCGACGCGCAGCAGGAGGCAAGAACGGGCGATGTGAGCGGGGTGTCGTAGCAGTTTTCGCAGTGAGGGGATGAGGGAGGGGAGCTGGCTGCGGAGGTTGTGGTTTGGTCGATCAGGATGCATGAACCCTTGGAGATGGGGCGGGTTGCGAATATGCCGAGCATGTCTGGAATGGGCGCGAGTGTGCTGTTGCTTAATCGACAGGCTGGCGGCTGGACGTTGGCTTTCAGTTCCGAGTTCACTTGACGTACGACCTCGGGGCTCCTGGTAAGATGTCGTTTCTCCATCCACGGATAGTGCACAGAAACCACGCTCCCATCTCTCAGTCTGTCTCTTTGCTGTTGTTGTGTCCCTCCATATGGCGCAGCGGCTTGTTTCTTTTGCGCCAGCAACTGTTTGAGCGCATTCGCTTTCGTGAATGCAATTCTCGATATCTGCGGAAATTGTTTGGCTTGGGTGAGCGAGAGCCAGAACTCGAAACACTCCCAATGGCAGTGGCAGTCGTAGAGAGCTTGGCCTAGTATTGTGTATGCCTTTACACGAACCTCCTCATCTGTACCAATGCCTTCCTGTCCAACCCCATTTTTCTCGCTTTTGCTACTCTCCCCATGGTCGTCTGGAGCGGAATCTAAGCGATCGAATAGTAGCTTGGCCCTGTATGCGTCGCCTACTGCGAGCTCGGGATAGTTCAGTTGTAAGTAATGGCCTGCACGTTCTGTCCAGAGTTCAGGGTTGTATGGGTCTGATTGAAGGCGTGTGCTGCATGTGTTCACGGCTTGAGTTAGGTTGTCTACCGCTTCGGGTGCTGGCGCTGGGGTTTGCACGTCGTGCGTGCGGTAGAGCGATGGGTTCCAAGACTCTGGCATGTCAACATTCTGATGATTTTTAGAGCCTGTGTAAGGTAGCGCGTCAATAGCCTTCATTTGGAGGGTTGTGATGCGTGACGTCATTGTGAAGTAGCTTACACATGAGAGGCTTGGAGGTTTCGTAGAGGTCCCCAGATCGCTAGATTGTATATGGATGGGTTGAAGAAGTCGCAGATGGCGGTGTTACTATGACCGTCATTGTATATCAACCATGTTGCGGGCTGCAGTGTCATTTCCAACATACGCCGGCTGCCGAACGTTGTCCGAACTATGTCTCGAGCAAGGGAAGCTTTCGATCAGCACGAGGGTTTGCTCACAGTGTTCTAGACTTCTGTTTATAGGAGTCACTCAGATCGCTCTTCGAAGCGTCACTTCGCATCGCAGCTGCATTTTACAAAGACAGCAGAGAAGAGGCTGGGTGAGGCTTGCCAATTCCCGATCGCGCCTCACCATGCCAGCCCAATCCTGCCTAGTTCAGCCTCACACTTGGAAACCAGGATCCATCCCCGGATCACCACGGCCCTAACACACCCGACGATGTCATCTTCGATCTCTGCTTGATGTCGTGAACACACCTCCAACATGTCCTACCAGGATGAGGACGACGAGGCAGCGACGGTTCAACCAAGGGTTCGCTATGAAGGCGAAGATATAAGCCCTACGACTACGAGAGAGTTGAATGGCTGGTACGCTTATCCCATTGCAGCGGAAGTATTTGCTGTGGTCGCCGTCGGTACGTACTATTATATCGTTGTTTGAACTGCGGACTGACATAACTCAGGCGCCTTTCTCCCGGTAGTTCTTGAACAACTTGCTCGCGAGAATGGGCATTTCTTCTCTGACAGAACAAAACCATGCGTCGAGCATGCCGGAAGCCTCCGGATACGTGCCGACAATGGTACAAAAGACGGCCAGAAAGAGCAGTGCATGATCAGATTGCTGGGTAAAGACTTGTCGACGAGCAGTTTCTCACTGTACACCTTCTCGGCTGCTGTGCTTGTGCAGGCTATTGTTCTGGTATTGTTCAGCTCTTTTGCTGATCACGGTAGGTTTTCAGAAGCCTGGTTTGAAGCTTGAGTGTTTTTAATGCTCCCTAGGGCCATATCGCAAGAAGATGCTCATGATCTGCGCTTACACCGGGTCCATCGTCAGCATGCTTTTCATCTTCATATCACCTACGATATACTACCTTGCTCCGATCCTGGTCGTTCTGGGTGTCACCAGTCTGGGTTTCTCTTTCGTCTTGTTAAACGCTTTCCTACCGTTACTAGTCGCTAACCACCCTTCCGAATCTGACCTTAAATCCTTCAACTCGGAGTCGTCTACCTCTTTGGACCAAGAACTCGAGAGCTTCAATCCCAATGGTGACAGCGGCATGCGTCGTCGTGCGAACCCAGACCAGCTGGCCAAGGATCTGAAACGCTCTGCGGTCATATCTAGCAAGGGCGTTGGCTATGGATACATTGCTGCAGTATTCGTGCAAGTTATCGCTATTGGCATCCTCTTCCTATTTAGCAAGACCTCTTTTGGCAAAGCCCACCCGAGCTTTTCCATGCGCGTCATTCTATTCGTCGTGGGGCTCTGGTGGGCAGTTTTCACCATCCCAACCTTACTTTGGCTGCGACCACGTCCCGGCTCACCACTTTCCACGAATCAAGAACCCTCCTTCGGCAAGCAGCCATCCAGGCTTAAGCGCTTCTTCTACTACCTCTCCTTCTCCCTCGGCTCTTTCTGGACAACTCTCCGCCGCGCAATTCGCCTCCGCCAGACACTCCTTTTCTTGATAAGCTGGTTTCTTCTCTCCGACGCGGTCGCCACAATATCCGGCACCGCAGTCCTCTTCGCACGCACAGAGCTGCAAATGAGTACCATCGCTATCGCACTGCTATCCATAACGTCTATCGGCTCCGGCATAATTGGCGCATTTGCATGGCCACGCATCGCAGCGTGGTACACGCTGCAGTCAAAGACAGTCCTGCTGCTGTGCGTTGCAGGAATGGAGATCATCCCCTTGTATGGACTGCTGGGATACATCCCCCTCTTCAAGAAGCTCGGCTTCATCGGCCTCCAAAAAGCTTGGGAAATCTACCCCATCGCCGTGCTCCACGGCATCGTCATGGGCGGTATCAGCTCCTACGCGCGCTCCGTGTACGCCCCACTCATTCCCGAGGGTAGCGAGGCAGCGTTCTTCGCGCTCTATGCAGTTACGGATAAAGGAAGTAGTGCGTTCGGGCCGGCGCTTGTGGGATGGATAGTCGATCATGCGGGAAGCATTCGTCCGGCGTTCATCTTTTTGGCGGTCTTGGTTGTGTTGCCTGCGCCGTTGTTGTGGAGGCTGGATGTTGAGAGGGGGAGGGAAGATGCGAGGGTCATGGCGGAGAGTGAGGTTGGGCCGGGGAGGGGGAGCTATGAGAGGGTTGGTAGGGATTGAGGGGCGAGTGTCATTGTTTTGAGTGGGAAAGGAGAATCGAGGTTATGATGTTATGAGGTTATGATAGATTGCATGAAGTGTGACATTCTTACTCTACCAAAGCATGGAGGAACATGCACCTTGTCAATAGCCACCACACTGCCCTCCAGTGCTATGGCCTTCTCTTCTCTCCCGGGCTTTCCGTCGATGCTGTCGCACCTGATCGATTGGTTTGATGAAATATTGTTCAGATATGCATCGTTGGAATCCCTTTCAGACTGACTGATGAGACAATCCAATTCCTGCTTGCGGCCCAGTGGGATGTAGCAGCTACAGCCGCTGCACCCATCGCCATAGATACTCTCGACTCGTCAATCCACGTCAAAGAGGGATCGATTGTCGGTTTCCTGGTCGCGGTCGCTACAGGAGCATAGTGGGCCAGAGAGGGATGTCGGCTGGAATGGATATGTGTTGCAGTACGCTTGAGGTACGAGGCCATATTGATGAGCTCATCAAGGGAAGCTACACTCCTCAGCACCTTGGGTCCAATGATCCTCTTCCACCAGACTTCCCTTGAACCCCCCTAGCACCTCGTCTCGGCAGCCTTCTCGGAGTATACTGCAACAATCCTGCCCCTTGAATGTTTCTGCTCTCTCAGCACACTGTCGTACATCGGATCTCCAGGCGACAAGGCGAAGGCACGGAAGAAATGCGGTTCTGAGATTTCGAAGGTGCTGGATGCGTACAATGCCGCCGTGGTTTCTGAGTAGAGTTGTTTGCACACTGTTGGTGGGAGATGCAGTAGTATATCGTAAAATCGGTACTCCGCGTGTTCTCGTAGAGTGTATTTCAGGTTCTTGTGGCTGTCTTGCACAAGTTTGTTGAACGACTGAAAGGTGACACAGACGGTGAGATTTCTGTATCAGTGTTGCTAGATTTGGTTGCGTAGCTCGGCTGGGAGTTGAAAAAGAAGAGATAAACGTGGTTTTAGTGATGGAGGGTGTCTGGACATGTTAGAATTGATCCGGGTGAACAGCTTTTGTTATTGTTTCAGTATGCTTACATTGCTACGAATGGATTGGTTCGCGGTCGTATTCTTGAGCCTGTAGGAAGTTCTCGGCGCTTATTTACTGCGGAGGCCGGCACATCATCAATCCTCTTTCATTTTCCTAGATCCAGGATTTTTGATTGTGTGAGAATGTCTGTTCGATGTTCGAAACGAAGAAGTGACGGGTATTGGCAACCAAGCATACAAGTAACGGTCAAGTCGAAGGATCTTGGAGCATGCATGTCTGAATAGTCAACACGCTAAGACGTGCCTGCCTATGTGAAAGCACTGCTGCCTTACATGCCGCACAAACATGAAGATGAACGCCCCGAAACCATTACATTCGCAAGATCATATTATGTACGTTCGTTCTCCTCTAACAGCCGTTCGTTCTCAACTTCCCAGTCCGGAAATAATTGGCTTATGTTCTGCCCGAGTAACACTGCCCGCATACTAACCGCAAGGTCCTGTCTCAGAGCTTCTTGTATGACGACATCTTCACGCCATAAATCTTTCTCCCTCGATCTAGGGTCCTTTTCATGATAGTTGAAGGCCCTGCCCCGATTCTGTTTGCGCCTGTCGATGACGGCGACTCGGGTGAGATTGTCCTGTAGATGATGCTGCTGGAATGAGCGCAGAAACACAGGAAACCAGTTCCTCTGCTCTTCCCATACCCAACCTTCCATTCTGCTGCCACGAATGACTGTTCCAATGCGTTTGCCATTGTCGTAATTGTAGTTGACGCATGTGCCAGTGTAGTTGCTGTCGTCTTCTACTACGAGGCCAATCAGTAGTGTGAGACCTCGTAAGTTTTCGAAGTGCTTGATTACGCTTGAGCATCTTGCCGGGCTCCAGATACGGTTGTGATGTCTGATGCCCAAGCCAATCCGGACCTCGAGTTTGCGCATGCGTCTCACACTCTGCTGCTGTGAAGAGGCCAGTATGTAGAGATCGACGCTGCCTGCAACTTTGAACGTTGCAGATGCGTAGAATATCTCGATAGTCTCGGCCCAGAATTGTTTGTTCACAATTGGCCAGAAGAAGGGTGTTCGTTCACCGTTTGCAGAGCCTCTCTTTGCACCAGGACAGCACTCTAGCATCTTCAATGAATCTGAAGATGAGCCCAGCTGCTGGCAGAGGACATATCTAAAGGCATAGTTCCCTGAAGGGTTCATCTTTTGATCGACACATGCTGGCTCAGCATGTACGATGAGATCTCCGTATGCATAGCTCCAGATTCGATCGCGTAGTTTTCGAGGAAGTTGAAGCAGCGACGACGACGTGTGTTCGCCCATTGTCTCGGTTATCGCTACCCTGGCCAGTGTAAGTCGAATATGTCAATTGTTTGGGTATTTTCGTTGTCGATGTGTTATAATTGAGAATGCCGAGATGTTGCAGCCTAGAGACGATCGACCTATGGACGCCTGAGCCAAGACTCCACGTGATGACTAACTTGTCAGCTTTCGTGTGACGGCGTAGGCTGCTGTAGTACATTGGTAGTGTCACGATTGAGGTGTCTCCCTGCAGTCGGCCGCATAGGCGCTTACCTGCTGATTGGTTGCTACGTCGCACGACTATATGTTGACAGCTACACAACATCAACGTAGACATTTCCTTATGTATGGCTCCACTCCAGAGCATGTAGAACAGTCAGTTCAATCCTTCAATCCTTCCCACATGCGTACTGTCCACTCGCCCCCACAGATAGCTACAGTGAACAACAACGTAGGACTATCGAGTTGATAGAATACTGCGCTGAGTTGCTATCTAGCTAGGAGAAGATGACTATATACCTGACCTGTATAACACTAGACTAGGGTAGTATGCCAAAGGTATAGTCAGACCTTGTACGGACCAATCGATACTGCAATATTTCGTGATAGTGGAGCTTGAGGAAGTCATCTTGCCATTGTTGCATGTGTTAGCTTCGCTATGTATGCCATCCAGGACGCGCCGAAGTGATCATTCTGTCCGTTGTTGCTGATGCCCATCACGTGAGGTTTCCAACGTCATTCCTGTGAAACAATTGTATACGTCCAGGTTGTCCCTCCCCTTTTCACTTTCCACGTTGCGAGAGGCGCCGGGGATGATGGTCAAGCAGCGCAGTCTTGATAGACTCTTCTAACAAACCAACCTGGGACGGACTTGGCTGCGAGGCACGCATAGGTCCAATAAGGCGAATATGAGACGTCACTCGGTCAGGATGCAGCCTGTTTTGCTGGAAGGATTGTATAATCGACAAGATCCTTGCGTCTACCCAGCGTACGTTGCGCATGATATCGGTATTGAACAGGAGGTATTTCGGGACCAAGCCCTCCTTGAGCACCAGTGTAACACCTTGTAGATTCTTCAGATTCCTCCCCAACGCGGAGGGCAAGGCATTCCTCTACGCATGCCGCTTGTGCCCGTACGTCATCAGCGGTATCGTGAGCTCAAGGTCGCGGATCTGGGCGACATACGTGGGAGCCAACTTAAGGAAAGCACGAAGCCTGTTGTAGCTGTAATTGTTGGACACAAGCGTTACAGATTCCCAGAACACTGTACAGACTTCCCACCAGAATTGCTTGCTCATCAAGGGTAGAGAGAACAATGGTGTGTCGGACCAACATTCGCAGGGACGAAGAGAGCTTCCACGGTGCAGACGCGGAAACGGAAGGACACCTGTTGTGGGCTGGCAGAGTCCCCCACATGAACGTGTTTATCACTGTATACGAAGCTCTAAATCTTGTTGCGCAGTTCAGCTGAGAGTCGAAGAAGGGGCAACTACGCAGCATTGCGCGCTGTACTGGATATATTGCCAGTATATACGTAAACTTCTTGTCACGCTTGGTGCTACTTACATGTCGATGGAGGGAGTACCTTGCGGAGATGCGACGCCGGACGCTTCGACGGTTGTTGAAGGCTGCTGCTGATTTTGCTGCTCAGATAGCTTGTGGCGCTTATTTGGAGGTGTAGGCATTGCCTTCTTTGCTCTTTTCCCTTCTTTGGCGCCATAGTGAAACAATCTATCAGTTGCAGTGTTTGCTGTAGGTACGCGCTTGCCAGTGCTCGGAGTGCGTTCGAATGACATCCGTGTGTCATGGGTAGAGTTGAAAGTCTTGAACAGGTAGACAGTTGGTGGGCTGAGGAGGCGCGGTGAGTCGTTGTTTATGAACATGCCAAGAACGATCTTGGACTTCTTTCATCTGCGGGCGTTGAGGAGCGCACTTCACCCGGATGCCGTGCTCGTTGTCAACGCCCCGCCTGACGTCTCGCAATTTCAGTCAGACGCCCCTTCGAGAGTCCACACTGCACACGACGCCGAGGATGAAGCTCGAGCAGAAGACGCCCAATCACTTCAGGCGCAGCTTGCATATCAGTAACAGTAGAAAGTTGTAGCAGCAAGGTTACCGTAGTCAGCCTTTCCTGCAACTGATGCTGTTGGAAAGCTCGAATGATCCTTGGAAGCCTCGTCGCCTTCCACCTCAGCACATCAGGATGTTCCCGGATATCGAACGAAGTCCATGAGTTAGCGGCCGGATTCTGTGAATAATCAGAGTTAGACCTTGCAAGCTTGCGAGCCTACAAACGGCTGGGTAGAGCAGTGTCAAATACCACTCTCCCAAATGATCGACCCGTAGCTCGAGCCTTTGTATCTTTGCCGTCAGGTATTTTTGCTCCCTAAGAAAGGTCTGAAGATCGAGTAGATACTGGTATTTCTACATGCATGAAGCCAGGAACACTTTCGACGCCTCAGACCAAAACTTTCTCGATACTAATGGGAGACTCATTACTTACAAGTGGCTCCATCTCTTGCTGTAACAGCCTACCCTTTGTTGGGCTGGCACCATTCTGTAAGTTGAATGTCGTTGTCGATCCTCAGCCCAGATCTCCTCGAGACAATCATAGAATCAAGTGGGTGACCAGTCCTGCAGGCGGATTCCGTAGGAGAGTTCTAAGCGCCTGGTGGCAGTAATCTGGAATTGATGCGACACATGGTCGTCGTAGACATAAATCTTCATGTCGCCGTAGGCAAATGCCCAGATCTTGTCTCGCAGTTCAGATGAGAGGCGAAAGATGGGCGACACGACCTGCATTCTGCGCGGTGCTACACAAGCTCAGCAAACGCCTCAGTAGGATGGCCTGGAGCTACCAAAGTGCTGGACGGCACTTACAGGTCCACTGGCGCAGCAATATCTGCAAAATCTTCACCTGAAGACCTCCCCACATGGGTTCGCTGACGCTTCTCGGTGCCCTCATGGGTCGCGGAGGTTACTCTCTTCCTCGGCGGCATCGTGCGAATGGCGGAATGTAAGAGATGAAAGTACTTGAGCCTGTAGACGGGAGTAAATAGATGATGCCCCTAATTAGGTGTCACACAGCCTCACACGCCGAGGAGCTAGCCTACCATGCAGCCTAAACATCCAAATACTCGATCAAGAAGTGCATTGGTGAAAATGGTAGAATCTACCTGTCAACAAGCAGGGCAGAAATATCGAAGACAAAATGTGAGTTTTGAGGCTCCTGGCGTTTCAGTACGTCAGCCTTAACAATCTAAGACTCACAAAGTATTCAACCCAAGTCTTCTCTTTCCCAATGCACACGAAGGTAATCACCCGTAACTATGATTGCAACTCAGCTCTTTTCCTCAGCTGCCCCTCAGGTCGCTACTCACCAACAACAGTCTTGCCCACAGAGCTGGACGTCCATCGTACGCCGCTTCGAAGTTGACCTCGAAGAATGACCACTGGGAAACAAAGCACACAATACACTGCTCTCTTGGCTCTGGCATTGTTCTTATCTCGGTAGACAACGTTGCCGTGCTTTGTTAGACATCAAGCCTCCCCCTCTTGCAGAAGCAGAAGACCTTCAATCAGTGATCTAAAGGCTCAACCAGGCATCTAGAAGCAGTCAGGCCTCTAGCCCCATCGTCTAAGTGCAATCGAAAAGTCGTAATCATCTCCGCTTTTTCAATCTGCTCAATCATGATTCAAGGCTGGGTCGGGCAATGCAGAAATTTGGGGTTCGATGGATCCAAGCGGAGCTCAAGGTCAAGTGCAGTCAAAGGTGCGGAGCTCAACACGGGCCCCGCATAGAAGGCCCGAAGGCCTGGGACGGCCAAGTTGGTGCGGCAGGTTTAAGCGAAAATCTGCGAGATCCAGTTCCCAGCGATCTAGGCAATCAATACGCTATCGTTGGTCATCTGTCTTTGAGCATTACAGCATCACGAAAGATCTGAAAAGAGAAGTCAATAGTGTTGCTTTGTGCAAGATCTGGTGGCTACTCAAGGGCAGTCCGAGATATTCTCATTGTGTTGCTGACTGCGGTTACGCTAGTCTGCAGCCGATCCCTTGAGGGGCTATCTACTCCTCCTTTTCCATGAACGCCTCTCTGGGCGAACCAGGGTCCAAGCTGAAAGTAGCTCAGGGTGTAAAAGTACAGAGAACGCCTATGATGCTGATGTAAAGAAATCGATGAAGTCTATCGGCCGACGGTATGCACGCTAAAACGCTGACAAAAAATGCTAATGAACAAGATGACCGCTACCCTCGGTATGTGTGACTGTAGGAAATTTTGTACAGTGAAAGTAATCCTCAGCGAAAGACCGGCTGTTGAGGAACGGGTAGTTGGTTGAACTGGTGCTGCTCAGGCCATGCACTGTGGTCCATGTACGGCAGAGGGCCAGCTCGGCGGTCAGTCATAGGACGACCGAGAGGATGGTAGTGCATTTGGTCGTACGAGATGTTGCGAGCTGGGTTCTGGATGGATGTCTGAGGAGGAGGCACCAACAAGGTGTGCACGCCGCGGACTGGACGGTATGGCGACTGTCGTTGGTTCAGGAAGTAGGATGGAGACAACTGTCGTGATCCAGTAGGGAACGATACACTAGTAGGAGATGAGTTGTTCGAGTGTGGGTAAGGGCTGATCTGGCGAGATCGGTCCGCGGTGGGTGTGTGGTGTGTAGAGAAGGGAGGCACAACCGAGGAAGTTGGTGTGCTGACTGGTTGCTGCCACTGGACCGGTGGTGGATATACCATCGCCATGGAACGGTTACCAGGGACTGGCAATGGAAGCTCCGACCAATTCTTAGCCTGTACAGGAGGCATCTGCTGTTGCTGAGGAGGTGGAATCGCAAGACTTGGCAGAGGCGGCAGTCTGTTCACGGATGGCGGTGGCTCGAAGGACTTGTTGACGGGCGTTTGCAATGTTGGTACAAGTGGAGCGTTGGAGTAGGGTCCAGGTGCAAATCCGTGAGCTACTCTCTTCATTGGCGGTTCAGCACTGTGATCGGTGCTTCGCTTGCGTTGCACAATAGGTCCTAGAGGAGGCAGAGATCCAATCGGTGAAACCTGTGCAGATGTTGCCTGGGGCTGTAGAAGTGGAGTGTTGTTGGAGAATGCCAAGTGATTGGGCGAGTACATTGTGGTTGGTGGGGAGGTTTGGAGATTCGTTGGGGGGGATGGAATGAAGTTCTGTGGAACCGCGAGCGAGGGCGTGGGTGGGCTAATCGTGCCAGCGGCAGGGACCTTCGAGGCTCGATCGTAGAAAGTACCGAACTTGCCAAGAATCTTGTGCCACTCCTCCCACTTCTCTTTCGATGTGTACAGGCTATAACGCATATTGCTCAAGAACTCGACCTCCATGATGTGCACCTCCTGTACCGAGATGCCAGAAACCTCAGCCCACGTCTTGTTGGTGTAGGTGTTGTCATCCAGGAACTTGTTGCCGAGCATCAGTGCCACAGTCAGCAGACGATACTCGCTACCAGGCTTGCCCTTGACGCTAGGGTTGGTCTGCTTCAACTTCCAAACGAACAAGAGGGCCAGAAGGATGACGTTCTGAGCAACTTGCGTGGTCGTCAAAATTGTTGCTACCCATTTACGGAATCCAGTGGTCGGTATCGCATCGGGGACGAGGGGTTGTATTTGTTGACGAGGTGAGGTCGAGTCTGTAACCTGGTTCAGAGTCTGTGAGCTTTCAAACCAAAACAGGCAAGTAATCTGGACTAATCAGTATTCGGTCATCTCAAACCAACTTATTGCACTCACCTCAGCTGCTAATTGGGGGAGTCCCTCCTGCGGTGTGTTGATGGTCGAGGGAACTCGCAGGTTTGGTGATATTGACCACTTCTTTCGTGGTGTCTGTGCAACTTCTTGAGGTTGTTGCTGTGATTGCCTTTGAGCAGTAGGGCCTGTAGCGACTGTTGCCGACCTGGAGTTGCCGATTGCAGGAAGTTGGTAGCCATACTGCTGACTAGCACCTTGGCTCGGTGGTAATGATACGACCTTGACTGCTGAGCCTGGCATCTCGGGAGGGGTCAGAGGCCGCCTAGGAGCTGGCAGCTCGTAGCCATTTGACATTCGAGGTACGGGGAGCTGCATCTGAACGGTACTCGAGTCGAACTTGGTAGTGGGTCGAGCTGAGGATGAGAAGTGGAAGTCGAAGGAAGGCTCCCAGGGGAGGGCGTGAGGCATCGAACAGGGGAGCTGTAGCTCGAGCATGTGGGCGATGAAGGTGAGGTGGTTCGACCAACGGTGAAGGCGAGATGGAGGTGAGGTAGCGACGACGTTAACGTGTGCCGGTGAGCATGAGCGAGGCAGCCGTGCTTGATGTTTGCAAATAGACGCTATGGGTCCTTCACCGCACTGCCGTGACAAGGGAAGTCGTGATCCGGCAAGCAGTCTTGTGTCAAGCAAGGAGGCTGTTGACAACGAGTCGTTGTAACTTGTAAGAAATATGTGAGTGCGCAGGGCCTATGAATGCAACCTTGTTTCCGGGAGACGGCGGCCACGGTTGCGAGTGTCGGTCTTTTGTGTCCTTGGTTCCTAGCACGGTGAGGCAAAGGGAGTGCAGGGCACAATAAAGAGATGCAAGAGGTGAGTGGACGGGTGGGAGGCGGAGAGTAAGTACGGAGTGGTTTGAAGGTGTGACCCCGGCGATTGGTATTGTCTATAATCAGGGAGGCGGATTGTCGGCGGGCCGCACGCAGCTGCTTGCGCAGACATGGCTTCTGGGGCCGTTGGATTGATACATAATTCCTGTGAAGAGTCGGAAAGATCCAGGCAAGCCCCAAGAGCTGATCCAGAAGGAGAAACAGCTCTGACATCAACCGCGCCTGCTGCTGGCTGGGGACACTAGTGAGCTTAGCGCGCACGGTCGCCCGCCGCACAAAGCAGCCGACCGGGGGCCACACGAACGAACGCGACGCCAAGGGCACCGGGTTAATTATGGGACAAAGCCTCAGAGCTGCATCAGCGATGGGCAATGTCTGTCTGAATGCGCGCTCGGCGTCGTGACCAGCGGAGGCCAGGAGCAGCAGGGAAGACACACCAGCGGCGGACGAAGCAGGGATGCGGTTCCTCGTTGTGCGCAGCTTGTTCGTCCTTGTTAGCTTGTCTCTGGCCAGTGCAGGACAGCCCCCCGGCTGCGACTGCTGCAGCTGCACCTGGTGAGCGCTGAGTGGCAGGCCCGTGTTTGAACCATCATCAGCGTCAAAGCATGACAAGCACCCAGCGTGGATCGTCACAATCATCAGTCGTCGGTCAAGCTTGGACGGCACGCAGTCTGACTTTCGCAGAACGCTGTTTCGCGCGCTAGAGCAGGTTGTGAATTGCTAGACTCGAGCGGCTTGATGCTTGCGCGGGCTGCGTTTGCCATGGATCACGACTGGTCAGACCGGCTACACTGGCAGTGACTGGGCTCAGCAGCGTCGAGTCTGCTCCTGCAGGTGCTGCAAGTGTGCAAGTCAAGGCAAGTCAAGTGCTCGCCGTCGCCGTCGCCGTCATGGGATTTAATTATTCATACGGCCGGCGACCGCCATCTGACCCGCAGTGCATCCCCGTCGCGTCGTTTAAGGAGAGTCACGGCCTGCGTGTTGCGGTGCTATGCCCGGAACGTCACCTCGTCCAGGACTCTCCAAGGAGCCCCAGCGCTGCGCCGCCGCGACCGGCTCCCAGCCTCAGCGAGCACTGCGGCTTCCTATTGGCCGGCGCTCTTACTCAAGAGGAGGCGATGCCGTCGTGCACGTCAACGAGGGGCCCTCAGCCAGCATTTATTCGACACAACCACTGCCGTTGGCCGGCCCACACTGCACACGAAAGCGACTCCTCACAGCCGTCCTTCGTCTGCCACCACCCGTGGGACACCATCATGATCCAGGCAGAAACGATAGCGCTGGCGGGTCTCGTCAATTCTCTGCACGCCAGTAGGCCTGCCCCCCGGAGCCTGCGGTACCAAATGAGTGATCCTATGAAGATTGTGAGATCCCTTACGCTTTCATCACGCACTGCTGCACCGGCCAAGGCGGGCTCACACGAGATGATGAGGATACCTCCTTGCCAAATCTAGCCACGCCCACTCGTCCATTAGCTTTGCCAGTGCTGCGGCAGGTGTAAATGCAGCGTCAATTGCCGTAAGCGGCTGAGGAGCTTGGCCAGGTGCAGCCATAGCAGCTCCTCTTGGACAGCGTCGTGCAGCTGTTGACAAGTCGACTATCACACGCTTCCCAGACACCACAAAGGATCGGTGCTGCGTCCATCGATAGTTGTCAGACACTTTCCTCCATGCCGTGTTTGACCTCTGCACCACTCGCCCTGCTGCACGCTGTTCACAGCCGTTCGCAAGACGACACTGATGCCCGCACGCACTCCGCGAATCTGCGGTGCTGCCGCCATCGGTATCAGAAGCAGCGATACGAGCATCGAGCCGCCAAACCGCCATGGCTCGCTTGTTTACCCTAGCAGGATTGCCGTCTTACTTTGCTCTAACCGCTCCCTAATCCCGAGCCTGAAACCCTGTCCAACGCGAGGCTTTGCAGGCTGAGGTTTGGGCGAAGTGCTGATCTCGCAATCCTCTTCTTGCAAATTGTGCTGCGTCGTGTGAGTGCCCAATCAGACGGTTGCATCCCAGCTTGCACTCCTCGGGCCCGCTGCTTCCAGCGAATCACACGTCTGCCTGTGTCCCGACGCTAGAGACATTCTTCAATAAGGCCAGATTATGTGGTTCCAAGTTGAGGCAGTTTGCACCGCAAGACCGTCTTCTCAACACCCCTGGCGAAACACATATCGACGGTACCGTATTGCCTGCCCTTTGCTGCGCTCTGCTACCGTCACTTCCGGCCTTCTGTGTGGTGGGAAGGCCAGGGTTGGCGGCAGTTTGCTTCCACTACTCACGCGCCAGTTCGTAGACCACTTTTCGCAAACGCAATTCGATGCTCAAGCATTGTGAAGTACAAATCGCAGGCAGGCCTCCGCGGTTCGAGACTCTATCCTTGCGCTAGCAACAACATCGTGAAGCGTCATTGCTTTTCAACGCGCGGTGCTTGGCCGGCAAACAGTCTGGTTATTGATGGACAACGCCTCTGGTGAGGCCAGCTGCGCTAAATGTGCAACCGTGACGGGGATTGCAATCGGAGGCGCGACGCAAGGGAGATGCAACATCCTGGAAACGAAAAATTGTCAATTCGTGTCCTGCTACCGCCGGTGATCCTGCTTGACGACAGGTTTGTCGTTGGCATGGTGGAGCAAAAGGCGAGACGTCTTGTCATCATACTAACAATAACAGGGATGCTGCGCTCGCCCTCGGCGTACACGTAAGCAATCCTGACTTCGCTGTGAGAGGACCAGCAATATACCTTCCCAACACGGCTAGCCGCCTCCCACTTCAATGAGGGGGCTGACCACATCAGGCTAATGGCATGCTCGACTATCTGTGCATGTTTGACATGGAATTGAGACCTCACATCACATCCGCAACCCTCAGCTCGATGTAATCAACCTCAGCACACCTGCATGACTTCCATAGTGGATCGTGATACGACTTGATATTGCCGTAAAGATGCCCTCATCAAGGAGCTAATCTTGTAGTCATCCAGCCCTTGACACACCTGCTGCATGCAACGAAGATTGCGAGAGCGATCCCGCAAAGTCCGAACGAATTGTGGAGATGACGCTTCTGGCTCGGATGCAGAGAAAGGAAAGTAGTTTTCTCAAGATTAGTGGGGGCGTGATACGGATGACACTCGGCATCTCTTTACTTTACGAGTCGTTGCCCAGCCCTGGAGAAGCGTTGGGTGCAATCCGCCTATGCCGTGTTTGGAACCATTATTAGCTCCTTCATGGCACGCTGAGACGTACCGCGCTGAGACGTGTCCATCACACCACGATCTATCCTGAATCAATACGGTCTCATGCCTCCAACAGTCGTCTTTGCCGAGGAGAACCATGGGGATCTCGTCTAGCGCAATCTACTCGTGTGCAGCAGGCGACCTCCTTTACATTGCTGACCTGTAGCGCACCAGTCAACCAAGCCCGAATGGCTATCGAAACTGCAACGATGCAAGCCTCTTTGCGGGACATCCACATCTTGGACGCGTTTCGCCTCTTCGTGTCGATCTACCAACTACACCAAGATTAATGCTATTACCGATTACGACTTCATCGCGGCGATTGCGATACGCTTCAGCCTGTCATCCGGAACATGATAACACAACCCGGCTTCGGCGAGTGGTGTTCCACGCCAGATCAGGCGGCAAGGAATCCCACAGACTTCCGCAAATGCATTGCCCAGGACCACATGCAACAAAAGAATGCTCAACAGCAAATCCTTTGCATGCGCGAAGGCTGTACCTCGGAGTATGGCAAACGTTTTCCCTCGCCAAACCGCAATCACCGGGGTTAAGTTTAGCTCCTTTACACAGCGTCTTTGAGCCCTTTCACTTTCATGCCTCGCGCCCCCGCCCGGGCTAGAAAAAGCAGGTAAGACGACCTGACTATCGACCAATGGGCTTCTTCGAGCCCCACGCTCACCACTCCACGTCTTCCTCCAGGAGCTCCGAGTCCGACTCCAAGGCATCCCATCACCGGTCTTATGGAATGTTGCTGTGCCCCAGGTACCCTAGGGTCTGTACTGCTACTGTGTCATGATCCTTACGGATGCAGCCACCTGGGCAGTCCTTTTGCATCTGACCGAATCACGGCATTACGAGGCCGTCTTGTGGGTGCACAGTTGAAGGTCAAAACTTGGTCAGCTTTGTGGACTGCGTTGACGCTGAAGTGTAGCGCGGCAGTAGTATGATACTTGCCGCTTCAATGGTGTGCATCTGACCTCAAGTAAGCTACGGTCTGGGTGCATGCTCCAGAATTGGTACTTCTCAACGAAGATGGCGTTGGACAGCTTGCAGAGGTGGTTGCAGCGCCACATTTCGCAGCAACATTGACAAGTCGCTGCCGAACTTTGATTTGCCGAGCTTCCTTGAGCAACCAGCAATCAGAATAGGATCCCAAGGCGGCCTGCAAGTTGCTCCTTCTGGTTGTTCACCGACACGCGCCTTCCTTCATTCACCGGTCACAAAGCACCGACCACCCATCCTTCGATAATGAACGCCAACACCTAAACCGTGTTCTCGAACATCACCATCTGCCTCGTCTTGCAAAGGTGAGACGCCTCGCCAACTGCAGGATAACCCGTGTCACATCTAGATGTAGTAGCGATATTCTGCTAGCCTGCGAGCTCCTGTCGAAGGCCACGCTGCACGCAGCCACACCAGGCTAACCTCCATCCTCGATAAGACTACCAGATCAACAAAGCACACGATGTGCGACCATTACCTTCTTCATCTCACACCATCATGTCGCCAAGTCTAAGTTTGTCTGCAGAGACGAGTTGATACAGCTCATCAGCTCGTTACATGACCCGTTCAAGTGTTACCACCCGGACTGAATCCGCCGCGGACGTACCTCCATGTGCGCTGTCACTCACCGGCTATTTCCACTTGTGTCTGCGTCAACTCCACGTACCGAGAAGGACCAGCACAGGCAGCCACCGGTACATTGTGATGTACCTGAGCAACCCATGCTCGGGAACCACTTTAAGACAATGAGTCTTGCAAGCTGTTCAGCCTGAACTAAACCTTGTGACATCCGACCGACACGGACATCAGCTTGTCGAGGAGCAAGTGAGATACGTATCCTCTGATCCAAGTGCTACAAACATCCAAGTGTGGCTTCCTTGAAACAGGCTGGCACCACGTTCCCTTAGATCGCACGACGCTCAGTTTCAGGTCAAAAGGAAGGCGCTGGATGTGCTCATATCAACTTTCAATTCCTGCCGGTCACTTTACAACACACATCAGGCCCAAAAGTACTTGGACATCCGTACATCGACCATGGCCCCGCCTTTAGACCGCCCACCACCTTATTGCTTCGAAGGCCTCTGTCGACGTACATGTGGTACTGCAAAAGCACCAATGTATACAGCTTTCGTATCATGGTCGTCGAGCTCGCTCGACCGGACTTTAAGCACACTGGAATTTGCGGCGTTGTGAGTTTCGTCAAATGCACCACGTCACGCATAGGCTTTGACTATAAGCTTTTAGTTCGAAACGCACAGATGGTGCTGCAGATGCAGTACACTTGAACATTGCAGATGCGGCAATTTGCCGGTCTGTGAAGTTCACCTACCTGTTCACTCCAGAAGTCTGGCAAAGGTTGAGTTGGGACAGTCTGAACAAACATGGCCCTGCCATCCACCATGATTCCAAATTCGAATCAGAGGTTCGATTCATGTGCGTATGTAACATGTACAGATCTAGCCACGCTTCTCCAATGCATGCAAATGCTCCAATCCTACAACCTATCTTGCAAGTGTACATAGTGTATGATACAAATTCCCATCCCAGACCACATCCGATCCGCCTCTTTCAAGCTGCTTAGAACAGCCTGTTCTCAGCAGACGCCTTCGCAGCATCCCTCTTAGCAGTCTGCTTCTTCCTGTCCTTCGCCTCCCTCGGCGGCTTAAAGAACAGACTGGGGCTCTCATTCTCCTTCAATGTGTACGCCAGATACCCGCGATGTGCAGGGTCGCGGTAGTACTCGATGTCCTTACGCCCCGTCGCATCGGGCAGCCTGTACCTGTACTTCTGGCTCACCTGGCGCATCACGGCACCCAGCGCTTCCTTCTTCTCGGCGTCGGCGGTCGAGGCTGCGAGTGCGCTGAGTATAGGGCTAGAGACCAGCGAAGGGGTCGAGCTTAGGGATTGCGAGATGAGGGAGGGCGAGGCAGAGAGGGAGATGGTAGGGTGCGAGTCGCCGCGGAGAACGCGCTTGATGGAGGTCGGGCTGTAGAAGCGCGTTGTTACGCTGCCGCCGAGGGATTCAATGCGGGCGATTGCTTCGGCGGAGGCGCGGGAGACGATGATGTTGATGGGTGTTGTGAGGACCTCAGGGTTCTGCGTCATGGTTGGCATTTTCTCCTACCTGCACGACCGTATCATATGTGAAGAACATACCTTCGCCAAAAGCTTAACGCCATGCCTCTTAACACCATGCAAGCACCTGCTCTTCGCCAACTCCTTCATCGTAATCGGCTTACTCGGATCCAGCCTCCCCTGATCAATCCAGCTCTGTATCCGATCAAGGTTGATCGGGCTCATCTCCACCTTGAACGGATTGTACTTCCCCCTTCCACGCTCAGGGTTCGTGATCCATTGCGGTGTCTGACCACCCTCAAAGCCTGCTGGCACCTTGCCGTGCGCATGCTGGCCCTTCTGACCACGCCCTGCTGTCTTTCCTTTGCCTGAGGCCGGACCGCGACCGCGCTTGATGCGCTTGTTGTAGGCGCCTTTGGTGTCAGAGAGCGAGGAGAGGATGGATGCGCTGCGTTGCTGGGCGAATTGGACGGTTGTTCTTTGCGGTGTGGTAAGAACGGGGCGGGCGAGCCGCAAGATCTGTAACCGAGGCGGCATGGCGGCGATGAGGCTGTGGGCTTCGCTGCTGGTGTTGCAGAGAGATGTTGCGGCGATAAAGAAATTATGTGACTCAGCTGTGACTAAGCAAGCCTACGCAGGGCTCCCAGGCTGCTCGACACCAACAACCTCAAACTTCACATCATCACTACATCAATCTCACTCGTGTCGTTGAATGACAATCTATATCGATTCAGGCCCCAATTGTCGTTACGTGATGGCAACACTGTTGGACATATTGTTGGCGTAGACCTCAATTATCGCTGCATGATCGAAACACTGTCGAAGACACTGTTGGCGCTTGAGATCCAGATTGCTCGCCTGACCGATTGGCGTGTTGACTACCTCACTGGGCAATGGTAGTCGAGGACGAGACCGTTGGCGCTTTCGTGAACCTACAAGGCCTGAGTCTACTGATTCGAGTTCGGCACGCCGATGCTGAAGGTCTTTACGGCAACTACAACGTGATGGATATCGCTGAATGGGAGATGACCAAGCTCCCAAACATCATTCGGGTGTTCCAGTAACACCAGCTCAGGGAAGATCTCATCGCTGCTGCTATACGAATGCCAGTGCCTGTTGTACGTTGCTCACGCCGTGGCGAGGCTTACGGGCTTGCTCGACTATCATCTACTGTAACATCAGGACCATGTTAAGGACGAGTACGATGTGGTCTGAGCAGGTCGCTTGTGAATACACCTCAACGTTTGTAAGCATCAGACATGGCCTCCAAGTTTTACCGCCTCAGGCATAACAGCATAGCGTTCTGCATGTTGCCATTACTATGTCATTACGCGTGTCAGTATGCGTGCCTCCGACGGTATTACCGCCAATGAAAGGGTGTTTGCGTATGTCATGTCTGTTGTCAATTTCCTCTCCGGCCAAGATTCTTTTACTTTACGTTTACAACGCACAACCGAAGTGATCTCCTCGAGGTTGCCACTTGTAATACCGACTTCCCTTTTCCATAAAACTATTTACCATCGCTTCACATTGCTCATCTCCTGACCTTCTCTTTCCACCATACGCAACACTCACGAACTGTCCACCATATAGAATGGATGAATCAGTTTCACTGCTTTCTCTTAGCTTATGTGTGACGTGATTGACTTGCGTTGCAGCGCTTGGGCTCAATGCTCTCGTGATCTTATACATAAGTAGATGCTTCTTCTCGACCCTACCTTCTTCTACCGCCCTTCCCTCAACTACCAACATGAATACGACCGGAGCAACCCCACCAACCACAATTATGGTTATCCATATATTGTCCTTGGTGCTCAGCATCCTTCTCCTCGCCCTCCTCATCACTACCGCAACCGCGGGGAGCCACAAGCCTACCTGCGATGAGTGCCATAACTGAATCACCGGTTGCCTGATTGTAAGTCACTCGCTGAAGTGATGATTCGATAACTAAGATGCTGATTCATTACCGTGCACTGCAAGGGCTCCGTCGTGTGTTCGACCTACTGCGAGTGCGAGCTGTCTTGGAACGACGATATCCGCCGCGATACGTGTAACCATCGTTGTCAGTGGCACTCGTCTGCTGCTGCGGAGATGGATGCTTAAGGTAGTGCTGGGACATGAACAGAGGCTATGCAAGGTGAGAAAAATCGAGTGAATGGCTTCGATGGCGAGAATAGGAGAATTTGACGAATGAAATGATGCCCGGGTGCCTTCACTGTACCCTCCCACTCTGATCTGACTATCGTGCGACGTGGGCTCAAGCTTTGTCGCTTTACATAAACAGCTACTCCTTCCCTTCCCTTAGACCGATCTTCAACGAATCATCCACCCAAAACGAATCGAACTCAATCAACAACCATGTTCCACCACCTCCGCCATACTCTCGTCCCCACCATCCTTTTTCTCGCCCTCTTCGTCACCACTACTTCCGCAGGAAGCCATAAGCCCACCTGCGATGACTGCCCTAGCCGAATGGAGAGCTGCCTCAAGGTAGGTCACTCACCCCACACTCTCGCCTGCCATGTTCGCATCTTCTCGACCCGGCATCTACGATATGTCACAAGTATTGATGTGAAGCCCAGAGCTGCGAGGGCGCCGTCCTCTGCCCAAGTGCCTGCGAGTGCCAGCTTTCCAAAGTCGACAAGTTCTGCCGCGATATGTGCCAGTATGGCTGCAACAAGATCTGAGACCCTACTGTCGATACGGGTGCTTTTGGTTGGTACAATGTTGACTGGGCCCAACTGAGAAGTGGATGTGGGCACTTGGACCATAAACCGGGAGAACATTCTGAGGAGTGGGAAACAGATCCTAAAACTCTGATAACGATGAATACAAGACTCTATCCTCTAAATGCCCTCTTGCACAGCTCTAACGCTCGACCTGTAAATGCGCCATGGAAAGCAAATGGGTATGCCTTTGCGAAGCAAGCTCTTCGCACCAGAACGCCGTCTGTGCAGTGAAATACATTGCCACATTCCTCGTCTCCCTCGGAGACACGTGCTCATACCTCTTGCTCCTCCATCGCCAAGCTCTCCAACAAATCCTTAACCTTGACCAACAACTCCGGCACCCTGAACGGCTTACTCACAACATCGTCCATCCCGCTCTCCCTTGCCGTCGCAATCTGTTCGCAGCGCACATTAGCCGTGACTGCAATGATGGGCACATGCCCTTGGATTTCGCCCTCAGCCTGCATGCGCCGAATCTCTCGTGCGCACTCTAGGCCGTTCATCTCCGGCATTTCCCAGTCCATGAGGATGATAGAAAGAGGCACACCGTCCCGGGTGTAATAAGCGGTCTTCTTCAGTTCGGTGAGCGCGAAGAGTCCATTGTCGGCGGTCGAGACGACGCAACCGGCTTTTCGGAGTTGCTTCGCCAGAACTTTCTGGTTGACGATGTTGTCTTCCACGACGAGGATGTGAAGAGGCCCTGTTCCGGCTGGTGCAGATTTTGGTGTAACGGTTCCTGGTGTTTCGGCCAAAATCTCTTGAGGTGTAGGCGGCTTGATATCCATACCCGATACTGATGCCGCAAGATCGCGGTTCTTCTCGGCGTGATCTGTGCTTTGGCTTGTTATTGTCCGGTGCAAGCCTGGTCGACTCGATGGGATGATGCGTTTGCACTGGATGAAGAAACCGAAGGTGCTGCCCACCCCTGCTTTAGAGGACACGCCAATCTGACCGCCATGTAGTTCGGCGAGTTGGCGCGAGATGAAGAGGCCTAGGCCACTACCACCGTAGTGTGCGTGCGTGCGTGGTGAGGCTTGCGAAAAGCGTTCGAATAGTAGGTCCTTCTCTTCAGGTGTTAGTCCGCATCCCGTGTCTTGTACCTCGACTCGCAAGTAGAGCAGCTCGCCAGAACCCCAGTCTTCGCCTGTTGTTACATTGAGGAGAGGCACTCCTCTTGTTGGTACGAACTGGAAACCCTTCCCGTAGGTGTCGGGCTCAGCTGAAGTTGCACTGACGTGCACCGATATCGCCCGCTGCTGTTCAGCCTGAGTGAACTTGATAGCATTGGTGATAAGATTGACTGTGATCTGAAGCAATCGACTGGGATCCAATAAGACCCAATCGACACGTAGGTCCGTCAGTGAAGGGTCGGGGTGGAAGGTGAAATCGATGCTCTTGGCCTGAACTTCTGGTTTGAACATGTTCATGGCGCGCTCCACAACGGCAATTGGTTGCGCGGGTACTGGTGTGATGAGCAGCAGGTTAGAGTCCAGTTTTGAGACAGTCAATATGTCGTCCACGATAGACTTCTGATGTTGCACGCACAACGCGATGTTGTTAGCTGCCTCAATACAGTCAGCTACGACTCCTTGATCCGCTTCGCCGAAGTTGTGTTGAGTAAGAGTGTCTCGAATGTCATCTGAGCAGATGAGAACGGCAGAGAGAGGATTTCGCATCTCATGTGATGTGATACTAAGTACGTCTGTCAGCTGCTGCGTCCTGGTTGTCTTAAGAAGAACTTACTTACTCGATGAACTCATTCTGTTGCCGTTTCGTCTCTTCGGCTTCTCGTATCCTGATTTCCTGGAGGCCTTGTGCCCACTTGATCTGTGATATATCGGCGATGGATCCCATGATGCCAAGGATCTCGCCGTCAGGGCCTATCTCAGGAGAAGAGCTGGCCAGTACCCAATACTCGATGCGGTTGCCACTAAGATCTCGAGGCTGTACGTGCGGATTGCACAGTCTTAGCTCACGTACACAAGCTTTCTTAGTCCTTTGAAGATCCTGCCACATCTCCTTGCATGCCCCTACGCTTTCTTCCGCCACCAGATCCAGGAATGACAACTCCTTGTAGTCTTCTTTTACGTGTCCAGTCATCGCAAAGTATCTTTCGTTGCCTTCAAGAAGCATGCCTTCTGGGTCGAATAGGTACATTCCCAGCGGAGAAAGCTCAGTCATACGCCGCATGCGGCTGTTCTGCATCGCCAGCTCTCGACTGAGTTGCTCTTGCTGGACCCGAGCGAGTTCAGCTGCATTCCTGTTTCGCTTCATCTCATCCTCAAAGAGCATGACGGAAGCGAGAGACGTCGCCAATTGCCTGTTGAGCTGAGCTGCAAAAGCCTTGTATTCGTCGTCATAGGCCCTTCGAGGCTGCACACCAACGAGCAAGAATGCAAACACCTGATCGCCGTTTGTCGGTCTGACAGGGAAGATGATAGCCTCTTTACAGGGATCACCATAGCCTCTCCACGATATCCCCTCGAGTAACGATTCCGGCAATGTTCCATCTCTTGTCTGCAGCGTCGTGGGTTCGCGAGTCCGCATAGCTTCTCTGAATGCTGGAATAAAGCCTTCTTGACTGCGTTTCAGATCGAGCTTTCGTGGGGATGCGGGATGCCCTTCAGGTATGCCAATCGAGCCTTCCAACAAGCAGGATTTCAGAGAGATGGTGCTGTCCGAGGAGTGAGAAGCTGTGTCTGCATCCTCGTTGTCGACAACCGAGTACAATAACGCAAAAGGAACGTCAATAGGATTATGCTCAAGTCCCTCTAGCATGCGTTTCCAGAACTCCTTCACAGTGCGTGTTGCGTTGAGGCGTTCGCTAAGGAACCGCAGCGTGTGCATCCTTCTGGTGCTGACCACCTGATAGGTGGTTTCGAATGGTATGTTGTAGAAACCCAAGATCTTGTCAGTTCCACCATACATGGGTGTGATACACCACGAAAAGAAGGCCTCCTCCAAGTATCCAAACCGATCGAGCGGTAATGATTCGTTCTTTCGCTGTATTGCCTCTCCAGTAGCAGCGCACTTCTTGAACACAGGCGCGATGCCATCCCAGATTTCAGAGAATGGGCCTGATAATCCGGTACCCATGAGTTCGGGATGTTTGCTACCAGCAACTTCAACCTTGTAAGCCTCATTGTAGATGACTGTGAGTTCTTCACCCCAGAATAATGCAGTGGGAAATGGATTGCGAATTAGTATATTGATGACCTCTCGGAGTTGCGGTGACCATGTGTCCATATGGCCGAGGGAGGTGCTTGCCCAATCGATACTCCTGATGAACAAGATATGTGGGTCCGTAAGTGGGCCTTTCAGACGGGCGACCGTGTAGTCAGGGACAACATCGTCTCGTGTCGGTATCGCTACGGACGAATTGATACCCGAAGATTTGGAACTGGTGATTTTGCTGAATGGCTTGGATGCAGCCGCTGGTGCCGTGTCAGATTCCTGATATGCTGGACGAGCCGGAGGTGCAGATGCTGTAATCTCAGGTGCTAAGGCAACAGGCGTCGAGGCTTTGCAGGCCTTCGCAGCCTCAGAATCACGCTTGGTAATACTCGGTTGCAACGATAAGGCAGCAGACAGCCCATTCTTGGGAATATCGGATGCACGGTACAAGGCGTTGCCAGATATTATTCGCCACCTTTTGCGAATAGTGGAGCCAGTCCAGAGCAAGCCTTGATAGAGGATAGTGAGGGGAAAGATATCTTTCGAGTTATTGAACCTGCTGATACCTGTTGCCCAGATTCGAAATTCGTCATATGTCGCTGCGGCGGGGTCCTTGTTGATACATTCCTCTGGCGCCTCCATAATACTGTCCAGCAGCCGACTGTGCAAATTCAGCGCGGCATTACAAAAGACTGGTCGAATGGCGGTGATCTCATTGAAAAAGTCCAGATCAAGGTCGATAATGAAGGTAGGCCGAGAGTCTTCATCCAGAATTTCCTTCAGACTGAGGCTGTCGAGCTCCCGCATCGCGGCATCCTCCATGGCGCTCGTTCCGACTGTCGCGCGCGCCACACCTGGAGCTGTCAACAGCCCATGCGGTACATCGTCCATAGTGGATGGGGTAGAGGTCAGCGCAAACCCCTTATCTAGAGAGGTGCTGGTGGGGGTGCATTGCAGCGGTCGGTGAAGTGCCGGTTTTTCGAAATTGACGATCTTGAGAATTGGTAAGATGCAGCACGCTTGTTAACGCCACAAGTGCAACAGGTGTCTCAAGCACGGTGAAGCCGTACCAAGATCACTGGCCAGATATTGAGTGCGCTTCGCCGTGCATTGGCAGCCGGGAGACTTTCACGCTTCCTCTCGCACCGTTTCAAAGAGCCAGAAAGACGTCTTTCCGTCGTTTCTTCCTCTTGGTTGCCATTGCTGGTGCGCACCGGCCCAATGACGTCGGCACTGGACCGCCTTGCCGTTGTTTTACTCGTTAGGCAGGGCCATCCGCGGAATCTAGAACTTCGCTTGTGCCAACTCCTAGCATCGTGATCGCAGGGCTGGAGTGTGTCGTTATTGCTGATGAATTAATGATCAGATTAGTCGAAAATCGTGAATGAAAAAGCAATATAATACACAGGCGACTTTGCAGAAGATAGATCACTGCGAGGCAACTGGGAGTGCAAGTATATTCATGGACGAAAGCGCGCTAAGGTCTGACGTCACAGCCTGATCCTCTTGACTCGGTCACAGCTTCTTCAAACTTCCAACATTTACAGTCCAGCCGTCATCGAAGCCCTTGTTCAACTCGTACGATTGTGCGTCACCGCTACCCATCATAGTAACGCTCTTGATCTGCAGGACAGTCGGGAACCCAAATGTTCCTTCAGCCTTAAGCGTGGACCCACTGAGCGTGAACTTGATCTCGCTAGTACCAGACTGCTCAAGGCTTTCACCATCGTCGAGGTACAGAGAACCGCTAGCAGTCCCGTCGCTCTCAGGTGCAATGAGAAGCTCAAAGGGCTTGTCGCGAAGCGCTCTGGTAGTGTTTGCGCTCTCGAGGCGCATAGGCACAATGGATCCGCCATGGACAAGGACGGGAATGTCTGTATCCGGGATGTTGGAGTATGTGATAGTACTTCCAGCACCCTGTACAGCCTTGCGTGTGAAAAGATCGTACCAGACTCCGTTTGGTACATAGAATGAGACGGAAGAGGAACTCTCTTGTGTTACTGGATTGACCATAAGAGAGGGGCCGTAAAAGAATTGCGTCTCAATCGCGTAGGTGTTGCCATCCTTAGGATAATGCATCCTGCATAGTGTGAGCTTGAAACCATCTAGAAGGAGAATGTCACCTACCACAAGGGCGCAAGCATTGGGGTACCATCAACAGTCTGCTTGTGCATGGCGGTGTAGATGTAGTCCAGAAGCTTGTACCGAAGGTCAATAGCCTTTTTTGCAGCTGCAGTCACAGACTCCCAACGATAGGCTTCCTGAGATCTTGCTCCGGCTACGTTGTGGTTTCTGTAGAACGGGTAAAAGGCACCCAGAACAGTCCATCGCGCACAAAGGTGTTCGGTGGCATCATTCAAGAAACCACATACATCAGCACCAGCCTGTGAATTGTTAGCTTTCAGGATGTTTGTCCATTGGCTGTACTACTTACCATCGGAACTTGGAAAAAAGCAACGAATTGAAGAAGATGGCGTATGGAAGTCAGATACTGGTCCCAGGCAGAGACGTTGTCACCAAGCCAGTGGCCAACGTAGCTGCCAGCACCCACAAAGGTACTGCGAGTGATAACCATGGGGCGCTTGTCGGGTCGTCGCTTGAGCATGCTGTTGCGACTAGCTTCGCTCATCATAGTTCCGTACAAGTTGTGTGTGTCGTACTCGGTCCATCCTCCCGAATGTATGAGGTCAGTCTGGGCAGTTTTGTTGCTGAGGCCGCCGGCTGCATTCTGAATCTCATAGGAAGGGAAGAGAAGGTCCCGGTTCGGGAGGCCCTTCTTATCACCATTGTTTTGTCGGCGTTGGAGACTACGGATATTCGCCGAGGCAGCCTTGTTCTGGTCGCAAGGGAAGTCGCAGAAGCTGGAAGGCTCATTCATGTCGATCCAAAGTGCGTCGATATCGACACCAGTATCTTTGTCGAAGAAGGTAGCAAACTCGCTGTCCCAGTAGCTCTGTGTGTTGGGTGCAAACCAGTCAGGAAAGACGGTCGTGCCTGGCCATACCTCACCTTTCCAAGGTACGCCGGCACTGGTCTTAACGAAAGCGTCTGCCTCCAGACCCCTGTTGTAGGAAGGATAACCTTGTGCAGCGACAGCTCAGGTATGTCAGCAGGATGTTAACGAGTTGGCTCCCAAATCACTTACCTGGGTCAACCATAACGATGTAGTGCTGATGCTTGCTGTGCAGATCGCTGACAAGATCACGGACCTCAACAAGTGGGAAGTTCTGCCCCAAGGTGAACACCTTGTATTGATCCATGTAATCGATGTCTGTAAAGGTCAGAAAACGCGCATTCCTCGGGGTGGGTTTCACAAATACCTGTCCACATCGTCTCCAGTGGGATACCGGCTGCGCTGTAGTTGGCAACAACCGCTGCAACCTCGCCAATGCTTTCATAGCCGAACCTACACTGGTGGAAGCCCAAGCCCCAATATCTGGCGACACTGTTAGTACAGAAATATGTGTGTCATACGGAGATGTACGTACGGCATCATCGCGGCTTTCTCGGTGATTTCACTGTACTCGCGAGCAACATCGAACGGCAAAGGCCCGGCCATGAAGTAAAGATCAATAACTCCACCGATCATGTTGTACTCTAGATATTGGCCATTGTCATTGCTGATCTTGATGTCCATGCCGTTGCTGTTGAGCATCAGCACGCCGTGAGATAGTCCAGAGTCGGCGCGGTGCTCAAAGTAAACCGGGTGCGTTCCATAGAGATTCGTGTTCAAAGGCACGGCTCCCGCGTCGCGCGCCCACAGGGTTCGGACATAGTTCGAAGTCGGCAATCGCAGTGAATCAGTGTGTTCGCCTAGACCGTAAAGATACGGATTGTTTGGCAAGGAGGTTCTGAGTCGCAGGTACTGGGTTTCAAAGACGAGGTTGGAACCCTTCGTGCTGAAGAGTACTTCGCTGTTGCTCTTGCGTGTGACCGTGAGCGAGAATGGCTCTTCCTCGACGGAGACATCAAGCAGTGACGCATCCGAGTTGAGTGAACCAGACGGGCGTGGCACGACGAAATCTGGTATTTGATACACCTGCTCATCTTTGTCGTAGATCATTACATGGAGGCGAGAGTCTATGTGGTTCAGTGCATGCAATCAAGCAGTGGACGGTGGACGTACCGGTTTGCCATTCTGCCAGGAACTTGAGGTCTGTCAAGTCTGGACTATGCAGATTGCATGCTGAGCCAGCCAAAGTCAGATCGGCTGTTATGCTGTTGTCTGAGCGCACGACATGGCTGGCTTTGTAACCAGGACAATCGTCAGCTCTTCTCAGAGGCACTGCATTTCCCCACTGGAGGAAGCTCGACCCGAGTAGTAATAGACCTTGTAACAATGTTGTTGTTAAGGCTGGCATGGCGGAAATTGCGGTTAAGGAGCCATTGTTGCGAGGAAGCTATGTCTGCTCTATATAATCCACTAACACATGGTCCTTAGCCCTTGCTCTTTGCGATCATCATGATCGCGGAAACTGGCATGATATGCGGTAACGGGTTCCACGAGAACTCAGGATGGATGGCGATCTTAAAATCAGTCACGAGTGCGTCCAGCATGTTCGAGGATGCTAGAGCCGGGGACATGCAGGGCAAACGGCTATGGGGTGGCCGGTGGTGTAATGCAGCTGCCGGATTAGGTTGTTGATGGAGACACTAGTGTGTAACTGGAGGCTGCGAGCGGTCGACTGCCTGGAAAGATGTCAGAGGCTGCAATGATGGTCTGCAGGAAGCCACGACGATTCCGCTGTGCATTGGCGATGATAACGTCCGGGGTTAGAAGTGGTTTGGTGTAATTTTGTGGGGAAAGCAACGGCCTCGCGGGGCCACGTGCGACCATTTTTGACAAACGCCAACACATACCTTTGTGCAAAGTCGTGCTATGCGTGTGATATTGAGACATAAGGCAAAGAAATATGCCGCTGACAATTGCTGAGAAGATGGTACTTCCTGCTGTATTTGTGAGAGTGCACGAAGATGTACCTGAAGATCTTGCAGGATGCGCTAGGTGTTTACGTTACAACTGCCCTTCCTCTACACGCCCAAAGGGGCAAGCACGATCATGAGCTGAAGCCATCCCTACCCGCAGGTCACAAGCCACCATCAACAACACCAACTCATCCACTCATTTCCGCTCGGTCGGTCGACCTTCCAATAGACATCTGCACACCGCAAGAGCTCGTGCTTTCACAAATGCCGTTCCTCATTTGGCGACGTCATTATCGCAGTTTGTTTACCAGTAAGGTTCCTGCCTGACGGACCGCGGCTACGACCGCTTCCTCCCTTGCAGAGTCAGCACGATCTTGGCTGCTACTCGACTGGATAGGTCACAAGTCAGATTGAGACAGACATATCGCCGTGGATCCAGGGATGTTCAGCAGGCCACTCCTGGTTTTGCCGGGTCGATTCCAGCGCGTGGAGATCTGGGTTGAGGTTAGGTGTGACGATCCGCATCTACCAGCCCTAGAGTCCTCCACAACAGCCCTGCGATGTAACAATGACTGACTAAAACCCCAGTCGATCTGCATCTACGGACTGCCGGGGAAGGCCTGCCAGCGGTCAGGCGACATGGTTGATTGTCACGCTACATTAAAACTATAACGTGGCTGCGTTCCAGAGGAGCAGGCTCACGTCACTCAAGTCACAACAAACAAACAGCTTTGCGGCGGATTCTCTTTCTAAGGTTCCAAGGATTGCCGAGCTTGCACAACGGATAGTCATGTCAATGCAGCATCTTGAAAGGGATGACTTCATTCCTATCATCTACAACATACCACTTCGGCCTACCCTGGATTATCTGGACATGTGCAACAGTCGCGTGCAGGACCATGTCAGAACCACACACACCACCGACATCCTAGACTTCGGTTCCCGGGGACACTGGCCGGGAGTGTCGGTGCCATACGGCATTGTGCGCCGACTGTCGAAGTAGCTTATCAGGCCTTCTCTGTTTTCTCCATTGGCATCAAGGGCTTCGAATGATGCCAGAGAGCGCTCTTGGAAGAATCCGCCCCCGTTCATCGCTAAGTCGATGAGGTTGTAGCTGTACCTGTCAAGGGCAAGCAGCATGCCATGGAACTATAGTGTGTTCTTGTAAGATGAGAGCCGCGCGTACATGCAACTCTTCTGAGAAAAGGAGATTGCCATGCTCAGAGGTTCAAAGGAATGTACAAGTCGCTTCTGTACGAAACAGAGGGGTCAATAGAGCAGCCTTGATTCGATGCGGCTGTATGCGTTCCTGGATCACATCCTCTGGACCTGGTTGTCGGTTTCCAGTTAGATCCCCGGTCGATGGGCTCATTTCTTGCTGCTCATGTGTCGATATTGCGGATACCTGTCCTTTGCCTGCACGGACAGGGACGCCCCTGGTTGAACCGAGTCTTTACGGCTCTTAGATGGTGCCCGAGATTTAGACGCATCCGCTGGTTGCGCAGCGTTTGGCTGCACACTGGACTCTCTGCGACCCGAGGCTGGACTACCACGAGCTCTGGATGTAGGCCTCGGAAGCCTGGACTCTCCCTGCTTAGGAGCCATGCGTGTCTTTGGACGCTCATCGTCTACTTCTGCTTCCAACTGCACGGGTTGGGAGTCGTCCGAGGGACTCGGTGTCGAGTCGTGCTGCTCATCCACGACAACCTTTGGCTTCTCAGATCGTGCCACCTCTGCGGTACTGTGTGGCCCCGGAGGGTAGGTGCGAGGCTTTGGGGGATGGCAAGCCAGGTAGTCACCACTGACGTGTGGAGACTCGGACGGTGAGCATGGTCGCTGGACACTGCCAGTGTAGGGATCACAAAACTCGATGATCTCCTCTTCCTTCTTCGTATGTATCACCCAGGCACTCTCATCCTCATTCGGTACCACTGGCAATTCGACTGGCGGTTCGACTGGCAACTCGATTGCATCTTCATAGATGAGGAACTTGCCTTCACCCTTGAGTTCCTTGTACTTCGAGTCCATGGCTTCTTCGATCATATCTTGGAAGGAATCAAAGGCACCCCCCATTGCTTTCTCCTGCTGCTCACGCTCGAAATTAAACGCTTCCCACTCGATCTTGATCTTGTCTAGGGGTGCAGGTTCTTCAGGTGGCTCGTCTGCACCAGTGCGCAGCGCTGCCAGGAACGCGTTTGACACCTTGCTTCCTGCACGTCCCAAGGCCCTCCTTATGGATGGTTTCCGCTTGACTTTGGGCGGTTGCTCAGGAATAGCACCCTCTTTGGCGACGACATCAAGGTCCTGCTCCGGCGTGATACTATCACCCGATTCTTTTCTTGCCTGTAGAAATGTCAGCATTGATCCGGTAGCAGAATCAAATATCTTACAGCAGCTGCCATGACCTGGTCCCTGGTGACCGTGGGGAGCTGGCCTGGCGCGGTTGGGGTTTGTGGCTTCGTTGCCTCGATAGTGATAGTTGGCCGTTGTGTTTCGGCCGTGATGGACAACTGCTGCAACCCAATGATGGACACTGATCGCTGCGTCTCTATGGCGGCCGGCTGCGTCTCCACAACGACCTCCTTCACAACACTGACCGACGACGGAGGCAGCGGTGCGTGAACAGCAGCTGCGTGGATCGCAGCTTGCGGCACGTGCTGCGGCCTCACGCCTGCAGCTTGAGCATCCGCAATGTGAATCATACGTTCCCAATTCTGCGGATTGTGAACCTGAGGCTGTGGCTGTGGCTGCATCTCAGCAAACGCAGGCCAATGATTTGGCATAGAGCCAGTTGGCTGCGTGATGGCGTGCTGCTCCATCTCACTTGCCCTGCTCCAGTCGTCCATGCTAGTTGGCAACGGTGTGCCGTAGTTCTGGGGATGCCTCGAGCGAGGAACGTCCAGTGGACGTCCGCTTCTGTCCCACTGACTGTCGGCCGAGCGTTGAGCCTGACCATCGACCGAGCGCTGAACCTGGCTATCGAAGGCGTGTGGGTTAGCCAAAAAAGGTTGCATGAGTGATCAAGGAGCTACATACTTATGGTACCTGACTGGGGGCGCTCGAGGTGGGGTATTTTGCAACCCCGGGGGAGGAACCCAAACATGTCGCGGTGATGACATTGTGAAGGGTGTCAATCAATGTGAGGGGTGCTTGACAGTTCGAAGTGGCCTAACAGGTATTCTCACGACAACGAAGGAGTGAGGTTGTCAATGGATGTAAGTAGTGACCAACAGACCCAAAGGTAAACCGTGAAGGTGCAGCGAACAAGCACAATGGGACCCGACTCGCGCCTGAACGGCACATCCACAGTAGACCTATATACTCTTTCGCCGGAGAATTGACCCCTCTCGCGGCCTCGTCTTCATCCTTCGAGCATTGAACATGCTTTTCACGACCGTGGTACTGCACATTCAGGGACATCATGACGATTGGCATACACTTCGACACATTGACCCTTCATCACACCCTAACCACCAAGGTTATGCCTTCTGAGAGCTCGAGAGGCTGCGCACTTCACATCTTTCACATGCTCATTAGAGACGAAGGCCCCGTCTGTGAACAGCCACAACTCTCTTCTCTCGTCTCTCATCTCTCATCTTTACGACGAAACATTGCTCCTCCGCGGTGTTGTGAAGGTGTGAGATAGACTTTCATGCCACGCTTGAGAATTATTACGCGTCGCACAACTTAGTCTTCATACGTGTTCGACCCAAGACCGTGAAACTGTGTGAAGGGTCGGGTCATGACGACTGCCATACACCTTCAAACCACATAGACTACCGTTGTCATCCACTACACCTCTTTGTAGAACTCGAGGGACTATGCAGCGCTACTCAATTCTAAGACGAGTCGAGAGCATAGATGCATGACTTCAAGCAATAGAAACCCATCTTGCAAAGCTATCAGGCCCACGAAGCAGATCTGACAGCATGTGGTGTTGTGAGGGGTGAAGCGCCCTTGATTGTTAGTACCATGGTACCCACTAAGCCGACTTGAACGATGACCCAGTGCCAGCATCCAGTCGTTGCGGGCTCAAACTCTCGTTGTCCTCTCCAGACCCCCAGGGCTTCCGTAACTACCACAAACAGTAAATCTTCTACAGTCACCACAGTTCAGGACGAGACTTTGTACACGCAGGCACGCATCGGCCTGCAAGTTTCTATTAGATACACTGTATATACACCAAATGCCACTACAGTTTGCCTATCCATAAGCCAAGGGTATCATCGCACTTCACCGCCTCCTACATAACGTTACAGCAGCCCAACTTCTTAAGCAGCTTCGGCAGACCCTTCCGCACCATCTGCTCAATCTCGTCATTCTGGTTACTCTGCTGGTTCTGATGTTGTCCACCATGCTGACCACCATGCTGCTGACCATAGTTCTGACCCGCATGTTGCTGTTGACCATGCTGCTGCTGCCCAGGGTATCCACCGTCCCCATACTGCGGATGCTGCGGCGGGGGAGGCATGCTGTGTACGGCGCCGCCCTGGAGGTTTACGTAAATGCGACCCTCGTTCTCCTCGGTCTGGTACTGGAGACCCAGTTCGCGGCAGACATGCTCAACCCTGGGCTTGATCTTCTGCACATGATTGCGGCTGTGGTTTCCTTTGCCCACGATGACGTGCAAGTGGTCCTCGCCCCGACTTCGCGCGGCCTTGATGCGCTCCTCGAGCACGTCCTCGGCCTCCTCAACGAAGAGACCGTGCAGGTCGATCGTGTCGTCTTGCACATGGCCGTTTGCGTTGTTCTCGCGGAAGATGTAGTCGCGCGCTTGACGGTTGTATTGCTCCATCTTTGCGGCATGTTGTTTTCCTTCTTCAGAGAGCTCGTGGGCGCGCGCGCCGTCGCCGGATTCGTAGGCCTGGTGGGCGCGGTCGAAGCAGGAACTGCGCTTTGCAGCTTCCTGGCGGGCGAGATCGCGGAGACGGTCGTACTCTGCTTCGGCATCGCTATTGGAGTGGTTGAGCGCTGGAAGATATTAATTGGGTTCAGGGTGGTATAGTGCAACTGAATGAGATCGTACAGCGCGAGCCCATTGACAGCATTTCCATGGCGGCTATGTTGCAGCGACACCCAAATTAGGATGTCTGAGGTAAGGGAATATATAGATGTGGAGGAAGTGAGGATGTGTTGTTGTTCTTGAGCTGGCAGCTTGACGATCGGCTCGGCGCTAAAGCGGCTGAAAGCAAGCTTGTGCAGAGTCCAGATCGCCGGGGTTCGCGATCATTTGCGGTCGCATCTGCACTCGGTAAGGCCGCGAGGCTGTGTGTGTGGCTGGATACACCGCAAGAGGAAAAGTTGATATTGACTGAATGATGTGTTCGGGTGAATTGCTGTAGAAACACCGAGGCGGAGTCATGTTGCTGCAAGATCAGAACCGTATCTTGGGTCCCACGAAGACAATGACAAATGCCAGCAACCAAAGCCCGCCGATCATGGCATAAAGCTTCATGCGATCCCACCAGCCCTTGCCTTCTGTCATGCGCCTGAGTGTGCCCATTCTCTGGCTGGCGGCATCCATATTGATCTGATTCTTGTCCAATCCTGACACTGCCCGGTCCACAACGCCTTTATCGCTCTCCAGAGTGTTGCTGAAATATATTGATTGTGCCTTGAGCTGCTTCGCCATCTTCAAGAGACTTTCTGTGAGGTTCTCCTGCTCGTTGCGGTCGTGCGACAAGAGCGCTTCCGTTTGTGCCAACGAAGGATTGCCCGTCGTTGTGGTCGCCTTGGATGGAAACAGCGAGGTCCCTGATGCTGCCTGTGTCCCCTCTGCTTCCACTGCTTGGCCCCTCCGACGCATCTGCGAAGTCAAGTTTTTCGCAGCGTTCTGGAGTGTCTGGTTTGCCCCTTCGTCTTTTGACGTGATGTCAATGCCGTCGTTTGTCTTGACTCTTGGTGCGTACGAGGGGAATTGATCCTCATTCTCGTCATCCGAATCTACCGAAGCTTCTGACTCTGTATCATCTAGCTGATTAAGCTCGTATATCCGTTGGTTCAACTGCTTGATCGTTTCACGCTTCTGCTGCAAATCTGCTTGCAGCGCCGACTTCTTCGATTTGGAAGGTAGTGTGGAGGCTGAATGTTCGAGATTGAGGAGAAGAGTGCGTGCATGTTCGATGTTCTATACAGAGTTAGTAATCAGGCTGACACCTCCGGTGAGTGAAGTGCAATAACTCACAGCACTAACGCGTGCTCGCTCGTAAGGCGACTTCCTGAGCTGTGGTGACGGTTCGACAAGAACAGTGTGCGCCAGTCTGGATAACAGTCGACTCAGATTGATCGGTGTTGGGTCAGGGAATCCTGACGGGGAGCGTGACCTTGTGGTGGCCATTGTGTGCTACTTCTTGACTTTCTAGATGCTCGCGCAGCAAATGCGATTGTGGTATTCCCGTGTCAAGATCGATGTCAGGTTCGAGAATGCTAATCAAGTAGCGCACTACTGTGTTGAACACCAATGTTATAGTGAGTGTGTTCACTTTGCAGATATTTGGTCGATCTGTTATTACTGCGAGTGTCGAGAAGAGAAGCAACGTCACCGTTCGCGACTTGAACGAGCCAATCGTTAGCTCCTTCCCCGCATTGGCCAGTGATCACTCCAACGCTTTGTGCACACGATCATACACATGAGCTCATGAACGTCAACGAAGCTTCTTAAATTGATGATTGACATATATTGTACATGGCTGTTACCAACGCCTACTCAGCGCCCTTGCCATAGTTGATGAAGGAAAAATTGTTCCACCATGTATGTGTGACAAATTGACAAGAATAAATCCATCTCCTACTCAGAGATTGAGATGGTAACCTTGCGTCGGTGTCTCCACTTTAGCCGCGCAGAGTGGTCGTGTCTCGAGGCTCAGATGCCTTTGGCACTGCAGGAGGACTCGCAGAAGAAGGGCCACGCGTGAAGCTGCGCAGTGTCAGTGTATAGGTGCTGTACACATCAGGTCCTGAACCCACTTGTTCCACATGGTTCCCAAGAAGCCTGGCTTTCCATACGCGTCGTGTAAAGATACACGTCTCTCAGCGCTTGCTGGATCTGCAGGACGCTTGAGCATCTCAAGGTTGCCAAAGCGTTGGGCGGCAGATGACTGTGATATGTCAGTATGGGACGGATGCGACGGGATTTGAACGGTGATGGCTATCAACGTACCCTGCGGCGCCCATCTGGAGAAGAGGGCTCTGTCATCGAGCTGTCTGAACCTCGACGCTGGGCGTCGTCCTTGGGACCTTCGGGCATGGCTGGAACTGTGTTGTCTCCAAAGATTTTGTGGCTCTGACTGGAATACTTCTGGTGAAATGGGGAAGGCATTGTGGAAATGGAAGAATAGGTACTTGATACAAGTATTCGGGCGGTTAAGCTAACTGTCGGAGATGCGTGTAGGCTTGTGAATGGACAAAGATGACACCAAGAGGGGGAGAAGCCGTGGTAGATAAACCCCTCTTGAGCTCAGCTGAAGCCCCTCAAAATCAGCCTCGATCGCGTGCCAATCGAGCATTACGCAGATGATGCGTGATCGTACCAATGAGTGATGTGATGTCGCTTCCCCGCACTCGCCTACGCTGTTGGACCCTGGGGAACGTCTGTAACAATGATATGGCATGAGAAGTGAGCACACCTGACATGCTTTCTAATCTCAGGGTTGAAGCAAGGTTCGACGAATCAGAAAATGGAAAAGAAACAGATATCCTCTTAACGTTTGCTGAAAGTAGCAGTTCTGGACTTCCTCGACCCTGAAGCTGAACGCAGCCCTTGTGCTCTCGGAATCTCTGAATCCAACCGACGACCTCCAACGGTCTTTATAAGCCTCATAGACCTTGACAAGAGATCGAACAGGTGCTCTAAGCAGTAACGACACGATCGCGCTAACTGTTCTTGCAAGCAAGATGCGGGATGCGGATCCGGGCCGATTGAAGATGCGGGCGATTACAATGCGGAGTTTGCAACGACGTGATTGGAGTGGAGGAATCTTTACCTGACATCGAGAAGAAAGTACGATGAGGTTGGCGACTGAACTGTGTTTTGAGAGTGGCTTACAACTGGAGCTTCAAGCGCTCTCCGAGTATTTTTCCGCTGCAGACTGCTGTCTTTGATGACGGTGAACGCACGTGTTCATAATTTCTTGTCCAAGGTCCTCTGATGTCATCTCTCGTGCCCTCAAGTTCGTGTTGTTACACAATGGATAGCTTCGAGGATCATCGCATTCTCATCGTGAAGGTGGAGTTACAAAGAAACCTTGTTGATCATCCTGTTGATCATCTAGTTGAAGGTGGAGAAGGACGTATGTCTGAGGGTGATGTCATCGAGCGCCAAGTAAAGGCACTTGCCGTCGGTTCATGGGTTTCGCCGAGCAGCGACACGAAGTGCAGATTTTCTTCTCCTTCTCAAGCCACCTCCATCATGTGCACCACTTCGCACCGCTTTCGCAATTCCTGGCCGTCCAACAGATGTCCGCCGATCATCACTAACATGTCCCTGATTCAAGAGACTTTCAATGAGTCGCAGCGGTTAAGTAGCAGCTGAGAGGAGACGCGCAGCTATGTATGGCTGTTGAGGCTCACAGTGGGGCAGCACTTCAGCTTCAGGTCAGCGATCTTCAGGGACCAGCTGGGCCGGCGCGAACATTTCGTTTCTGGCAAGTGCCGAGCGACGAACGCTTGCCTATCGTCAACTCGAGTCTTGAACTTGTGTTGTGTGATCATCCCGCGATCAACACCAAGCCGCGAACTTCAGACGGTGCAAAGCCGTCTGGCTGACTGCATGCACTTACCAATCTGATGGCGGTCGACCTCCATCTCGAATCAAGACACAGGCTGCATGTATAAGCATCAAGGTACGTTTCAACTTTGGTTACCAGCAACACACCCTTTCATGATGATACACCTTTCATAAGCATAGTTCATCCGAAGGTCTACTAGGCCATTGTGGAAACAAATCAGCAATGTCTTTCGCTCCTATCTGATATCATATACATACCTCTGTTTGCATAGCTTTCTTATCGAACAAGCGCTAACAGGAGAACAGGAACACACCATTCAGTTGACTTACTATATCTGTGTTGTGATGCGCTCCGCGATCAGCTTGGCGCAGGACCCTTTGAGGGACAAAGGTATTGTTCTCTCAACGTCCTGTCATGCCTCTATTCGTATCAACCTGCAGTACGAGGTGGTTCAAGCACAGTCGCCGACGCTTTGGTTCGACAGAACATTCGGGAAGCTGGTGCCGGTAAGTTGCCGTGCCACTTGTGTCCCGCATCTGCGACCACTATGTCATGAGGCGCTGTCATTTATCCTTGCTCTGAACAGTGATGCACCACCGCCTGCACTTTGTCAAAGCAATGCGATGAACCTCAATGAGTAGTTAGATATTTCGGACCGGCTGGAAGGGAAAAGCAAACTCAAATGAGCTCTCAATCGATCCTTGCAATGCAGCATCAGACTCCACCTGCTCATGTCGCGATCCTCGCACCGCAATTTGTCAGCGGCATTGCTCCGCCACCCGTCTGTGTTGGCAGATCTGACGCAGAACGAAAAAACAGTCCGTGTTGACACTCTTCATATGCGCACAGGAACCAAAGTTGGAGGTTGGTAGGTTTGGCGCCGCCTTCGAGCCGCATTCCCAGGGCGCGGTTGGCGGTTCGTCAGCGTTGATCCCTTCCGTATTATGGTCCCGAGCACAACAAGTGCGACATGGCCCTGATCCGCAGCATATCAAATTGGAAGGGATTGCCTTTCTTCCCGTGAGCATCACGAACATTTCGCCGAACAGAACGCTCCGTCACGGCGCGTCTCGAAGAAGGGGAGACCCCTCTTACGTGGCCGGTCTGCGCAGGGTCATAAGAGTGTGACTGCCCCTCGACCCGGGCGCGAATTTCCAACCAATCTGTTTCGGACGAGCCGAAGGACCGTGGACTGCAGCAGGATTTTGGACATGGGATGGCCTCATATCGTATCAAGTTTGGACGCTAGCCTGGATTTGGTTACAACTGCTGCGTTGTCACTTCTTGCCCAGGAAGCGAACCGGTCAGCGTCTCCTGCCCACATTTGTTCAACTCTTTTCCCCTCACCTCCTCACCTCCACCATACTCGACGACAATCGCCATCACTCGCACCGCTACTACGACACAATACTCGTGCGGCATATCACCGAATTCTTATCAAACAATAAGAACCATCAGAGCCCTCGCTCAGGATGACAATTCGGAGCCCAGACGGAGCCTTTACCAGGTACTTACTGCCCAACGGTCTTTTCCCCTACTGTTTTGTTTGATGGTTTGCTTTGCTGCGATTTTGTAATCGACATTATGTTGTTGGAAAACTATGTATTGCTGTTACAGTTCTTATTTTTTGTTTTGTTTTTGCCGCCATCTAGCATTCCAGGCTACAGGACTTGCATATGGACATCCGTTCCACAGGACAAATTTCCAGAGGATTCTCCGTTTCTAAGGATCTCTATCTGGTCACTCTTGCTTGTCCCGTTCCTTGGGCGGCAATGGATCAATCTCCCGGAGGACTCTCAGCCCTGGAGTGCGAACATACGTAGACACAACATCTGAGCAGCGCAACGCTCGTAGACTCGACAACTCGATCTCTCGGTGCGCCGAATTCGGAGCTTCATAGCTAGAGCTTTCGAAAAGTCGGTGAACACACCGTGGATCTCAGTGATTGACCCCCGGGCGGTTCTCGCTTCCGGCCGCGGATCATCCGATACCGTCTGCTATGCTGCAGTGCCAAGCAATACTCGTAGACATGCAACACACAACAGCAACGTCGTTCAATTATGTTCTTGTTCGACTAAGCTATGCAACGCTCGACCTTGCCGTTTCTGGACTCTCGCACCAAGGAAGGTTGCCACAACCTGGATCATGTCGCTAGAACTGCCTATATGGAGCCTGCCTGCTAGGATCTCAATACTCGGGACGCCTGTACTCCATGCCCTATGGATGCTAATTGCAGTGGCCTCGACCACGCAGTGTTGGTTGTCGGAGCGATTTGGAGAGGGAAAAAGTACGTACAGAAGGCTGAAGCTTGCCTATCCTGTCTACCCAACCTCATTTGATCGTCAAAACTGACTTGATGTGGTGTTGAAGGGAGTGGAAGATCTTCAGTTAAGGCCACCACGTTAACGCTGGGTGCATGGACCGTGGACCATGTTCTTACTGGACACTCAAGGGATTGCATGACCTCAACCTGCCAAGGAAATGACTACTGGGGGCCTTGGATACCTAATTTATAGCTCGTCGAATAAATCTGGATGCGACTCTCGCCTGGTTATCATACTATACGCCACTGGCTATACTCGGTGTGTGTTGTCCTCATCAAATCTGGGGTTGTAATGCTAACTTTGCCTGCAGGCTTGTCTCTGGCTCTACTAACACGGCGCTTTCTTTTGTCACAACATTGTTTTGCTACACATTGCGATTTGGTTTAGGCACTAACTTATGCGTTCAGCATATCACTCTTCGACTCACCACCGGAGGCTGATTTCTATATCTCAAACATTACCGAGTGGAGAAAGGATATCCCCACACCCCTTGGCTCTGGACAGGACTTTTCTTTTTCTACAGACTGCCAGGATATGCACAGCACTGAGCTCTTTGACTTCAAGGACACTGCCTCCCAGTGCAGCATGGACAGCGCATATCAAAGCCAAACTAGCGCAAGCCGGCGCGGAACCAAGAGACCACAGCCCTACTCCCAGGACAGCCAGAGCACAATGGGTGCTCACTTTGTTGGCAGCGACATCTACTCGCCATCGATGAGCTCTGACAGCTACAACGTCTTCCAGGATATGAACCATATGCAACTTCCCGCTGCCTGGGATGCCCATGATGGATCCATGGGAATTGCTAACTACTCTACTGGGCAGGATTTCCCCCTCTACCCAACCTCGAACGTCTCGCAATTCAACCCCACATCCACTCTCAACATCTGGGCGCCCGTCAATACGCAATTCCAGAACGCGTCCTACAACTTGACATCCTACCCCACAGACTCGAACGAGACGATGTTCACCACCGCAGCGCCAGTGCAGCGCCAGTGGAACAACGTGCGCCCTACCCCCGTACGCAGCACGTCGTCCTACACTGCACAGCAAGCCTCAAGGCGAACTTCCTCTAACGATGCTGGCTTCAATGCCTTCGTTGCTTCTCCCACCAGTACAGCCAGCGTCCAGCTGCCTCAAGCTGTCGACTTCGAGCAGACACAATACGTTGAGCAGAAGTAAGTCAAGCCAAGGCCATCCGTCAATCAACACTGACAGCAAGCAGGAACGACACAGGAGAGAGCACTTCTACTTCTCTTGCACCACAGTCTCTGAACGGCCACGAAGATGTTCAGTCTCCTATTGACGCGACCGAGGCCAAGCTTGAGGAGGAGCGCACCAAGATTGCTCGCAGCCACGTCCTCTACCAGCAAGGGCCCGACAAGGACGGCAAGTACCACTGCCCTGAGGAGGGCAAGCCTGGCTGCACTCACAAGCCTACACCTCTGAAGTGCAACTACGACAAGTACGTCGACTCGCACCTGAAGCCTTTCCGCTGCAACAAGAAGACCTGCGTTGGCGTTCAGTTCTCCTCCACTGCCTGCTTGCTTCGTCACGAGCGTGAGGCGCACGGCATGCACGGACACGGTGCAAGGCCTCACCTTTGCCATTTCCAAGACTGCGAGCGTGCTGTACCTGGACACGGCTTCCCTCGCCGTTACAACCTCTTCGACCACATGAAGCGCGTCCACCAGTTCGAGGGCCCCACCACTGAGCCTTCCCCTCCTACTATGCAGGGCCAAGCACAGCGCAAGCCCGTTTCTCGCAAGCGCAAGGCTTCCGTAGAGGACATCACCGAGAAGCGCCAGAAGGCCATCAAGCTCACTGCTGAGCAACAGCTCCAGCAGCGCCGCGACCAGCTTGCACAAGACTTCATCAGCAAGAAGCAGCACATCATCGACTTCCTGACCAATCTTGCCGGTCCTAACGAGCTATCTGACGACCTCAAGCTCAGCCAAGACGTCATGGCGCTACACGATATCAGCACCAAGTTCAGGAGCAGCTACGGCGGCTGAATGAAGCTCATCGCATCAGTAGACTCCGGTCTGCTCGACGCCTGAGCAAGGTTTGTTTCGCGCCCCGGATCTTCTCGACACCCTTCTCTTTCCCAACAGCCTGGCATGTTTGTACCCTACATGCCTTGCTTTTTGCTGCGTTTATCCACGTGCCTGGATGGATCTCCCGCCCTCGCGGATGTTGACTACCCACATGCGGATGGATGCCCTCCCTCCCCTGAAGGATTACCCACAGGATATGTCCCTGCCGTGGACTGGATGCCATGGACTGCCGGACCTGGATCGCTGGAGCGCTTTGCGCAATAGCAACCCCGCTTAGGTAGAGGGACAGTGGTTCCGCTCATTGCATCGGAAATGGCATGGGTTTAGATTGGGTGATCCTAGACTGATCAAATTGTATTGATGCTTACTGGAGTTGGTGGTTATCTGCTTATTACTGGAGTTGTAGTAGTTGGAATCAATAAAGACCAGATGAAGAGGTCGCTCATGTATCGGTACAGACTGTACTGCTCGCTCTCCTCAGGGAGAGATGACAGTCTGCACCGTAGTTGTGTAGATGGTATCTCATCAAATTTACTCGTATACAAAACCGCATCTCTACATTGCTTGTGACACACGCCCTGAATACAGGACCACGTTTTTTAGTAGATATCTAAATCGGCGCCATCAACTTTCTAGATCTCGACTCCTGTGCTTTGTGATACTCCCCAATCCTCCATCGCACGACCTCTCACCTCGGCCTACCTCGGCCTACCTGCTCTTACAGCTAATCTCTCGGGTGCACCTCCATCCTCCGTGCAGAACACAGCGCATCCCAATCCAGCATCTGAGCCGCGCAAATGACCGAATAACGTCATTGCTTGCGTCCCACCACTAATGCCACCCAACCTGCTCACGCGCAGTTCACCGCAGTTCACCGCAGTTCGTCCGCCGCTCCCTCGGCTTCGACTCGTCTCCGCCGACGAATCGCAAATCGCGCGAGCGGCTTTCGTAAGCTGTGCAATACAGACTTGGCCCAGAAGCAAGATATTGCGGTCCTGTACGCCTAATACGGGTTGAATGGGGGATTTGGCAGAATTTCACATGACATGATCCGAGTGGCGAGATTTAGTGCCCCGCGCATCGCGACGGGTGTGAGACGAGGTGTGCAGAAGCGACGACTTATAACGACACGATCCTTCCGTACTGTAACTATATCTCCGCGACCGATTACTATACTTGTACCTACGTATACACCTGTACGCACCTTCTGGAGTATCACAAAGGAAGACGCAAATATGGCTTCTGCAACTAGCTTCTTCGACTTCAAGCCCAAAGACAGTACGTCTAACCCACCTCCCTTTCTCCCACACACCTCACTCGCCCAGCTCCCCTCCTCCAGAACCCATATCCCAACTAACACCACCCAGAGCGCGGCACCGACTACCCGCTCTCCAAGCTCTCCGGAAAGGTCGTCCTGGTCGTCAACACCGCCTCCAAATGCGGCTTCACACCGCAATTCGCGGGGCTGGAGAAGCTGTACAAGGACCTGAAGGGCCAGTACGGCGACCAGTTCGAGATCCTGGGGTTCCCGTGCAACCAGTTCGGCGGTCAGGATCCCGGGAGCAATGACCAGATCCAGGAATTTTGCCAGTTGAATTACGGTGTTAGCTTTCCGGTGCTGGGGAAGATTGATGTGCGTACATCCCACCCTTAAACCATCCCACGGCCTCTACCTTGCGGAGGTGGGAGGAGGTGGGGTTGATTGATGAAGAATATGCTAACCTGTATGTGTAGGTCAACGGCGACAACGCAGACCCCGCTTTCGAATGGCTCAAGAACGAGAAGCCCGGGCTCATGGGACTGAAGCGTGTGAAGTGGAACTTTGAGAAGTTCCTTGTTGGCAAGGATGGCAAGGTCAAGGGGCGATGGGCGAGCACGAAGAAGCCGGAGGATCTGAAGGCGGATATTGTTAACGAGCTTGAGGGAAAATAGAGCATTGCGCTGAAGACTTGTCAAAATGGAAGGGGATAATAAGGGGGATGGAGACGTGAAAGAGGAAGGCAGCTATGATACCACAATTTACATAGGAAGAGAATACAAGACGTAGTACATGGATACGGTTACGTAGTTGAAAGAGGAGTTGGGTATCTCAAAAGTTGCATGTGTCGTGTCTATTATCCGGACCTCTTTGGTCCATGCCCATGCTCGCTGTAAGGACAATGTTCCTCCTTCATTGCGCGTACTTCATAGATTGGCGCCGCAGTGTATTATCCGTCCACACATACATATCCATCATCTTCGTTTCGTTTGCTTTCGCCTAAGCGTCACCAGTAACGATGTCGTTCATCTCCTTGGTAGTCTTGCCCGCGCGGGAGCTCTTGATGACCTTCTGGATCAATTCCTCCACAGCATCCCAGTCGCTCGTGTCGATGGGTACAAGATCGGTCTTGAAGTATACCGCGATATCGTTCAGCTGCTGCCAGCTCTCCTTGTCGTGTACGAAGGTCAGCGCGACACCAACACGTCCGAATCGTCCGGTACGACCGATGCGGTGCAGATATGTCTCGGGGTCCGCGTCACGGCCGTTAGCCATGGTGGGAACGTCCTAGGATAGGTCAGTATAAAATCTGGCATAATCGCATATACTGGGCTTACGTAGTTGATGACCATCGTCACGGACTGCACATCTATCCCACGGGCGAGGACATTCGTCGTAATCAGCACCTTGGCCTCACCGGACCTGAATTGGTCGATAATCCTGTCACGGTCGGGGCCTTCCAGAGCACCACTGAGCTGGGCGACTTTGTGTCCCTCTGCTACCATGCGACGTTCGAGCTCCTCAGCAGTTCTGCGGGTTCGCACGAAGATAATCGAGGAGGCTTGTGTCATGAGCCCGTAGAATTTCAGCAGTGTCGCGTACTTGTCGTTGTCCTTGTCGATATCGATGTACAGCTGCTTGATGCCCTCAATAGTCAGATCCTCGTGGGCCAGGGTAAGCACATTGGCCTTTGGTGCGAAGCGATTGGCGTACGAGATGACGTTGGAAGGGAATGTCGCAGAGAATAGTACGGTCTGGCAGTCCTTGGGAAGCATGCTGTGGTCATCAGTATCAGATGGAAAACATTGTGCGCCTATACTCACGTCTTGACACGCGTGCACTGCTCGCCCAGACCTTGCTGGTCAAGCATGTTGTCGGCCTCGTCGAGCACTAAAATCTTGATGCCTGTGTGGTCGATCAGGCGTCTCCTCAGCATATCTGTGACGGTTCCTGGTGTGCCAACGAGGATATGAGCCTCGAACTTCTGGCCGCGCCTGGACGGGTCAGGAATGGCGGCCATCGTCTTTAGACCTTGCATGAACTGGCCCATGTGTGTGATCACTCCCAGAATCTGACGTGCAAGCTCTCGGCTAGGTGCGAGCACCAATGCCTGCGGCTTCACCTGTGAGATGTCGACACGCGATAAACAGTTCAAAGAGAAAGCAGCAGTCTTGCCGGTTCCCGACTGTGACTGCGCAATCATGTTCGTGGGAGGGTCCATGAGGAGTAGAGGCAGGGCTTTCTCCTGGATCTTCGATGGCTTGCGGAAGTTCATGGAGCGGATACCCTGGAGAAGGTCGTCAGAGCTGTTACAGTTAGTTCACCATTGTCGTGTCTGCGAATTCCTCAGCTTACAGCCTGAGCTCCTCGAACGTCTTCGCAGAGAACAGAGGGTTGTTTGGGTCCGCTTGCATATCTGCAAGCTTCACCTCGACGTTGAACTCAGTCTCCACAATGTCAGAGCCGTTTCCTGGAGGTCCACTACCGTCGACTTTGGCTTGCGCAACCAAGCTTTCTTCCGCTGGAGTCTCCTCAGCTGGAGGCGCTGCGGTGGGCTCTTCGGTGGATGACATCTTGAAGAGCAGTGATTGTTCGCTCGGGCGCGTCTGTTTGTGAGGGTCGCGGGGTGACGCAAGTTGCGGTGGATGAGTAACGGCGGGCGCCTTTGAGCGTGCAGGCGGGCTCCAATAATGGCTCGCACAAGACTGTCTTACAGCAGGAGCTTGAATAACACCTCAAAGGAATTGCGCGTGTCTGGCGTGGGTATCAATGAAAGTATGTGTCGTTGTTTGGCAGGTCAAAGCAACGCGAACAAAAGCTGTTTGGTGCGCTCATCGCGGGGAAGTTCCAGGCGGAAGGTGCTCGAGCGCTAGGCTGCATTAAGCGGCAAGGCTGCATTAGGCGGCAAGGCTGCACCTGCATGAACAGCAGTTGCGCCCGCGTTGTAGAAGCGATGCGAAACATGGCACGGCCTGTCGTCATCTACAATGACATCTTCAAGACAGGAAGCTCAAGAGTAGGTCTTACACATTGCTAGCAATTACGCGGTGCCAAAGGATCACGGCAGAGATCCCGGCCACCCTTCTCGGCGCGCACCACCTCCAGCCATTCGAGCCCCACCATCAATTGGGCCGCCAGTTGGAGCCCCAAGGCCCTCAAGCACCGCTCCTTAAGAGCGAACACTCCTTTCTGGTTCGATGCGCCGATCGCATATGCACTAGCACCCGCTCCACAACTGCTGCAGTAACATGGAGGTCGACATTGCGCCCCAATTCGGCGCTGAGTTGAAGGTACACGGTTGCCGAACCCCCCAGATTGCACCGCCGCAACATGGACTGACACGGATAATTCACAGGATGGCTTCAAGACGGTCAACGCTTGGGTATGTTCCCAAAACACCCTTCAACACCTCGTGATATATAGCACTACGCTCCGCTGGCGACATCCACCACTCCTGCCACTCACCCTACCTGTATGCTGATCACGAGGCCTAGGTCTCCGGAGGCATCGCATGGCTCGACGATATCCAGCAGTTTTACCGAGAACGAAGCGCTATAGAGAAGGAGTACTCTCAGAAGCTCAGTGCATTAGCAAAGAAGTACTATGAGAAAAAGGCCAGGAAAGTGAGCAGCTTGAGTGTCGGCGACACGCCAACAGTGACTCCAGGCTCACTGGAAAGGTGCGGTCTTGAAACTGCCAAAATGAGTGGTGTTTACTGATTACTGGCTCCAGTGCCTCTATGACCACGTGGGGAGCCCAGCTGAATACTCTCGAACAACGCGCGACCGAACACGAGCAATTCGCTACCGCCCTCATCTCACAGCTCGCCGACCCTTTGAAGACACTTGCGACTCGAACCGAAGAGCTACGCAAGCTCCATGGCGACTACGCAGCGAAGCTCGAGAGGGAACGCGACGGCCAGTACGCCGAACTACGCAAGACGAAGGGCAAATACGATAGTGTGTGCCAGGAGGTTGAGAACCGCCGTAAGAAGCTCGACGGTGCTTTCGATCATGGCAAGAACAAAGCACGAAATGCCTTTGAGCAGCACCAGGTCGAGATGCGCAATGTCAAGAACACCTACCTCATCACTATCAACGTCACGAACAAGCAGAAGGAAATGTACTACCACGAATACGTTCCTGAGCTTCTAGATGTAAGTTTTTTCTCTCTACCTTCGAGCTTGGCATTAACAGTAGAATCAGAGCATGCAAGATTTGTCAGAAACACGCGTCAACAAGCTCAATGCAATCTGGTCCTTGGCAGCCTCGATTGAGACGCAAACCCTCACACGCAGTACAGAATATTTGCAACACCTTTCCTCCGAGATCCCTCGCAACAACCCTCTGCTCGATTCCATGATGTTCGTCAGACACAACGCTGGTGGGTGGCAGGAACCTGGCGACTTCCAATTTGAACCGAGTCCGGTGTGGCTCGACGATGGAAACCTCGCTGTGGATGAGTCGGCAGTCACCTTCTTACGGAACGTCTTGTTGAAGACTAAAGGCTCGTTAGGAGACTACCGACGCGACCTTGATAAGAAGTTGAAGGAGGTGGAGAATGCAAAGGCAGTGCGGCGAAACATTCAAGAAGGGAAAGATAAGAGGGACGAAGTCGATGTAGTGCGCGCCATCTTCGCTATTCAAGAAGCTGCCCATGAGGTTGCGAAGCAGAAGGTCAGCGCTGAAGTCGAAGTCTCGACGATCACCTCGGTTGTTGGCGATGTCAGCATTGGTGCAAGAAACCACAACTTTAAGTCTCAGACTTTCAAGATACCCACCAATTGTGATCTGTGTGGTGATCGGATATGGGGGTTATCCGCAAAGGGGTTCGACTGCCGAGATTGCGGCTACACCTGTCATAGCAAGTGTGAGCTGAAGGTGCCGGCAGACTGTCCAGGGGAGCAGACGAAGGAAGAGAGGAGGAAGCTCAAGGAGGAGCGACAGAAAGCTTCACATACTGTGACATCGACAAACGGTGCCGCTACAGGATCGCAGTCAGATATGCCACGGTTAGGCAGGAGTGACACTGTAAACTCGATGAACACACTCAGCTCCGGTTATTCTGCAACAGCTCACAGGTCAATATCCGGAGGGATGTCACCAACTGTTGAGGAACCACCAGCAGAGAAGAAGGCACCAGCGGCTGGGGCTAGGAAACACCGAGTCGTTGCGCCACCGCCCGCAGCATACATCAAAGCCGATGATGATGCTCCACCGCCAGCGTCTAGTGCACCAGAGGTCAAGGGCAGGATGCTATACACCTACGAAGCAGGCGGCGAAGGCGAGTTGACAGTTGCCGATGGGCGGGACGTCACCATCCTGGAACATGATGGTAGGTCCTCTCTCAAACTGACTCCCATGTTTCAGTATCTTCTGGACATGTCGCTTACAGACTGTACAGACGGGTCTGGCTGGATGAAAGTCCGCGCCGGCGCCAAAGAAGGTCTTGTGCCTGCCTCGTATGTGGAGATTCTTGCTGCAGCAACACCACCCACCACTGCATCCACCTTCTCTTCAACACGGCCTGACTCGACGTATTCTGCGTCATCGGCCTCTACCACGAACCTTGCAGCTCAGTTGACTGGTGGCAAGAAGAAGGGCCCAGCTGTGGCACCCAAACGAGGCGCGAAGAAGCTGAAATACGTCGAAGCGCTGTATGAGTACAATGCGCAGAGCGACGTGGAGCACTCGATGGCTGAGGGTGAGCGATTTGTTCTTATCAACATGGATGCTGGAGAGGGGTGGGCAGACGTCGAGAAGGACGGCGTGGTACGGAGTGTTCCTGCAAACTACATCCAACAGGTATAGACCACCTGTCTGGCAGTCGTTCAAGAGTACGGCTGTAGTGCATATTGAGCGTTTAGATATCATCAAGTCATCACATCATGGTCAACATCACGCATAAAGATATCTGTACCTGCGAGCGCCAACAATCGTGGTACCTGCACTACGTCTTGACATGCTGTGTAAGGGTCTGTCTCGGCAGTGGTACATGTGGGTCCTGCTCTAGCGCAAGGATCTCACCTTTGACATTGACATCATCTCTTCCATCAATCATACAATCTACTTCATTTCATTCTGTCTTCTGATCGTCTGTCATCAAATGTCATGATAAGTCCAATCCACTATGATTATTGATCTTGAGCATCACCCTCCGCTTCAATGTGCTTGTACACCCTCCGGCGTAACTGCCACGAGATAAGCATGTTGGACAAAACGCTGCGTACCGTACCAGTGTGAGCCCTGCCCGAGCATTGAGGTCCTAAAAGCTAGTTGTGTCGACGTCGTCAGTCCAGAGTCGCTGCCGTAAGTTGGCAAATAAATGCAGCAGCCGCAATTTTGTATGCGCAGCAAAGCCTATTGACATTTTTCGAGGGCGACAATCTAATATAGCAGCTCTGGCCTTGCGCAAAGGAAATTCGCCATATCGGCCATCCGTGCCACATTCTCATCTCCACTACCCTCAAAGGATTAGCCAGGGATTGAGTGTTGCACAACAGCAGTTCGCATCACACGCACGCAGGGCGAGAGTGCCGGCAGCCATGCGCGCGCTTTATCGACGGTTGAAAACCTCTGGACGATCTTACGCCATGACACTAGAGATAGAGCCGCAAACCGCAAAGCAAGCCCAGCTGCGGCTCGCCGTGCCCGAATACGTGGTTGAAAATCAAATGTGCCTATGAACGACTCGCTGTGCAGCCTCATCGTACAAATTGGCGATACAGTTGGACTGGTGATTGTGGCCAGTGTTACGAGTTGGGGCTGGTCAATTTACCCCTTGTCCTTAGGCAGCTGTCCTCTAAATGTCTCTTCTGCCGCTGTTGCCCACGTTGCTTTGATTCAGTCCCTCCTTTCTCATCATCTATTGCTCAGTGTCTCACATTCCCGACATTCGTTGCCATATGCTATACGCTCGTTGCCGTGATCGATTCCCACATCTGGCCAAACAATCGATAGAGTCCTCGTGGGGCGGTGCTCAAAAGGGCCGATCCAGATCGGGGTATGTCACATTTCTCACCTTCACTGCGCCTTCCAGCATACACGCGCAGACCCTTGCCTTGGCACGCGCTTGATGTAGACAAATGCCGCCATCCTTGCCTTCTTCCACCTGCAAGTGGCTCACTCCTGCGACAGAACACTCTCAGCTGTGGCTCGTGCTCATATACACATTTCTTTCCGTAACCTCGTTGGAGATCCTCCAGTCCGCTCCTTCACATCAGTATATACCACACGCTCTTTCTGTATTCCAGGCTCGTGCTTCACCACAACGAATCCACAAAAACAACACCTTCAAGATACACCCGCGCAGATCACCACGCGAAGTCTCATACGCACTTGCACACTGAACAGGTAGCTGTCTCACTCTCTCTTGCCAGGTGAACAGTGACTGACCATAGCTGCAGTTGCTGGCGACGACACCCAATCAGAGCGAGTGTGAAGTAACGACGCCAACATGAGATATCAATACATCGCTATTTTCGCGGCTGCCACTGCAGTCACCGTAGCGAAGCCTCACCAGCGCATTCACCGTCATGCTCAAGCTCACGTCGCACGCATGGCTCGCCCAGACAGCGCTCTGTACGCGCCGGCGCCAGTTGAGACTGTCATCATCTACGAGCTGGATGGCCGCCTCATCTCCGAGGAAGAGGCTCGCCGGGGCATCACAAATGGCACACTTCGTTGGGGTGACGACGGCGTCCTGTCGAGTTCCGTCAAAGGTCCTGTTGCGCTGCCCACAACCCCGCCAGCTCCCTCAACTGAGGTCAAGGAGCCCGTCCAAATACAGCCAACTACCACACAGGCTCAACAGATCGAAACCCAACAACCTACCCTATCTACCAAAGGGACCTTCACTCCTGCACTGGCTTCCACTTCAGCGGCAGCTCCGCCGCAAGAGCCAGCCCCGGCCTCCGCACCAGACGCATCGCCAGATGACCCTAACGACCTTGTCGACAAAGACGGTAACTGTGCCTCGTGTGATAAGCCCTTCCCCAACGGCGTGATCCCATGTAACCAGTTCCCTTACGGTTACGGTGCCATGCCTCTCAACAACGAGGGACTTGGAGGTTGGTCTGGCATCCAGGACCCCGGGTACCGCGGCGGTGATGGCTTTGACAATATCAGAACTGTAGTCAAGGGCTCATGCTCTGATGGCTCTTGCTGCACAGAAGGCACCTACTGCTCGTATGGGTGCCCGAACCCTTACCTGAAGTTGTCTTTCCCCAAGAAGCAAGGGAAGACCGGCCAGACTGTTGGCGGACTTTACTGTAACGATCAGGGCATGCTGGAGATCGCAGATGGCTCCATTGGCAAGACACTCTGTGGAAAAGGGTCTACCAAGATGACCGTCAAGGTGCAAAACAAGCTCAAGAAATCGGTCTCCATCTGCCGCACTGACTACCCTGGTAAGCTCAGTACTACTATAGCATCTCAAAATGACTGATCTCTTCAGGCACTGAGTCTATGACCTTCCCTCTTACCGTGGGACCTGGCGAAACCGGCTACCTGGCCAACCCAGACCAGAGCAAGTACTTCTTCTGGGAGGGCAAGCCCACCTCCGCTCACTATTACGTCAACAAGCAAAATGTGCCTGAGAGTGAGGCTTGCACCTGGGGTCAGGATGGCAAGGGCGTGGGCAACTGGTCGCCTACAATCTTCGGCACCTCCTTTGATGACATTGCTTCCAACGTCGGCTATTCCAGCTTGAAGCAGAACGAGCTCAACTGGAACGAGAAACTCGATTACTCCATCACTTTTACTGGTGACGGTGTCACCAATGCCTGTAAGTACAAGGCACCCACTGGCAAGTACGGTCAGGGCGAGAAGTGGTTCGACAGCATCCAGGATGGCTGCACTGCTGGCATCAAGGAGGGCAGCACCCTCACTCTTGTCCTTACTGACGACTAGTCGTCGTGAGATCTCGCTCGGCATATGGCTCAGCCAACCCTTCTCCTTTCCATGTCTCCTAGATTTCGGATCACGCGATCTTCTGTACTTTCTCACATTTTGGTTCATACTTCACCGCGCCGAAGTCTCTTCGGCGAATCTTCGCAATCTTTTGGAGGATATTTCGAACCTTGTCCAGATGCACGACTTCATTTCAGCTGTACTATACTTTCTCTTTTGCTTTTACTTTCACAGTCACGCGCCGGCACTCAACTCGTCGTTGTTACCTACCACAGACGACTAGTCTCAAGATGGGCATAGGTATACACTGGTGGGTGTTGCTACCCTGGCTCATGATCTTCTACAAGAACGAGAACGATCAACGCTCATGGCCTGTTTGGAAGATTTACTACCTTTCGGATTACTGGGTCAGAGGGTTCCAGGCGCAGCCGCTGATGATGGCGAAGGCGTTACAGGTGGTTTATGGGACTTTACTGCTATGTGCCTTTAAGGTCATTCAGCTCAATGAAAAAATCAACACAGATTCTTCCTTACGGCAATTTGAGGGTGCTCGACGACATGATGTTAACTCATAATTGTTCAGGCTAAAGTGCCAGACCTATCGACAACTTATGGGTATGGGTGCGAAGCTACATTCTATCCGTCCCCATATGCAATACGTGTCCCTAATGCGAATGCTTTCTTCATAGACTGGTTTGAGGTCGTGCGCGTTACCTCACGCTTTTCCTGCCGAAACATGTACAACGAAAAGAGTAGAGATTCAACCACCTCTCCCATCGATACCACTATCTCAACTGCCGTCACCCACACGAGCCCTTCAATGCTGTCAGCTCGCAGGATTAAAGTTCAAAAACGAGCTCGGGTCTCCCAAGGTCAAACTCAACCCTGCATCCGCAGTGAAACTCGGAAAAGCCCCATGCTCACTCATACTCGTCGCTTCAAGCGCAATCCCATTATGCCCACCATGCGTCAAGCAACCCACGCACTCACATCCGTCTCCGCACTGACACGTTCCAGTTGCATCGTTGCAGCCTGGAAGCACCATTTCGTTCCAGAAGAAACTCGATGGTGAGAGCGTCTGTGTTTCCTCCTCGTTGCTGCCGCTCGGGCTGTCGGCGATGGGTGTGGTTGCTGTTGGGATCGTGGGTGGGGGCGCCATTTCGAGTTTCAGCTGCGACTCGGTGGGGGTCGCTGTTACGCTGTCGAGGAATTGCGGCTGCTCGATGGAAGGAGTGGAGACGGAGGGTTGGCGCCAGGGGCTGGAGAGGTTGAGAGGTGTACCGGTCATGACGGTTGCGTCTAAGCTGGCTTGGAAGGGCATGTGTGCTGGGTTTGGCGATGCGTAGGATTGGGGTAGCGATGTGAAGCTCATATCGGGACTGGCCTCTGCTCTAAAGCCGGGGTGGTGAGCGTACGTGGGCATGTCGTAAAGTGGTGCTTGTTCGCCTCCGAAGGCACCAGTATATTGGAATTGCGCCATTAGTCGGACGTACTCCATCATGGTAGCGTTGTTGGGGTGGGCTGCGCATCCGAAACAGCTACATCCTTCTCCGCAGTGACAGCTGTGCTCGGGATTATGCTGCGGTGTTTGGTGGCCGTTAATATGGTGTGGTAACGACTCATGCATCGCACCGTTCATGGGCATCGTCATTGACTGTTGGTAGGCTGCTGCGGCGTGATTGTATATTGGCGCACCGAAGCCAAATGGAGGTGGAGCTGGCGAACATTGTGCTTGGAAGTTCTGGTACTGAGGCTTCCTGAGTTGATGCTGGATCTGGAATTGAAATTGCTGACCGATGTTGTGCACAGCATTGTGGACATTGAAAACATCGTTCGACTGTGCCTTACCAGAACAACATGATTTGACGGGGGCAGCAGTTGGCGCTGGCGTTGGTGTCGATTGAGGTTGCTGTTTCACTTTACTACTGCAGCAACCTCCTCCTTGAGCGACTAGTGGTGGCGCACCCTTGGGTTTACAACAGCCTGATACCTCTTCTTTCTGCGTCGGAAGCATGCGAGGAGTTGAGCTTGCACTTGACGGAGGTGAGGCTTCATTGCTGGCGCTTCTCTCGGTTGGTGTGTTGTAGGATGAGGTGTCGGTTTCAGTATCTTGGCTAGCTTTGATGGCTTTCTCTAACGAGGTAGGATGTATCGCAGTCGACTTCCGTTTGGGTTTCGAGATTCGGCTGCTGCCAGCAACTGCCACGGATTGTGCCCGTTCTGACGGACAAGCACATTCTGAGGTCTTGGGGATGGTGTAGTTGATAACAATCCGCTCACAGCTGCATGAGCCGGTAGGATGGGGACAACTACTTAGTGGTCGACCAGGCTTGCGAACCTCGACAAGGACTCGGTCCCGGTGATCACATTTCGAGGAGCGATGTCCTCGGATGCAAGGGCCACTGACATGACGTTAGCATAGTACAGTGGATTTATCTGTCAACGTCTAGTAAATAAAAGCTACGACCGTCGCCCCAATCAAGGAGCCATGTTCTGGCTGCCTGTCAAGATGGCATTGCTGGAGAGGCAAGGATATAAAACAGCTACCGGCCTCGAGCGAAACCTGAGCGATGGAAAGGATCTCTCGGTTGCATGAGGTCCACGCTGTTGACGAGATACTGACTTTTGAAAGAAGACGTGGTTGGCGACGCAGATAACGACGAGTGAGAAACGTCGCACACAAAGTTGAGAGTAAGATGAACTTACCAAGCGACCTTCTTGCGTTCTCCGTTGATGTCGGCCCACATGATGCGGGGTTAAGACAAGTTTGTCGAAACTTGCTCAATCTACGACAAGTGAACCCGGCGGTGAGCCGAGTGAAATGAAATGAGCGATTGGTGATTCCAACGATCGTGTATTCAACTTCGATGCGCACAGCGCACATGGAGAGTATGTTGCAGAGGGGTACAGTGGCGTGTCGCTTGGACGTTGGTGACAGGCTGTGGGCCAGACACCGATCCTGGTCGCACGGCAAAGAGATCGACTGGGCTCGACTATGCCTTCCTGTGTGTGCCCTGCAGATACTATTTGTTCGGGAGAAAAGAAGTGCTCGAGACTGGATATGGCCTGTGCGACTTGTAGGGGTCCAATACCCGCGTGGCTGGTGATGTCTTGCAACCGGAGGCTTGCCGACGGGTTCCCGCGGTTTTGGTGTTGGACAGTTGCAGATTGATGGGCGGTGTTGTAGCGAAGAAAATAAACTGAATACGACCAGCAAGGAAAGATTGTTCTCTCTTTCGTGATGGCGCCAGAGAAAACGAGCCGGAAGCGACCCGTCGCCCACAGAAGATCAGCCGGTGTGGATGTCGTTCACTGTGGTTTGCGCCTTGAAACCTGCGGCAACGGGGTGAGCGGCAATCGATTTTCGAGACACTCGAGGTTCTTAGCCTCTCGTTCACGCCTGTTGACTCAGGGTTGCAGCGTTAATGCACGGTTCTCGTTGGTTGGACTGTCCAAATGTGTCGTGAGATGCTGGAAGTCGTGAAGATGGCGCTAAATGAGCAAGTTTCCTCTCTTTCGGGTTAGTGGGCTAAGACCGGACGCTGGATGCTTCAGGCAAGATAGCCTTAAAGGAACGGGGCAAGAGGACTGAATGAGCGACGGAAGAGAATCGGAATATAAAGTGTTTGCGAGTTTGAGGAAAGTTGAAGGGAGAAGTGCTCAACCAGGAAGTCGTGCCTCAACTCCTTTGTGGAAGGAGTCACTGCGACGGCGTCCATGGATTTCCAGTTAGCTATGAGATGCTACCGCCCGGAAAACCATCAGGCCCAACCGGCAGGTGTCGAATGTGCTTGTGGATTTCGCTCGATGTCTGACATCGGCGTTCCATCGAAGATAGCTTTCTGAAGGCTATTTGCTTAGGCGAAACATTTAAAGCTACAGTTCATACATCTGCGCGCCAGCACTCTGAAGATGGCGAGCCTTACAATTCGAGAAGCTACACGTCCTTCCCCCGCATCGATGCGCACCGGAAACATCAAGAGTGTTTGCGGAGTCTCACCTTCAATTCGGTGGATCGCTCTTTATTTGCACGTGATAGTGGCTAGTGAGGGGGGTTTCTCTTGGCATGTGGCTCAACCAGTGCCTGGTTGAATTTTAGCGCCTCGCTCATTCCTTTGGGCAAGACGACCGCCTCGTCACAACTTGCCTTTAGCACGATGGCTTCAGATGACGAGGGAGGCTTGGACCTCTTTCAGGAGCCTGCTGATTACTTCGAACCAGAAAAGGAGGCAACCTTTGCTACCCACCAGCTGCTATCTGGAAAGAAATTCACTGTGCGATTGGTGGGCCATAATCCGTTGTGGGTAAGGCTTCAACATTCCGTGGTTTTGAGCATGAGCAAGAGCCTTCACTTCGTCATTTTCTTTTCCCGCAGTTACATTCTAGAAGGGTTCCGTATTTGGTATCGTTCGGGATATTGAAACGACGGCCAAACTTCTCTGTTTCTTGATATTGTCAACGGCTATCGCGGCAGAATCACTGACGTAGATAGGGTCATTTCCTGTGGAACGCTGGGCGAACGATATCAGCTTACCTGGAGGAGCATGCAGATGACCTTGTAAAAGGAAAGACTGTGCTTGAACTTGGCGCAGGGGCTGGACTTCCCAGTCTTGTCTGTGCCCTCAATGGAGCCTCACAGGTGGTTGTGACGGACTACCCTGATGCTGAACTGATTGAGAACCTTCGTTACAACATCGATCATTGTGATCTATTGCCTATGCCAAGGAAGATTGCTGCAGAGGTCAGCAGACCTTCACCCTGTCCTGCATCGTCGCTGACCCTCCTAGGGTTATCTGTGGGGTGCATCGACCGAAACTGTAACAAGTCACCAGGGCGATGACGGAGGCTTTGATGTGCTCGTTCTTGCAGATCTCCTGTTCAATCACTCCGAGCACGCAAAACTCATCAGAACGGTAGAGCTGACCTTGAAGAGAGCACCAAGTTCCAAGGCCTACGTGTTCTTTACACCATACCGACCCTGGCTCCTCGAAAAGGACCTTGCTTTCTTTGACTTAGCCCGTGAGGCCGGCTTTGTTGTCACCAAGACTTTAGAGAAAGTCATGGACAAGGTGATGTTCGAAGAAGACCCGGGAGTCAGTATTGCCTCGAGATAACATGACATTCACGTGCTGATCTCTTTATAGGACGAGCTTCTTCGTCGTACAGTGTATGGTTATGAGCTCACATGGGCGAGCTGAGCCATAGACCGGGAGGACTAGCACTGGTGAAAGAGCTTGGACAGACAAAGGTCCACACTAGGTTGTCTTTCGAGCCCAGATCGTCCGTCAGAGACCCATGTGTCTTGCTCGTGGCATTGCGTTTGCAGAGGGATTGCACAAGTTCGTGGCAAGAACCTCGAACATCAACCACGCAAAGGCTTGTCAAACCGTAGCCGAACATTTGCTCTTCGGCTTCCCAGCTAAAATCGAAAAGTCGGTGAAAAGAGGCCCTGAAGAGTCGTTAGCCAATTACAGCACGCAATGTCGCAAAACTACACTACGAAGCCACAAAAAGTGCCTGTACTTTGCCTCCGTCGAGTCCGAGGAAACGGTACGTCCACCGATCATGGCGACGACTATAGAGAATACACATTGTGGACTTTACAACACTCACCAGCATGACTACTCCTGATTTCCTCTCCGACACAGACTGTGAGAGTCTCCTCGACTTTCTCTTCTCCCCGGCAGTTCCTTCCCTCACTTCTGGACGATGTTGAAATCATGACCAGCCTAGCAAAGAACATTGTATACTACCCCGCCCACAACTTCATCTCTGACACAGAGCTAGAGTATCTCCTCATGCAGGTCCTAGTTTACAAGGGCGCAGAGCGTACAATTCCTTATAACCTAGACCATAGGGTAATCGAGCTTTACCACTTCACGCAATGGAAAGTTGAGCAGTACCACAATATCATTGTGGCCCGGCATAAACTATCAGAGGAACAGAATCACCGATGAATGCTGAAGCAAAAGAAGGACCACCGGGAGGAGAACTGGCGACGCAAGCGTGCGGCTGCTCGTCTGACACTGTCCAAGGAATAGCACGCTCAGCCAGGAGTCCTCGTTGCCCTATGACTGCTCAACGAACGCAGACATTTTTACGGACGTGAACGAGACGTAAACTTTGTTGGATCCGTTGAGCATTGGCTGGGCTCAGTTACGACCCTCATCTTATGAGAGCATAGGTCTCTACGTGCAACGACCAATAGTCATTCTACCTATGGTATCTTCGACAAGCGTGCTCCGCAACCCACTGAGCGCCTTGTCACAACATCTACCTACAAGGATAAGTCATTTTCGATGAACTGGGTGTCTTTTGAGCCACTCTACCCTTATACGAAAGAAGACCTTGTTGATATTAAGGTCAAGCTGCCAAATCCTGTTTGAACTTTCGTCCGCAGAGCCTGCTTGTTGGTGATCTGAACTCAACTAAGAGAACTTGCTCAATGCTTTCAAGGACAATCGAAATCCTAGCTGATAAACCTCGATAATTGTCTTACATGCGCAACGACTGTAGTTAATCTGAACGAGCAGCACTATCTGGCGGACCCTCCCTCCCTCAAGTAGCAGGAAAAGCTGAGGTTAAGCTTACCTGTATCGGGGGTACTCAGTGCCAGCCTGCAGACTATTTGCAATCTATCAGGCTCTGTGAGGACTACAATGCCTTCTGTATGTTGTAGATGGGTTTCTTTGGTTGGGTCCGCGGAGTAGGTAAGATGCTCCTCCAGATAGTGCTGCCCATCTAACTTTACTCATCATCTCAATAGAGCTCCTCGTACACTTTATCGTCAAATTACTGACAGTGAGGTTGATCAAAATGCCTTCGCGCTAGGCGTAGTGGAAGGGAAACAACGACTTGCAGGGTATATGGATCGGGAGTTTGCCATCCGTGTTTCACCATGATCTTTGGAATAAGCTTTGTGAGACGTGCGCTGTTCCCACATGATCTTCACAAGGAACGATCTGAGGAACATCAAGTGGAGCTGCCGAAAGTCTAATCGCACTTTCGAGTCGGAGTCGTAGACTGTAGCATTTCTGTTTGGTGAAGCAAAAGCAGCTCGGGGAATGCATCGAGGAGATCCAGTCAAGGTAGAAACATCACAATGCAAGGCAAAAGACAACTTTTGAACAGATCCAGACTCGCTATATTTACACTACCACAATAATTACGTACCATGCGGTCCCCATTCCTCCCATACTAACTGCAACGACAACAAACACTAAAAGAGGGTATGAGTGAGTTACAGTAAGAAACAGGCATCAACACCTCTAGTAGGTAGCTTAGCCCTCTATCAGCTCATATTCTAGATTGCCCAGCAACCGCCATACTTTCTCCCAACCAGTGCACTCCAGATGAGTGAATGGCTTACTCAGGCTTACCGAGGATACCGCGGGCCATGTGACGCTTGCGCAGGTTGTACTCGACGGCGCGCTTCTTGGCTGCGGTGGACTGTGTGAAGGCAGCGGAGCCACCGAAGGGGCCTGCGAGAGCGGCGTTCTGCATGCGGACGATGCAGACGTTCTGGGCGCCACCGGCGGTACCCTGGCAAGTCATACCCTGGGGCATTTGAACCTGTGAGTGTTGTTAGCTGTGTTGTGAAGATGATGGTGGATATGAGCGTACCTTGACGGGGAAGTCCATGACAGAGGCGGCAGAGAGACCACCAATACCGATACCGGGAACATCCTGGGTGACAGTGGCGTCCTGGAAAGCAGCAGGGTCGGTACCACCGGAGGTAGCATCGATCTGAGCAGTCAGGGGACCGGCACCGTCCTGGTTGACCTGGTGGAAGGTCATGGTGATGGTGCCGTCATCGGAGGTGGTAGGGAGGCCCTGGGAAGCACCCTGGCCAGCAGCAGCGGCAACACCTTGCTCAGTGGTACCCTTGGCGGTCTTAGTACCGGCAGCGGCAGCACCACCAGCACCACCAGCTCCACCAGTGAGGGCATCGAGGAGACCACGCTTGTTGGCGGCGGCAGCGCCACCGGCAGCACCGGTACCCATGAAGGTAGCGATGGCAGCAGCAGCATCGACGGGACCGCCACCCTGGGTGCGGCCGAGAGCAGAGGCCTTGCCGCCCATCTCCTTAGCGCGGATGATGGAGGTATCGGCCTCAGAGCCGGAGAGCGGGTTGCCGGAGTCACGGGGAGTACCGTCGATGGCAGAGAGACCGGGCATGTTGACACCGTTGGCGCCCTGGACCTGGGTGATGACACCGTGGGCGGAGACGGAGCTGGCAAGAGCAGCGGCGGCGAAGGCGATGGAGTAACGCATTTTGATTGATTGGTTGGAAGACTTAAAAGGTATTAAAAGTTGTTGATAAGGAAGGTCTGAAGATTGCTGTTGAGCGTGATGAAGTTTGAGCTGATTAAACAAGCGGCCGGCGCAAGAAAGCAATTAGTAAGAAGGAATGGGAAAGCTAGTCTGGAAATGTTGTGGATGTTGATGATTACTCTGGAGGGTGAGCATATCGTCTTATATACTGCGTGCGGTGCCGTTGCGGCCACCCAAAGCTTAGCCATCCACAAGCATTCGCCATTGCAAGTTACCGTAGGCTAGGCTGCATGGCACTGAATCAGGTTTCCAAACGTGAGGATAGCGACTGTGATACCTTGTGCACAGACCTGGAGGTGAGAGCTGAGACGATGCTGGTCGAACGATCTCCCCGATAGACCCACTATGATCATTTGCGCCAGGATGTGCACTACGGGTAGATCTTCTCCAGACTCTCAAGTGAGTCTGCTCCACGGAAGTGCACGAAGACATGTCGGCGGAAGATTGTCGCATTGTCGGAGAGCGCATTGACGTTTGGCAACTGGGGACTCGAAATGTATCAAAAGCCAAGCCTCGTTCTATACTTGGCGATCGAAACACAGGATCTAAGCATTGTTCTGTTCGAAGAGGTTTCCAAGGAGTGCAATGCGTGCAGTACGACTGCCCACGGGCAGCGGTCAATGTGGGCCTTGAACGATGACAGCATAGTTGTCAGGTGTGCCTCAAAGTCAAGGCATACACAGGAATAACAACATCCGAGAAATGATTTTTTGGCCAGCTCATGGTGAGCGTTTCAGTAACGGGGCGTGAAACTGTTCGGTTTGAAATCGGTTGTGGTCTAGTGCGGTGCAGCCTCACCGGTCTTCTGACAACCTCCCGACTGTTTCAGGAGCTTCTGAGCACCCTCAGCAAAGGTCGCAATTCTTTTTGACAGTCCATCTCTTACGGTTTTGCAGCACTGTGATCTACAATCAGATTCATGATTGACCTTCAGATCAGGATGCGACTGCTTCACGGCCAGTTGATCGTTCTAGACCAAAGCCGCCAACCTCCTCGCATCTCCTTCAGCAACGCGAATGCGAGGTCTGAGTCAGTGTCGGCCTGGCAACGTGCCGCATATCGCATGTCGCGCTTCATCCTCTCGTTGTTGCTGTGTTGCAGAAAGGTCGGTAGGTTATGGTGATGTGTCATTGTGGCGACGATGTTGATGAGCTCCTGAAGCCTCGAGGGAGCTACGACGCCAAGGGGCGCTACCGAAAGCGCCATCTTTACAGTCCCTCACGACTCTTGTTCAGACCTACTCTACACCACTCGACTGTGGTCGATTTCGTTCAATCAGTACATCTCGTTTCATCTGGTGGGAAGGAGCGATCCATGGAAAGACGATCTACAAGAGCGCAAGTTACGTAGATTCTTCGTAGGCAGCACTGTCTGATGGACCTGCTTCTTATTGGCATATGCCCTGATCATCGATCATGATCACTATCTTCATAACATTCTACTTCCGCTCCATTCTAAGGGCCCCCTTTGTGCTAGTCTTAATCTGCAGCCTTCTCAGCCTTGATGTCGAATACTACACCTTCGTTGCGTTTCTCCAAATCAGCGCTCCACTGCCTGATGAAATTTGTCTTTGAGTCGCTGAAATACAGAATGTCGACATCTACTTTCTGCAGGCCTGAAAATCTTGAAGTGAAAGCCATCTCGTCCGCCATTACTATTGGTGCAGATGATCTTAAAATATAAAATCTTGATTGCAGTTCATTGTGTCATGGTCGTTATGGCGATGAGAGAGGTGTACTCTTCACCATTATCGAAAACGAAATTATAAAGTGTGAACATGAGCAGACGTTTTTCAGCGTGAAGCTCTTTGCATGTGCGAGTCCAAGGTAGACGTGTTCGCTGGGAAACACAGGCCAAGTACTAGACGGTCCATCGTGTTCAGAACCTACGGCCAGCTTGCAGATCTCATTTCTGATCTTGGTGGGAAGGTGGAGCAGTGGTGATTTGAGCTGGTTGCGGCGAGTGCTATCGTAGGTCAGTAGCTGGCTATCTGCGCAACGAAAGTGAGCGTACATGTCCATCTTGGCTTGCACATTCGGAGGAGTGTTGGCTGCCATACTTGTCGCTTCAGGTGTGTCGTATTCGGGGTCATGGTGAATTCTTGTCGCTACACATGCCATATGGAAAATTGGGAACAGCCGAAGAAGAAGGAGGGGAGGAGAAGGTGTGGTGATCTGTGACAAACGGTAGTTGCGAAAAGTCGCCTTCACTTCGAGAGCCTGAACGCTCAAACTACTGAACATTCGATCCAACCACTCGTGACCTGCTCATGCTGACCACACATTATGAACTATTCTCCGTCTTGCCAGGACTAACAGGTCTAATAAGCTGATAATCGATAGAAAGTGTAAAATCAACATGCCGGTTTGGTGAGGCTGTCTTCGGTGAAGGTACGAAGAACGCGTAGTGACGAGACGCAAACACTGCCAGGCCTTCTTGTCTATGGTCATTTGAATTATCTTGACCGAGGAGGCCTCTAGTACACAGTCCGTAGCGTGCTGAAGCTCTGTAGAGCGGTGCCATTGCCGGATGATATCTGCGAATCAGCTGAAAAGGCATACTTCGAGTCTTGTAATAACCTTCGGGTCTCATTGTATCATCTGCTGCATTTTCGAGATGCGAGATGAGGTGTTGTTGTTGCTGTGGTTTTCTAGTAGAGCTGGTTGCTCCTTCGACATATGGATTCGGCCCTGCTCATGCGGCTGAATTGAAAGAGGCCAACTTCTAACCCCGTTTATTCGACCACCTGGTCAGAGCTTCCTCATCTTGCCTTCAGATCACAGCAACTTATCTATACATGTTTTGTCGACGTCATGTCCGTACAGTTGCTCCGTTCACCAGCCCTGCAGCCTCGCTTACGCTCATCCTCTCCAAATGCCTCGGTCCAAACCATCCCCGCAACAAACTTCTCGGAACCACAGCCGACCTCCAAACACGCCTCGGAGGACCCTTGCTAACCCAAAAGATACGCTGATGGTCTACGACGGACTAGCTGCTGGCCTGTGCGATGTTGGAGTTATGGCCCTATTGTGGGGGTGGACCTGTGGGGTGGACCTCGGGAGTTGACCTCGAATCCGGGGGAGCTGCTAACCGTGAAGCTGTACCTTCACATCGCCTTTATTGTAGAGTGACAAAGGTCCGTTCCAAGCAGATTATCACATTCCGATTAGACAAGTATACAAGCTCAAACATCGATGGCGGCAGCAAGCTGACGGAAGCCAGCCACAACCTCACCACTTTCCACAACAAGCAGTGAGTCGGTGCAGCTTACTCGGTACCTCGAGCTATTGATCAGTCGAGCCATCACGTTACACTGCGATACCCAGGGGTTAGCCTTGGTCAGCTATTAACATTTCTACCGCATATTGTCTGCTTACCTACCCCGTGCTTACCACTGTCACCTCGAAATCGACCTCAAAGTACTTCGTTGCCCTCGGAGAATCTTGCTGCACTTGGAGAACCTCGCTCTACCGTCACCATGGTCATCAAGTCCCGCTGGAACTTTCCCACGCCGCCAGTCTCCCTTCCGACATTCATCTTCGACTCGCCACACGGCGAACTACCACAGACGCCGGCGTACATATCAGCAAAAGAGCCGGACAAATACTTTCTCTCGCTCGAAGACTACCGGCTCTATGCTAAGCGTTTCGCATCCGGGCTGCGGCGCTCAGGCCTGCTGCCAGGCGAGCGCGTGCTGCTGTTCTCTGGAAACACGCTATTCTTCCCGTCGGTAGTAATGGGCGTGATCATGGCCGAGGGCATCTTCACCGGCGCAAACCCCACATATGTAGCACGAGAACTAGCATACCAACTCAAAGACTCGGGAGCAAAGTATCTGATCTGCACCGAAGCAAGCTTAGACACTGGCATTGCTGCAGCGCAAGAAGCCGGGCTGTCTGCAGACCGGGTGTTCATCTTCGACGACGGGACTGCGACGTTCGACGGCCGCAAGGTAGAAAAAGATACCGATCTGGGACATATCCAACACTGGACAAGCCTCCTCGACACCGAGCAAAACGGCCAAAAATACGCCTGGCCAGACCTCAAGACGCCCGAGGAACTCGACAGAGTCGTGGCCCTCAACTACTCGTCGGGAACCACGGGCGTCGCTAAAGGCGTCATGATCACGCACCGCAACTATGTCGCAAACTGCGCGCAGCAGATCCACATGCAAACGCTATCCCCAACTTACCAGGAGAACCTGCCCAAAAAGCGGCTTTTGTGCTTTTTGCCAATGTACCACGCCATGGCACAAGCTGTCTTTTGTATGAATGCAATGAAGCAGCGCGTCCCCGTGTACATGATGCCCAAGTTCGACTTCCTCGAAATGCTCACATACGTCCAGAAGTACAAAGTCACCGATCTGGTCCTCGTCCCCCCCGTCCTCATCGCCATGGCCAAGCACCCAGCAACGCGCAGATTCGACCTCAGCAGCGTCGAGCACGTCTCCTCAGGCGCAGCCCCACTCGGCCGTGAAGCGTCTCAAGAATTCGAGAGACTGTGGTCCAACGGCCAAGTCAATGTCAAGCAAGGCTGGGGCATGACCGAAGTAACCTGCGCAGCGACCATCTTCGACCCCTCCAAATACAGCGCCTCCTTCAGCGTGGGCGAGCTGGTGCCAAACTGCGAAGCCAAGATCGTGCTCGACGACGAAGGCAAGATTGAAGCGCCGCGGGGTGAGCGCGGCGAGATTTGGGTCCGTGGCCCGAATGTAATGAAAGGGTACTGGAACAAGCTGCAGGCAACGGAGGAGACGTTTGGCGAAGGACGGTGGTTGAAGACGGGGGATGTGGCGTATGTAGATGAAGAGGGGCATTTTTTCATTGTGGATAGGAAGAAGGAATTGATCAAGGTTAGAGGGTTGCAGGTTGCGCCGGCCGAGTTGGAGGCCATACTGTTGGATTATCCGGAGGTGCAGGATGCGGCTGTGATTGGGGTGCCGTAGTAAGTTATCCTTTTCCTAATTCAGGCCATGAACAGTATTCGAAACGAGGAGCTGACGATTTACAGCAACGGCGACGAAGCCCCACGAGCCTATATCGTGCCTAAGAACCCCGACAAAGCCACACTAGAGCTCGCTGAAGCGATCAAATCATGGCTTGCGGAGCGTGTATCAAGACACAAACGACTGGAGGGCGGTGTGCATTTCATTGATACGGTGCCTAAAAATCCAGTAAGTTCGGCTTCGAGGTGTTTGGAAGGTAGTAGCAGCTAACGATTGGCAGTCTGGCAAGATTCAGAGAAAGCTGTTGAGGGAGCAGGCTGCGCTTGCGGACACGAAGGCTAAGCTGTAGAACAGGGATGTGGGCAGAGTTATAGATGAGGAAATCACCGATCGAGATGGTTTGTGGCATTTGGGTCGATGTGCTGTGGACATCCTGGAGCTACACTCCCGATACTGGAACGCGCGATTCTCTGTTCCTGTACCTGCATCGCTGCCAGACTTCATCTCTAGTTGCTGTTGCTGTCAGTTTGCCGCGCAAGCTTTCGGTTGGTCAAGACTGAAGAGAGAATCTGGTGTGCTGTCGTTGTACTAGAGGCGCGAAGCCTCACACTGTCATGTGCATTCTTCTCTTCCTGTGCCTGCAGTGCGGCTGGACACAGTCTGTGGTTGCTGTTGCTATCAGTCTGCTGCGCGAGCTTCTGGTCTGTCAAAACTGGACGCGCTGCCTCAAAGTTTCGATCCGAGTCAATTCGCAACCTGCCGAGGTATATACATGCAGACTCTGTTGCTGCTGTGTTGTGACGTCCATCTTCTTTTCGCTCTCTAGTTGCTTCGCTGCCCGTTCTTGGCCGCCCTGAGCTCATCCATCTTGGCCACGCGCACCTTGAACTCCTCGTACTGGCACTTCTCGTATGTGTGACGCTCATTCTGCCATGTGTCAGTGTCCCTGCGTCTCGTACTCCACTGTCCTGGGCGTCTGGTACCTCGCACTTCCACGGCAGGTAGTACTCCTCGTGCCGGCAGCGGTTCAGCGGGATGAGAAGGTGTGCGCATGAGTCTCGGTAGGCGAGAGGGAGGCGGGCGGCGCTCATCTCCTCGCGGGTGGCCTCTGCAGAGGTGTCAGTGGTGTGCTTCGTGAAGGCATTGCAGCCAATCAGAGGCCGTGGGTTGTCAGCACGCACTCTGGTCGCTGAGGCCGACGGCATTCTTTATCGATTCGGTGACGGTCATGGTTGCGCGAGTGCGTGGGGAGTCGCAATGGCGGGCGGAGAGGGCGGGCGCTGGGATGAGGTGAATGTCGTCGGCGGATGAGCCTGGGAGGTCCGAGGGCTTGGCAAGGCAGGAGCGACTGGCGGGAACGGAACGCGCGACACGTCCACCAACTTCACCACGTCGACGCGAAGTCAGCTGTTTCTCCACACCCACGCCGGACCTTTGGGCCCTCTGGACCGCCACGATGCCCCCGCTGCCCGACGGCAAGGTCTACTCGGCGACCTACAGCAATGTGCCTGTATACGAGGTCAATGTCAACGGCAACCATGTCATGCGCCGGCGCGCCGACGACTGGATCAACGCGACCCATATCTTGAAAGTAGCCGACTACGACAAGCCCGCCCGCACACGCATACTAGAGAGAGAAGTGCAGAAGGGCGTGCACGAGAAGGTGCAGGGCGGCTATGGCAAATACCAGGGCACATGGATTCCGCTCGAGGACGGGCGCATCCTGGCTGAGCGCAACGGCGTGCTCGAGAAGATGCGCGCCATCCTCGACTACGTCCCAGGCGACCGCAGCCCTCCGCCGGCACCGAAGCATGCGACGGCAGCCTCGAACCGCATGAAGCCCCCGCGAACGAGCGCTGCAGCCGCGCGGACGGCCAAGAACAACCAGAGCAGCCAGAGCAGCCAGAACAACCACAACAGCCAGAACAACCAGAACCACCAGAACAACCAGAACCACCAGAACCACCAGAACAACGTCTACTCGCTCGAGTCGATCCAGTCCTTCGTCGGCTCGCAGTCGCACGTCGGCGGGGACCCGTACGACAACGCCTCGCAATTGCAGTCGCACATCTTCCGCGACGACACGCCGGACAACGAGACGGTTGTGTCCGAGTCGATGTTGGGGGACCACGACCTCATGGACGCCGCGCAGTACTCAATGGAGAGCCGGAAACGCAAGAGGGGCATGGACCAAATGTCGCTGCTCGACCAGCAGCACCAAATATGGGCAGACCAGCTGCTGGACTACTTCATGCTGCTCGACCACAAAGACGCCTACTCCTGGCCCGAGCCACCGCCGAGCATAAACCTCGACCGCCCCATCGACGAGAAAGGGCACGCCGCCATGCACTGGGCAGCCGCCATGGGCGACGTCGGCGTCGTAAAGGAGCTGATACACCGCGGCGCGCGCATAGACTGTCTATCCAATAACCTCGAGACGCCCCTGATGCGCGCCGTCATGTTCACCAACAACTTCGACAAGGAAACCATGCCCTCGATGGTCAGAATCTTCCAGCAAACCGTACACCGCACCGACTGGTTCGGCAGCACCGTCTTCCACCACATCGCCGCCACCACCTCCTCGTCAAACAAATACGTCTGCGCAAGATGGTACCTCGACTGCATCATCAACAAGCTCTCCGAGACGTGGATCCCCGACGAGGTCACGCGGCTGCTCAACGCCGCGGACCAAAACGGCGACACGGCCATCATGATCGCGGCGCGCAACGGCGCGCGGAAGTGCGTTCGTTCCCTGCTTGGGAGGAACGTCAGCGTCGATGTGCCCAACAAGAAAGGCGAGACCGCCGACGATCTGATCCGCGACCTCAACTCGCGGCGCCGCATGCACGGCCGGCCACGTCAAGCATCCTCCTCGCCCTTCGCCCCGCCGCCTGAACATCGTCTCAACGGGTTCGGAAGCCAGCTAGACGGCGGCCCGCTCCTACCGATTCAGCTGCCGAGCAGTAGAGCAGAGCCGCAGCAAACATACCGAAGTCAGACGGCTAGTCATCTGATGACCAAAGTCGCCCCGACGCTCCTCGAGAAATGCGAGGAACTCGCGCTCGCCTACGAATCCGAGCTCGCCGAAAAAGAAGCAGAATCCTTCGACGCCAGCCGCGTCGTGAAGCGTCGACAGGCCGAGCTCGAAGCTGTGCGGAAACAGGTCAGCGAGCTGGAGAACCGGGGGTTGGATCTGGACGACGAGAGCGTAGATGTTGCGCACGAGGAAGAGCTGAGGCGGTTGGTGGAGGAAGCAGAGAGTTTGCTGGAGGTGGAGCAGAAGGCAGAGTTGAGACGGTTGCTGAGTGCGACGCCGCAGGTGCAGCAAGGGACAAAGAAGGAGGAGGACATGCAGGAGAAGCTGCGGCTGAGTTTGTTGTTGTACCGCGCGCAAGTGGAGAGGAGGGAGCTGGTCAGAGCTGTCGTTGCGAATCTGTCCGTCGCCGGTATGAGCGAGAAACAGGGCGTATACAAGGGCTTGATTGCCAAAGCACTCGGTGAGCGCGAAGAGGACGTCGAGCCCATGCTGCCCGAGATCCTGCGGGAACTAGAAGAGGCGCAGACGCAGGAGCGGGCGGAGGGGCTGGAGGGGAGTCCGCTGTGATGCGCATGGCACTGTTGAGTCCGCTGTGATGTGCATGGCACTGTTGACTCGCTGCCATGGACAGATCTTGTTCATAGCCTGGCGACTTTTTTTTTCCTTTTTTCTTCTACAGTTTTGTTGTTGTCTGCACGGTACTGATTCCCCAGGGGTGTTCTCAAGGCGTGGAGTTGTTCATATTGGATTGGCGAAGGAGGACATGTTACGATCAACTCATGTAGTCTTATAGTGCAAGCATGCATGAGTGTCTACGGGCACATACTACCACCACTATCGTCCCTTCGATGTTCTCTTGTCCCTTCGATGTTCTCTTCGGTGCCTTGCTGGTTTCGTCTGTCCACAGACTTCCTCCTGGAGGGGCAATGCAGCACTTCAACATGCGACGCGGCACTTCAACATGACATGCAACGCGGCACTTGAACACTCCCTCCACGATCCGGTTCGTCAATCAAAAGGCACCCTCCTCAACCCCCTCACACCGCCTTTCCTCTCCTCCCCTTCAGCGCCAATAGCAGCCGGTACTCTTATCCCGCAGCAGTCCCCCCAGCCCACCGCCGCATGCACATGCCTCTTTCCCGCCTCGTCCGTGAACACCTTGACCTCACCACCCTCTGGTTCCTCCCCCTCACCGGGTACACCCGCTTCCTCCTCCGTACTCATGCCGTCCACGGCAGGTATGAGCGAGCCAAAGAGGAAATGCTGCATGACCGGCAACTTCTCCAAGATCTCCTTGACGAACATTTTCCTCATCCCGCCTTCGATTTTGGCCCAGGATTTGCTGGCGGAAATGTCGTCGAGCATCGGACTATGCCACCTCAAGCCCTCCACGTTCTTCACAGAATTGACAAACGATATTTGGTCGAGGTATATATACTCCGTCCTCTCCTCTTCCAGCACAAGCGCATTGTGTATGCTCTTCGGCGTGATGTACGGATGGTGCAGCAGCTGGCTCGCCCCGAACAAGAACGGGAGGAACTGGTAGTCGTCCAGCCCCCAGACGCCGTGGCTGCCGGCCGGCTCGAGGTAGTACGCGCCCTGGATCTTGCGCATCAGGCGTAGATAGGCGGGCAGGATGACGAGCGCGAGCGCGGGGAAGGTTGAGGCTGGGAGCAAGGAGAGACGGTTTAGACAGAGGAGCCAGAGGAAGAAGTTTAGCTCGTGGCCGGAGCCGTAGTCTATGCGGCGCTTGTTGCCGAAGGAGTTGAGGAGGTAGGTTGAGATCTCGTCGATTTGGGTGGGGTTTATGAGGCCGAGCTGGGCATGCCATGATGGTAAGGCTTCCTCGATCCTGTCCAAGAAGGCGCGGAACACGGGGTTGCCGAAGCGCGAGCCAGTGTCTTCCGGCGGGCACTCCTCTTGGATCTTCTCTGCCTCTTGTAGTATTCGTGTTACCTTGCCTAGGGTGTTGGTGATGTCGCAGTCCTTCACGCTGGACACGGCGCGGTCCTGCACGCTATCGGCGATATTGAAGATGAAGGCTTGTACGAGTCTACATGTTGGGCTCTTGAGGAATAGCTGATGATCGTCTGGGCTCAGTATGCGGCGCGAAGGGTGTGTGTATGTGTGCGAAGAGAGGTCTGGCGGCGGCGCGAGCGCAGGTGTTGGCGGGGGAGGGGCAGAGGGTGGTTCGCGAGCGATCGAGTTACGCTTGCGAGGCACGAGTTTAGGAAGCTTTGCGCTGAGATCTGACAGCGCCAATGGTACTGGCGGCGATGTTGCTGACATTCTGCGTACGTGTGTGTCGTGCAGGAAGTGAGTGAGGTTGTGGATGTTTGGAGATGTCAAAAGCCCGTTCCGAATCAGTTCCGAATCAGTTCCGATTGTTCCTTCCACTAACGTCGCAGATGACTCCAGACGTTGTAGGAGCATCAATTACCATTCAACTGTTGATGATTTTAGCTACAAGATCAGCTCATCCTAAGACGTGAGGGCTAGGTGAGGGAAGAGCAGAGGCATGAAGATCAGGAGGGAGATGCATCACGCGGCGTGCAAGTAGGGATTTGATCTTGATGAGATTTCTGTCTAGATGTCAAGGCCTGAAGCCATCCTGTAGATCCACAACGCCTCTATCTATGCAGCTGTATAACTAGAGCCCGCTCAAGTGCGCTGTGTCCGCGCTCTATGCACCAAGCCATGCACCCAGCCTTGACCCATATGCCCATATGCCCATAACGCCATAAACACCACAAACCCTACGGGTGCGATACGAACAAACGCAAGGCAAAGCTCGCCTCCTGATTGCCCAGACTAATCGTCCAGCTCACTGGGACTCTCCTCCAACTTGTGTCTCCTCTCTTCATCCATCTCCTTGTACGTCGCCCAGCTCAACAACAAAAACGCGCCAATAATCAGCAGACCGCCCAGAATAGCCGCGCTCGTAAGCGGCGAATCGAGCGGCGGAGGAAGTAGCTGGTCGACAATCGCGACGATGAAGATAGTAAGCAGCGCGGCGACAGAACTCAAAACGGGACTGGTCAGCGAAATGAGGACGAGGAAGGATCCCGAGAACGCTGTGAGACGTCAGTATATCGTCGTGTTGTTGCAGAGGTGGGAAGGGGGAAGGGGGAAGGGGGAAGGAGGGAAGGACGCACTTGCGTTCGCGAAAACGGAAATGGCCATCATCCACGCCTGCTCGCCGCGCGGCAGCTCAAAGGTCTCCCAGCCGGTGTAGTGCAATATGGGAAGAGGGATCCAGAGCACGGATAGTGTGAATGCACCGATGAGGGAGCCAAATGTGTTTGCGAATATCATGCCCTTGTTCGGCGATGCGCCCTCGGGCGGACACGCGAGTCTCTTATACAAGACTTCATACAAGCCGTACAGCACCGACCCAATGCCTATTATCAGGTTGCCAAACGCACGATTCTCAGCTTCGTGGCTGGGCGGTGCTTTTTCGCCGCCCGCGCCGCCCCCGGATTTCGAACCGTGTTTTGCCGGGGAGGTGTCGCCGTATGCGACGACGAAGACGCCAGCAACTGCGATGGCGACGGCGAGGACCTTCGAGGCGCGCACTTTCTCGTGCAGGATCGGGATGCTGAAGGCGTACGCGAAGAAGGCGGAGCAGTTGTAGATGGCGGTCAAGTCGCTCGCTGTGGTCTGGTTGACGGCGACGTACCAGCTGCCGCCTGCGAGGGTGAGGGCGCAGGTGATGAAGGCCGTCATTTTGAGCATGTAGCGCACAGGGCTGACGAGGGATTGCCGCGGTGTTGGGTGCAGGGTCTGGTGCTGCACCATCAGCGCGGTTTGGCGCAGGAGCTGCGTGTGTCGTCGCCAGAAGGTGGACCAGGGCTGGTCGCGGTGCTGGAGGCGCAGGAGGAGGAGTTGTGTTGGCCAGAGGAGGATCCACGAGCCGTGGGTCATGTAGAGCATGCAGTAGGGCTTCTCCCATTTCAGCTCGTGCTGGATGTATACCGCGGTCTCTGTCTGGACTGTGAAGCTGATCAGGCTGAGCACCAGGAAGATGGCGGCGTATGTGTATTTCTTGCGCGTCTCGAGCCTGGCCTGGGTGACGGGGTCGCGCTCGTGGAAGCGATGCGAACTGCGCGAGAGGCCCTCTGTGCCCTCTGTGCCCTCGTCGTCGCTCTTTCTCCCGAGCAGCGGCGCGTGGTGGCCATCGGCTCTGGCGCGCTCCAGCGAGTGTCTCAGGTCGGACGGCATGGCTGCGTCGTGCTCATCCCAGTCGTCGAACTCGTCGGACAGCTCCGGGCTGTCTGGCTCCTTGAACGCAACGCTCTTCCCGTGGCCGTTGGACTGTCTGCGCAGCGTGTTCTCTGTTGACAGCTGGCGCGAATTGGCAGAGACGACTGCAGGCTGGATCTCTCGGTCTGACCATGCAAGGTCGCTTTCGTCGAGCGGGCGCGACTTCTTGGTTCCGGCCGGTTCCTTGCGGAGAGGGATGGACTCGGGCATAGGCGCAGCAGGTGAGGCGGACCACTCTTATACGGAGTGACTACTGCGGCGGAAACGAGCAACCGATGAGTGGGTGGGACCGCTGCAAGGTGCGCTAATTGTGGCTGCTGATAGCTGGCGTGAAAAGACAGGCCTGGGGAATGGCCAAGCACGACGTCTGCGAGCGGATTCCCCTGGAGGCATCCAGGGTCCAATCGCTCCGCCGCCTCTTCCGCGCCGCCTCTTCCGCGCACCCTCCACCACCCTTACGCGGCTCATGTCGTCCTTCCATCTCAACAACACCACCATCTTGACGTTCCCCAGAACTCAGTCGCCAGACCGCCGTGTCGACGCCGGTGGACGCCGGCGTGTATACAAACCACTTGTTTGACTGCGGCTTAGCTTCCCATCCGGTGACAGCACGTCATCTGCGACTAACCGACAACGTGCCTCCACACGCGAAGACCGTGGGGTACTTACAGGTGACTTCGCCTACGCATGACTCGCAGCCATGGGTGGAACCCGTCCAAGCCCCGGATACCCGTAAGCGGTATCACGAACTCATAGGCAGCAACGCGACAGTTATGTAAGGATGCTTTGGTAGTCGACTTGGCGGCGGACCTCCAGGGCTCCTTTCAGATCTTGAAGTAGGAACAGGCAGCGACACGACAGTTGTGTGGAGTTGCTTTGCATTCATCTTGGCGTCCATCCTCCTATCCCATCCTGGGGTACTAAATAGGCAGCGGCATGACAGTTGGGTATAGATGCTTTCGTACTCGTCTTGGCATAGGACCCCGGACGTCTCCAGATCCTGAACACGGAGTAGGTAGTTTCGAAAGGTGCTTTTGCACTCGACTTGGTACTCAACCATCTCTCCGATCTTGGAGTAGTTCACAGGCAGCACCCAACCATTATGTGCACATGCTCTTGTGTGTTCATCTTGGCGTAGAACCTCCTTTCAGGTTTCGGCGTAGGGGTGATGTAGCAAATCACTTCTTGCCGAAACCCTCCACACCCATCTGTCTCCCTTCCCAGCTACTCGTGACTTTCTCCTGTCTCCAAGCACCTCGCTCTCCAAAGGGCACTTGAAACAACTCCTACCTCCCCTCTATCCATTTCCTCCCTCCCTTCTCGCTACGTCTCAAAGACCGCCGGACTCGTCGCAAGTATAACCACCAGACTACTCACTATAAGCCCCCCAGCCACGACCGAAACAACAACAATGCTTCCCCTCGAGGCGGGGAATTTCCCTCTTATTACGTAGTGCTGCGCCTCGAAATACCGGTGGAAACCAATGAACAGCATCAGTATGCTGATGCCTATAAATGTTGCGCCGAGAGGTTTGCCGAGGTGCCGGAGCTTGTAGAGACTGTGGGTGTTGGAGGATTCGGTGGAGGGTTTGTTGGAGGTGTCGGACCGCAGCGAGGAGTTGAGACGGAAGAGTTGCGTTATTGCTATCCCGATGGATGCAAAACTCAGACTCGTTCTTAACCAGGCTAGGAACGTCCTCTCTGTCCAGCATTAGCTGCCACCCTCCCCAAAAGCAATCGTCGTCCATAGTCTTAGACTCAGATAGGACGTTAAACCAATCAATCAATTCCCAAAAGTAACCTTCCCATCTCACACAAATAGGAGAAAGAGAATGTGTGTGTGTGTGTGTGTGTGTGTGTGTGTACTGGCAGAGTGGGATATTGGGGGCGTACCTAAAGCCAAATGATCCCTAGCAACACTCCCCTTGTTCTCCAGTTCCACACTCCCCCACTTCTCCCAGAAATCGCTCCACCACCCGACATCTTGCCGTTCTGTCTCTTCAGCTCTCCGCTCAGCACTCCCCGTACGTTGCTGTGGAGCACCTCTTTCTATGGTGCCGGTAGTACCCTCCTGCGTCGCAGCACCGTTGCTTCTGGAGCCCGATGATTGTGCGGCGTCGCGAGATTGCACGGCAGATATGGAAGCGTAGTCCTTGGACGCTTGGGGGGTGCATGTTATGGGTGTGGACTCGTCGGTATTGCGTTGCTGTGGACCTGATGCCATGGCTGTAGCTTCTCCTTCTCCTTCTCCTTCTCCTCGCTCTGAAGATTGGCGTTTCTTGAGTATAGATCGCAGAGCCTTGTTGCCTGTCTCGTTTCTCGGTTCCTTTCCAAAAACACTCGTCGGTCGTTGTCGCAAACCCAGGTCACCGGTCTCGTTCACGCGCCCGTCGGTCTCGTCGGGCATGAGTTCGGAGCGTCGGCTGGCTGCGTGCATTGGCGCGGGCACGCTTTTGTACTGTTGCACTCTGGCATGGCGTTATCAGTTATCAGCTAGGATCTCGAGCTCCAATCACGCGTGTGCATGCAGGAGCGATCATGTATATCGTGAAAGAAGGTTAGTGCAGAATGCGTGATCCCGTGCGAGGTTGACGCAACGCTGGCGGCGAGAGCCATGTGGAACTGACCTTGTGGCGCGTGGCTTGTGGCGGGACCGCGGGGGTGTGCCCGAGACATGTTCGCGAAAGGAGTGAGTGGTCTTGCCAGGAAGAACAACACTGCTTTTGCAGGGAAGACATCTAACAAATAGCACGAACAGGTGTTTCCTTTGAACGCAAAGAGGATAGGCGAGGCAATGGACTAACAAGGATTTTCCCCCAAGATACAGACTGAGAGAAAGGTTCAAGTGAAGGCAGCAGTGCTTGTAGAACATCGACGCCTTGCAGAACATCGACGCCTTGCAGAACATCAACGCCTTGCCGAACATCAACGCCTTGCCGCGGACCTGCTCATGAGCCCTGCCGATGGCTTCCTTGCGGTCGCATCACACATCATGGAATAGGAAAGACGAGCATATCTTACGGCTTCGTGATCTATCATTGCTGGTATATACCTGCCAGCAAGTTTTGAGAAAATTGTGAATGTGATATGGAGTGCACGACGAACGCTCATCATCGCATAATAAGCCGAACATGGTCCAGTATAAACGCCGCCCAATGACCGCCGGAGCGGGAGTTCCCCTCTCAGCAACGTATAGCCGTCCTTCTAGAATGTCTACTCATTGTAGTGGTACACCTGGGTCTCTGTCAGCTTTGTTCCGATAAGCCGAAACCTGCAACTTACAAGGTAATTTGGCAGACCGTAGCTCTCCCAGTTCAATCTCGCGGCCATCTTCGCAAATCCCTCCGTCTCGATGAGGTGGTAGAACGCGAAGGGAGGGAACATAGCCCCATCACGGTGCACCTCAGCCTTGACCAGCAACGTCGCACCGCCAACACCGTCGAGCTTGACCTTTGCGCCCGGATCGGCCGAGGCGTCGTGCATGTAGGCCATCAGGCTGCGGTACGTCGCCATCTCAGCGTAGCCCTCGAGCAGGATATCGTCCTTGCCCATCTTGGCACCCAGTTCCCGTGCGGTCGGGCTGTCGATCCAGTTGTTGAAGTCGTACGGACGCTGGTCCATGGCCTTCTTGTCCTCGTTGTAGTAGCGCTGGAAGCAGTTCGGGACGATGATAGGCACGTCGTAGGCGGCGAGATCCTGGATGAGCGTGGGCGGGGTCTCGACGACGTCGGCGTCCATCCAGAGCACCCACGAAGTGGCAGGGCCCATGGTCGTGAACAGCAGCGAGTTGCGCGCCTTGGCCATTGCTGCACGGCGCGCCTTCTGGTTCTCCATCTTGTGTCGCTCGGCCTCGTCTTGCGACTGTAGCGGAATCTCGGTGTCCTGGCGCAGGATCGAAACGGCGGCGAAGCGCTTGCTCTTGGGGCCAGACTGCGTCTTGGTGACCTGCGCCTGCAATGCGGCGTACGCGGCGTTCCCCTCCTTCGTCTTGGGTATTATGAAACCGAGAGAGATCAGGTTGTGAGGGTAGCTGAGCTTCAGCAGATTGTCCCAGTAGCCCTCGTAGAAGCGCGCCAGCGGCGTGAGGATCAAAACGGACTCTTCGTTCTCCATCGGCGTGCGCGAGGTTGTGATGTTGTTCATGTAGTAGTGCACCACGGGCGGCGCGGCCTGGGGAGCGTTCCCCTTTGATTTGCGGAAGGGCAGCGAGGGCGGCGACAGTGGACTCGAGGCTGTCTCCCCTGCGCCGGTCTTCTTGGTGAATGCTGGCCCATCGCTGCCGGAGAAGAAGAAGACGAAGAAGCCGATGCAGAGAACGGCAGCGAGGACGATGGTAATGGGATTCGAGCGGCGGAACGAGCGTGACATGGTAGGCGGGGAGCTAGGAGAGAGGGCGGACCGCGACTGGCCAGGGAATTGAAGTCGTCTATAAGCGGTGCATCAGAACCGAAGGGGCGGACGTGGTAAGGAGGTGGGCGCGCAATGTGGCCGCTCGGAAACGTGTCAACGCTGGGGCAATGTAACGCTGCGCTCAGCGGCGGTGGAGGCCGGGGATGGGAGGGTCCAGAGGAGACTGCCCTCAACAATTGCTTACACGGCCGATGTCAGGAGTGGCTGCTCGTATGGTGCGGAGCCCGCTTGCCTGGCTTCGCATTGCATTCGCGGCATTCGCGATAAAAGTGCTTAGTCATGCCAGTCAGTGAGAGCTCCGGGTACTGACCTCATGCATCGCTGCGCTGCCGCAACACCACGCCTTGGACGTTCACAGACCATGGTCAATTGAGCTCCAACCGATGACGCTCTTGGTCGCACGACAATGCCGACTCTTGGGGGCGCCTCATGGTGCCGTTGGCGCGTTGCGGCGTCTGCAGCAGCCTGCCGTCACTGTAGCTGCGCGCTCGTATGCGGATGAGGCAAGGGCGGATGCAGCAGAGGCACCTCGTGCTCCAGCAAGAGTCTATCCAAACAGGAGGCTCGACCTCACCAGGTACAAGCAACACCAGAACGATCGCGACAAACGGTTACGGAAGGAATACTTCAAACAGTACCTGAGCGAGGAAAACACACAACACCGGAACGAACGCAAGAAACGTATGAAAGAGTCGACTTATCTGCTCACCCCAAAGTATGAGGACAGTGAAACTGTTTCAGTCAACAGCGCGATCCTTATACCCGCCTCTGTCACCACTGCCGTGAGTGTGCCTGCATCCTTGATCTAGCATATACTCAGCCCTACAGAAACCAGAGCACTTCGTCAAGGAGATCGACCCTGTCCACCCGTTGCTCCTGCTGAAGCAGAACCTCGTTGTCTTCCTCGTCACCCCGTCGTTCGCGCCATGGCTCCTCGACGACCGTGTCTTCTTGGAGAAGGCACTCGCAAAGCTGTACCAGAACCTCCCCGGGCCCCTGCCAAAGGTGCATGCCATCTGCGCTGTCGTCGACAAACTGCCAGAGGCGAAGCCAGTGGGCGGCGACAGCGGGCGCGATGCTGTACGCGCGGAATTCACCTTCCGCGCAAAGCACCCGCCTGTCAACGAGACTGGACTCGAGGGCATCGCATACGTCGTGCTACCTGCCAAAGCAGAAGTGTCTGCGCAGCCAAACATTGGTGGAGAGCTGGGATGCATTGACTTCCTTGCACATACACACACCACAAACCAAGGCAGGCACAATGACAGGGTGCGAGTGCCGTTGGCGAATACTGTATTCCAGACCGGCCAATCCAGCACCATGATCAACTCGACGTGGGAACGGTCTGTAAGCGACGATAGGCTGGAACTCCGAACGCGAAGGCAGATCAAGACGGTTGTCATCAACCTATCCGCAGAGGACCCAAAACCTGGAAAATCGCAATTACAATCGTATTTGCATCAGGAAGCTGCGGCATTGAGTATACCGTTGATACCCTTGACGGTGCCACGTCAGGTCGATGGCCACATGGGCAACATCATCCGAGGGGTAATTGGCCCTGATGGGAACAAGATCACAGCTTCTACAGAGTTGGAGCAGGTCGTTCCTCAGTACTTCAAGTCTCGAGATGAGCCAGCCCAAGCCACTTCGGCATGGGCCTTGGTCATACCCAAAGACAAGGCACACATTTGCATCAAGGATACCAGTCGATTGGTCTCCGGACAGCTGGGGACAAACCCGGATTTCATGACTTCAGAAGACCACGAACATTGGGAGCAGAAAGGGCGAGAGCTGCTTTGGCAAAAAGATCCACCTCAGTGGAACAACATGACTCAAGAAGCAATCGCGAAAGGCGCGCGACTGCACAAGGTCCTTAGCGGCGGAGGCGGATGGGGCAAGAAGGCCGGTCTGCTGTCCCTAGATCCTGTGCCTATTGGCGCACCGATGCCGGAACAACCTGCGAAGGAGAGCACGGCGGAACACTTTGACAGCGTGGACGAGTTCTCCACGGCGCTCAAACCTGTCGTCGAGGACGGAGACTATATCCAGTTCTTCATCTCTACAGCAACGGCCCAAGGAGAGACTGTGTCTGCGTTCGAAGACCTGAAAAAGGTCGAAGAGTCCACCGGGGGGAATGCGTGGAGCTGGGAGTTCGGCGTCATTCCAAGCACCATCGATTCCATACCTGGCGGGTCGTGGCAGCACACCGGAGCAGCGTCGGAAGAAATGGTCGTTTTCAGAGGCAGCTTTGGCGCTCTTACCGAGGGAGGTCTCACCTTGATGCGTGGACGCGGGGTCAATCTCAAGACGGGAATCGCTGGAAAAGCCATCAATACTACTACGATCGATGTGCCATTCTCGCGCTGGTCAGCAGTTCGGCTACACCCAAGGAAAGGCATTGAGACCAAGAGAGTTGGTGACTTTGGCAAGCAGGTGAAGGCGAACACAGGGGCTAGTTCAAACGCCAATATCGATGCAGGTAACCCGTTGTAGAGTCCGAATATCCATCAATGTATCTAATTGATCATTCAGTCCATACATGATGATGCCTTGAGTCCAACCGTCCCAACTCAGCATACCAATCCGATTACTTCTTCACCATTCTCTACGAAACAGAGACCGCAGTACAGACATACATCTACCATAAATCCTCAGGGAGCTCGTGCCATGAGTACATTTCATAACTTGAAAAGTCTTCATGTCAAAAGGGAACTACAGCAGGACAACATACAAACCGACTCAGAAAAACGAACTTCAACCCCAGACTCAACCCCGCAAGCCAGAAGCCACACCTCCAAACCGAAGCGCTCGTCTCCCATACCAAAATCCACATCGCCTAGACCGGAAGAACCAAAACGCCCGCTCATCCGAAAGACGATACCCAATGAACCCGATCGCCCCACCCTATCCAACAACGACACCAATATACCAAATCCCAAGAATTCCCGGAAAGAAAGCCCACCAGGATCCAAGCCGAAAGAGGACGCACGGAAGGGTCAAGCAGACCACGTCAAGCATCGCATACACCTCAGACACTCTTCAAGACTGCTGTCAAAACTGTTACACCCACAAGCCGAATCATCGCAGCGTCACGATAAGAAGGAACCTCAACACGAGACCAAGGAAGCTGTGAAGAAAGCAGAGAAGCGAGTCGAAAAAAGCACGTTAACCCAGAACGAGAAACCGCAGCTCATCAAGGACAAGAAAAAGGAAGAAACGAAAACCCTCAAAGAGCGGAGGAAATCGTTTCGAGAAAACAATCCAGAACGTCTCAAGCTGCAGAAGCTACGTACAAGTCAGGGATTCGCTGTTAGAAGGGTTGGTGCTGGTCCGCCCTTTAACGCAGATACAGAAGCAAAGGTTGTGCACTTGACGGCGGACGATGCGGGTGAGAGAGCGAGGTTGTCGGGGAAGATTCTTGCCAGGCTGACGGAGCAGCTCAGACTTGTGACGGGGTTGAAGGGGAGCGAGCCAGAAAGGTTGCGGAGGTGGAGGGTGAGGAATGAGAAGAAGCGTCTCGTACCGACCATTGCGCTGGTAGGTGGGAGGGAGAGGGGTGTTGTGAGGACCGTCGAGTCGAAAGCGCAGGACATCGACAGGGTTGGAAATGTTAAGAGCAAGCTCTCCCCGAATACTTCATACACCCTAACACCTGCCGACCTTCTTGCCACGCACATGACAAACCTCCACCGCAGGCGCGCCTCCCACCGCTCCCCCTCCGGCCTAGACTTCGTCATGCGCTCCATCCGCCTCGATCCTGTCTCCCCACAAACCCAGTCACACTCTCCACCCTTGCGAAACTTCCAATGGTTCCTCAGCCACCTGCACGGCGGACTTGGAGTAATCACCAAACGAACCCGCCTTCTCTCCGCTCAGCTATCCAGGTACCTCCGCGATCCGACCATACGAATATCCAGACGCGCTGCAGGAATGCCAGCCCGCTCCTGCCTAACCAAATCCGTACCAAGCTCACGATTGCGACACATCCTTGGTGTGATCCAGGGCCGAGCGAAGCGGATAATCAAAAGGAACCAGATGCTCTCCGCCCAAGTCTCTGCCTACCACCCACACACACCCGTGCCACTCGCCAAACACGCCGCCAGAATTCTGCCGCGCTCCAAGATATCACGCAGACCGGTACAGCTCACCACTCCCACCAACCCTACTCAGCATAGCGACTCTACTCCGCAAAACGCTGAGCGCCTCACCGCCCGGAAAGTCCTCCTTCCCGCGCGCCTGCGCCGCATCGCCGCCCAGCCGCCGAGAGAGAAAATGCGGTACGGCGACGGGCGGGCGTTTGCGGGAGCTCGGTGGAGCACGCTGAGACCGAGGGTAAGGAGGAAGGGTTTCAGAAACCAGAGGGAGCATTTGCGGTCCCATCTAGTTGGGGGCAGGGCTGAGGCTCGGAAGGTCACGGTTCGAAGCAGGGAGGAGCGGTTGGAGGATGATGTTGCGGAGTGGTTGGGCAGTAGGGGAATGTAGTGCGCTCCGACATTATAGTGACAAGGTGGTTGTATTACATGTGAATGTAGAGTAGCGATAATGATTCAAACTTAAGTTCCCAAGCTCCCAAGCTCCATCTTCAGCGTGTGTTTCGTATGTCTGGCTGCACGGCGCTTATCGTGTTAGCAGACTGATTCGTGCCCCGTGTGTTGATTTCCCCGTCTTGTAAGAGCTTCGGACGGAACGGTACGAGCGTATCTGACTTCCACACAAGTGAGTTTTCTCTTGCCAACAAGATAAATAACCCTCCCGAAAGCAATGGCAGCAGTGCCTCCGTCACCACGCCTTTTGTACCACATATCTAAATAGCAAGCCACAAGGCTATCCGAACGCCATTTCTAGTTTGTGTTTACTATACATGAACACGATTGATGTGAAGGTTGCAATGATGTTGTGAGGGGAGATGTAAACAGCGATCCCAATGTCTGTGGAATGCGATCCGGAGAACGGTACAGCTGCGCTGGCTGTGCATAGTGTTCTTCGACCTCTTGTCAATAGTAGTCTGTATGCGAGGTGCCATTGGCAATAGAAAGCTGCCCTTCAAAAATTTTGAGGCGCTGAAGAGACGTATCAATAGCCCTGCCCGTTCAGTGGGCCGAAGCCCGTGTCGGTGTACAAGCTGCCTCCCTGGGGTATCCATCCGCCAAAGTTGTCGTTGATGTCGTTCCACAGATACAGATCGCCATTTTGAAACGCTGCAGAGAAGTCACCCATGTCAGGCGTGAAGGTTGACTGATCGCCGAGGGGCTGGCCCGAGCTTTGAGGCATGCCACCTGGTGTCCACGCATAGGGATTGGTGATGTTGAAAGTTGAGCCTTGCAGTGGTGTGGTTTGTTGCGGCTGCGATAGGTGTCGTTCAAGGTCTGGTGCGGACTGTTCCTGCGTGCCAGTCTCTTGCTGTGGCTTCCCATCCTTGCCATCTCCGACAATGGTTGGAGAACTAGTCCCGCTGGTATTCACAGTACTATCCTCCTGTACTTTCCTCCGCTTGAGATGCCGTCCTTCTCGTCGCCATTCCAAATATTCTTCGCGCCATGATATCAGCTTCACTTCTAGGACAAATGTCCAGTGAGTTGGCATACGACACTTTTGGGGTCCAATTGCTTCTGTACTCTTTTTAAGCACGGTCTGGAGGTAGAAGTCGACCTTCAGACTCTGCGAATCGAGTATCTCGCCCATCTCGGGGTCAGTGCCGACAGCATAGTCTGCTTTCATGAGAACCACCAGTGCGTAGATCGCTCTGACAAAGAGAAGGTTCGGTGCCTTCTGCAGAGTGTCATTGGATATTCCTATGAAGCATTCGAGTATGGCGTGTGCTTCGATGATGCACTTTGTGGTGGCGTTGATTTGGAGTGCAGAGCGAGACAAGAGAGACTCGGGCTGTACAGAGTCATCGTCGAGTGCAGGTAGTGTGAGATGTCGATTTCGGAACTCTGTCACATCGTAACGTCCGCCGTCCATTCCAAATTCCCACATCGAGAGCATGTCTGTAAGAACGCGCGTCAGTACTCAGTCGCATCTTGGAGGTAGTCAACTCACTTTGATGATACTCCATTGTCAAAGAAGGCGTCAGAACATCTTTTGGCACAGATTTTTTCCAGTCGTGCATCCTTCGCTCGAAGATGCGCAAGATCATTTGCATGCGCAGCTCTGAAAGACTGAAGCTGGTACTCGCGTCATCGAAGCCAAATGCTGTGTTTGCTTCGTCTGCAATGCGTTGCAGCTTGAGCCATGCTAAGGTTCGTTGATCAGCTTGCAACGGTGACTTCTCAAGCATGTTCAAACACTCCTCCATCCAGCTGTTGAACAGCAGTATGTTGGGCCGCTTGAGTCTCATCGAAAACCCAGCACATACGACGTATAGGTATAAGACTGTGCGGCAATGCTCGAGAAGTTCCTCTGGCGATGAGATTTTCTGAAGAGACCGAATAGCTCTTTTCGGTAGTTGCTCGTGTGTTCGCGGTTTCGATGCAAGCCCCAGCTCTAGCGCCATGCTGGCTGCCATATTTACCCATTGATAGATCTGTAGCTGGCCCGGAGTTTTTGGCGGAGAATAAAATGCTACCGTCACAAGGAATGCTTGTATGGTCTGTACGGACTTCTCGCCATTGATGAAAGCAGTCCGAGCGTACATATACACTGCTTCTTCATGGAGTTTATCCGAGAGCGCCGAGCCTTTCGAATGCGCTGCTGCCGCCATGATGGCATAGAACAGAGATGGCTTTTTCTGCCTGAGTTGTGCCGCTGTCCAGTCTTTGGGAATGTATATGCCTGGGCTTGCAGCAACCAGCTCGTTGCGCCAGATGTTCAGCAGCTCTTCCGAAAGCTCTTGAGTGATCACACCACGATCGATGATGTCGTTAACAGGTCCAAGCAAATCTTTGGGACCGCAGTTGCTCGCAGGAGGAGCCTCCCTTGGTGACTTCGGGCCAATGATGTTGGGCCAATGATGGGTGAATGTTGATGTTGCGGTCGTCGCGCTTCTGTGTCTCTGAGATTCTAATGGAGATGACTCCTCTGCACCATTGTCTCTCTCGGAATCCTCGTCCGCAGATTCGTGGTCGCTTGCGCCAGGAGGTGAACGATTGCTACCCTTCATGAGAGATTGCATTTTCTTAATCTCTTTCTCAAGTTCTGCAACTCGCACATCTGTTCTCTTTCGTTGACGTCTCTTGACCGGCGCAGCGAAGATACATGCTCTGCCAGCTTTTGCGCATCGTTGGCATACGTTTGAATTTGGATCTGGGTTTGCCAAACACCGAACTTTTGACGTCCGGCAGGCCTCGCATGCTCGGTTCAACGCCTGTTCGGGCTTCTTGGACTGGTCGTCCTCGGGTCTGCTCATGGGTTGATTGAGCATGGCTAGCAGATTCCCAGCTCCCTCTCGTTCAGGCGATCGGGTGATCTGATGCGACATATTTCCAGATCGATAGACGGTCGAATGTAAGCGCAGACAGGGAGACAGAACTTTAGTAGAGTTGGCTGTATTGCGCTTGAACACGACTGATATTCTTCTCCCTTCTGCGAAGCTGGTTGTGACATCCTTGGCCCTAAAGGTTTAGATGTGCAGGTCCTCAAGAGAGCGGCGCACAGGAAGCTATTCCTTCAGGGTGCGACAGGCGGTGACAGTCGCGAGATCACCGGGAACGTGATCGCACGCAGTCAGGTTGCGAGAGTGTTGACTGTAGCTGCCTTACGCGGACGGCAGGAGGGTTCAAATCAGGTTAACCCAAGCGGGTAAAGATGGGCGCAGCCACATTGGATGTACCTGCCGCTGCCGCCACATCTCTCCTGCCACAAGCCTCACACCCTTTTCAGCCATCGCACTGTTCAAGTACTGAATGCCTGGCAACACTTCAGACAATCGAAGCCATTATTGGTAAGTGCGGTTGTGGTAAATTAGCACGGTTTTGCAGTCTAACTGGGCACGGAAACTTTTCCCGAGCTGTGTGAGGCACTTGGGCAATGTTCAAAATATGCACGTACCCGGTACGTCAAAGCACATGAGCCGCAACAGTTTGCGAAGTCGTCTCTCGGAGTGTTCGGAGTGTTTGCAGTGTGGGCACGCACGCGGTAGGAGAAAATATGCCCACCGCCAAAAGTCCTTCACAACAGCACCATTAGCCTGCAACAGCCTTGCTTGAATTAAAGAAGCAAATAAGCCAGATTGTAGAGGATTACACTGGCTTTCCTCTTCAAGAGAAAGTAGGTGTTGGTGTTCGCAGTTTTAGTAAGGGAAAGTAGCTGTTCGCGGTGGGCTTATTCTCCCGCACCGCCTGGCACGGTCGCAGTTCAGTACCGCTTAAAGCGCCTACCCGTCGGAAAACATAACTTCCCTACGACTTGGAATTGTTCACGATCTTATAACAGCAAGCCTTCCCGCTACACATTTCATACACATACTGAGCCGATCCGACATATACAACAGGTGTCAACGATGCATGAGTCAATCACTCGTTGAGTTGTACTTCAAAGGGCGCAGGGTGTACTAGCGCGACGATTCTCAATACACATTGCAACACTTGCGCATAACAGCACATTTACACAAATTTGAGACAGTGAGAACGGTCGAGCCACAGCAAAAAGGGTCAGTCACGATCATCACTCAAGGTAGGGCTAACAGTCATAGTGAGAGTATAACATGCTATGTTCATGGATATCAAGCTCGTTACTAATGAAGGACAAAACACAAGCCTTTCACAGGCAACACGCACTGGCTTAGCACAGCCAGAACCAGAACTTCTCGAGAGCATTCCTGGGAACCTGCTCAGGCCAAACCTCGGCGTCAAGAGCAGCCTTGCCGGACCAGATGTCGGCCTCAGCAGGGTTGACGAACTTCGTACGCTTGAAGATCTTCCAGAAAGCGTATAGCAGGACGAAGATGGGGACACCAACGTAGGCAGTGAAGAAGGAAGTGAGCTGATCAGAGCCCCAGCCACCCTTCGTCTGGGTGAACACCTTGAAGCCGTTGAAAACGATGATCAGAGCGAAGTAGACGAAAGCAATCCAGGCAGTGTATGGTTGCCACTTGCTCTTGAAGACCAGGGTGTTACGGTCAACGCCCTGGGCGATGAGTGCCTTGCGGAAACGGGTGTAGGTGTAGCAGACAGAGCACCAGGTGAAGAGCTGGGCAATGGTGGTCAGGTTCTGGAACCACAGAAAGACGGTATTGGCACCAGTAGAGACACTCATATAAGTGAGGAGACTGATGGAAGCTGTGATAGCGACGCAGTAAAATGGGACACCAGTCTTGCTGCACTTCAACAGGAACTTGGGAGCCTGGCCGTTCTGGGCGAGAGCGAACATGTAACGCGAGCCAGAGTACAAGAAGGCGTTACCGGACGAAGTGGCTGATGTCAAGATGACGGCGTTGATGATATGGGGCAGTGCTGGGATACCAGCGTTCTTCATGGCAATGACCCATGGGGAGCTCTGAGCACCTTTGGCGTTGTCATCAGTAAGAGCGGGGTCGTTGCTGGAAACGGTGACACCGATCATGAAGGAACCGAGGACGTAGAAGAAGAGGATACGCCAGAAGACACGGCGAACGGCCTTGGGAATGTTCTTGCGAGGGTTGGCGGCCTCACCAGCGGCAACAGCGACCATCTCGACACCACCGTACGAGAAGGCAGCGTTAACAAGAGTGGACCAGAGACCAGTGAAGCGACCAGTAGAGCCAGTACCGACGTACTCTTTCATTGCACCCTCCTTCCAGTACCTAAAGCCGCGGCGGTCGTGATCAGGAGCACCACCGAGCATGATTACGAGAGCGACGAGGAGCAGGCCGAGGATGGTGATGATCTTGATCGACGCAAATACGAACTCCGCTTCACCATAAATGCTGACGGCAAAGATGTTGAGGGCGACGATGATCACGATGATGATTGTAATCCAGACAGCAGGCGAGATCTTGCCTTCCTGATCCCAGAAATCGATGACAAGAGCGGCAGCAGAGATCTCGGCGCAGAGAGTGATGGCGTTCTGGTACCAGTTGTTCCATCTACGGACTGTTAGCCAGAGCGACGTTTGTATCATTGAAATAAAACTTACCCGACAGCGAAGCCAAGAGCGGGGTCCGTGTAACGAGCGCAGTACTGAGGAAGAGCACCAGGAAGCGGAAGCCAGGTCGCCATCTCACCGAGACATTGCATCATTCCGAAGACCGCGACACCAGTGATCGTGTAACCAAGCAGGACAGAAAGAGGACCAGCGTTGGCGAAAGCGCTGCTAATACCAAGGAAGAGACCAGTACCAATTGTACCGCCAAGAGCGATGAACTGGATGTGCCGCGACTTGAGGCCACGCTGGACGTATCCGTACTGCTCGGCTGTCTGAATGTCGCCGTACATTTCAGCAGCTTCGCCGATGGCGTTGCCCTTCTCGTGGATGATGTCCTTGACACCATGGTTGGGTGACTCGGCACCAGTGCCAACGGCATACTGGTTCTTCTCGTCGAAGGCCGACATGTTGGGGAAGATGGTTGACGGTGCGACTGAGAGGTGCTGACTGGAGGGCTGGACCCAGAAAGAGGGCTGCGGACAGAGAAAAACTGGCGCAAATGCGCAAAGTGAAGTCGAGTCTGATACACCTTGGAACAGTACCTTGCGAACGGGAACACAAGGGCTATCTTATACCTTCGGCTCACCATGGTATCACAACCCTAGGCCCTTCGTGTTGCCCTCCCGCTCCTAGACACAACAGGTGCACGGTCTCCATATCACCGCGGCGATTCAAGCTTTCAGACTAGCGGCGGCGTGGATTGGTAGCGCTTGGCCACGAGGGCCGAGATTGGGTATCTCGAGCAAATGGTCGCTGCCCCAGGATCCGGACACGCTGTTTCGCACGCAATTCGGCCATCATGTCTAAAAGTCGTAAGGCTCCCTGGGCATGCCTGATAAGGGTGGACCAATGGCTGGGGTAACAGTTGCATCCAGAGCTAGGGCCACGGGCGTCAAACAACTCGTGCAGTCGACGTGGGTTCTCCGCACGCTTAGTTCCACTTCGACACGCTTGGGGCCTCGTGGAACCTGCACTCGACCCTTCGATTCTCTAGCCTGGCCGCGATCAAGATAAGAACGCCCATCGAGGTCACCAAACATCACTCGAAGCACGCGACAATCAATGCAGAGTTGCACTGGTGGCGGGCGCGACCTCGCTAAAAGGTGCAAGTTTGGCATCAAGACAAGCTTTAGCAAGAGTGCGCGGCGCCCTCGCATGGTCTGGGCGTTTTAGGCAGGTGGCAGATCCTCTGAACCGCTTGTGATGCGCGGCAGACAGCTTCCACTATCATGGTTGCATGAATGCATCGGTCAGCCACCCTGATAAGGAACCCTTCTGGAATGTCAGACGATTAATGCTGCCCGGTGCTCGCGGTACGATATCAGCCATCTGCGCATGCCATCGGTTCCTCGGTCGCCAGCCGTAGCCGCGACACAGCCAACACGGCTGCACGACGAACCAACGGCAGTGTTCGAAAGGCAGACCGCGGGTCGATGTCGCGTGAGATGTGACAGAAGAGCAGCGGATGGTTGGCTGCACCAACAGGGCTTATTTTACCCCTCTGCGATCCTTGCACGCAATGACCGTCTATCAACGCTACCTGCCTTGTTAGGAGCGGGGATAGTGCACTATCGTATACGTCTGGCACCGTTCTGCCGTTGTTCTGGAAAGGCAGAACGGCGCAGCTCCATGGTGCAAGTGATGCGCAGCGCAAGCAAAAGATCATCGAAGGTGCAGCGACCAGAATTGATGCACCGGCTGCGCCCATCGAGAACATGTATGCCACCAAGTCCACTGGTGCGAAACCGAGCGCGGGGAACCCTACTGCCCAGCTCTTTGATATACTTTATTACTCTTGTAAGATCGTATTTGGACATCTTCTCATTTGCAGGTTCTCAGCCGTGAGCTCGAACTCGTATTTGTCGCAGTCAGATTTTAAGGCCCCATCCAGATCAGTAAGAGATGCAGAAGACGTCCAGTAGTTTACGCTAATGCCGATCAAGGGTATGAGTACTGTACGGTGGTCTGGAGCCGGGCACTGTTGGGACGATTGGAAATAGAGCACCAGTGTCGATACTTTCGAGTTTGCTCTACCGTTATCTGAAGACCTCCCGCATGGCTTTTCCATGGGGCGACGATTATGATAGTGATCAACGCCTTTACTTCAGGTTTGAGGCGCACAGCCGATCTCTCTCATATCCCTCTTATCTGACACGGCCTCGGCTAACCTGCTCTCAGTGCACCCGATCTCGATTCTGTCTCAAGACATAAGAGGCACTCGGTCCTCCCTGTGCTCCAAAGACATATAGACTGCGTCTGTATTCACCCCTCTGCTGCATGCACCTCTTCAAGCTACCGATACCCAGCGCGCTGCACCCGAAATTCTGACCGTCGACACCCATCCCAAATGGCCCGACTGCCAAAACACCACCAAAGCACCACCCAAACACCAACGTCCTCACACGCGATACAATTTCGCAAGTCAACCCATTATGCCGCTATCGGAGCTCCAATACTCATATCTTGATTCGAGGAGCCTTTGTGGGTCTGCGGGGGTCGCCGACGGACTTGATGCTTTGACCTCTGGGGAAGACTCCACTGCAAAGTTTTCATGTGGTAATAGTTTCCCACCGCGAACATGGATTCAAAGTCCAGAACCACGCAGCTGGGAAATAGAATTTGACGGATCCCTGGGGTCTGGGGAAAGAGTGGGGTTGGAAATGTTGTGCGATGCAGTCGTGTGGGCTTCGAAACGATACTTCGCTATCTGCTACGGCCCTCTGATGGGAATACTGCACTCTCACAGATTCATGCAACCAGTGGCAGATAGTTTCAAATGCCGCCAATTGTTACAAAAGCTCCGGTACCACCAGTGGGATGCTGATCCACAGAGGATAGATAGGTAGGACCTGTACTGACCACATCGTTCTCGCAATACATCCATCGACTCCGCATGCTGGGAGTTCAGGCCTGCGTTGACACTGACATAGTCGCACGACCCAATCATGGAAACTACCGACCAAATCGTTGACTATCATCAATATTAAGGAGATATATATGGTAAAATTAGTCACATCTGTCACATACGGCCATAGGGCCTTGAAGACAAGTTCTCCTGTCCGATCCGCCCTCTGTCAAGGTACCATTTTGAGGATTCGGTTGCCTGCATTCACGTTTCGGTATCCGCGAACCCGTCCTCACCACGACCGACTACCATTTTTGGGTCTATTTATTCACAAAACACGAATCTGAAGCCAGTTCTGCATGTTCGCGGACGCCGTCATGCGTTGTGTCTATTTTCGCAGCCTACAGAGCTGCGTTGCTTCAGGCAGCTGCCCATAGCCATCGCTCCGCACACCTTTGACCTCCCGCTTCTCCTTGACCGCACTTAGATCTCCCAATCCCAGCTACACACGTTATCTCATCTTGTATCTTTGGCGCTGTGAGCTTAGGTGGTAACAATGGAAAAAGGCATTCGATTAGTCACACTTAAACTTCTCAAGGAACGCGCTGGTCACGAAAGTGCACCATAGCCTTTGAGCATCGAAGACATCAAAAAAAAACTTTTCAACAAGTTAAGTTTTGAGTCGTATCATTACTCAATGAGACTATGGAAGGAGTAAGGTCTTGCTGATCGAGTTGACAGATTGACGCTGATGAGTTGTGCAGATTCTTCAAAGATGTGCTTGACAAGCCGTCGACTGAGGATCGCTTCACAGAACCGTCTACAATGCTTCAGATCAAACTGTTCCTTGGGTGGTTTGCAAGAACAAGAACCGGTCTTCTGGAGGAGAACGTTACTGACACAACTGTCATCAAGCGTTTCAACAGCCTCAAGCGTGCTACCAAACTTCACACGCAATATCAGTACACAAGTTTGCAAAACACAGATGTTGTCAACTACGTCACGAAAGATCTTTTCCATCCCAGTGTTCTTGATGGAAATGCTCGAAGACTCCATACGTCTCATCGCTGTGAGATACATGCTGAGCAGGCAAAGTGCTCATTCCGATGGCAGGTCCAGTCTTTTCCACCGCCGGCTTAGCTAAGCTCCTGCGGCAGTGTTAGAAGATAGGAAGAAGAGGCCGGGGGTGTAGTGATGGAAGGGTCTGTCAGTGCATGTGAGATGATGAATATCAACTTTAGAGAGAATATGACTGACTAAAGGAAGATATTGAGCGACATCTGACAAATCAATGCTAGCCGCTATTATACCTGCTATGTTGACAATCACATAGGCAGAAAAAATAATTCGTTTTGGCCGTATACGTCGGAAATCCGCGCCATCGTTCGTTACAGGGTGTAAATTTGTCAAGGAGCGTGGACAGTATGCATGTGCGGAAACCATGAAGGATTGAATTGAGGTTGTATTGGGTGAAGCTATGAACAGTATGTATAGGTGAGTAGCTGTAAATAACGCTAGTGTGATGTGGCAGTCACCCTCATGGCAGGTGAGGTACGACAGGCAGGAGCACCCTAAACCGTGACAACACGAGATTGAACCCAGTATACATAACTGCGAACTCCGCTATGTGTTATATCTACTCTTGCAGCCCCTGGTGGCGTCCCTTCAGTCAGCTTAGGAGTTCTTCCCTTCCTTTACTTCGTTGTTCAAAGAAACAGACGCACTGAGATATTTCGTTGGCTTTATTACAACCCTACGGCCAAAATGCGGAAAAGCACTCGATCATTAAACCTTGAACTTTTCAAGGAACGCGCCCGCCAGGAAGGCGCACCACAGCCCCTAACTATTGAGGACATCAAGAACGCCTAAACAAGGCAGCCTTCGACTCATACAAGTACACAATGAGACTGTGGAAAGAGTAAGGTTTAGTCTCTAAAGCTGAATAATCAGCGCTGATTGTGTCTGCAGATTCTCGATGGACGTTCTGAAAAAGCCAGTAACTGAGGATCAGTTCATTCAAGCACCTACAACACTTCAGATAAAACTGTACCTTGGGTGGTCTGTGCAGATACTGACGGGTCTTTTAGAGGAGAATTTTATTGACGTAACGGTTCGCAACCGTCTTGCGTGTCTCAAGTGTGATGTAAAGCTTCACACTCAGTATCAGTACACGCAACTCCAGAGCGCAGAGATCGACAAGTACATGACGAAATGTCTAGTTTCACAAGAGCACATCTCAATGTGCGCCCGGCCAAAACCACTTGCACCACTAGGTGTGGCTGAAGACCTTATCCGGTTCCACTTTACTTGTGACGAGTACAGAGGCTTGCACCATCGTATACGCAACCAAATGGCTTTTGCAATCCAACTCGTGTTGCTTATTGGCGTCCGACCGTGTGAGATCATTGAATCAGATGCATGGCATCAGTCCAACGAAGGCCTGCATTACAAGGATGTCGAGCTCATCCACTGGCGCACCGAAACCCATCGCTCCTCTACGTCAAATTGAGGAACCGCAAAGGACATCGTGAGTACAAAAAGCACACGTAAGCAGCTCATCGACGGCTATGTTTGCGTAAGGCTAATGCTAGACAGGCTAACTATGGTTCTATACGAGGAACCTCTTATGAGATACATGTGTCCGATAACTTGGTTCTTATCCCTTGCCTTTGCAGATGGCGTGTTTCGAGACTTATCTTCACACGAGGACCTTAGGGAAGTAGAGCCTCCACCTGGGAGCTCCTTGTACAAAGCCAAGTATGTAGTTGGCGCTTCAGAGCGCCCTATCATGCGGGACATGCGTGCGGATGTAACAATATCTAAGAACAGAACCTGGACCTACGACTGCTTCAACTCAGCGTTAAGAGGCACAGGTCAAAGAGCTACAGCTACAATATAATGCTACACTCTTCCTACGGTTTATGCCGGTAGCATCTATCAGAGCCCTTGCCCTCGTATCACAATGCATATACAGTTAAATTTTCCACTACCAAACCGTCACTCCGCTTTCGAATTTCTAGCCCCCCGCCCTCCCCCAACCTTCAATCAACCCCAGACATTTTCAAGACTTGAACACAACGACCCTCCTGCAATAATCCCTCGTATTGTCCCCGCCACTAATGCACCTCCCCTCTCCACAGAACGACTGGAACTCAATATCTCCATTATCACCGCCCTTGCAGTAGAACAGCGCATCGTCGATGTGCTTCTGGTCTGTCGGCTGGCCTTCGTCTTTAAGCGCTTGGTTGACTTGGGCTTTGTAGTTGCCTGGGAGGGTTAGAGGGGTTTTCTTTGGAATGTGGTCTTACAGGGTGGAGAAGTGGGCGAGAGAATGGGGAGGGGGTAGCAGAGGATAAATTACCGATGCTCAGGAGCGCACGGCCGCAGTAGTTGAGTCCGGTCTTGCAATTTCGTGCGGATGCGAAGGGCATGGTGCCTGCAAGGGCCAGAGCGGCGAACAGGATTGGGAGCTGCATGATTGTCGAGTGGATTTGGTTTCCTGTTGCGATGGGCTGATATGGTAGTTTTGATAGGCTGTGTAGTGATGGCTGGTGAGCATACCGTCTGGACGTTTATATAGCTCTTCTCGACCTGTTCGAATGGTACATTCTTGTATCAAGAGTACAGCATATATTCAGGTCTAGCTAAAAATGCAGTACTTACTACGGACTCAGACAACACGTACTCGGTACTCAGATCTCGTCAACACATCAAGCATGTAGCACTATCACTTCGACCCTTTGCAAAAATACTTACCTGCCGCCAAGGAAAGACGTCTAACTTGTGTCACCGCACCTATCAACCCAACTCAAACTATTCAACCCATCACTTACTGCAATGAGATGCAAAACCTAACTTTTGAACACAGAACCTACCATCGCCCCACAAACAGACACGTTCCTGCAGTATCCCTGCTTGTACTTAGGTAAGCCCGCGCAGTCGCACAACAAATCCCCTAAGCCTCGAGTCGGTGAGAAAGCCTCTCTAAAACTTGTCAGCTGGGAACTTCGCAGCTGAAGACGACTGAGAAAGACGATAGAAAAAGCCACGAGCATTCACGACAGCATTTTTAGACAGAAAAACCATGTGCTGGTTTGACAGCCGCACGTGGATTCAACAGCTGTGTCATGAATGGGCGGTGAAGACACGCTGGCCGGTTGTCATCAGGTGAGAGAGCAGGATGTAAATGAGTCAGTTGTGAGATGTGAGTTATTGGTGGTACTGTTGCTTATATTCAGAGATGTGATGTTGGTACGTAGCGAGGCGGAATGGAACAAGACCTTGAAATGGAGTGAAGTCGCGGGATTTGGTGCGATGCCATTTGCTTGGTGGTGACAGGTGGGTGTAAAGGCTGGTCCGAGTCGATAGAGACCATACGGAGGGAAGGTTTGGATAACTTTTACAGGGAAAGGTAGATAGACTACATGAACAGGTAGGTAGGTAGGTAGGTAGAGTATGGACAATACCATGCCCTGCAGAAACAAGTCGTTTCTAGTAGTCTGAAAATTTGATGGGTGCATTGTAAACTTGAACCTGATGCTTATAAAAATATACCTGGTCATGTCCTATCAATTGTAAGCAGTGTATATAGGTACCTTGGAATCTTGGATACCATAGGTACCTAGGTAACCCGTAAAGTTATCTCGCGCCACTTGTGGTGCTCTGATACAGGCAGTAGCATATCGTTTATCCAAGCCTCATTTGTCTATAAGGTTAGTAAGCCTCCCAAGTAGACGATTCCCAGCCAAGAATGACGTAGGCTGTGGCTGATCACGTGTACCAGCCTTAAGGCATCCAGCCGTGGGCACGGCCCCCTCGTCCTCCTGCGGCCACCAACCAGACGTGTAGTCGCTCCGCCTGCGCCATGCAAAAGTACAACAGCTCTAATAACAATGCCTCTTCCTCTTTCCCTTCCCAACTCTGTGGATCCCTCCCTTACATCCTCTGACCACCGAGCGTAAATACTCTTCCTCAGCGCCTTGCGCGCAACCGTTCGAACGCTAGTACCGTTGGGTGTATACCGAGTAGAACAAGGCGGCTCTGCCGCCGCAACGCCGTGTCCGCTGAGCATCGACATCGCATAAACATTATTTTCTAGCCATATTAGTATCCTAGTTAAGCGGCCTGACATAGGCCGCTTACGCCATCACCGGCTATCACTAGTAAGCAATCTTGAGAAAGACGTTGGATGATGTTAGCCCTAACTGGTTCATAGTGGTCATCGCATAGAGCAAGATCCATATCCGTTCTTTGCGCTAGAAGCCCTTACATTCCGTCCTGATGAACCATTATACGATTCGGTCTTTCTGGTGGCTGATCAGATACCTGATAATTTAGAGAGCAATAATGAGTGTTCACAAAGTGGCCTGCTGGGGCGGACAGACTCTTTGGAAGATGCAATTCATGGTTACAAGGGTGTTGATTATACGCAACCTCTTGGTACTCTGGACGAGAGTGTTCTTGAAAGAACCTCGGGTGCCGGGTATTTTAACTCTGATTGCATCAACCCCCGTCTGTTAACTACACAGGTGCACGAACCTCAGAACTACTCCCTATCAGGGCTCGATCAGTTCACTGAAGAGACCTTAGCCGAAAACTCGCAACCGCAACTATCTCTAAACTCCCTCCCTTACGGCGTACAACAACCCTCCCCCACCCCCACTTCAAGTACACGAGCCCATAGCAAGGCCAATGACACGAGCATGGAAGCCTACCCGAGCCCATCCTCATTGCCGTCTCTGGGTCAATTCACTCCTCAACCAGCAAGCCCACCTGACACTAGTCAAGTCTCAATAGACGCTCCAGACGGCAAAATGGTCATCGAGTCCGCACCGACGAGCTTCGTGTGTAAAACTTGCACGAAGTCTTTTCCGACTATGTTGCGCTACCGCCAACATGTGAATCGACACAGCTGCCAAGCGCCGTCCGAATGCAAACAATGCGGACAGTCGATCAAGCACGCGAAGGACCTCAAACGTCACCTAGGCTCTAGCAAGGCATCGCCTTCATGTCCCGCCCTTAAGAACGCTAGTCCTCAGGGCAAGCACTTTGCGTGCATTTGCAGCTCCAAGACTTACACGCGCAAGGACTCTCTCATACGTCACTTACGAACGTCCGCTACGGGGAAACATCGCTGTAGGACTTGCGGTAACCGCCCTTGTACCTGCTCGTAAGACAACTTACGTTATGCGCCACACCTTACCACTCTCTCTACATTCTCTTATAGCGATATTTGCGACTGCGAGTCGAAGCGAATCTGTATTTTGAGATTACGGATCGCACTCCACATAATTGAAGGAGTTCCAATCATCACTCAGGACACTTCTGTCGATCGAACGGATCACGGACATGTCAGCATGATCATAGCTTATAAAATCCTCTAGGCTTAGAGGTGCGTAAAGGTATCCTGGGGCGTTGAAGACCATGGAAGGGCCTCTTTTCGAAGAACATCAAGACTTGTTTGTCTCACGACGCTCGTTGCTACCTAGGTAGGCATTTGCCTTACCAGCTGCCGTCAACAATGACGACATTGATGGGGATACGGAGTCGTGACCGTTTCCGTCTGAGAGAAGAGGTGCAAGAGACTACCTGAAGTGGGGGATATCTGAGCGTTCGTGGATGTTTCCTTTCTCGTTTTCCGTTTGAACTCATCCTTTCTCAATTCAAGCACCGAGAGTCGAAGCTGTCGACTCGCGTGCATGGTCTGTCCTTTCTTTGGCAGACGTTCTAGGAATTGGATCGGGCTTTCCTTCATGTAACCGCCGCCAAGGAGTCAGTTGATTGCATATAGTTTGCGCCTGACAGAGATGGCGCGGCCAGGGGTTCCCATCCATAAGCACGCACCAGAAGTTCGAGCGAGGTACTCTTTACGACGAAGAAGCATCGACAAAACTTGGAAGACAGAGAAGCAACGGTACTAAAAAAACAATCAAGCAGCTGCGATACGCTTTCTAACCGGAGAAGCCGCGGGCACAAAATGGCTCGAGCGAGGGACTCCGGGGAAGAAGAAGCAGCGGCACCTGAAAAAGAAACAAAGAAGCCGCAGTACTGTCATAGCCAAGCAGCCGTGGCACGCTTGCTAAACGGAGAAGCCGCGGGCCAAACAACGGCTCGAGCGAGGGACTCCGGGGAAAGAGAAGCCGCGGACTTATTAGTTCAAGCACCCTTGTGCTACGAATTCATGACTCTTAAATTTTGGTGCTCGAAGTTTTTTGAGTATGCTGTGAGGTTCAGAGGTGGCAATATCAAGTTCGATTTCAACTAACATCCATCTCGTTCAGCCATTACTTAACTTGAGAAAGGACGATAAATCTCATTGATCTACCTACGATACTGTGGACTGAAATGTACATCACTGCCTGCTCACCCTACTTCAAGGCCATAAGATTCATTTCCGCTTTTATCAAAGCTTGTTAGGTGTCGTGCAGTCATTTCCGTATACCCTCTTTCACAATCTGCATGATTGGATTTTAAGAAAATGTGAACGAACTTGATAGGCGCTTTTCTCTTCCACTGGGCCCTCCATGCTTTGTAACTTCTCTTCCAGCCTTTTATCCCTTTGTAATTGTCGTTTCACTCTTTGCCTTTCTGCCTTCTTCAGTCGAGCCTTTTCAATCTGTTCCAACTCTTTCTCGAGCGCGGATTTGTCCTTAGGCATCGGCGTTGGTCGATGGTCAAATTCAATGTTTGGTCGTCTTCCTCCTACGACTGCTGCAAAGCTAGGCTTGCCACGAAAACGGCGACGTTGCAGAGCTACCTGCTCATTGCACTTATTCTGATCAACTAGGATCGGGAACTCCTCTTCGTTGTTACGCAGTCTGAAAAGAACAGGCTTCCTCTGTATCTCCATGACGAAAACGTGTCTGTCGCCGTACCAGAAAGTTTCCAGACAATCTACGCTTTCTCGCATACGACTTTTCAAGCGCCTAGCGTAGTTTTTGCAGTTCCCATGGTATTCATCAAGGAAGACGTGAGCCTCTCGAGATACTTCGGTCCTGGCTGACGAATGACCGAATGAAGCATTGCTCAGTGAGTAGACGTCCGTATGGCTTTCATTGCGGAGGAAACCGACGATACACCAGCCGGTGCGAAAGACGAGACCAGTCGGTAGAAATCGGTCGAGTTGTCCGACTCCGTTTGTGAGGATGTTGTCTTTCCATGTGAAACGTATGAACGCACCTGCTGGCTCTCTAATGTCCTCGATCACGACGGGCCCAAACTTTCGGACTTTGTTATCATGAGCTATTGTTGTGGCACGGTATCGTCTATGCAGCGCAACAGAGCAATCCTCATTGTTATGAATATGAGGATCGTAACGTCTTGCTCGCTCCGGCACCTGATCTGAAACTTGACGCCGTACTACGCAGCTCAGCCGTGAGGACTTTTTTCTTGCCTGAGAGCGCAGGAATGCAGCTGGTAACCATAACGGAGACTTCGCAAACTGGTGCTCAAATCCGCTCGGGCTTAGTCTCACCCACTTATGGTGGGTCTGTCTTGGTACTGTAGTTTTCGGGCATCGCTTCCAAGATTTATTCTTTCCCGCTGCGCGCCTCCAAATCTTCAGCGATATCTGACCAAGAATTTTATCGCACTTTACCTCGATCTCGGTTCTGAGTGGATAGAAATCGTTGTCGTCGATCTTGTTGGCAGCGTCCAGTATCATTCCACCCACTGGCGGATCTCTGGGAAGCCTGGAAGGCTCCCTTTGTAGTTTACATCTGTTATGAACCTCCCGATACGTCCGACTCTTGCGCATAAGCGCTTGTTGCCTTCTGTGATCTTCCGGGTTTCGGAAAGAGGGTTGTTCATCGGTATGTGGTCCCTCGACCTTCTTCCTTGCAAATGCACCTTGTTCGAAACGTCTCATGTATGAAAGAGACCTTTCGTACATGCCCAATCCTGCATATCTGCCTGACCGTAACCCACGCTCGATACCTTGCAGACCACCTAGTACATAGAAAGCAGCCAACGACTTCGGGTTCAATAGTTTGTTTAGCTGTCCTGGCGAGAAGGCGAAGGGGCTGTTGTAAACCCTGAAGTCGTCTTCTGTCCAAGGATCTGGCTGCAAGGCGGCCTTCGGAACACTACTCATACCATCCCCATATCTACGTCCTGCAAGACCAAACGGACAAAAACCCTTGCATATGTCACAATACTGCCTTTCGTTCCATGAAAAAGCTTCACCCATATCTTCCTCCGGGAAATCGCTCGCACGAGTAAAATTCTTGAGATCCTTCCAAGTCTCGAAAGGGTTGTCAGCCGGGCCATCGTCAGGGAACAAGGGGCTTGGAGGAGGTAGTAAGACCAAGTCTTCCGAGGCTACACTAGGTGACCTCGATGCTTTCTTTGGCCGATCGTTCGCCGCAATGGATGCGGCATGACATTGTGTAAACTTCGATCGTGGTGTTGTCTGAGCCTTGGGCCAAGACTTAGAGAAGCCTCTTTGTGAACAAGAAGTTTGTGGTTGCGGCACGAACGACATGTTTGATATTTCGAGGAAGGTATTCTGCAAATTCGCACACGCAGTAGGTTTTGAATGTTGAAGCAAGCGTTTAGCAACTCTTGTCGACGTGAATCAGTAGGAGTGGGGAGACTCGAACAAGGCTGAGATGTGGCTCAGCTCAGTCCAGCGGCCTGACTTCTCATCCAATCGCTAGGTCCTTCCAGTGTAGGCTAGACCAGGACGATGAGGCTGAGTTGATCATCATCAACACAACCTTCTCTTTTAACCCTTTGCAGAGTTACGGTGGCCTCCAATGGGCTTAGTTGAAGTGTGTACAATGTCGTGATTTTATTCGTTTGTATCTTCATCCTTTGCGGCCCCCAATCAGCATGCCTGACCTGTCTACCCTTGCAACTCTCAATCGAAGGACGTACCTTACATCGAGACCAAGCATGGTTCAAGTGGGTAGTTGAGTTGCGGCCACCAATCCTACGATGAGCATGCCATCAACTGTTTTCCGATGCAGGAACTGGAGACCTTCATCCGCCCTGCGGCCCTTCACGAGTACCAATGACAATTCTACTACAAGAGCACTGCGGCCGCCAATCAAGAGCGACTACTTTGCGGCCCTCAACCATCTCCAATCTCTCATCTGAATGAATACTGCGGCCTCCAACCAGACAAGCTATCAGAGTAGGGTTGCGGCCCTCAATTCTGACCAGAGAATGCAGAGATGAGCTATTATAAAGATGGGATCAAGACGTCCAAATTTGATGGTCAAACAACCAACAGATTCAAACCAAACTCTTCTACCAATCTCCAACTTCCGCTTATCGAAGCTCTCACCCATCACTTATTCTCGAACCATGCAATCCTGCCAAACCAAACTCATCGCCGCTCCCACGAGCTCACCCAAACCACAACCCAAGTCCCGAGCCAAAGATGACGCCAACGAGAAGAACAGAGGAAAGACGACATCTGCTGAGGATGTCATGCCGGTGCGAATACGCCTATCTGAAGACATCGATGAAATCACAGTACTGACATGCCAACAGCAGAACACTCTTGGCTCAGAAGGGTCGAGGCAAAAAGAAGGGAAAACAGCGTGGCACATGGAAGGTTGGCTGAACGAGACGAGTGGAGAGGAGGCGTGGAGTGTGCACGGGCGCTTCTAGGTTTTGGTGTGGATGTTTGGAAGTTAGTTTGCGCTTTTGGTGGATGTAGATGTGTGAATAGAGTAGTGGTAGAGGCAATACAGGCTAAGGGGTTTCTAGATAGGAAAATGTGTACACTGGTGTCAGCAATGATTCCATGTCATGTTTGCGTTGTCGCAATCAGTGTTGTAGTAGGTCACTATCAAACAAACGTGACGGCAGGTCTTGAGAATGAAAACAAAGGATACTTACGTCTTGGAGCGGACATACTACCAAAGAAAACGAGGAAGCATAGTGCAGTAGAGTGCACACCGGAGCAGTCCTCGTGTCCTCGTAGTGTCACGGGTATTTCCCGGAGGCCCACGGGCCACCTGTATATATTCCTCACAAACCTTGAGGCTCAGCCATCAAGGATTCGTCTACGTCTCATCCTATTTGCCCTCAGACGGCACCAATCCATCCTGTGTCCGATTGCCTACCTACAGTGACCTCACAGCAAGTCTCTCCTCCTCTAATGGCACTAGTTCATGTGGGGGAATCTCAAAATAGTGCTACAAATGCCTAATAGGCTTTCTCTTCATGTTTAAAGCAATTGAACATTCAAAAATATTAAGAAATTGTCACGGGTATATACTGTTCAGCTCCCAGTCCTGCTATCTACAGCAGTACTGTACCTTTTTGGTCAGTGTAGCACAGTGGAGCTGAGCTGTATGCCTCACAGAAACAAGGTGGTGTGGCTGCTGTTCCAAAGAATTGAGTGAATTGACGCGCATCTGAGATAAGCATTGAGGCCTAGGGTATTCTGTTTGGACGAGAGTTATTGCACCCTCTAGTGTGGGGTCGGCGTTGATCTTTAATTACGCCACTGGGGATATGCAGCGGCTAGGTCCGTGCTCAGCAGAGGGGCCTTTTTGTCTCCTGTTCGCGAACGCTGTCTCCTTAAGTTTATTTCCGATGGCACTACATCTTGGACAGATCCTGAGTGGCGCTAGATGGAACTACCTTCTTGTCAAAGATGTTGGAAACAAGACCTCAGTCTCCAACGTTTTCAGAGCCAAAATCTTGCTGCGGGCCCAGGCTCGAACACCAGGGCAATGGTTTGTTCACAACAACACGCACGAGTAATGCAGCTAACACTCAACCAAGGGCCGTCATCAAAACGGTACCTGAGCGAAGGGCTCTAGACATGCTGAAAAGGGAACCCGAATGCTACCAGAATCCTGCTATTCGATCGTCGTGGCATCTGCGTGCCCTTTACGAAGCTATCGATGTTCACGGATCCTTGGCACCTGAGTCATCATATTATTTAGCCTTTGAGTGGATGGACTGCACTCTAAAGGACTTGTCCTCTGGGGCATATCGGCAAAATCCTGTGTTGCACAAAAGCATATCCAAGGCGATTCTGGAAGCGCTTGGTGTACTGAAGTTATTAACGGGAGAAAAGTGAGAAGCAATACATACTGTTCGTAGTTTCACCCAATACAACCTCAGTTCAATCCTTCAATTCTTCCCACATGCGTACTGTCCACGCTCCCCGATAGATCATGATTATGTATTCATCTAAACAAACTTCTCTCGTTTTCATAGTGGTGAGAGGCAGATCAATCATGCGACCATACCTAGTCCCCCTCCCTTCGAGTTTGAATCCCTCATCTTTAAGGCGTAGGAAAAGTATTGGCAAGTAGTGCTTTTGTGCGAGGCATGAAATTTCTTTCTTGATCGAAATTTTGGTTTAACGGTTTCTTGGGGACGGCAGCCTTTCCAGCTGTTCACAATGATCCTTGTAAAACAGTATGAACATAGGTCTCGACCAAATTGAACTTGAAATACTCCAGTATTTGAGGAACGCAAAGACTTATCTTCGTCCCTATGTTCTTTGCAATCAATTGTGAAAAAAATCGACAGCGGCTTCAAATAAGTAATGATGGGACGTAGGCGAAATAGCCTTTTAGATGGCTTCCGCCACAGTAGCTTGACTGACTGAGTACAAAGCCTGAGAATGTTGCAAACTGCCCCCTTGCTAGTAGACTGGATCACGAAGATAATTCCCCAAATGACGCACCTTGAGCGTCTCCCTGTTTGAAGTCTTCGTGTGCAGGTTTCAAGAAGTTAAGCCACTGGATATTGTTGCGGTATCGGTCGGTCCGTACAAGGTCTGACTGTACCCCTGACAGACTACACTAGTCTAGTGTATGACAGGTCACTGGCCTGAGGTCAGGTATATAGTCGTCATCTCCCAGCTAGATAGCAATTCAGTACAGTATTCCATCGACCCGATAGTCCTACGTTATCGTTTACCGTAGCTATCAGTATTCTACAGTGGCCTACACCGTAACAGGTATGGTAGGGCGAGGCGGGCTGCGAGGCGCGGGGTGCAACGGGATGCTGCTACTTGTTTAGGCCTCCCACATCTGCGTGGCGTTAATGCTTTAACCCCAGCGGCAACGCAGCAATCAGGTCTTTTGGCTCGTCGAGTCCGTCACTAGAGTCCCGAGCATGGCGCATCTCAATGTACATTGAAACACCGATCACAGGTGCTGCAATGCCGAGTCTAGACCACTGTTGCCAGGAAGCCAGGCTGCAGAATCCCGCTTACAGGAAAGTCAAGAGCGTTTGTGTCAAATGAACAGTAAACAACAATGCTCAGTTTTTATCCGCCCCTAGACCCAGAGGATGCCAACAAAATCATTGACGAGGGCCTGATCTGGCAAAGCGAGGTCTTCCAGTGCGAGCGATACGCACTGTGCTACACTGACCAAAAAGGTACAGTACTGCTGTAGATAGCAGGTACTGGGAGCTGAACAGTATATACCCGTGACATAAATAGACTAAAGTCTACTCACTGTAGCATTGAGGAAATGCGTTTGGTACATTGTACTGGAGCAACTTTAGTCCAAACTGGTTGGCTACTATTGCAACGAGTCTCCATGCTTACAGATGATCATGCTATGCTCGTTGTGCTATGCTTGGAAAAGGGCGACAGGGAGAGAGCGGAGGTGCATGGGAGAATGTCACGGTTTGGGGTGCTCCTGCCTGTCGTACCTCACCTCCATGAGAGTGACTGCCACGTCACACTAGCGTTGTTTACAGCTACTCACCTATATATACTGTTCGTAGCTTCACTCAATACAACCTCAGTACAATCTTCAACTTCTTCCTTTGCGTACAGTTCTTCACTGGACTCTGACAGAGAATGATGCATCGGTTATTTGTGGAATTGGGGTTCTTAGTCATCGGTCAGGAGATGGAGAGTTGGAAATTGGGGACTTTACTGCAAAATATTGGGAGATTGGAGGGCATGGGACAGGGGTGGAAGAAGGGGCCACTTAAGGGGTGATATGAATGGCATGGAGTGGAGCTGGGGTTTCCTACAACCAGACATAAATTTGTTATGGAACGATGCTGGTCAGTACAGATAGGGTATAGTAACCCACACCATAGGTATCCAAACATCCATCATGTACCTCTAACAACCCGTTGACCAACCATGATCCGTGTGCCCCCTATTCAGTGTATTACTCGTCAACGTCTCACACGTCGGGCAGTCCGGTGACCTAGTATAAGCTGCTGAACTCACTACATTACCTGGCCCAGCTTCTCCTTTCTCTGTAAGACTAGTCTCTATCTTGCAATTTCGCTGCATCCCAGCTTCGCCTCTCTCCAAACGACTAGCTTCGGTCACAAGACTTACCTGCAACAGCGGCTCTGGGTGTTCACCGCTCTCAACCATAGGAAATTTCAGCGCCGGCTTCTGAGCAAGAGCATCGTGGATACTGTCAACAGACTTTTCAGCCCAGGCCATCGTGCTGAGATATGACAGTGGATATAGCGGCATGTTCTCCTTGCGATGAATAAAATCGTTTTCAATGGGTGGGACGCGCGACATGATGACGTCCATATCCTTCCTGATCTGCTCGCAGAATGCATCAAGAGGCAAATCGTTAACGTCGTGACCGAACGGGTCCTCGATCTCGCGGCCAATGAATGCAATACCTAGGATGATGTACGCTGCGATGATGCATGCAGGGATTGTGTTCCAGCCTAGACTGTGGAAGATCTGGAATGGTAGGAGTAGGATGTACACCCATGTGATTTGACTGATGGCGATGGAATATGCGAGTGGAAGAGGCGTGTTAAGAATCCTGTCCGTTTCCGTAATCACGCTGTCCATGACGCTCAGCGCGTCCAGGGTCTGTGTTTGATAGATGCTGTAGTCTCGCAACGTCCCGTTGTCGTAGAGCGTCTTCATGTAAGCGGAGAGGTAGGCTAGGATCTCGAGCGGGAGGTCGCCGAGGGGGGCGCGCGCTTTCTTTACAAAGTGCCGCGGATTCGGTGTTGCCATTGGTATTCCAAGCAACTGTCCAACCGACCTGACAGCGCCTGGCCCTTTGATATTAGGTGAGTCTACGGCCTGTGCCCATGTATCCAGATGTCCGACGAGATGCTTGAGGTCGGGGTAGTGAGTGCCTGGTTCGAATCGCAGTTTGTGTTTCAGTGCCACTGCGAGGGCGACAACGAGGTTCAAGCAGCTGACCTTCCCGAGCAAGTCATTTTTACCGAGAGCAGGATCTACGTCGTGTCGCTCCTCTACGTGAATCCAAATCAGAAGCCCCATCGTGCGGCATGCGAGGCGGAGACGACCCTAGCATGCTCGGCCTGCCATGTAGCGTTCGTAGGCCGTGGTACTGCGCACGCTGAGGGCGAGACTGATAACGAATCCGAGCGCGGTAATAAGAACCTGATCGGTACCGACTGCACATAATTGTCAGAGAATGTTGTACTACATTTGGAAGTTTAAGTAAGAGCTTACGATCTGTCACAAACTTGGAGATACAAGTGATCATCGTAGCCCAGCCGCCGACGAGAAGAAGAGGTACGATCAGCTGCGGTAGGATGCTGCCGTGCATGCGCAACATCATGGGCCATCTCGAGTGATGGTCGAAACCGCGAGGCCCAGTCTATACTCGTTAGCGATGCTCGTAGTTTATCATATCGAGCCGATCGTTCTGTTGTTGTATATCATGGGTGTGTGCATACGAAATAATCCTCGTGGCGTAGTCTCGACATTGTGCCGTCTCGGCCTTATGCGACGATGATAGGAAAGATAAGGATACGGACGAACCGTTCGTAGGGTGTATATGGTGAGATATGTAGGATCTATTCGGAGCGGTGTTGTGGTAACATGGAAGCACGATAGTTTAGATGATAGAGCGGGTGTTGTTGTAGGAGCAGTAGGTACGAACAACGGCACATCGTGGCTTGTCACGGTTTAGGGTGTCTCCTGCCTGTCGTACCTCACCTGCCGTGACGGTGACTGCCTCTTCACACTAGCGTTTTTTACTGTTGCCCACCTATACATACTGTTCGTAGCTTCATACAATACAACCCCAGTTCAATCCTTCCTTTTCCACTGTCTGCGCACTATCCACGAACCGCAACAGGTGTTGAGTTATGGTGATCGAATTGGCGGTAGATGTCCTTGTTCTCAGAAGCCACACCACCACTATATCGTCTACAAAGAAGAAGACAACCAGTTGATCGTTGCTGAACAGGCAGGGCACTCCTGACGCCTGTTGAAGGCCCAGCTTCTCAAGCGTAGCAGTGAGGCGTCTGTACCATAGTTGTGCGTCACGGAGTTTGTATAGAGCTCGCTTGAGCTCAAGCAGGTGTTCACGTTCTCCCCTGTATTAGTCTGGACATTGTGCGTATGTGAGTCAGTCAAGTTTAGCATTAAAAAAAGCGTTTAGGGCATTGTACTAGTATAGCTCTAAATGAAAAGCAGCTGCTAGGGCGATTAGACATTAAAATATCTTTGCATTTAGCGTAGCCGCGTACGTGTTGCCATAGTCTTGCTGGAACGGTCTTGTTGGTGTGTACTGGGGTGGGATAGGTTTTACCCCATTGGTTATCCACACTGACTACCTCTGGCCATCTGCAGGCTTGTTCACCCAGATGTAGTATGTTCCGCTGATTATATAATGACTTGTAGTAGTTGCTGACCCCCCCCCCCCCCTTTGTGCACATACCACATGCTGAAGGGAGAAGAGTAGTACGGTGATGCAAGAGTCTCAGACTGCCGGGAGCATATTTGTGGAAGAGTTGAGATGATTTTTGATTGATCTTTTTTGAGCTATTGGCTGGAATCGATCGAGACTATATAGTAGAAGGGAATAGCAGTGAAGCAAACCGAACTAACCGAATGAGCTGGACTATCAGTGCAGCGGGCCGTTGGCAAACACTGCAACGGGCCGCTGGTAGACACTGCAACGGACCGTTGGCAAACGCTGCAACGGACCGCTAGCGAACAGGGAGGCCATTATCATCCCTATTAGAATCTGCTTGCCTGTGCGGTAAGTGTGACACCCATATCACCCAGATCCCAAGTCAAACATTTGGTGGGGTCTCACATACTCAAAAAGAGGAGGGGGTCAGCAAATACTACAAGTCACTAATACAAGCACAAGCCTTCGATGTATAAATTTCACCGGGACTTGTAAAGAAGGAGGAGAAGTTACTTGCTATAGAAAGCTAGACTTTCTCTTCTCTTCTAAAAGAGGAAACCACTATATAGAGCAACTATAAAAGTTACCATAATAACCGGTTGCAGCAGAAGTAGGGGCTAGATCAAGATATAAAAGAGACTCAAACAAGCAATATACAAAGCAGTAGGTCTAGGGCCTCTATGTGTGAGAGGGGACCAGCTGGGGATATCAACTGCTCTCTGAGATGGATAAATTGGTAGAAGGGAGGTTGTCCGCGGGAGGCGGGAGAAGGATTCCCCGATCACCGGCACGTGATAGGTAGCTTATATCGAGCTTCTGTTCACCTGCAATACAACAGAGAACCACCCAGTCTTGACAGAGGTTCAGGCTTGTTAAAGACCAGGTCGAAGAATATGCCTAACACAGTCCGTCAGCGCAACGTGGCGTTTGGTCAACATAGGTTGCAACTCCACTGTGAAGATCAGTAAGTAGACAACTACAACTCAGTTTTTGGGGTGTTGAAGGTACGACCGCAGAAGGTCAACTATCTTGTTGTGTCCGTTGTCCACCGCCAGCATCAGCGCTGTAAATCCACTCTTGTCCCTCTTCTCAAGATTGACCTCATCAGCGCTGAGCAATAGCTCTACCAAATGACTCTTACCCTCCATCGCAGCCCAGAAGAGTGGCGTACGTCCCCTGTCATCTTCCGAGTTGACGTCGATCTCGTCTGTGTCGAGCAGCAGCCTAACTACCGCCTCATAATCAACACTCATTCCCAATCTTGCCATCATCAAACGCTTCTTATTCTGCTGTTCAAGAAGCATGAGTTGCATTTGATAATCTTGGACCGCCACAGATCCATGTTTTCGAAGCAGAGTTTCCCCAAGGATGCCTAGAGTTGCACCCCTTCCCCCTGATGCAGCCCACGACAAAGCAGACCGCCCATTGCTGTCTTTCGAGTTGACACCAGTTTTTCTGTGTCCAAGAAGTAGCTCAACTGTGTCTTTCTGCCCTTGCCGAGCTGATAATATTAGCGGCGTCGATCCCTCTCTATCTCTTGCATCGGTGTTTGCTTTTCCACTACAAAGCAGCATCTCCGCTATGTCTTTGCACCCATCTCGTGCTGCCAACATCAGCGGCGACAATCCGGCATTGCTCCTCGCGTCCACGTCAATCTTGTCAGTGCTAAGCAGCAGCTCAACAACGTCTCTGTGCCTAGTCTG